GTTCACTACATACATACTGAAATTGTTAAGGGTTCTGGCACAATGACCTAGAAATCTGACCGCAGTCGTACCTATCTTCAAAGTACTCAATACTTCTGAAAAATATGGAGGAATTGCATCACGTGTTTGTCCTATCTTGTATCCCCTCCCCTATGGTGAGTTAAATCAAGCTTCTGCACTTGACCTTCCAAGGTTCCCTGCAGCTTCTAATCCCAATCTACGAATCTCGAGTACTTTTAAAAGCCCTATCTTCAATAGTCCCTGTCCCCGCCACGTGTCTGCTTAACTCGTCGTTTGCTACTTGTCAGCTTGCTTCCGAGCTAAAACACGCCTCGTCCCCGCAGTCCCTATCTCTTGACGACCTTTCCTCTCACAACAAGCTTGGAAGCTATCATCACTAGAACTAATCTAGATGAACGAGGAAGCTACAAGGGGTAACGTACCATCTCATTGTACGTACGAAACCTAATCGAGCACTACAATACGCATGATATCACTTCACCCCGGCAAGTGCGAGTGCTATACGCGTATCGGCGTGTACGGCGTATACTATCGGTGAGGGGGGATGAAATTATCTACAGTTATGTAGTCAACGTTCCCGCTGCCGTTTTGAAGATGGCTTTCTGTTCTTTTTATACTCTAGAGTGATAGCAGCAATGGGAGTGCTTCATCGTCTTCAGGTGCCGTTGGTAGCACTGTTGTCCTACACGGCAATAGCGCAGAAAGTCATCGATCTTGGTACGAAACAATGGACGTTGTCAAGTCCGGTATACAACATCTCAGTACCTGGCCGTGTTCCTTCACAGGTGCATCTTGACTTGTTTCGTGAAGGAGTGATTCCTGATCCGTATGTTGGGCTTGGGGACTTTGAGTTGAGATGGGTTACACTCACGAATTGGACCTACGAGACTACTTTGGATGGATTGTGAGTTGAATCCTAACTTGTCTTGGGCGTTTCTCAACTCTAGTACTAATTTCGATCAGAGACTCAACAATCCCGACTTGGCTGCTTTTCAATGGGCTTGACACTTTCACCTCAATCGAGGTTTGCGGGCAACATGTCGCTTCGACCAACAATCAATTTCGGCAATACTACTTTGAGATATCAGATATCTTGAAATCGTGCTCAACCACGCCAGATTTGAGCATCAATTTTGGTTCTGCGGTTAACATCACTGCAGATATTGCGAGCGAACCAGGCCAAGAAGTCTGGCCACCTGGCCAAGTATTTTGGCCTGGTGGTGTCGAGGGCGTGTTCGAGTTTCCCAATCGACAGTTCATGCGGAAGGAACAGAGCGACTTTGGCTGGGATTGGGGACCTGCTTTTGCTCCAGCTGGCGTATGGCAGCCTGCCTATGTTGTCCAGCTTCCTGGCCCTGCGGTTCATGTGCGAAACACCTTGCTGGATATTTATCGTCAAGGCCAGCTGAACAACCTTCCTCCGGATCAAAATGCACCCTGGATCGTGAATGCTAGCATTGATGTTATTGGAAGTCTGCCAAGTAACGCTAAACTCTTTATCGAAATCATGGACATCAAGAATGTCACCGTGGCCAGCGGAGCTATGCAAAATATGACATCTATCGGTAGCACGATTACTGGTAGCGTGGTGGTAGACGGAGAAACTTGTCAGCTGTGGTGGCCGGTAGGGTTAGGTCCACAGAACTTGTACTACTTCAAGATCACCGTCATGAACGGAAATGAGTCCTTAGTTTCTATCACCAAGAGAAGTGGTTTCCGGACCATAGTTCTCAACATGACCCCGATCTCTGAGTCTCAGCTAGCTCAAGGGATTGCACCTGGAAACAACTGGCATTTCGAGATCAATGGCCAAGAATTTTACGCGAAAGGCTCGAATTTCATACCTCCGGATGCATTCTGGCCACGGGTTACAGAAACCAAAATGAACCAGTTGTTCCAGTCGGTAGTCGATGGCAATCAAAATATGCTGCGTGTCTGGGCTAGCGGGGCTTACACTCCTGACTTCATCTACGATATCGCCGACGAGATGGGAGTTTTACTATGGTCCGAATTCGAATTTGGCGATGCTTTATATCCAGTAGGTGTTGAGTTCCTCGAGAACGTACGCCAGGAAGCTGAATACAATGTCCGGCGGGTCAATCATCACCCCTCTCTGGCGCTATGGGCAGGAGGCAATGAGCTCGAAAACTTGGAGTTGCGACTGGCGGCAGCTCTAGATCCTGGTAACGACAGATGGAGGCAGGAATACGAGCAGTTGTTTCTCGGTGTTCTCTTACCTACAGTTTTTGCCAACTCGAAATCTATATCTTACATTCCTAGTAGCACAACGAACGGATATCTGGAACTAAACTTCTCTCTTGCTATTCCTATGATACAAAGATACGACAACGCAACGAAAGGATCGATTTATGGAGACACCGATCATTACGACTACAATTCTCTCAACGCTTTTGATCTCTCGACCTACCCCGTAGGTAGATTTGCGAATGAGTTTGGTTTTCACTCCATGCCCAGTCTACAATCTTGGCAACAGGTCCTTTCTCCTGAGGATCTTCATTTCAATAGCACAACTATCGTTTTGAGAAATCATCATTATCCTGCTGGGGGGCCTCTCACAGACAACTTCCACAGTCCTTTACATGGCATGGGAGAAATGACCCTTGCGGCGCAACGATATTATCCAGTGCCAAACATGGCAGACCCTGTGGCAAACTTCAGTGCCTGGTGTCAAACAACACAGATCTTCCAAGCGGATTTCTACCGCAGTCAAATTACATACTATAGACGAGGTTCTGGAAAGAAAGAACGACAGCTGGGCTCTTTATACTGGCAGCTTGAAGATATTTGGCAAGCCCCGACCTGGGCTGGCATTGAGTATGATGGAAGGTGGAAGTTTTTGCATTATGTCGCGAAAGACATCTATCAGCCTGTGATAATTGCCAGTTATTTGAACACAACTGATGGTGATTTAACGGCATACGTCACGTCTGATCTCTGGTCACCAGCCACAGGAGTTGCAACACTCACTTGGTACGATTACAACGGGACTATACTTGCACCTCCTTCGTCAGTTCCATTCACAGTCGGCGCTCTAAACATAACTCAAGTTCTCCAAACCAACACAAAGACCATCCCGTACGACCTCACCAAAGCAGTCCTAAAAATGAACATCACAGCAACCGGCTCCTTACCAAACACCAACGACACCAAAACATTTAAACACGAATTCTTCTTCCACGCTCTCGATCTCAGTAAAGCGAACCTCCAAGATCCAGGTCTACAACTAGAGTACAATGCTAGTACGGGCAATTTCACCATCGAAGCGACGAAAGCGGTTGCTGCGTGGGTGTGGATGGATATCCCGGCGGGGACGCTGGCGAATTTTGATGGTAATGCGTTTTGGTTGGTGCCGGGGGAGAAGAGGGAGGTTGGGGTTGTGGTTAAGAGTGATGGGAGTGGTGGGAAATGGGTGGAGGGTGTTCGGGTGAGGAGTTTGTGGGATAATACGCAGAGTTAGGAAGACCTAAAATATGTATGATATGGTACCTCCTGTCTGCTATCAAGTATAAATCAAAAATACCGTAGAATTAATCACTAAACACTTTATTAGCCTATGGGATTTACGAGTACAGAAAGTATAAAACGCAAGTGTAGAGCTGTGATAAACAGTCAAGCTTGCAGCTCAACGGTGTCAGCGCTCCTGCCGAATAAGTAATTCTTTAGCGTATTACGAGAACGCCACGGATTCCGCGCACACGGTCGTGGGCTGATCCTGGTGAAGCCACACATCTTGGTTGTACTTTGTACCAAGCAAAAGTCTACAATTGAATTTATTGTAACACTAACTAGAGAGTTATTTTACCTGATACTAAACCTACATAATACACATGATGACGATTTTCATCATCTCAAAATTGATGATGTTTGGTTCCGTGGAACGGATTCCAGCAAGCACCGTTGCGGCACAGGTTTTTACGGTACTCCCGGAATTGTAGGCAATGATCCTTCGGCAGATCAAACGATGGGTTTTGTTTATTGGTTTTGGGGGCGGGACTTGGAGATCTTTATGTGAATTGGAACATTTTTGGTGGAATGGACTTTTTAATCACGTCTTAGAGACTTTGGTAACGAGTCGAGATTTTTGGCCCCGTCTACTGTAATTCAGCTTACGGTGAGTACTGTATTGAAGCAAACGTTTCGAGTCAAAACCCGTGATTTTGGTGGTATAGAAGATCATGAATTGCACAGCGACGGAAAGTATGCTCGTGATTTCACTCCGGTGCTTTGCTTTATAGTAGTCACCCCTGCACTTTCAAAACCATGGCACCAAACGGAAGGCTCTTCCTCGAGTAAACAGCCACCTCCTAATTTCCAAGAAACAAAATCGAATTCCGATGAATCGCTCTCGCAACTTACCACTTCAAGTATTCCACATCCTTAGGCAAATCCATTGGCTTCATGCGACCAACTCGCATGTCATAACCCAATCTCACCTCAAAGCTTCTTATGCATATATCATATATGAGCCGCCACTCGATCGACATCTAGAAGATTCAGAGCGAAATGAGGAAGGGCTTCTGTTTCTTCTGGAAGGTGCATCGGATCGCTCGCTTGGGTCGATTATTGACGGTGTGGCGAAGGGAAATCCTACGAAACGTTTCTAGCGAGAGAAGCCTTCTTTTCGAGAGTGAGATGTTGGTGGAAGGGTATACGACGAGGCGAAATGTTAAAGAGAAGGACTGAAGTTCAAGGCGGGGTTTGAGGGTTGCTGAGGTGAGTCGAATTATGATAATGAAATTTCCGCTTTTGCCTCTGGGTGAGCGATGGAGGAAGGATGAGAATTGGTGGGGAGAGGAACGATCATTTCATCTGGCCTTGGAGATGAAGCTTTTTGCCTGGAAACTGTCAACTTGAATGAGCCCAATCAAAAAGATATTCTGTTCGAGGAAGCAAATCGAAGTATTCAAGAATGCGAAATTTCTCGCTAATGAGCTTCCTATGTTCGGATATAGCCGAGCACCATGGAAGATCCATGGACTTCACGGACATGTACACGAATACAATACATACCACTAAGAGACCAAATACTCAACGTTCCATCCGCCAGGGTACGATCAACCAGAAGGACGAGATGATACTCTTGTGCAGATTCTCAAAATTCCCTGGTTCTTCCCATCGAGGAAGCTGAGAGCCTGAGATCCATTTCAGTCATCAGCCTTTTGGATCTAACGCAGCATCTAGCATGCACTTCCCAGCAAAAGCTCGTAAATTACGACATGTCGTCAAAAGAGGGTTCCGATAACCTTACGCAAATAACCTTACCATAAGGCTGTCTCCCAGAGCCTCAGAACCGCCACTTAACAACCCCGTCTTCCGAAGGAATCCTAATTCAATTGCCCAATATCCTCTCCCGAAGGATCTCGGTACCACCCAGACTCGTCCAATGTACATCACCGTAAACCATAGCGTATACCAGCCACCGGTATCTCAGAGCAGTAATTATGGTTCTTTGCCTCCTCCATCTTGTCACTCTTATTTCTGACATCAGCTCGCGCGGCGTAGAAAGGCTTACTCCCATCAAACGGCGTGCTGATTGGTGCGTCGTTACGATCGCCTACAGCCTCAGTTTCGCGAGCGAAGACCCCTTTCGGTATTTGTGTATGGATGTATTTTTATAATACTTAGAGGATGCGGCGGTTTTTGTTGGTTGTGCTTGATCTGCTTTATTCATTTGAGACGTTTTTGTGCAGATATTTGGGAACTTTGGTGGAGTATTTTTTTGGGTTTTGGGAGAGATATGTCGGAATCTTCGTCGAGTAAGAAGCCAAGGGCGAGTAAGCCGAAGGTTAAGACGGGGTGTATGACTTGTAAGTAAGTACATGTAACTTTCTTTAAAACTCTACACAAAAGTCCAAACAGTTTTGTTATGTTTAACCAAAAACCCCTCAACACATGTTAACCAGCATTGGTAATAGATCAAGAAGAGTTAAATGCGATGAGACAAAGCCAGAATGTCTCCGATGCTCCAACTTTGGAAGGAAATGCGGCGGATACCCATCACTAGAAGAAAGTCCACCACCACCCAAAGGCCCAACCCTCCCTGTCCCCAGACGACTCCTATCCAAAGCAATGGCACCCTCACCCACCCCATCACCCTGTCCCTCACCAATCCCCTTCGTCACAACCCCAACCCCAACCCACCAGCCCCCTCTCCCCCAAACCCTCTCCTTCCAAACCGAAAAAGAATACCGCTACTTCTGCCACTTCCGCGAAGAAACCGCCATCCGTCTCTCCACCGGCTTCCCCCCCTCCCTCTGGAACACCCTCATCGTAACCGCCTGCACCAACCCACCTATCCGCCAACTCTCCATCGCCGTCGCCGCCCTCGACCTCGCCATGACCGTGTCCCCATCCGTCCCCGGCGACGTCGACAAGAGCGCCCACCACCAGTACGGGCTCCAGCAATACGGCGAAGCGCTCACGGGGATCCGAGGACTCGTCAACATGGAGGAAGACTCTATGCGTCCGGCGCTCATCAGCGCGTTACTCATATTCTGTTTGGAGAGTTTGCAGGGGAATACCCAAGCTATTACGCACGTGCAGAGCGCGATCGAGATGATCGTGCGGCGGATCTCGCATGAGCCCAGACTATTCTATTTCGGCCGTGTGAGTGCGATGGGTGTGGTCGCCGAGTCGCGGATTGATCAAGAACTACTCACGGCGTTCATGCGTCTCGATCAGCCCTTTCTTTCGCTTTTGACCAGGAAGCGAGGCGTGCAAGTGACTTCAGAACGAATTTTCAATATCTTGTTCGGGACGGAGCATTTGGAGATCCCACGGGGCTTCGCGACGATTGCGGAGGCGAGAGTGTATTTTGAGGATATCAAATGGCGGATCCTGACTGATGCGCAGCCTCCTGAGGAGCTTTCGCGAGCTTGGGATGCGAGAAGTGAGGGGATTGATCAGCTGTCACTGCCGCTGCAGCTTAAACAGTGGTATGAAGTCTCTGGTGTGTTGAAGACGTCGAGTTTAAGTCTGGAGCTCGCTCACTGGCATGATGCATTTTCGCCCATTCTCAACTACGCTATGAGCCCGAACGGTGGCTCATTGTACAGTGCAGCGGTGATTCTTCACATTCAAGGACTCGCCGCTGATCTACTCACCAGCGGTATCTTTGCGAGAAACGAAGGCCCGTCGAGAAGTAGTTCGAGCGACGAACAAACCTCTGACTTTCCAACCGTCAATGCTATTATTGCCATGTCTCGTCGCCTGATCACGCACCCCCAGTTTTCTAGGGATTTTGTTTTTGATGCGGGGATTATACCTGCGCTTGTGGATGTGTGGCTGCTTTGTCCTGCTATGGGCTTGAGGATGGAAGCGATTGAGGTCCTGGAGTCTATGGTACCTAGAAGGGAAGGTTATTGGGACAGTCGAATCGCGGCGGAAGCGGGAAGGAGATACCTAGAGCAAGAGCGAAACTAGAGAGCCGTTAACTTGCCAGATTTGCGTCGCAACAGGAGTGTATATCTATGCACCCTTGGCACTTCCTAAGACATGTTGCCAGGAGGTGTTAGAATTCCTTTCTACTCTGTGTTAATTTAGTTATATTTTGAAACAATTACTTGTATCACTATTCCAAGCTTCCTGAGAGTACGACTGAGCTGTGGTCAACGTGAATAACCCGACAACGATGAATTGTAAACGGAGAGTTAAGGAGATGATCGACAATCAATACGGCAGTCTTGAAGTATCCAACCAAAAGAACTTAACAAAGCGTCTCCGATACATCGATCAAATAGGTTCCAGTAAGACATTAACCACTGAAATGAAGGGAAAATAACCCCAATATAATGAAATGAGGTATGATACGTCACGACTTCGTTGAGACCATAGCGCCATATCATGATGCTATTAGTAACTTATAACACTGAATTAAGCCAGAATAGAAAGACGTGACCATTGCTGCTGTGACTTCCTATTCTCACTGGGGTAGCAGACACAGCTTACATCAATCGAAACAACGAAAGGTAATTTCAATCTTTCAGTCATGGTGCAAATTAATATTTCCACAAAATGCGATTGTTACCCATCCTTATCCCTTTTACTTCTCACCACTCATCCCCCAACTCTCAACCTCACTCAACCCACCGTCACAGTCTGCGTCGCATAAACCGTTGTAATCTTCGTCACCTCAGTCGTAGACGTAGCACCCACACTCGACACAACCGTCGTAACCACGGTCGTAGGTTTCGGAATCTAATTTCAAATCAGCCATATCCCTCTACCCCCAAAAAACACAGAAACAGAATGTATACTCACAGCTACAGTAGTAGTCGTCCCCTTACTCGTCGTCTTCGTGACCGTCGTGCCGGGTACAGGGTTCGTGACGATGCAAGAACAGATATCAGAGAGTGTTTCGGAGGGGATGCCCGAGAAGTAGAAGGGTGGTGGGATGTCGTCGTTTTCGTCACGCTTTCTTGGTTCGGGCGCGGGTTCGGGGCTGGATTTGCATGCCGCCTGTATCATTAGCTCAGCCCTAACACTATAAGGATAGTTGACATACAGGGACGTAATCAGGGCAATCCCTATCAAAGAATAAGAATGGCGATGCGTCGCCGGGTATGATGTTTGTTGAGTTTGAATCCGTGGAGTATAAGTTACATAGTTGAACGTCGGTTGCGTTGCTGACGACCTGGAAACTCTTGCAGTCTTTGTTCTTGAGACAGAGTTGATGGCAGATAACCGGTTCCATGGGCTGTGCAGAGTAGATATTGTTGGTTGCGTAGCCCCATCCTTTTGCTCCGCAGATTTGGCCTGCTACTGGTGTTGGACAGACGCTTCCATCGGTAGGGGTTGGTCCGACACTAGACATGAATTAGAAAGACCCAAAATGGAATGGGTTGCTCTGGCCACTTACACAACGCTAGAGCTTGTAGTTGATGTGGTTGATGTTGAAGTCCTGATATAAAGTGATTAGTAAAATTTCACATTTGTCTTCGTAAAACTCACTTCGACGTGGTAGTTGGTGGTGACGTGATAGGCCTAGGTTCTTATTTAGCACATTTTACCTCAACATTGGGACTGCTGCTTACTTGGATGTGGTTGTGGAAGTAGTAGAGCTTGTGGTTGGCCTACAGATTTCTAGTTAGCTTGTGATCTTTGTTGAATCTCAAGGCAGACTGACTTGGTCGACGTCGAGGTGGTGGAAGGTCTAAATTTTATTAGTAATCTTGAATCCCTTTTCAAAATACTGCTACTAACCTAGTTGTGGTTGTAGTCGTTGTGACGGTAGAAGTCCACGGTTTGGTGGTATACGTAGTCCGGGTAACAGAGCTCGTCGCTGGAACGGTCACAGTGATAACGGTTGTGTAATACGATGTTACTACTCTCGTTGAGGCGACGGTGGTGGGTACATTGACTGTCGCGGTGTTTGTGTAGTATGATGTTCTTATGACGGTTCTTGTAGATCGAATGTACTGCGAACAGAAGCCAACTGGATCGGCATTGATGGGTCTGAAAAATTAGTCTTGTTATGAAATCTCAAATTTTGGTCTTTAAACTTACTCGTTTTCTGGTGGAGGATTGATAGTTCCAGGATCATATTCAAACAGACAGTCTTAAGCAAAAAAAGTCAGTAATCGCATTCTGTTCAATCGCCAGAAGACAGCTCAGGCTTTCATACTCATTGGTGACCCAGGTCCGCTGGGTCCACCGGGATCAAGTACTTGTCGTGCATCCAAAGAAATATCCTGATCAACTGGCACAGCTAGAGCTCCAATGCCGAGGAGGGCAACTCCCAAAGCTACGACCGATCTCATCATGAAGACGTGAGTTTAATACCGTAAGTACGACGCTACAACACGAGATAGAGATCCAGATTTCAAACGCACGAGAGGCAACCAAATATGAAAGCGTACATCGTTAACTATAAAGAAAATGAAAGCCAAGCAATCTGGCTCAATGATACTCTGGCCCCAGGAAAAAAAAAGCCACATGACTAGGAACATATCATACATACCGCTCTACATGTACATTTAGATACCATGAATAGATTTCTCTCGCAAAAACCATTCAAAATTAAAGTACAGCCTGATGTACAACAGGGATGTTTCTATTGATCCAAATTGAATGAAGAAACAATGGACGAGAGCTGGATACCTTATGCATGGTGTGCTTAGGAACCTGCATAGACTATTGACAAAACCAGACTTCTGGTTGAGGTACGAGAATGATATACGATGTTTACGCGAGGAGCTTGCAACCTCGAGCTATCAGGCTGTAGTCGTCAAGAGGCATCCTGGACGTCTCTATTGGAAAACGGTACCGGCTAATTCGAAAAATTGCAGAATTAATTGGGAGCCTGAAATTCTTGATCGGAGGTATATTTGACGGGCCGGCCAGGTAAGAGGAATAGATGCATGTTACCGGGGTGGTAAATGAATGTATCGTGGCATCTCTGCTGGTAGGGTCGCTTTCTTTGGTCCAGCTCGAGCTTCCGACGTCTGCTGGAACTGTGGTCGACGGATTGGTTCTAGAGACCGAAGATCTGGAGACTAATCCAGAGTATTTTTTGATGCTGGCTCCTTTCGGATCTTGTCCATGACGGAATGGGTCGATTCTAGATCCCAAGAGACAGTCGTTCCGTGAGGACAGTTCAAACGGTGGAGATGCCGGTGTCAAAATATTACTGTCGATTGATTGGTGCTGCTACTGGACACTCAAGTTGACCTTAGGCCCGATCATGGTAGCCGAATTAATAAATAGAGCGCAACGTTGTCTTGCTGGAGAGCTCGTTGGTTTGTTGTATAACATGTGTAGAGGAGTTGGGATTGAAGACAGGTGGATCGTGACACAAATCGTGTCGTGCCACCGGAGAATTTTGAATTGCGGACATCGGCCGTCTCGGCGGCCCGCATCGGACCGTCGGACGAGCTTCTTGGCGTTGAGCCCCCTTCTAGCAAGGTCCGTGCAGAGAATACAGTGATTGTCGAGGTGAAAACTGAGCAATTCTATACTCCTTGACTTTCGCTGACCGTTGTAGTCGTACGTTTTAGTCGTCATAAGAGGCCAACGATGCTTTACGGATCCGTGGTGTAGTATGAGAGTACAGGTGTTTCTGCATGATCAAGTTTGAGAAGCAAAGTTATGTCAAGAGAGAAATTAATAATATAAAGCATATATTCGATTTCCCACGGGTATCATTTCCACTTTGCCCTGAACTATTACAATCGCTCTACAATGAAGTCTTTTTATCCCCATTAATACCCTCATGATCCGCACGATTCTTCTCCGCAGCAATCTCCTTTTCAACGGCCATATCAATGTCTTGATTCTCATCCAATATATCATCAATCGTTCTTACGGGGCCAGTAAAGAACGTCTTGCCGCCAAACCCGGGTGCATAGTAGTAGCAAACACAGAACACTAGCACGAAGCCTAAGACTGCAACAGCGTAGTTCATCTCCTGTGGTCCCACATGCTCATATGATGGGAACAGTAATAGGACGAAAATAAACGTCATCCATGCAACAGAGTATGTGGCGGAGATTTTCGAGATGGTATCGCCCATGTAGAAGACGCCAGGAGTGAAGTTGCCGAATGCAAGGCGAGATACAAGTGGCATGCAGTATGCAAAGTAGAGACCCATAATAGCGAGGTTGAAGATGGAGTTGATGGCAATCGTGTTGACGAGCATGAGGAGACCTTCGAGAAGCGATATGAAGGCGCAGAAGCCAACGGCGCGAGCTGGTGTCTTGTTCGAAGAGAGCACGCGGAGAAAACCAGAGAATGGAAGTCCATGATCTGATTGAGAGTCAGTATTGGCACAGCAGAGAAATGACTAATCAGCTTACCTCTTGCGAAAGCAAAGGTCTCGCGACTGGCAGCAACCATCAAGATCGAGCAATTGCAGATACTGCTAAACCACAAGAACACCAACAAAGCGATGCTTCCATTCTTTCCCAGACTGTTGTAAGCAATCTGAGCCATTGGTTGACCCAGACTACTGGTGACTAATGAGATAACATCGGGACCCATGCAGAATGCAATTGTGATGATGACAGCCCAACCAGTCACTGCTGCTACGATCAAACTGCTAACCATAGCAAATGGAACGGCCTTGGCAGCATTTGATGCTTCCTCGGCGATAGTAGCTGAAGACTCGAAGCCCGACACTACCCAAACAGGTGTGAGCAACGACATCATAAATGCCCACCCATTGTTCGTCCAGAATCCAGTGTTTTCGAAATTGGTGAAAACGAAGGCTGCCGAGTTCTTAAGCTCGCTTGGTGTTGCGGCCGCGAGAGATATGATCAGTGCAAGCAGCATGACGAGCTGTACAATGATGTACGTAAAGTTCAGCTTGCTGAGAAGCGAAGAAGATACGCAGGTCATTGCGAATGTGAGACAAATCGTCGCCGTGAACATCCCGTAGTTATGGTATTTCGTAGCTACGAAAGCCCCATCCGTTCCAATACTGCATGTTGCGCCAAGAATAAGCGTCGCGGCGTAGATGGTAGAAGCGTAAATAGAAATGTATCCTAAGACGTTCATGTAACCACTACACTTGAAGTTAGTGCCTGTGCTAGTCAGGAATGAAGAGTACTTACGCAAGCCAGCACATGAAAGCCCGTTGACGCTCCGGTGTAAGTCGAGCTACCCACTGAGTTTGGTCAGTAACACAAAAACTCAATTTTTTGTCACAACTCACATAGTACAATCCGCCCGAAGTTGGCATACTACTTCCTAGTTCTCCCAAGCTGCAGGCAACTGGGATCAATAGCAGACATCCGATCAGATATGTCCATACCATTCCAACACTGCCTCCGCTTCCCAAGGAAAACACAATTGATTCTGCAATTGCAGGCGCAATTCCCATAGCTCCAAAACTCTGTCCGAATACTGTGAAATATGAGAATTCTCGTTTCAGCTCCGCACGATAGCCCAGGGAGGCAAGTAGTTGGTCGTCTGCGCTTATCGCTGTTGATGATCCCTCTTCTACACCTAGGATGTCTTTTGCCTTCGCTACCTTCTCTTCGCGTGTAATGGAACTGGCATTACTGCCCGTAGACACCCCTTCGTGTTGGACAGCCATGGTGATTGCAGATCAGAGATGTATGGAATTGCAACGAAGTCGAGATGTGAGAAGGAAAGGTTGATTGAGCTCTTGATATGCTGCCCCGAGCCTGAAAAATACTCAAGGGTAACAATGGAAAAACGAATTATATCAAATGAAACTCGGGGGGAGCAGGAAGATATATGACGGCTTGAACCACGCGGTCCCCTGTCAGCCTTCCGATAGATGTGAATCTCTGTCCCAACCACCAAGACCCAGTCCATACAGAGCCGTGGTAACTAACCGTTCCATGACCCAGCGAGTGGTCTAATTGCCGACGCAGTATACGAGGAACCAATTGCTTGAGGGTATCACAATCGGAATTCTCCATATGATGCTCGAATGACACTGCGGGCAGGCGAGAGCGCACCGCAGATAAAGCTACAGTTGTCTTTTGCTCGTTCTTTTGTGTCACAACCGTCGACAGCTCCCTCCCATGTAAACACGCACATAGATAAGGTTAAGCGACGGGCACCTTCCTCTGACAGGCCGGTTCCGCCAATGTCTCCTGACTGGTTGCACGGGAGGACTGCTCCACGATAAGGATTGTCTTCAGGGGTAGTGGACATTGTCCCTTCTCCGATGTGGCAGAAGCTTCCTTGGCTAACGCAGGAAAGAAGCTATCGCATAAAAGCAGATGTAATAATGACCATAGGGCTGTGAAGGTATTGGTAACCATATCCTATCAAATGCAACCGCCACTTTGAAGATGCAAGATAAGTAAAAGAACAGTGCAAATGCAGCAAATTTTAGTACATCATTCTTTGAAACAATAGATTTGAAGTCTGGAATCTAGACGAGCACATGAGCTTACAAACGAAAACCTCTGTGGAGATTTGATAGAGACTTCAACGTTGGGGGAAAGCGTTGACAAGAAAGCATTCGGTAAGCGATATTGAGCTTATCCACGCTCACGTGGCAAGTTGATTGGTAGCACGTGACCTATCGAGGGTCTCGACTTTCCTTTTTTCTGAGTGCATCTTCAAACGCATATCAAACTCTTTCAACCCGACACATTCAAGAACGCGTTCCCCAAACAATCGAAGTACGTCCTGATTATTGCCACCGATATTCCAGATGGAGTTTTATCGCCCTACCACATGCTTCCGCACGTGCAAAATAATCCAAACATTCTCGTCAGGTTCTCAGTATCCCGAGAACCAAGATTCTCGATGAGGAACGCTTTAGGTCTTCCTGGACTACGTGAAAAAGGTTCCGATATTTGGGACATTCTAGCTCACTATGCCAGCTGAGTCGAGGAACTGAGATGTTCGGCGCCAGCCATTCAGTTCGAATCTCTTACTCCTGGCTGAGCAGGATTTTCGACAATCGGAATGAGAAGTTCTGTTTGTTCACAATCTGGATGGAGAGCAGACCTGGTCGAATCCTCGCGGTTCTTTTAAACCCCTACTTACCAGAGAGGCAGAGAGAAATTTCTCCATACAGCGACATTTCCAGACATACGATTCAACAACCTTCTTACTTGGATGGGTCAAACATGCGATTACCCCCTTTGCTCAAAAACCACTAAAGATTATTTGTTAAGCTTCGACTAACACACCACCAGCACTTCTTACCCATACCTTGGAGACCAATCATGTCACGTGAGCCTCCCTCTTCCCAGTCCACGGGTGCCAGGAATGGTCTCGATTTTAATACTACATGTCAGTCGCTGAACTCACAATACCTCTAAGCAGGATTTTGACTCCTGTAAGTGTCGCTTCTCTATAAGCAAGATGATTTCGTCACTGTGCCAGACATGCATGTGCGCCGGGCGTATTGTCTCTCCAATTGCATCAGTCTGCAAAAAACAACCAGGACTTAGACTCCCGAATAACAATTGCCCCGGCCATAATCAACCTGTGGCAAGGCTTGTTACACTGCAGAACCAATGTAATTTATGCGCCTTCACTGGCTCGGTTCGTTAAAGCCTCGTCGACTGCCTCGCAGGCTCAGCCACGATCAATATACAGATGATCTCGTCCTCTTCATATATTCCGCACAATCTCTAGTTCATGAACTGTATATTTTAACTCTTTCTTCGAAAAACTTTTAGCCTTGAATGCCATCATAATAGCCATATTTCAATCTAGACTCGTCGTTCAAGCATACGTAAGCCAAAATGCCTGTTACAATGTTTAAGTCGAGCTCTCTGTTAGGACACACTTCGAAAAGTTCTGCTGTAGAGTTAGGTTCACCATCGTCCTCGGAAGACCCAAAACCCAGCAAAATTAGCAACTCTAATGAGAGCGGAGATCAGACTGTACGCATAGAAACATGGTTAAATTGGGGAGACAAACGTATTGATTCTGGGATTTCCGAAGATCGGTATGACTGCGGTCACCAATCACCAGCGAGTAAAAGGTCTTCGAGAAGGGCGAAATTGAAACGGCAGCAGTGTGGCTTCGAGGATTGCAACTGTAGCTTCCAACGATCTGACAATTTGAAAGTCCATCGAGTCCGTAAGGGCCATTTCTTACCAAGTGACCCAAGAGGCATTAGCAGTAGGGCCTCTGAAAAGATCGGTCAGCGGTCGAGTGATACTGTTTCAACCCAACAGATTCGCTCGACAAACACCTCGCAAGGATTCAATATCCAAGAGTCGGAAACACCCACTATGAATCAACATGCGACTTCTTCAGAAACATCTGGTCCATCCGAAAATTCAGTGGAAGAACGCTCCATGGTAAAAAACGTAGTTGCATGGATAGAGCCTACTAGCGACAAATATCGCATCCAAAACCCAGTTACAATACCAGTCACCAACGTACCAGTTGCCAAATCCCATAACGCTGACGAAAAGTCCGAATCAGAGTACAAAGACTTGAGCATTGAATTCACAGACACCGAAGAAGAGGCAAGGTTCCAGCGCGAGATTCAAAGAATACAGAGGTTACACACATCTAAGAGGCTTTCTGGTGGTACGGCAAATGAAACCCCAATCCAGAAGAGTGAACAAGTGAGCACCAGCCGATCACATAGCGATATCGGGGCCCTGAATATTGAGAACATTGCTGCTGGTGCCCCTGATAATAGTATACGTCAAGCAGTACAAGGAGGACAAGCACAATTTGGTGGTCCGGGCAATGAGCCTTGGATGAAGAGCGAATTTGGTCGAATGTTTTCTGTTCTTCTTGGTAGTGCCGGAAATGGGCTCGGATCATCAAATCATGTCCCTACCAGTGCTCAATCGATGAAAACTTCTAACTCTGGTGCGGATGATGCGGATCTGAACAACTTTCTTGATGGTGATATCCCAAAGCTAGCTTGCCCATCGAATGAGGCAAGAGACGAAATACCTCCCAATGTAGAGTCTATCTTCAACACGGACCATGAAATGGACGTACAAGAGAACAAGAACGTTTCTTCTTCTGCATATCCGTCGTGGATGATGGCCGCGTATCACGCTGCAGTTGACTTACTACACGGTCAAACGGAATCATTTAGCGTTCCACAAACGCCTAGCAGATCCGTTTTTGTATGGCAACAAGAAGAGACGAATTCGGCTCTTACTCTGAATGAGGTAATTGGATCCAGACTCACAATTATCAAACCAAGTGAGAAGAATCTCAGGTGTATATATGAGGAATCTGATCTGCCTAGCAACAAGCGAAAGGGAAAAAGGAGTATGTTTGTTCTGGGAGATCCTTCCGACGGTGAAGAAGATTCAGCTGATGACACGACACCATGTCCTGGTGCTGAAGAGACTCTTGCCACAACCCGTGAGGCTTTATCTGATGGTTTTGAGACCCTAGATATGCAAGCCCCTTTTTCGAGCAAAAGGCGAGACTCAGGGACCTGGTCGATAACCTCGCTTGCAGAAAGTGTTTTCTCTTTGGAGTCAGGAATGACCCGGTCTACAGCCTCATCACTCAATACACCGCAAGAATTGATCGAGCGCTTAGTTGGACTGTTTCTAGAAGATAACGATTTTCAGACAAATTGTCTGCGCGCTTTGGATAATATTAGACGAGAGCGATTCGAGCGAAATTTACGAAAGCTGTTGATAATATTCGCTAGTCAGCTGCGAGCAGAAGCCAAATCGGAAAACGAAAGAAACGCCGCGCGTTTTGTGAAACATCGTGCAACGAATTCTGCACATTTGATTTGTAGCAAACTCAACCGGACAGAGAACGTTCGATTCCAAAAGGCAGTTGGAGTTCAAGAGGAGGTTGATGAAGCAGACGATGAGAGCGAGTCTGACAGATCAGAAGGAGATATTGACAACTTGCTTCACCTCGAGACTTTCATCAAAACATCGGCATCATTGATATTTTTGAAAACTGCTTTAGAACTCTACGTCCACAACGTTATTAGCAACGGAATCTCAAACAAGGCCACCACTGGACTTGAGTGCCCTGCAGCCTCACAGGCAGGAATGAATAAAGTGGGAGACAAATTGTCGCTGATGGTATCTAAACTTCCCAATATCCAGCACTACAGAACTCTTCTGGGTATCGAGTCCCAATTAGACCCCGAAAAGAAGCAGGCCATAATTCTTGATGCCCAAAAACAACTCAGAAGCTATTTCAATCTGGATCACAGATCTGATGATCGAGACGATCCCACATTATCGTGGCTAGAAGGTGTCACCCGTAACAGCATAGTGGCTATGCCGACGCAGCAGCACTTCGCTGGCACTGAATTATCGAAGCGAGTTCTTGCATCTGAAGGCTGGAGGAAATGTACATTGCTCCTGGAGCAGCTGGAAATTATCAGGCCCGAATTACAATTTGGGAAAACTAGGATTGAATGGAAATGCGTAAGCCTTCCATCTTGATCGTTGGATTCAGACGAGGACTAATGCTCTATACAGAAATGTGGCCACACCATTTATGATGACTTCACCGAGCTCAAGCCTGGTGCGGCAGAAAGATACAGAAACATGCTTGACAGTTCAAAAATTGCTACAAATGGAGAAAAGTCACATTCAACAGCTACCACCAGGAATTCAATGTCAGGATTCATCCAAGCCGTAGGCAAACTCTGCGGCACGAAAAAGGGACAAGACACTACAACTCTCCCAACACATACTTCAAACTCATCCAGCAGCACCTCGACATGCACTACAGATCCCAAACCCTCACCCTCCCACCATACCGAACCACTCTACCTCCTCCTCTGCTACCCCCCAAGGCCGCTATGCAACCCGCCTCCTCCAACTAGACCTAACCCAAAAAGCCTTCTGCGACAAAACCCTCTTCACTCTCCTCCGCCAAAACTACATCTCCATGCGCGGCAAATACCTCTCCCTCTTCTCCTTCCGCATCCTCCACAGTATCAAATTCGTCCAATTCGATCTCTACAAGAGCTACCTCGTCGACGTACGCAAAGAGAACGTCATCCCCTCCCCAAACAATCTAGAATACCGCTACCTCCCCGCGCCCCCAGAACTCGTCCCGCCGGTGGGCGAAAGACATCTCATGCACCTCTTCGAACACCCTGATCACGCAGAAGACGAGGCGATTTGCTTTGATCGCTTCCCGAAGAAGTTGCGCGAGAAACTAGCGTGTGAGAGGGGCATCAATCCCGGCTGGGGATTGCAGTTTGTAGAGGGTTGGGATGGAAGGAAGGTTTGGGGCGTGGTGTTTGTGATGTTTGGGGTGGGCAGTTTAGTTATTGCGGTTTTGTGGAGTGTATTTGGACATAGTATACAGGATGCTTTTACGATGGCGAGTTATGCTGTTGCGATGGGGATGGTTAGTTTGGGGACTTTGCAGGCTTTTTTGGTAGGTTGATTGAGATGTTTGTGCTTTACAGATTTGGCGGCTTGAATTATTACTCTGGGACTGGTTGTAGTACTTTCGGTCTAAGTGGGAGTGCCTTCGGGATAGGTGGTTTGAATTGTATCGAATACTAAAAGTGGATTTAATAAGTTAACTCCATTCGTCCAACTCCCTGTACGGCACTTTGCAATAGGGATAAGCAATTATAATTTCATAATTATAATATAACGTCAAATCTTATAATTATATAATCCCGTTAAATCTCACTTTCTACATATATAAAACTACACAAAAAGCATGTATAATAAACTCCAATACTTTCATATATACACGTCGTGAAATATCATTTCTCCTTAAATTCGATAGAACGTAGAAAACTTCGATAAAGTGTCTCGGATCATATAGTACTCCAAGTCTTCCGATTAGCACAAAAAGTTCCACCTTAGGTATTCATTTATAATTTAAATTATAGTATCAATGTATCGTGATGATATAAGTCATTGTAATGTTAGTGCAGTATTCCGCATTAGGTAACTAAGGTATATACCTAGAGTAATAAAAGGTTAGTACCTTACCTTTTAGGAGGAGCTCGGGTAAGGTACCCGGAAAAATAAATCGGGTAGGTACTCGAGTTACCTATATATAAAAGTACGCGCTAAGGGATTCCGTGTGGTCCCTTTTTAGGTCACGTTATACCTAAAAAAAAAAGTAGTCGAGGGTAGGTACTAAAAAAAGTTGAACAAGGTAGGTACTAAGGTATACCTTACCTTTCGCGGTATACTACGTTAGTGGCGTGATATAAAATAGCCCTCCCTGCTTGCTTTACAATATCGCGAGACAAGCCAAGAAAATCACTATCCTATCAATACCCATCAAACCATTATACCCCGTCCCTAAACCCTACGCCGCTCCTCGATTCGAATAATCTCAAACTCTCAAACAATCTAAGCACTCAAACAATCTAACCATCCTCACTAACAAGATCTAACCCACAACCTACACTCAAACACACACACCCCCATATCTATCATCCGACCTAATCCATATCACCCAAAAGACCCCAGATTTGAGCGCTATATCTCTTTTCGGCTTTTTCGAGCGGGGTTTAAAGCAACACCTCGGCCACATTGAATTCACTTCCCCAATAGCTTAATATTATTCTACACTCAATTAGTACCCATGTCTTAAAGGTTGAACGTTAGCTTGGATCAGTGGTTAGACCAAGGGTCTTTATTTCTATAGTAGTGTATACCCTTTGAAAGTTCAACCCAGGACGTGAGATGCGAAACCGTATATGTTGGGTGAGTAGCACATCATTGGAATTCTGAGGTCTAAGAAGTGACGTTGAGAGGAGATGGTAGAAAGCTGGGGGGTGGGATTGAGTGGGGTGTTTATGGGTAGTTGGTACGAATCATAGATGGGCGTTCGGTAGATGGTGTCGAGTTCGTAGGTATCGTCGCTAAGTAATGTTCACAAAAGAAGGTCTACAAATCTGCAAAGGCATTAAAATATTCATATCGATGTCTCTAAATCCACCGCCACGGCCACGGCTACTAAATAATACCCCCTATCACCACATCCGAAACAAATCCTGCTCCACCACAAATAAAATCTCAATCCACGCACAACTAATCGTATCCAATAAGTAATTCATAAATCCGCTCACCATGCCAACGAAGAGGTGTATCCCAACTCCTATATCAGAAAAAAGCTGGTATGAACCATATATCGCGTCCCAAACCCCCCCCCCAAAAGACGCCCGTAACCAAATCCCTTAACCAGGCAGCCAAACCTGGACACCATTCTCAGTACAAATCGAACTCATCCCCTATAAGCAGGTTTCTTCGCCATATTAACCGCTGGCGGAGGTCCATCGTCTGCAGGATATGGTAATGACACCCGATTCCTGCTCGCTGAGGAAATGGCATCAGGGATCGGTGTCTTGGGCGGTAGAGGCGGCGGTTCCACTCTGCCTGATTGTTGCAATTGAGAGATAATTGGGGGTTTTGGCGCTTCGTCGGCGCTCATGATGGCGATCTTGTCGTTGCCGGAGTAGTTGTGGTATTCTCCCGGTGTAGGGCTGTAGACGGTGAACTTGTCGCCAGGTTCGCTGACGATACTGGCTTGTGATAGCCTAGACTGATGGTATTTTGGAGATCCATGAGAACGCCCATAACTTTCTTGAGAAACTCGTGGTGGAGTTGATGTATTTGCGTTAGGAACTTCTAACGCATCATTTCTACCGGACTCGTAAGATGGCCGCAATGGCGGGGTTCGTTGTGGCATGATTGGAATGTCAGCCAGCATTTCAACTGCTCCAGGATATGCTTCGGGGACGTCAGGTAAATCTTTATATACGCCAGCTGCACCGGCTCCACTTGCGCCAACGGTAAGGGAAGCAGCACCTTCGTTTTCGAATCTTGCCTTTGCACGATGAATTTTCGCCATTTTTACAGCAGCTGCTCCAGTCATTTGCTGGACATGGCTCTTGGACAGATACCTCCTGGTATTCGTGCTGATATCTGCGAGACGATTCCACTCATTCATGCCAAATTCTCCTACACCAATCTCGACATTAAGGCGATAGTAATTTTCGACATTCACGCCCCGCTTGCCGAGTCCTTCTCGAACCATATATTGATGTGTTTCCTCGCATCCTTCGATTTTGGCAATCAACCTTCGACGAGCTTCCGCAAAATCTCCTAAAAATCCTTCATACCAGAGATGTGAATTTTGATCGCTACCGGATGGTCGCTTGCCGGTTCCAATGCTAACAACTAAGCCGACGTCTCGACCAGGCCACTCGTTCACACAGGCTTCATCCAGTGCAACCGGTGTGGGATTGAAATGTCCTGCGCCCTCATCAATGAACACCGATTGGCCAATCTGGATTGGTTTGAACGCCAATCCCGTTGCTGAGGTTGCACGGCCGGCTTCCCAAATTTTACAATCAAACTCTGGGGAAGGTTCTTTCCGTGAATCGTAAGACCGGAGTACTGCAGCAGGACTGCCCTTGGCGGAGCCTTTGTACATAGCAGTAACAGCGCTTCCAATGTTAGTCGAGTATTGCCAATGATGGATACATACTTACGTCTTGGTTCTATTCTCTCTATTGTCATAAAGTAGAGCATTCGGGTTCCCCCAGCGCATCGCCATCATCGGTCGATTTGGGTAACTCGAGGGCCCTTTTGCGCTGAAACTTGCAACGCTCGCATTGCTAACATGTCGCTGAGGGGCGTTGGCGGGGTTATATGGACTCTTTCTCGCATCCTCTGCTTCTTTTCCATCATTTCCTTCGTACTCAAATATTGTATGTTCTCTCACACACTCCTTGATCGCCTCTTCCAATTTCGACGCCTTGAATAAGGTGGAACGGTACGGTATTCCGGCGATCGTCTTGTCTGTCTCAAACACCTTCCTCGTCATGCGCACATATACCTCTTTGCAGGTCTCCAGGTCCAGGCGCAGCCTTCCCAACATCAACGCAATGAGACCTCCTGTGCCAGTTCCGATAATGAGGTCGAAGTGGTCGCATGGCTTCGGTATTTGGTTTCGCTTTGGCGCCTTTCCTTCTGTCTCGACATAAACTCTGTGCATAAGCTCCTGAATAATGATGAATATGGAGTAACCACGCACGCCGCCTCCGTCTGCGCCATATTAGCCCAACCCTTAGAATGCAAATCGACAGCCTTGTACTCACCTAGCGACAGTATGCGAAGTGGCGGGCCTTTCGTGGTATCTTTGCGCCTCATGACGCCGCTCTTGGAGGTTTCCATGGTGTTGTAGGTGTTGAAGGTTTCCTGGACGGTATTTTCAGGTAAAGGGTTAAGAGTGCTGCCCCGCGACTGCGATCTCTTTTGAGACGCTGAGGCAGCTAGAAACTTAAGCCGCGCCGTTTTGGTATGCTGCTAACAGCTAGCTGACCGATGCTGGATGACTGTGTTTGCGCGCCAGCATGGAAGGGGAAGTGAATAGTGGAGTATAAGGCGCGTCAGCGAGTGAATCCGAGGCAAGAATCGCTGCCGTATACGAGAGTAAATTGCAATCTATCTCGGTGCTTTTCCTAGAAAGTTTGCTATGATGCGATGTCCGAAAACATGTGGGTGTGGTGTGCACGTCAGATGAAGTTGTGGAGGACGACAAGGTTAATGGGGGATGCGGAAGGCGGTTAGAAGCCTGAACGCAGCCCGACGAGGCGAGTGGAAGGTCGAAAGGGGGGTGCGGGCGTGAGGTCACTCGGTAAGTCGTTGGAAGCTGCTGCAGAACACCACTTGTTTACGCCTTGAAGCAAACACGATAACTACAGCAGCCGAGTCAATATCAACAAAAGATCTCCGATTTACAACTACATCAAACACGTACTTGACTGTCCTGCAGAAGCACACGGCTACCAACAGCATGATTGTACGCCCACTTCCCCTCTTTTCGTTTGTTGTCTTTTTATCCGCCATGAATTCATACCAAGACGCGTTACCAAGTCTTGATTCTCTCTCTCCCTTGGCACCACCCAAAGAACAATTGAATTTCATGGAAAGAGCTTCAAAAGCTCTCCAAAAGCCTGTCTAATTGGATACGAAATCATTACCCCTCCAAGAAATGACGTTCGGCATTCAGGGGAATGTTTCATTTCCGTCGTTCCTGTGGCTGTGCTCTCCAGGATTATTTATAGATATCGAGATCTCCATCGATAATTGACAGTGTCGCACGGGAGATCTCGAAATCCACTTTTCTCTTTTTAGATAACCTTGAAAATATTCGGACCTCTGTGCTATCCGACGAACGTCTTCATGCGCACTCAATTTGCGTGGCGACAGTCCGTTGTGTGGCAATTATGGTAAGTAAACAGCTCTTTTCAAAATGTGATGTACTAAGAGTTGCGTTTAAGGAAAATCTGTAGACTAGGATCAAGTATCTTCGACGAACCCCATCGCATCAATCTCCTCGAAAGCCTCGCTAAGGGAGTACCTATATCTAAGAGGTGCGCCACATGGCTTTCTTCCGCAAGACCATAGCTTGAAAGCAGGAATGTTAGGAGTGATTGCCGGAGAGAAAGGTCCTGATCAAATTATCAGATCTCAAGAGCGCTATTTTCCTGGTCTGATATCTGCTTACCCGCTCGAAAATTGCCCAGTTTGCAAGTACATGCGGAAGCTCATTAAGATCAACATCAGGTGAAGCCTCACATCCGCCTCACTCCTTTCTTGAGAGATATGCTCGTCTCAAACCGTTACTTGGCTAAGAGGCACTACCAATCTAACCTCATACAACACCTCCGAGTTATTTCTTCACTTACGTTCATCTTTACCATTCTTTTGTTACTAGACATCCTCTCATATCTTCCACAACTTAGCGGTTGATGTTGCTCACTTATGTACTATTCCTTGCGTTAAGCTCCCGATAAATCCTTCAATTTCAGAACCACAGCAACTCCCATCTTCCCCACGGAATAAGGGTCCAATTATCTCCCAATTCAAACTCAAAAATGCTGATAATACATTCCGTCTCTTTTCCTTCGTTAATATCTCACAACCAGAAACGAAGGTTGAAATGCTGAGTGCAGACATCTTTTTACTTCATGTTTGGATGTCTTCAGGTCAGCTTGTTTTATCGACGCCTTATGTGGTCCTCGATTTGGAAATTTGGTGTACAATCTTCACTCGGATTAATATGAATTTAAAATAAATCTTCGTCGATATCACTAAACAAAGTCAGAGAGAAAAGAAGCGAGTTAAGAGAATAGCGAGACTATGTTGGTCTACTCTATAGAGCTTTGTATACAATATTAGTATAGACCACGAATATCAAGAAAAGTCAATTAATATTCTCCGTAATAGTACTCATGGAACGTCACGTGCCAGGTCCAGGCCCCAACTCAGCTGGTAACAACTTCTCAGCTCTCCAATCTCACCACAAATTTCTGGGCATGGCTTGAGTCTGTCCACTCAGAAACCACCAAAACGCACATAAGTCTCACTATGCCCTTCGGCAAGCCTCCAACAAAGTCATTGGTTCGTTTTACGATTTTTCAGCCGTGCCCGCCCTTGAGCAGTTGATAAGTCATGTTTGTCTTTTTGGAACGACAGTCCATGCTGTTTTTCATGTCCGAGAAGATGCAGGAACCATGTGCGTCGAGGAAAAAGAGTAAGAAGTTTGTGGAGGGAAGGTTGAAATTGAGTACGTCGTGTACGGAATGTCATAAGAGGAAAGAAAGGTAAGGCTCGTTCGCGAGATGTCTCTTCGAATGCATTTTTCGTGTGCAGAATGTGTGGAAATCGTGGCTAATGCAATTTAGTGTGACCACCAGCAGCCGTGTAGGCATTGTTCGAGGAGGTATCCGGCTCCTGAATGTGTTTATCGGAAAAGTGAGTTCATTCGTATAAACAGCAGAGATAACTTACATAAGTTCTAGAACCAGACGTGTCGAGTGCACGGAACAGTGTTTTCAAAGATCAAGGAGGAATTGATACGAGAGCAGTTGATAAGAGCACTCCAGACGTCGTGGCCTCACAGCTGGTTTTCGAGAAGGAGTCTGTTCGTGATGACTTCCCACAGAGCGTCAATTCCTGCGTAAAGTCGGTTGGTGTTTTGAAGACTGCAGATCTAGTCGATGATGTGGCGCCGATTATATCACCGTTTTCCTATCAAGATCTTCTCATGGATATGGTAACAAGTACTGGAACTGGAAGCACTGTCACACCAAGTCTATGTTCAAGTACTACCAACAATCGACATGACAGGAAACCATTGCTTGAGGGCTACAAAACACAGAAAGAGACTCGAAGTAGCCAATTAGCAATTTGTGGAAAGCCGGGACGTCTCGGTACTAACATGGTAGATCCGTTGCATTTCTTACCTATCGCAGCGAACTGGCAGAATGCACAACTATTCCACGGTTGTAAGTAGTGCTGTTAATTCTTATGTAGGTCACTCAATACTTATGTGTAGACTGACCAAACGCAGTCATCAAAATCATTGCCAAACACGTTTCCTCAATCGACGGAAAACCTCACCCAAATTATTACAACGATCACTGGCTACCATGGGATATGAAAGTTCCTATAATAGCTCAAGTTGCTCTTTTCAACACAAGCTACTATCAAGCAGAACTTCAAAAAATACCACCAAGTCAATCGCCTGTTGTCATATCAAAGAAAGTCAAGACCATTAACAATTTGAACGTCATGCTGAGGAACCATAATACTAGTACACTGGATGAAGTCCTCGGAGCAGTGGTTTATCTGACGACGAATGAGTGGTATTTCGGTACCGAGGAGAACGTTCAAGGTCATATCAGAGGATTGCTAGAGTTGGTCAGGTTGCGAAGTGGTTATTGATGGGTCGCTGCATCATTTTCTGCGGCAAATGATTATTTTGTGAGTACCAATGACTGCGTAAGATCACAATTTTCAGCGTGGGTGGCTGACCATTTTAGATGTGATTACAATATCTCGAGCTCAAACAACTGCAGTCCAAAATTTGTACATCAAGTTACTGAACTGGCTTCAATTCCAATCACTCTAGATTCGCCACTTCTCAGCTCGTCTCAGCAATTTAAGGATTGTGTCGGTGAGCTGCTTATATCCAGAGAAACAGCGCAAATACTGGACGACATTCGTTGTATCATGTCCTCAATTCTTGACCTCCCAGACAGCCGTTCGCCAACGTATGCTCAAAGTTATGCAAAGCTACGCGCCGCATCCGACTGGTCACTTTCTCGAATGTCTTCACTACCTGAATCAATCTTGATATTCAGAAGTCAAGCAACCAAAAACGATAATATCTAGAGCTCCATCCGCTACGCAGTACTGACATACCTCAAAGCGATTTCAGCGCGTGTTTCACTATCTCAAGCCTGCCAAGGTCCAAAAATGAGACTATTGTTTGGAACCATGTGGAAAGTAACGTTAACTGAATGGCGTCATATCCCTGGTATTTTCATCTGGATTGTGTTGGCTACGATTGAAGCTGCAAGATACGCTCCACAAGGAAGATTACTTTAAAGTATGCTTAAAACAGCGAGTTTCCATCTTGCGGCCTGTGGGGATAATGGGTGGGAGATTGTGGATGTGATGTTGGATAGAATTGCGAGGTTGCAGAGGTGGTTGAGGAGAGAGGAGGTTGGGTTGCCAGTTGAGGGATATAGTGAGTTCGAACAGTACTAACATTACTACCAGATAGACTGGCCATCCTGATTGGAACAACATCTCGTAATCAACTAACTTCTTTATTACGCACACAAAACATACCGCCAACCTCACATCTAGAATCGTCCTAACTAGTCGGTCGACACTTATTCGCAGCACAATACCCACTACAGCAATTCAAATAATAACATCCACCCACCCCACCACCACACCACTGACAAGACGCTATAGCACGAATCAGCTTCATACCCCCAGAAACATACTCCACTCCCTCAACCACAGCTTCAAAAATAAAATTAACTCACCATAAACAGGCAAACACGTCCCAGGCGGCGCAGGCGTCGGACGACACGAAACCGCAATAATAGGCTGTGGCGGCCCAATCTGCACCGTAGCACCGAGTCGGGTGCCTGACACGGCGTTATACCCCGTGGTGTAGAAATTACAGTAAGTCCAGGCGTCGAAGGTGGATGTGTCGATTTGATTTACGGAGAGTGCATTATCTATAAAAGGGTATTAGATCTGGAATATAGATGAGGGAAAGAAATTTGAATGAATGAAGAGTGAAGGGGATTAGGAAGGGAGAGCGGAGATATACTCGTATTATAACTATTCCCATCCGCCCTCATATCAAGCGTATAGATATTCGGACCGCCATGAAAAAAGAATGTTAGGGGCAGGTACTCGGTGAAGGGTTCTGCGCGGGGTGTTACGGCGGTGAGGACCGTCAGGGGGAATGCGAGGAGATGGAGGAGCTTCATTTTTTGTTTGCTTTTTTCTCGATGTTAAATTTGTAAAAGTGTGAAGATGCAGTCTTATAGCACGATACGGACCCACGTTCCCCCGGCATCGTGCAGGATAACGCATGTGCTGCATGAGCTGAAAAATATTCGCTTGTGGGGTTGTATAACACCAGAATGCGTATGGTCAGGTGGTGTTGGGATACGAGGATCATGAGATTTGGAGATTGGCTTGGAATTGTTGCAGTAACTTGTTTTCTCGTATAGCTAGGTACGTTCATTCGTTATATGAAAAGCCTAGCTGTGTGTTACCTCGTATTGTGGTTTTCGTATGTGGGTGTTCTGGGGACAGAACTTGGTAAGGCTGAAAATGTCCGAGTTTGTGCATATTCTCTGCATTTGTAGATGTGCCAAGATGTAAGCTACATGAAAGAAGTGTGACCGAGTTGTGTTGGGGTGCGAGTAGATTGCTTGGTTGGGTGATTGAACGGGTTGTTTGTATCATATGTTTTCGCTGGCTCTTTGGAAGAGGTAGCGCTGGATTGAATGTTGAATGTGATGTGGATGAGTATCAGTCAATTATCACATATTTACATGTAGAGTAAAAAAACTTGTGTAAAAGCTTGTGGGAAATGCATATTCCTCCGAGGAGTTAACTTTAATTACACAAACAAGGTTGGGTGGCAAGAGACATGAAATTAGAATCTAAGCAAACTTGAAGAGCTGATGGAGCGATTGAGGAATATATAATCATTTACTGATGCAAAACTAAGTAATTTATCTAAAAGCCAAAGGCTGCTGAAAGTTGTCATTCGACGCACCAGTGATGTACGACATCAGGCGCTTAGAGGGACATAGTATGTTTTGCGATTTGTTACTTGTCTCCCCAAGCGAAGTAACACTGAGTCTACTATAATGATGGGATGTAGATCAAGTGACTTTGATCGTACAACGGTATTCTTTCAAGGTCGATGATGGGCTCGAAGTCCGAGACGAGAAGGGTAATCTTCAATGTTGAACACCGGTACTTCAGACCAAATTTTTTTTTCCAACGGCGCCAGGATTCCTTTGGCCATAGAGAAGTACCACTGAGGATAAGGACGATCCCACTCGTATGGAGAGGACCAAAGATGTCTCAGCACCATACTCAGGTCAGATATTAATATCTTTGCCTCGAGGTGTTGAGGGTCAGGAATCGGCCAAAGATTGAATGGGTTCAAATTTTCTTCAAGCTTTTCCCTGATAAGATCTCTGTCTTTCTTTTTGGTTAGATCATCACGGAAGACGGAGTCAAGACCTGCGACGAAGTCTCGTAAGACAACCATGGCGGAATTAACCTTCTGTTGTTGAGAAACCAAAGACGACTCTATTGAATTTAGCAAAGCAGCACTTAAAAGTAGACAGCAGAATATACCAAGAAATGGATATGGAATTGGGAGAAGCCCGATAATTGGAATTCCATATACGTCTTTGAGCTCTTCTAGTTCCTTGATACTGATCGATCCGTAAAAATCAGTGGCAGCGTCTTTGAACATGTCGGGTATTTTGAACACATAAGCGATGCGAAGCCAATAAAGACATTGCGGTCCCTTTTGCAAATCGCCTAGTTCAGCCTTATGCCGAAGTATGCCAAGGCATGTTTGTTCGTCGACGTACTGTTGCGCCTTTACAGATCTGGCCCAATTTGTGGCAAGCTCACGCGTGCAGTCAAAAAACCCATACTTGTCCACAGCGACTGCGAAAGAAGCGAGGAACTCAACATGACTTTCTTCTGGCCTCAAAGAGACGTTCCTGCCGTGCATGATGCTCAGTATCTTATCGAAAACCAGAGGATCGTCATAAAGTAATGGAATCTCGACCGTGCCACTTTCCCTTAACGTTATGCTCTCAAGCATGTGGAATTAAACATCTTCTCAAAGTAAGAAGAGTTCTGCGCGAGCAGCTTTGACGAAGTAATGTATGTGATGTCATCTTGTCGTACTTTCTTTTTGTCGGGATTTTCAAGACGTAATCTATCTATTCGTGTCTCAATGTATTGTAGAAGTGTACTCCTATCCCAAAGATCCGGATTTATCACGGCGGTAGATTCGGATTCACCTATGCTAGAAGATTATTAGAATGTTTCAGTAGTAGAAGAGGCGGAGTGGAACTTAAATGCCAGATTGTTCATTAGAATAGGTCCGATTACGAGAAGAATAATCTTCCTTCCGAGCGTCTCGTGGGTCACATGCCCAAAGAAATGTAACAGTTCCTACCGATTTGTCTACTGAGTCAAACTTGTCTGGGTCAAAGGTGACTATGTCGTGTTTTTCACTAAGGTCGAGGTGAATGTTGCCTGATATCTGCTTGGGTTTATTAAATCTGAGTACGATGTCTGCTTCAGAGCAGAAGATTTTTGGATCCCTATCAGTCGGTTGATTTACGACCATGACAGCTCGTCCTATGGGCTGCAGGGGCGCCTGGATGAAACAAGAAGTCAATGGGGTTTAGATAATAAAGACGGTAACAAATTGACAGAGATAGGCGATGAAGAGGACCGGAAACACTAAAGTTGAAAAGAGACTAAGATTTTGCCCTCAGTATGAAATTCTGCATTGAATATATACAATTTTCTGTTACCAATTAGAGCTTTTATAGCAACTGAATGACTGAAGCAACACTAGCATTGACGGCAATCTACTCATTTGGTATGAAAATAGTCATGCAATGGTGGCGTTGACTGATTTCAGGTAACTAGCAAGTAGGACGAGCAACAAGCTGGTTTTTGAAAGCAATCAGTCAGCATTGAAAGAATGGAAATCAACATTCTTGTTTGCGATGCAAGGCTTGCTGTTTCGCTACTTATTAATTGGTCAAATTTGGTAAATCAATCAGATACGAGTAGGACTTACTAATTGATCATGACCATTCCGATTCGAACTGCCTCAATAATACCGTCGATGACTTAACCAATATCATTCAAGACTTAAGTACAGAAACTCAGGCTGCTAGAGAAAGTTTGCGTATTCCACAGAAATCAGGGAAGCGAACCTTTCGCCAGCGTCATAGTCGACAAACTCAAGTGGAAAGTCGACCAATATGAATCCGGTCGAGCTCTATGTTGATGTGGGCTTTTAAGAATGATTCTCAGGAAGACTCTTCCAAGTGGTTCGACAACAGCTCAGCTTGTCTTTCTGACTCTTATAGGCCCAGTGACATTCTCAAGGCCATCGCCCAGATCACCTTCAAGGACAGAACCTTTCTGTAAAACTTCCACTTCACCTCGACTTCTCATTTCTGATACCAGTATTCTTATATCCGACATGGATTCTCGCCAGGAGGAAAATCCGCTGCTTGCAAGCTCCTGTCTATTCAAGGCTCGCGCGACTTCTGATGGACAAATTGTTTTTGGCAGTTCTCGTGACTCCAATAGACGATCAAGATGGCCTTGTAGAACATTGCGTTTGGTCGCTTCCTGGTTGACTTCCGACATAGCAATTACTGTTGGTTTGTTCTTCAACAACAATTTGAAGCAGCTGACTATATTTGTGCTCAATTTCTGTCGTGCTGTAGAGGTGTTCAATGTTCGAAAACAGGGCAAACAAGGTGTCGATGACTTGGTGATGTGGTCTTCTGATCCTAAATCACGCAGGAGATTGTGTTCAGACCAGAATATCCAACTTGAAATTGAGACTCCAATCTGATGGAAGGTCGAAAAGTTGAGGATGTTTATCATTGGGTTTCCAACGACTACGCCTACGTAATGCCGGTCAATCTCCGATTCGGGCCGAAAATGGATTGACAATGGTTGCATTTAAGTAATGTCTCCTGGTATATTTCGTGCCTTTCGCACATTTTCTATCGTATTAGCATGTTGAAGTTAAGTTAATTCAAACGTTTCGAGATATATGATATAGTAAATTGACCTGAATTGTGCTTTGAAGTTACTGGTCTTGATTTGAAAAGCTACACTCTTTCTGTACCTTTCGTACCAGTTTAAAAATCGACCAAAGGAGATTTTACTAGCTAGGAGCTTTGCATCAAATCAAGTTAAAGCTCTGCAAAATCTCCCCAAAAGGGCATGTAAAAAAAAAATCACAGCTGTCTTACCCATTTGTTGAAAAAATGTCTGTCATAATGAGACATCGGATTCGGTCCTGCAAGGAGGTCTCGCACAGCGGTGGGAACCAGTATATTCTGGGGACCATAAATAAGAATTATCTTCCCGTGTGTCTCGCAAGTGATTCTTTATTAAATCATTTCTTGAGTCCAGGTTTCGAGATTTGCAACATGTGGTACAACAAAGTGTCTTCATGTTTCGTTCTGGTTGTAATGCGCGTTGTCCAGGTATGTTCCATCCAGCTCCGAGTTCCAAAACTTCAAGTGTTGACATGTTCGCAGGCTTCTGTCTGCATTACCATTATCGGACTGACTGGGGCTTGTATCGCCCGTATTCCGGAGACTGAAACAGCAACTCCTCGCTTCCTCATTACTATCGAATGTATGTTCATCAATACAGCGTACCATTTTACTTGGCTAATGCGTTGTAGGGTCTGCATGCGTCACCCTCGTTGTAGTCCTCGGCTTCCTCATTCCACCATCACGAGCTTACTTAAAGGCACAAGTTTACATGGAAGCACTAGCCGATATTCTGTGGACGACCATGTGGATGATCCATTGTGTATTTTTGCTCAACGTAAGCGATTGAAGCCCTCAATACTTTTAGATCCGTAGCTTATGCTTCCTAGTTTATTGACACTCCGGACTGCATAGAGACGAGGAGTGCTATTGACAGTACCTGTTTGATCTTAAAAGTCAACCTCGGCTTTTGCCTCCTTCTTGGGCTATCACTCTTTGGCAGCATCATCCTTGTAAGTTATATCAGAAATATTTGCGAGCTTTCGAGCGAGATGCTAATCACTGATGAAAGGTTTTCTATGTAGTGTATCGTCGGAAGTATCCTCACAGTAACACTAATCCAGACGAGCAGCGCTGGTACAACTTTAGGAATTGAATTTGGGTCGCTCAGATGCATTGAATGTCAAAAAGAATGCGAGAGGGGCTAAATAGTCAGTATTTGATTATATTCTGTGTGAGAAGTGGAGAAACGAGTGTGGTCTAAAAGCAAGCAAGAGACCTAAAAAAAAAGGTATCATTTTTGGATTAGCTGAATTTCTAGTCTACTTCCTGACATCTCAAACTGTATTGAGAGAATGATACAACACTTTATAGTACTTTCCTCTCTTCCGGCTCGCCTATTAAATTCTGTTCTGTTCGTCTCACATTACCTGCTCACGTGCAGGTGCATGATTTGCAGCTTCGTGCAATTTAGATAAAACTCTCAGAAACTGCGGAACTCGAAGAAAGCTTGTATCTCCAAAGAATGTCCTTCGAATCGGAAAAATCGTCTTCTTCATGGCAATTATATTTCGTATAAAGTGATGAAAAAATATTTATGCTCAAATAAGCGAGCTATAAAAGCAACGAGCCCGAAGAAGTCATTCACCAGCGTCGCATCCATCCAGCATCGTAGCTCCAATCTTTACCACTTTCCACAGCCCAGAAGTCTATTTATTATCTTCGATTGCAAATAATCTTAGTCGTTGTTACTGTTTACTCCGTGGACTTAAGAGTGGGATCGTTCCCGAACCCCACTCCTGGATTAACATTGGCATGCAGACTACATAACGCTTGTGGCGGGAATACTACACCTAAATAAGTAGTCGTAAGAAACCTATCACCATTGACCAGTGTCTTCGGTAGGCTATCCAGTGAGTGGGTCATTGCGATGACAATGCATTTTATATTTCATGATTTTGACTCATTGTAATTCAATATTCCTAAGAGGATCGTTTCCCACTATCTTCGAGGCTGGGAGGAGAATACTTTCACATTGAAAGGTAATCAATATGGCCTTACAAGCTTCCGTCGATTTCAAGAAGATGGCTGTTGACTGGTGGGGATATGTGCTGCTTGCTTGTCTTCTTATTGTAGTAGCTACGATAAGATGGAGATCGAAGTCCGCAACCATCAGTCGGGACGTCAACAGTGTCGTAGATAAGAAGAAGTTCGTTGCTGATGTACAAACGGCTACCATCGTTCCTCGAAATAACTTCAAATGGCAGGAGACAAAGCCTCTCCAACTACGAACCTTCAAACCCAAATACCACCTGACAATGTGTAAGTAGCACTTCTTACCGAGGAAAGTCTTACTAAGTCTAGATCTAGCCATAGAATCAACCACGATCTCGGAACTCGTTGAAATGGACTCGACTTATCTCGACCGAATCAATCTCCGGAGAAAAATCATGCAAGAGAATCCAAGCATTGCACTTGGTGCAACTGACAGAATTTCAGCAGCCGTCAATGAATTCTACGTCTGGATATTTGGGACGTACCTTCCCACTCGCTATCCAAAAATGTTTGTCCTTCACCCTACAAGCGTTGAGAATTTGGTCAACAAAGAACATATTCCTCGAACTCCGCCAACGTCTTCACTTGAGGCTTTGAAAATCATGGGAAGTCATATTGACCACGATTTTCTTTTCATGCTTCCCTCAGAAGACGGCGAAGGATATATACTCGAAGGTTTTGTAGTATGCTTCCCAAGTGGATTCGATACCAGCAAAAAGTGCGGGATGACACTCCGAGAAATTCACGGTCCGGTGCCGAATTATAAAGAGAAGTTAGCACTTAGCATGGATCGATTCTTTGACAGGCTGGAAGTGGGCAAGGTTGTGAAGAGAGCCAATGTACGTTTTCTTTCAGAGAAAGCTGACAAGAAGCTAAATGACCTCTCAGTGGACAATCACAACAACAGACGAGCTTTTCAAGCCCGGCGGAACACATCTGTATGAAGGCGAAGAAGCAGAACCCGAAGATGTGGACATATCCCGGGTCAGTGTCTATCTGTCAACGAGTCCTACAGTCTTACTGACAACTCAACTCTCTAGACAAGTCTCCGATGCGAACGTCAACTTCTTCATCGTTTACCCACCAGCAAAGCAATTGTCTTCTCCTTCGAGACTTATCTGTATCCTATTCAGCAACTACGAGACGAGGGATCGGGCGATGATTTGGCAAATGCTATTGAGGGATTGGCAGGAGGAAGTGTACCTGCGTTTCACACCTATAAGCGAGCTGGAGTTTGGGGTGACGCCGTGAAAGCCTTTTTGAGGAATGATTAATTATTGAGGGTGTATGGGCAATGTCCAATTAAGGTTCCGTTGTTGCTGATCTAGTGCAATACACTTAATTGATTCCCCTTCCAAAATGACAACTTTCATAATGTCCTTGAGGTGAGATGCCGGGATTGCGATCATGCGATGAGATAGTCGTATTAGACCATGCCTCCGGAGAAAGACTGCGATAATTTTTAGGTATATCGAGGGGTCAGAATGGTTAATAAAACAACTGAATTATAATCCTGATTGTTTCTTTGATGACACTTAGCATATTTTCAAGGTGCATCCAAAGATCGGAATCGGTGTGATTCAAACCGACGATTACAAGTAACAAGATGTATACAGCTTAAGCATAGCGAACGGTAGGACTAATGGCAGATTAGCACATAAATAAGAACAAGACGGCAAGGAGGAAACGTTCTACTATAATTGAATTCTATACGCCCCAACCTAATTTCCAAAATCATTACCTATAACTCGTCCTTGGCTGGTTGCTTTACGGGGCCTTCCGGCCGCCCGCTATCTTTCTGTAAATCAACGCCATTCTTCTTTCTCCACTTCTCCCATAGTGCCCAAAAGTCTTTCTCCATTCCCTTTTCCATTTCATCTGGTAATACTATAGTATACTCTACTAATAAGTCGCCAAACTCTGTTGTATGATATTCGCTGTCGCCATCTTCGTGCCACTTGGGCATACCTTCCCCTTTGACCCGCTCGACATGTCCTGGCTGCACAACCGACCCGCGAGGGCGATTGAGAGCGACAATATGACCGTCCATATGCGTAAGATTTCGTGTCCAGCCTCCCATCCATGCTTCTCTCAGTGACAGAATTTCATGCCAGTAAAGATCGTCCCCTTTGCGTCGGAAGAAGGTCCCGTCAACTCTCAGCTCGTTGTCCTCGTCCAAGCTTGGTTCCTTCTCTGACAAGGTAACATGCAGGTCTCCAGCAACATAATCTGGACTCTCGTCTGCGTCGTTTTCGTACTTGATTCTCTGTCCTTTCGGCGCTCCTCTATCAATGACCAAGGTAAAGGTGTTGACCTTTCTGACGACCCTAGAACCCGCGCAGACAGGACATTTATGCTTTATAGTCTTGCCCTGTCCACCACAAACGTCACAATTCACTTGAACCTGTTGAAATATGCCTGGAGCAAGCATGTGCTTTTGAATCTTAACACCGTGCCCACCACAACTGGCGCAGGTGTCAACCTTGCCATCAGCACTTCCGCTTCCCTCGCACTCTTCACAGATCTGTTGCTTCTCAAGCTGGAACTCCGTCGTGTGTCCATTATAAATATCACGTAGCGGAACCCCAACCCGGACTTCCATGTCCGGTCCACGTCGCTGTCCATGTTGATGGCCAAAATGTCCACCCCCACCAAAGAATCGAGAAAAGACATCAAAAGGATCGTGGCCCCCTCCACCCCCGCCACCTTGCTGACGCTGCTTCAGACCTTCGTGTCCATACTGGTCGTACACCTTTCGCGATTGGGGATCAGAAAGCGCTTCGTAGGCTTCGGCAACTTCAACGAACTTTTGCTTAGCTGTTGCATTCCCACTAAATATCTATTAGTACTTTGTGTCACATCATACCAAGATTTAACGTACGGATTCTTGTCAGGATGATATTTCTTGCTAAGTTTCCGGTATGCGCTTTTGATATCCCTCTCTGAAGCCGACTTATCTATGCCCAGGAGCTGTTGCCCGTTAATACATCGATTGACGTGAACGGATCTATTCCAAGAGTGGAGCATTACCTTATAAAAATCCTCTGCACACGAAGCCAATTGCAACATGCACAGCAGTAGGAAGCCTGCAGAAGGGAGTCTCATAATTGCGCTGGAAATGCGCTCGATGCGCTAGTAAAAGAAAAGTCTAAGGAAGACCTGTCGTTCAATGGTGATCGAGCATATGCACTAAATGAATGACTGCGCAATAAAATCTACGACAATGAAAAAGTGAGCTTGCTCTGTGTAGAGGTTGTTATGTCTTAAGTGGCTTCTAAAGATACCACGCTGTTCTGATAATCTAGCTAGATTGCAGGGATGGAATTATTCCGCCTGAGCAAAGAGACCACGAGTGCAGCGTGAATGTCTCTCCTCAGACACCAAGCTAGCTTAGCTACCTGAACATGAATCCGAACTCTCTGCATCTACATTCCGGAAAATGATCCGCTGAAGCCGCTTTCAATGTTAGGGTTTTGAGTGACAAACGCGTCTTTCTTCTATATAATAATCATTACTGGTTTTCGTCCTCGTTAGACTGAGCATTCGCAATGGGTGCCGCGAAAAAGTATGCCCTCCTACCCATGGAAGATGACGAGGTTGGGCCAGCCAAAGTAGTCGAGAAGAAGGAACGGCGTCGGCATAGGGACAAGCATTCTTCGTCGAGGCACGATAAACGCAGCGAGCGCAGCCGGGAACGCTCACCCCGCAGGGAATCGGAGCATCGATCAAAGACGATTCGAAAACGAGAAGCGACTGACGCAAACTTCGAAGATCGATGGGGCGACGAGGAATATGTTTCCGAGGAGGAAGAGCCAGAATTTGTAGAGTCGGCCTCTAAGCGCATCAAAACGAGCCACACGGATGAAGAGGAAGATATCTCGGACACGGAAAGGGAGCGAAGGAAAGATCAAGAGGAGAAAGATGCCTTCGCGAAGAGACTGCACTCAAAAGATAAAGACAGGACGAAGAAACTCGTGGAGGATAGGTCGTCGACCAAGGAGGGGAACATCTTGGCCCAGCGACGGGCCCTTGCCGAAGATGCTGCTGCGAGAAGTGCTGCGCTTCCCGATCTGCGAGAGAGGTCACGGCAGGAATACTTGAAGAAGCGGGAAGCAGAACGGCTGGCGCTATTAAGAAAGCAGGTTGCGGAGGAGACCGAGGAGCTGCGCAGTGGTGCAAGGTTATCCGAGAAGGAGAAGGCAGAATTTGCTAAAAACAGGGAGGTTTTGCGAATTGCCGAAGAACGATTGCGAATCGACGACCACCTAGATGGATATGCTATGCCAGATGATTATATTACGGAGAAAGGGAAGATTGATAGGAAAAAGAAGGAAGAGGCAATGTACAAAAGATATGTCGACAAGGACGAATACGGCCAAGAGAAGTTCGTAACAGAACATGAGGAGTGGGAGAGGGAGCAGGCATCTAAAGCCAAGGCGCAGATCCAGAGCAACGAAAGGCTAGACCAAGGAGAATACGACTATGTGCTGGACGAAGAGCAGGGGATCAAATGGGTTATGGACTCGACACAAGCTGGTGTGGGCAAGGGTATCAGCAAAGAAGAGGCCTTCCTAGCAGAACAGCTGAAAGCGGCAGAGAAGAAAGCTCTTTCAATGGAGGAAACCCGCAAAAGTCTCCCAATCTACGCCTACAGAGAACAGTTTCTGGCCGCCTTAGCTGAATATCAGGTCCTAGTCATCGTTGGGGAAACTGGTAGTGGAAAAACGACTCAGTTACCTCAATATCTGCACGAGGCAGGCTACACAAAAGGCGGACTAAAAGTTGGTTGTACACAACCTCGTAGGGTTGCTGCGATGTCCGTTGCTGCGCGTGTTGCCGATGAGATGGGTGTGAAAGTAGGCAACGAGGTTGGCTATTCGATTCGGTTCGAAGACTCTACCAGTGATAAGACTGTTCTTAAATATATGACAGATGGCATGTTATTAAGAGAATTCATGACAGAGCCCGATTTAGGCGGCTACTCTGCTCTGATGATTGATGAGGCTCACGAAAGGACAGTCCACACTGATATTTTACTGGCTCTCGTGAAAGATCTTGCCCGCGAGAGACCCGAGATGAAATTATTGATCTCTTCTGCTACCATGGATGCGAAAGGCTTTGCGACCTACTTTGATGACGCACCAATTTTCAACATTCCTGGCCGGAGATATCCGGTAGACATTCATTATACACCACAACCCGAAGCAAATTATCTAGCTGCTGCAATCACTACTGTCTTTCAGATCCACACATCACAAGGGAAAGGTGACATCTTGGTGTTCTTGACGGGACAAGACGAAATTGAAGCAGCTGAGCAAAACATCACTGAAATATCGCGGAAACTCGGTAGTCGCGTACCAGAGTTGGTCATTTGTCCCATTTACGCCAACCTTCCATCTGAATTACAAAGCAAGATCTTTGAACCGACACCTAACGGAGCACGAAAGGTCGTTCTGGCGACCAACATCGCCGAGACTAGTTTGACAATTGATGGTATTGTTTATGTTATTGATCCGGGTTTTGTAAAAGAAAACAACTACAACCCAGCTACGGGTATGTCAAAGTTGGTTGCAGTACCTTGCTCTCGGGCTTCTGCCAATCAGAGAAGTGGTCGCGCTGGTCGTGTTGGTCCAGGGAAATGCTTCCGGCTCTATACCAAATGGGCCTTCATGAATGAGATGGAGGACAATACCACACCAGAAATCCAGCGGACCAATCTCAATGGTGTTGTGCTGCTTCTGAAGTCACTAGGAATTAACGATTTACTGGAATTCGAGTTTATGAACCCGCCTCCTACCGAAACATTAATCGGTGCATTGAATCAATTGTTTGCGCTCCAGGCTTTGAATCACCAGGGCGAACTGACCAAACTAGGACGACAAATGGCAGAGTTTCCTACCGATCCGATGCTTGCTAAGGCAATCCTTGCAGCAGACAAACTTGGGTGTGTCGAGGAGGTTCTGTCTATTGTCTCTATGCTGAGCGAATCAGCGGCACTGTTCTTCAGACCAAAGGATAAAAAGATACATGCTGATAGTGCTCGTGCCCGATTTACTGTGAAAGAAGGCGGTGATCATCTCACTTTGCTCAACATCTGGAATCAGTGGGTGGATAGCGACTTTAGCTTTGTCTGGGCAAAAGAGAACTTTTTGCAACAGCGTTCTCTGACTCGGGCTCGAGATGTTCGTGATCAGCTAGCGAAGCTTTGCGAGCGCGTTGAGGTCACTCTTTCCACTGTTGGCCAGGCCGATCTCGTGCCAATCCAAAAAGCTATTACCGCTGGCTTCTTTCCGAATGCAGCAAGACTTCAAAGAGGAGGGGACAGCTATCGCACTGTGAAAAACAATACGACTGTCTATATTCATCCATCGTCTGTCGTGATGGACAATAATCCTCCTGTTAAGATGGTCATCTACTACGAACTGGTTCAGACAACCAAGGAATACATGAGAAGTTGTCTGCCAATAAAACCAGAGTGGCTTCATGAGGCAGCACCACATTTTCATAAGAAAAAGGATTTGGAGGCGCTTGAAGATCGGAAAATGCCAAAAGCCAGAATGTAATTATCTTCCTATCAGACATAGTTCAGGCTTATCAATAATATCCAAGACTGAGGACGGAACATGATTGCAGTGCACCGATGGTGTTTTCCGCGGTCGTACATGCAGATATGGACACTTATACCCATAGCTTGCCATGCACCGACAATGTTGTTGTGAATTTTTTGAGATTGACTTGAGGGAGCCACCGGTAACATAATCACGTGTCGCGATTCGCAAGGAACAAAATTGTTAGGGACGCACCATTTCGTCAGCGTCATACTCCGATTATATAGGGCGGTTTAGTTGCCTTCGTCTGACAACTCCAACAACGAAATATAGAGTAGGGGTTTGATCCATGCCATGATCTTGCGGGTGTGGCTTGTAGAATCTAAGATTGGAGCGAAGGCTTACGCAGATAGACAATACTCCGCCACAAGGTTACGGCACGGTTTGATGCAAAACACTCGAACATTCTAAGTACCGAGATGTTGGAGACGATCGATTTGTCGGTTCAAAGCTGCATGCCGCCATCTGTGATGGGGCTCTAGTCTTCTCGTCAAATCAATCCGTCCAAGATGTTGTTGTTTCGATTGAGCCCCGCCTCTCACGATGCCAGCTCAGCTACCACAATGAGATACCCGCTCACGAATCCTACTGTTGTACCAAGACTTCCGCAATCGATTCCTAAAAGGAACAGTGTCATGCAAACTGTATTTGTCGAATCGCGGTCAACTTCTTGTGGTGACGCGCGACGTGACCAGATCCTCATCGCAGCAATGTCGTAAAAATATGTTAGCGGAGGACGCGGTCATGCACATTTCTTGAAATGCGCGACTTCCTTCATGAGATTGTTGCCAGCCCATTTATTGATAGTTTATACCAAGTCGCATGTTCCAAATGTCAAATGTTTTCCTTACTCTCGAAAACCAATTTTCCACCACCATAGCCTACAGGCTCAACGTCCCAGGAAATTCGAAATGCATATTTCCACAGCAATTATGAACATGGTGCTTCTGCTTCTCATCGGACAGGCTTCTGCAAGAAAAATAAAACTCTTCGGCAGAGAACATCAGCAAAAGATTCTGCCTCCTCCAATTACACGTCACGTTATTCAACACACCTCTACCACGATGCCTACAATTAAAGCTACCCCAACACCTCATCAGCCGCTTGTGAGACGAAAGCCAGAGAATCACCAAAGACTTGACGACGTTATTATGCTGGAGGGTTGAAACCTGGATGATAAGTGTCACGGAGTGGTATTCATTAGTGGTGTAATTATCCTAGCATGGCAAACTGAGGCGGGAATATCTTAAATGAGATTCGAGACTATCGATACATAGCGACAGGACCCTCGCATCTGTCGAGGAGTCGCTTGTTATTCTGATCCCACCAATCGTTGGGAATAGCACAGCGAAGTTCACAATGTCACATTGAGCAATTGAACGCCAAGTCAAAATCTTGGTCTACCGCTGGAATTCGAAGCGAAAATTGAAAGGAAGTCTAGGGAGACATGAATTATTCTGTTTGATCAACAGGAAAGAATGTTGACTACGGAGTGCAGTTACGCCTAGCTATCTCTCATAGGACGAAGTAGGAAGGAGAATGAGGGTGGCCGACCGACACAAAAGAGTCATCCCGGTGAAAGTTTCGGTGTATATTACGCGAAGTACTTTTCTGAACATGTAAATATTCGTCTAGCATGGTGTCCAGAAAATTCAAAAGGGGCATAACGAAATGCCCAATCAAAAGCCAAGTGCAAATCGGAAATGAACTGTTTTTCTGTTCTCCCTTGGTCGTGAGTGAAATTAAAAGATCTTTTTTACTTCCAATCTTTCCAGGCATTACATATCAGCTTACCCTCAATCTCCACGTCGATTCAACCACTTGCCTAATTCGGTCATAAGTCTGCTCTTATGAAGCAAGTTCTAGTTTGATGCCTCAGGCCAAAAGACACCTTCAACCTCCTCTTTCCATCCCTCCGCAAATCAAGTTCGCAGCAATGATTATCAACCATATCCAATCCTCCCCAGAATACTTCCTTCCATGCGATGATCTCCTTACTAGCTCACTAGCATTGAAGGAGGATCTCTGGGGCCGGTGTGGGATAGCACCAACTTTATTCTGTCGTAACGAGCAAGTAGTTCACGCGACCAAATTAGCAGGGCATGCCGAGAAGTAATTCCACCTCTAAAAGTGTTGAAACAGGGACTAACTCTCGGTAGTGATTGATGTTCTGCAAAATCTCTCGGTGTCGGTAGCATCGTCTATGGTGATTTCGGTCTATCCCTGCGCGAGACCGAGGCTCATCTCGTTCACCCAAGTATCAATTCAAGGAGATTTATCCTCACGCTGAACATGATGTTCAAGAACTTGGCTGAAACCGGACAAGCTTTCAGGGTCCTTACGCTCCCCGCTTTCCCCGGACTTTGTTCCTCATCGACCTTTTTCGCCTGTTTACTCAAGGGTAAACTCATTTACAGCCGGCGATAGAATAAGTCGTGCGGGGGAACTGTTCTTTCTGCATGTTGTCCTTGAAAATTTCCGGAGATTTTCAACAAGCCCTCATATGGTGTCTTGTTTTATCTTTCATAGGTGCGCGTCGAGAACATATTCTGTTTCGCTGATATATCTTCCGGCACCTATATATTCCGGGCTCATTCCTGAAGCTCACAGGTAGGCGATTTGATTTTGCCCTGTCTTTTGTTACAGTTTCTGTGTTCTCTTCCTTGAAATGATGTTTTTGTCAGCCTTTCTGTTCGGCCTTTTCGCCTTAGGTACTGAAGCCGTCAAATTAACAACAACAGATGCAGCTTATACTGTGGACGCGGAATCCGCCAACCCATTCACATTCACAGTTAAGAGAAGTAGCTGCGATGTAACTTCTATAAAATATCTTGGCAGCGAGGCCCAGTATCAAAGCCAGGCTTCTCATATTTCGTCAGGTCTGGGGACAGCAACCGTCAGTGCGACAAGCATTACCTGTAAGTTTAGGAGTGGAAGGGTTTGAAATAGACAGAAAGACTAGCAATACACGCTCAGCTCTCCAATTGCTTTTTTTGAAAATTGATAGCTAACATCAAGTAGATGGCGGGACGCAGTATGTGAAAATTACTTGTGTAACATCAACTTTGACACATTACTACGTTATTCGCGATGGAGACAGTACAATGCATATGGCTACATATATCACAGCAGGTAAGCTTGATCCTTCCAGCGTGATTTTTCTATGCCAATTTGAGCCTGACATTCATTATAGAACCATCTATTGGTGAGCTCCGCTGGATCGGAAGATTAAACGCTGCCCTTCTACCCAATGACGATGTGAATCAAGCTTCAGCTATTGGAGGTAGCACGTCGACTGTGGAAGGCTCTGATGTTTTCGTTGTTGGAGGTCAAACACGAAGCAAATTTTACTCCAGTCAACGGTTTATCGATGATAAAGTACATTGCGTCTCCGGAAGCACTATGAAAGCTTGTATGGTAATTCCAGGTACAGCTTATGAAAGCAGTTCTGGAGGTCCATTCATGCGAGACATCGATGCCAATCCTACGGGAGGATACACGGGACTGTACTGGTATATGAATTCAGGCCATGTCAAGACAGAAGCTTGGAGAACAGGACTCAACGGCCCTTATGCCTGTGTCTTCTCGCGATCAGGAACACCTTCTGCTAATCTCGATACTTCTTTCTGGGCTGGAATGAGTGTATCGGGGTATGTTCCTACTTCTGGTCGAGGGTACGTAAGTGGAAAAGCAAGCGGAATCGCTGGGGCCACTTACCCGATCGTCGTACACTGGTTCAACAGTGCAGCACAGTACTGGACTTACGCCGACTCGTCGACAAGCAACTTCGCATCACCAGCAATGAAGCCTGGGACGTACACCATGGTGCTCTATCAAGATGAACTGAAAGTTGCAACAGTAACGGGCGTTGTGGTAACAGCTGGCGCAACAGCCACCAAAAACATCGCCTCTACGTGGACTACTCCCGCATCAACACTCTTTCAAATCGGAGATTGGGATGGACAGCCAACTGGTTTCCGCAATGCAGCCAATCAACTTCGCATGCATCCGTCTGACTCACGTATGGCTCCTTGGGGTCCTCTTACTTACACAGTTGGATCGTCCGCGCTCACGGACTTTCCCATGGCAGCTTTTAAGGGCGTCAACGACCCTGTCACTATCAAATTTACTTTGACCGCCGCCCAGGCATCCGATGCAGCTACGTTAAGAATTGGCACGACTCTTAGCTTCGCTGGTGGTAGACCTTCTGTCGTTGTCAATGGCAAGGCTGGCACTGTACCTGCAGCGCCTACTTCGATTGACTCTCGAGGTGTTACTCGAGGTGCGTATCGAGGCTATGGCAATATATATGATTACCCAGTCGCGAAGGGTGGACTAGTGACAGGGTCCAACACGATCACGATCAGTGTGGCCTCGGGGTCCAGCGGCGATATGTACTTGTCACCTAACTTCGTAAGTCCGAAATGTTAACCTTATGATATCGCCTAACAAGTCCCACAGATCTTTGATGCAGTTCACTTGTTCAGATAGAACTTCTCGAAAATTTCTTCATACACCAGCGTTCCCGATATCGATGCCACGGGAATGCTCTATCATCCTTTCTCGATGATTTTGCCCTTGGACAATACAATTTGTCAGACAGATCCTGGACCAATTGAGGGACGTTGGTCTCGGCGGATCACGCTCGTTGCTATCCTCGATTGATATTGGCTTAAGCGAGGCAAACGTGGAAGGACGTTGTGCCGCCTGTCTACGTTACAGGTTAGCGCAAATCTAGCGTGCTCCGAGCAATATAAATATTCTTCACCACTCTCCTGCACTTCTTGATGTTCTTTTCCTAGTTTACACTATTACGCTGCAGTTTCTACCCCGGGTCAGATTTTCAAACATGTCTGATACGATCAAGGATGTTTCCGTTCGTCTTCTCTTCCCCATTTATTTTATGATGGTTGCAGGTACATATATACCACGCACCATTGTTTCCTTGATCTCGAGCGGACAATTCGGAACATTGTGCTCGCCGTCCGCATTCAAAGATGCTGTCAGTATCCTTCATTCATTTGATAACCCCTTCGCACTTCAAGCGTTTCGTTCGATTGTAGTCGTGTATTGCTTCCAGTTTTCTAACATTATGACACCAGTGGTTCGCACGATTCTGGGGAGTTTATGGTCCCCTTATTCGCCAAAACAACAGCACCGTCGTCGCCCCCCTGATCGATCAAGCACGCGGTATTGTGCTTGACATCGGTCCCGGATCAGGAGAATGGCTGTCTTTATTCAACAAGGAGAATGTCACAAAGATTTATGGTGTGGAGCCAAACGTCGACCACCACCCTCGTCTGAGGGAAAAGATCGTGCAGGCAGGGCTGCAAGACAAATATGTCATTATCCCTGTCGGCATCGAAGATTTGGGCGAAGGGTGGGTGCAAAAAGGGTCTGTAGACTCTGTGGTCACTGTTCTGTGCCTCTGTTCAATTCCGACGCCAGAGTACGTGATTAGTGAGTTGTATCAATATATGAGGGAAGGTGGTATTTGGATCATCTACGAGCACGTCAAGACCAAGGAGGGTGCGCTAATGACTACCTATCAATGTGAGCTTCTCTTCTCAATTCATCAGTTCTGATAGTCTTGTACTGACGCGCTCAAAGCCTTGCTGAATTTGGCTTGGCCACATTTTCTTGGGGGCTGCTCCATCACGAGAGATACCGTGAAGTCTCTTAAAAGCGCAGGGCCTTGGAGTCAAGTTAACATCCCACCACTTGTTGGGCCAAAATATCAGGTAATTCCTCACGCGGGGGGAGTGCTAGTAAAGTGAACGCGGTGGGCATGGTTACCTACAACCAGGGTTGAGAACGGACAGGGTCGAAGGATATGTGGGAATCAGGGTTTCTTTTTTCAATTTTCGATTTTGAATACTCGCACACCGTCTTTACTGGATACTTCTATAGTTAGATTGAATTCTAACAACGTTTTATACACTTTATGTCGGTCTACCAAGGTGATATTCGTTCAACTTTTCTTGGTATGTGGTTGGAGATAATGATGCCTGAGGCTAAACATTTACTAAATGATACCGAGCTTCACCACAATCAGATTTTGTCCCAATTAACCACATTCACAATATCCCGACAGAATCCTGAAAAAAAGCAATCACGATTCGATGTCTTTCAGGGAGCTTGAAGATAATCATTTCCATCCCAATCCGCATCCATGATGGCACATACAGAGTCCTCAATCCCTACGAGTGTCGAACCCACACCACCACCAGCTCCCAATCCACACACATTGACGATGCTTCCTCGTCTCGAGGACGACGAGGATAGTCAAGAGTGGGAGTATGAATATTCTGCCACTGAAACTGAGGTTAGCTCGCTAATTGACTGTGTTTACGTCCACTCAGACTAATCTGTTGTTACCAGAGCTACTATGTGACTCTCGATCTTACCATTCCAGAACTCACAAAATCGTCAGGGAGACGGCGCAATAAATCAGAACAAGCGGATGCAGCAAGCGCATACCCACAAGCAGAGGAGGATCCAGACTTCCAGCCGACCGCTGATCCAGATGAAGTAGACCCACCAGAGAATCTGGCATCGGAAATTCAGATTGTGGAATTCCATAGCGAAAATCCTCTCGTATCTTACTGTGGGCAGTTATACTCCTGTCGATGGGCGGAAAATATCGGCACAGAAATCTTCTTCATGAAAAACATCCCAAAGGATAATGTCAGCAGGATACAAATTCTTCCTGGCGGAGTAAATGTCCTCGGCACAAGTTCTGTACGATTGGACTCGACACCGATAACAGCAGAACCCAAAACGCAGGCTAACCCTGCCGGACGAAACGGTTCGAAGACTCGATCCCTCAGGAGGGAGGATCTTGCGATTGACGTTGGCCCACGAGCATCTCAGGGTCGGATTCAACAGGCAAAGTTCCTGGAGGACTTGATAAAAGCCAAGGAAAAGAGAGGAGAGACAGATCTTGTCACGGTTCATGTAGAGAAGAGATACACAAACCTTGAATGGAAGAAAGAGGTTTTGCGGCAGAGGAAAGAACAAAGGGTCAAGTTACAATCTATTCTCGAAGGAGATGATGAGCAGGCGAAGGAAAACGCCAGAAAAGAGGTAGCAGAATTAGATGAGGAAGAACGACGTATTCCCCTTCTGGATGTCGAGACTGCAGGAGATGATTCTAAGGAGTTGGGACAGCCTGTCAAGAAACGACAAAAACTGGCGCAGTCAGCTCCGAGGAGAACTAGGTCATCGGTAGCTACGGTTGGAAAGCAATCAGAAGGGTTCTCAAATGAAAGCAGCAGGACTCCCACCCCATACCGCCAATTACTTCCGGCTCCGGTTGCGTCTACCTCTCCTAGCATCGTTTCGCGATCTTCTACGCCACAACAAGCAATCTCTTCATCCTCAAGAACATCGGTAGCTGAAGGGAATCGGGCTACTGCCGGCATGCCGAACGTTCCCTCGAACGAGGAGACTGGAGTTGCTGTCTATGGAAATAACACGGCCCAGGCGGAAACAACGGCTGGCGACGCGTCAACCAATGCACAACCTTGAGCCGATGACAGTACTAGAAAACTACGCATTTCATTCTCTGAAAGCAATCGAGGTTTAATCAACAAATTGTGAGCTTATCAACTCATGGTTATTAGCCAAATAGAGAAGTATATTGCAAACGCATACAGCTCGCTACAATCATTTCTGACAAAGTTGCTATATTAGACTAACTTCTCCGTCGCTGTGCTATACTTGAGCAACAGCGAATAAACTCCTGATTTACGTCAATTTCTAGACTTTGCCTAGGTCAGATAAGGATACAATTTCAATAGCAACGGGCAAGTTCTCGGTTGTTGGCCCAGAAGTGGTGCCTGGCGTTCTATATCAGCTCTTTAAGTCTTGCCTGGCTTTGAGAATGATCAGCTTACTGTTCCACCAAAGTATGGACCATGTATCATTTTTCTGGTGATACTGATCCGGATCTGCCATCCACTCTCCGTGCCCAATCCCGCTGCCCATTATCCATCTTCCATCGTCGTCTCTTTGAACATCAAACTTCCATTTCGCAGCGTTGTATGCTGAGGGCCAAGGCGTACCCAAATATCCTGTCTGCGCATGTGCTTTGTCAACAGCATACATTTGCATCGTCAGCGGATCGATATCCCACATATGGCCACGAATACCGAGTATGATGAGTTGTGTAGTGGCATTCATGAGCTGAGTCTCGTTGAGAAGGCCAGTGGTGGAAAAGATCCACGGCGAAGAGCCATATACTTTCGAATCGCCATCAATGTACAATCCTATGCCATCACTGTTATCCGTCAGAACCAATGATCCGTCGATAGATTCATCCGAGGCGACAATGCGGAGCACGTAAGGGGGTTCGAGTTCGTCGCTCAACATTTGTGCACTCAACAACACCAGCCTGAGCGCAAAAACAGCTGCACTGGAGCATTTCAAAATATGCCTCATGATGTTACTCTTGCAAGATCAATCGGTTTGTTTTCTATCTCTGAGGACGTTTACAGACATTTAAACTATTCTATTCGACCTTACGAGAGGGGTCAGCTCTGAAGTAGCCGAGATGCTTTCATGAGTATTCAGCCTCTTCAGAACCCGAGACTCGGGTTGAATGGAGATGATTTATGTGCTACCATCACTGCTTCCGATCCAGTGGGCCTGCTTTGCTGAGAAAGATGTAGTCAATTGTCCGTCTACCTTCCACCTTATGTCCTTTTGACTTTGGCTATCTTCCCCACATAATTGGAGTCAAAGACAGTCGGCGCATCATAACGTGAGGGTTATTGCCTTGTGGCAATAGCATAATCATAATTCAAGTATCACGCACGGTGAGAAATGGTGCGGCTCTGCGGGGTGACGAATTCGAAACAAGGCGCTTCTCGGCATTACGGTCCATGATTTTATCCAGTCCGATCCTCGCTCATTTGCTCGCATTTCTGTCGTCCATTTTCAGCTGAAAGATTTGGCAGGGCTGCATGTCAATACTTCTGCCAAGATATATTTCGGGCTGTCTGAGAACGCCACCGGTGATTGCCAGCCATACAAAAGAAAAAAGCAAGACACCATTGGCTTGATGGAATACGATGTGCGGAATTGAGAAGTTGACAAAGCTGTTGCTGTCTCCACTCAGCGCTGGGTGATTATAAGTCGATTTTTCGCTGTGTCTCTTGCCGGCACTTTTTGCAAAGTCGTTCATGAAGTCTGTGACCCGTTTTGCGGTATCTCGTCAAAATGCTTTCAACGTCGTCTCCATTTATTGATTCTAGCTTTTCCGTCTATCATAATGCTATCAAAGCCCTTATCTTTGGAGCGTCGCAATTCTTGCTCGCACTTAGTGTTTTCAAAACGTTCAGCTTGTTCGCTTCAAGGGGGAATCATTTTGCCTCATACCTGATGTTCATGGAAGATCCTATCCAAAAGCTGTATTTCGTCATCTCCAAAGGATTTTCGAGGGGAACTCTCATTGTGTTCTGCTTTACCTTGACCTATGTTGCCGCCAGTTTGTACGGTACGTTGTTGTGGGGTCTGGATGCGCCTGGATATGTTATGCGAAGCCAGCGGATACCTGCCTCGAACCGCAATGGCTCGCTGCTCGAATATCCCGGATATATATCGTACTTAGATATTCGACCAAACAAGATGTCGACACTCGAACAGGAGTTACCCACTGTCATTGGCGCAAACCTCTATAAGCCTGGGGTCAACTTCTCGCTGACTCCCGATGTAAACCGAGGGCGGGCAGAATATATACCTCCAGTCTTCGATGGTATCGGCGGACGAATATGGCTAGATGAGGATGGTCTGTCTGTGACAACGGATCAATATGTCATGTTAATCCCCAGTACTGACAGTAACGGCAATTCGACTGGTCCCGATTGTTCGCCTTCCGTTATCAACGCTACGGTGAGCTCTGCTCAGTATTGGAATTGTACATTCAACAATACCTATGTGAACGATCTTCTCACGGCGACCATGGGACAACCAGAGGTCCACTGGGACACTGCGTCTGATGATAAACTAGACTCCAAATACATCAAACCAGACCGAAAGAGAAACATTTGGGCATCTTTTGGCCAAGGTGGTGGTACAGTTATGATGAAGCAGATGTTCACCATAACCAAAGGGACACGGAGGCACACTTTTATTGAAACTTCGGCACGATACACGCTCTTGACCATACCTGGCGTCCCCTTTGCAGAAAATGAGGTGGAAGACTTTCTAATACGAACATGGAGTAATAATGCGACAGAACGAGCCACTCCCCAGCCTTTGCTTACGCGACTTAAAAAGTCTCTCATGAAGGTACAAGACCTGGGGAAAAGTCACCAATTCGGTGTGATTGACGGATCAAATACGACCACTACCCAAGTAATGTGGCAGCTGCTGGTTCCTGAGGATAACCTTGGTAATCCGATATACTCATTACTTCGAATTGCAGTGACCAATATCACTTTGATAAGATCCGAGACCATAGCCAAAGCTCCTACGGCCTTCGCACCTTGCGACACTACGTTCATGAACCTCGCTTATGGGGGTGTGATAGAAAGTACGGATTGCGCAGTTTCAACCAGGAACCAACCAATGCGTCTCTTCGGCACAGTCGACACTTCTGCGGTTCTCGTCGTCTACGGCCTTGGTGACGGGCGCTCTAACCTCAGCTCTGTGGCCCTAGACGAAAATGCAATTCAATGGTCAGCTAATCACTCCGATGCAATGGACAACCTCCTCATCGCTCGCGGATTCATCGCTAGTATCGACCCCTCACTTGTCACCCTCATAGTCAGCGTCCTCCGTCCGGCAATGTCGTACCTTCAGATGTTTCTCGTCCTCATCTCGATACTATTTGCCATAATCAGTCAAATTGCTTTACGATCTCTCGCAACTTCGCATTGGTCGAACTCGCTGCTTGCGAATGTGCTTGGTCCGTTGGAGGGCGAGGATAAGCGCGATCCGGGGTATATCAAGAAGGTGCCGGACATCAAATTGCAAGATACGAATACTGGGCCGGTTATCACGGTCCATGGTGCTAGTTTCAGACTGGATAATGGGCTTGGGAGGACTTCGGGGATGCAAAGCGATATGGAAAAGCATGCTGTGATGGTGCAGACTGATCCTATGAATGCGGAGGCGCAGTCGTTTTTGAGATATGGGCCTTAGTGCGGCTGTGGAGATCGTTCAAGTGTTCGATGGTAGGTTTTATTCGTTCACATAATTGATAGGGAGTCTTAAGGGGTTGGTTCAATATCGGTAAGAGTGTGTCAACAAAGTTATTGGGGCATTTAATGGAGTCAGGCGGCGTTGGAAATGAATACAGACGAATCAAGTCATTCTCTGTGATAGCAGAACTACAACCGAGAAGTCCGATTGAAATCTCTATATTTAAACTGCCTTCTTAAATCGATCTTCCAGATAGCAAGCAGGCTCGAAATGTTGCTACTTCTAAGCGAGCAAAGACATTGTGAGAAGTACGCTCTCCAATCTAGGGTATATCTCTACAAAAAGACCATTCTAGTTTGCTCAAATTCATTTATACAAAATTTCCAATTTCATTTCAAGTCGTTCCCTATCGATAGTCATCAAGGCCGTCTGTGTCCTGAGAGCAGTCGCGTCCAAAATGGCCAAAGCTCCCACATCGGTTGCACAAATTATGACAGTACACCCACAAGTGGTTTTCTCCACAGAAACCACACTTCACCGGTTCACTGTTTTTGCCAGATTCAAGGGCGATCTGTTTGGTTCGTTTCTGTCTTTCAAGTTCCAAAAGGCGCTGTCTCTCCCGTTCCATAGCACGCTCCTCGATTACTTTCCTTATAGGTTCTGCGAAATCGTAAGGAACATCGCGACCATGATTAAACTGAAAGAAACTCGTGTCATAGTCATAGGTGGTTCCATACTCAATACCGTCGTCAGCCTCAAACCTCAATACTCTCAGAACCTTCAGACTCGGAATCTTTATAATTGATCGCTCGAGGAGCATGGTCACGGCGTCTTCCATGGTCTTAGGTCTCCATGGAGGCAACTCCTCGTCTCTAAACTGGTGATCCTCAAGCGGATATATGGTCAACGTACTGATATTCTGACAGAATCGTTTCAGAAATGGTGTGTAAAGGCGCAGGCTCCGAATGAGATCATCATCGCAGTGATGTTCTCTTCTAGGATGACAGGTGTGGATTTTCACAGTACCATAGAAAGCCAGATGCTTGATAAGAGCGGCATTGCGCGGTCCGATCGTGTAAATGAATCGTAGGAAGTCATCGTGATAGATCCATCCACGAAGTGATGTGATGTAAACGTGGCGGTCGATTTGAGAAAGTCCCTCCTTTATTTCGTTCCGCCATTCGTCGGGCCCTGGCTTGAATGGAGGTGGTCGATATACTTCTCCTCCAAAAATTGAAGGGTCGACGCCACATTGCTGTCGCATTAAGAAGAAGAACTTATTTCCACCGTACAATACTTCCGACCCCAGTTTGTGGAATATTTTGCAGGTTCGCAAAAAGCTGGCGTCGATCTCCGGTCGCTTGAGCTTTCTTAGCAGTTCATAGGGACCATTTTTGTCCCTGCAATCGATTCTTAGTATCTCGGAGGGTCCTCCATCGTACCCAGTGCGTGAGTATTTCTCATATGATGGAGACGTATAACCAAACTTAACATTTGTGGTTACAACTTCTGGTTGAATTAAGTAGGGCTTCGGCAGAACAAGAGCATAGTTAAAGATAATAGCAAGTATATCTATATGGTTTCTTCGTTAGCTGGGAAGGTCCCTCCAGCAAACGGGCTTACTGCTGATGACTTGCCTAAAGGAAGATTGAGAATATGGCGCCTATGAGTCACCGGGAGCCTCCATCCCCTACCAATCTTCTCACTAGTATGCGCAGTCATATGTGCGTATCCATTGCTGTTCGGTTTGTTGAGCGCCTTTAAGGAGAAGGGGCCCTTTGGTATTCGGTACTTGACAATTTTGCGTGTCGTATTTCGAAGATAATCCTTTTTTACATGGTTTACAGCCTCTGATGTCTGTCAGCTGACTATTATGAGATGATTGACAACGAGTAGGGAAAGTTATCATAGAGAATCTTACCTGGACCCCATTTACACCGAGTACCATCGGATTCTGTCCAAAACACACCCTGGGTCCCATTACGTTTCACCCACTCTTCCACGGCGGCCCTTGGCTCTAGCTCAGGGTATTCGTTACGAGAGCATTCTAGGATTGACTCCCAATCTGAAACCGACAAGTTGTACGCCATGTTCTAGGAAGTCGAGAATTCTGTTATAATGTGACTAGCCTGGCCATTAGTAAACGATTGGTGACTGAGATGCAGGAAAAGTAAATATGCTTACCTTCCTGTTTTAATCTTTATTTGATCTAGTGTAACGTTGAGATGTAGTTGTGAAGTGTTTGTAAATTGCAGATACAGGTGGGCGTAATTTATATGACCGCGATAAGTGTGATTAGGTAGACTTTAGTGACATATGTATGTGAATTCCCGAAGGAACTATAGTACTCATGTTTCTTATCTAGAAATATATGGAAGCTGGATTCACATTTTGGGATTATTCCTTGAGTGGCGTGGAGGAGTCAAAACATGTGTGAATTCTCGATATGACCAACTGGCTGATCAATGTCAAGGTCATCTTGTTCCCAGCTCTAATTTAAGATGAAAAGAAGAGAGAAATCATTCCCTTCTTTCTCAATAGAGAGACAATATGGAAACAATACCAAGGAACTTATTTTGATGTTATATTCAAGGACAATTCCTGGCAACACTTGATTCAGAGTCATAAAACTTAAATATTGCAGTACGATTGAACACATGTGCGCTAGCATACAAGATTGCATGTTTGAGTATGAGCTGTGACTCAATAATGTTGGAATCTGAATTCTCGATTGTCAACATGTCAACAAGATTAATCAACCACCCTTCACCAGTCATCCTTGTGCATAGTTGGGCGGATTTTGATCTTGAATTCACATGAAGCATTGACAAACGCAAATCATTAAAGCGTCTACAATTCACATAGCGTCCTAGATGGACGACCATATGTTTCAATTTCGTGACGTTGAAAATTTTAAAGTTTGACAAAACAGGAGAGGCATGATGGAGCCGAGTTAATTAAGCATGAGCTACTTACGTCTATGTTTTCAAATATATGAATATATAGTCTAATGTTAACGAGTTTCCCTCTTTTAAACGGCCAAACATCACGAATCACATTCAAAAGTGTGCGCAACTTAATTTGAACCTAGCTAATAGATGCATTATCTAGAAACTAAATTCAATTCACAACAGGATTTATGAACGAAGTGTTTTCGTGTCATAAGTCCAGACACGTGTTACAGTCATCGACCATGAATTATCAAGTTAATAGAATTGAATCCTGATGAAAGATCTTGGAAACTTTTTGGCTGACGATCAATATTGAACTATCAAAAGAATGACAGTCCTTTGGAACAATTCCTAAGTGTGATTCTTACGCCATTGCAGGCTATGGTTCTGAGTATAAGTAAAATCTAATAATTTCCTGAGAAGAAAAGTATCTCCCTGACCATCTCAACTAGTAGACGATGAGAATACAAAACACAACACATTCTAAGTACAGTACAGTGGTACATGAGAAAAAAATCCAAATCTCCAACTACAATGTCGTATAAACTCGGTAGACAATCTCAAGTCAATAGATACGACTGGCTCTCAACGTTACAATGATCCGCTACCCCTTTGGGAAGTATTATTTGGCTTCAGTTCCTGCTTCACAAGTCCTAAATTACGTTTCATCTTCTGTTCCACCGCGCGTGTCCTGATTGCTTCGATAACAGGGTTTGCGAAGGTATAAGGCATTTCGCGACCGTACTTTAGCTGCTGTCAACGGAAGTCGAATTCCTCATGGAGCAGATCTTCATCGGCCTCGTATCTCAAAACTCGAAGGACTTGGATGGTTTAAATTCGCATGATCGAGCGCTCGAGAAGTCTCGTCATGGCTTCTGCCAAAGATTTTGGACGCCCAAGTATTAGGCTAATTCCCTCATCGGATTTGTCGTCTTGTAGCGGATAGATTGTGAGTGTTTGCAAACCCTTAAAGAACTGTTGTATGAATGGAGTATATAATCGCAAGCTTCGGACGAGATCTTGGGGACAACGCGGTCCGCAATTGAGTATTGAGCAATCGTGAATTCTGGCAACGCCGGAGAAAGTTAAGCTCTTTATATGAGCAGCATTTTGAGGTCCAATAGTATGGATGAACCTGGGGAAAGGATCGTAGTATATCCACCCGAGAAGGGAAGTAACCGGTGTACGTTGTTGTATTTGTGCAATCCCAGCATTTACTTCTTTCCACCATGTTTCTCCATGTGGTCGCACTGGAGAGGGTCTATGTTCGCCAATATCTCCTCCAAACCAGCATGGTACAGCTGAAGGTTGCCATCCGAGTTTGCGTCCTTCAGTAGGGAATATGAACTTGTTTTGTCCATATAGTATGGATGAGCCAATTTGATGTAGTGTTTTACATGTCCTCATAAAGGTGGCATCGATAGCAGGAACCTGCAAATATCTCAGCTGTATATATTTGCCTTTATCATCTTTGCGATTGAATCGTAGAATTTCATGAGGGTCTTCGTTTTTCTCGTGTCTATTGTAAATTTCAAATCGTGGCTGTGAAAAGTGTCTCTTCCAATTTGTGGTGATTACTAGGGGTGTTATCAAAGCTTCTTCGGGGAGAACAAGCGCAAAGCGGCAAATGAGTTCAAGTAGTTCTTAATTGCCTGAGAGTCAGAGAAGTACAGACATATAGGTGCTCAAAGTGTTACTCACCTGGGGGAAAGTTGAGTATATGGTGAGGATCGGAGCGTGACAGTCGCCATCCCCCTTTTGTTTTGTGACTAACGTGGGTAGTCATCATGGCGTAACCTTTACTGTATGGCTTTTTGAGAAGTTGGCGGCGAAATTTCTCGTTTGGTATCAGAAACTTTCGGTTCGTTTTCCCATTCATGTGACTTTCCCAGGGTTTCGAATATTTGGTAGCAAAGTTTATAACATCTTAGATTGGTCAGGCATCCTCAGTTCTCGTTTATAGAATCTAGTGGGGATTAAATGACTGACCTGGCCCCCATGTATATCGAATGCCGTTTGAATTCGTCCAATACACTTTCTGGATTCGTTTTTCGTTGACGTATTTCTCTAGGGCCTCGCTCTCATCCACGAGGACATAATTGCAATGCTCTGCCGCATCTTTTTTGAGGGCTTCTACCTCCTCTGGGGACATGTTGAATTCCATCGTCTAAAGATGCAAAACTATAAGTTGAAGTCAGCAAACTCACGTCTAAAATATAACCAACAGCAGCAGATAAATCTCTAGTGACATATTGCCTACTATTTTCTTCTTTTACTCTTGGTGAAACACGTCTCAAATTGATCATAGAGGCGTATCGTCACAGCTTTGGTTGTTGAAGCTCCAAGAATAATCATTGATGTTGAGGATAAGTTTAACATTTCTAGCAAGATAAGTATAGACAGATAAGTCTGGGAAGATATGAGTTACAAGGAAGACTCGAGAGTAGGGCTAACGTGAATCAAGTCTATCGAAGGCTCCAACATAGTACGTGTACCCAATCATTATAAGGTTTTCATTCACTTGTTCTCAATACAGGACTAGATGTGTAATATTGAAAACTGGAATTCAAGACATAAACAGTAGTAGGCTCATTATTTCCATTGCATATCATTAGAGCGAGTGTTAGTGCTGGAATAGATAACTGGATTCAAGAAACTAGGTTTTGAACGGGACAATTTACTCTAGACAATCAAATATATGAAAGTAATCTAAGAAGATCACAACAAAAGAAGTAATATTAAATCAAGACATTTGAGCCTACTAAATACTATTACTAGTCTTAAAGTGCAATTCGCTTTTGACGGTCTGGTTGCTGTTCGAATTGGCACACTACAAACATCACAAGACGTCTAGAATAACACTGCCGAGAGATATATCCCTCGCTATGACCCCCCCCCTTTGTTTTGTTGGCATAATTTACAAACTTTGGACAACTTCACATAGGGATCAACATGAGAGTGTCGGTATGACTCATTTGTAATATGTTTGGATTCAGTATGTTAGATTAACAATATTTCTTGGAGATGTTTTAATTCGACCAAGCATTTTAGAACCTAAAAGATATTCCATATGATAAATTGTGAAAATCAACCAGAGCAATCTGTGTGGATAAAAAGCTTTTCAAGATTATGATTTCACTCCTTGAGTAATCATGGTTAATGGTGAGCAAGAAATATATACTGAAATATGAATTTAGACAATAAGGTTTAAAGGTCACCATCAATTTGTAGTAGCTATAGTGGTTTCACAACGAATAATAGTATTGATGGAATGGTCTGAATTTGACTGATGTTCCAAAGTTAAAGACATGCTAGTTGCTACTCTGCTGCTCTCGTTGATTGAAGAACAATTCCCTTAAAATAAATTACAAATGAGTGTGGTGGTTAAAGTACCATGGTTTTAAAATGCTAAAGTTTCTACCCCAAAGCTGAACGACGATTTCCTTCAACAGCTTCTTTTCCTTGCAACAATTCCTGCCATTCCTCGTAAACGAACGAGGAATGGCCCTGGTGGAACAAAGCTCAGCATGGCACCAAATTTACGCCACTGGCAGTCAACAACGCATTGAAAGCAGCGCAGTTGTGAGTGGTCCCACCTCCAATTGGGACCGGATCCTGGCATGAACTTTGAGTCTCACATGGCTGGCATTGTCCACTCAAAGTACACTCAGTATACACCGCTGGAAAGAGTGCCGCCGAAACCTCATTCGACCTGTTTGCAACATACACCACTCTAACCCCACCGTCTGTGACACAGAAGAAGGCACCGGATCCATCACAGATATCCACGCCTGAATCGGATGTATCCGTGGCTCCACCGAAGGTGTTTGTACATGCTCCAGATTTTTCCGCAACACCATCACAACCATTGCTATCGCGCCAGACGAGTTGGCATGAGGGAATGCAGCAGGTATTCTGCCCACATGATGTTGCAACCCAAGGGTGTGAATGCTTGCGGCATTGATTCTGCCGATGACAGCAGCAAATAAGCATGTGGTTGTGAATGAGATCTTCATTTTGTTGTTTGTTGAAATTTTGAGCTTTTGGTAGGTGCTAAAATATCCGTGTGGTGCTTTGATGGGAACTAATGTGAGTCCAGGAGAATTTGAATTACTTCTGATTTGACTTATCTAGTGAGTTTGGATTTTGAAATACCAAAAGGAGCAAAATCATGGAGTTCTTATAGGTTTTTGGTGACACTTTTGAGATGGTGCACAATCATACTGGCACTGTCATGACGTTGTCAATAATATATTGTGCAAAGATCACTTCTAGATGAGGCTATTCGACCAACACGACATGTGCCTACAAGAAACTGTTTCAAGGTTACTTTGACATAATGTGAGCTACAAGACGTTGCTTCAGGCTTATTTTGACAAAATGTGAGCGGTGGTTCGCGAGACACTGCATTTACCAGCACATCCTAACCCAGAAGAAATTGAGGGGGTGACGATACTACCTTACCTTGCCAGCACTTGTCGTTGGTTGACAGTTAAGATCGTCGCATCGTTGCGTGGAGGACCATGACCAAGTCCGATTGCTCGTATAATCTCACCGCAACAATATGAGAAGCAGATTAGCTTTGGATTTGTCTACAGTGGAAGAAGCGGGTATGCTGACTTTCCAATCCGAAATATACCGACCGTTTTGAAGTACATAGAGAAACGCACGCGAACCATATCCTAAGATCCTCTCGAATCTGTCAAGGTGGTCGTCCGTCTCAGAGAAGTTCGGAGCGGTACTAATTTATCTCAGCTATGAGGGAATCGACGAGATTACTATCCTTTTGAAGACGCTCAAGTCTTGCCAGCTGGATGTCACACATTGGTAATTCATAGCAGAAGTATCAGGCGTTTGACGACTCCTAAGGAATGTTGATTCTATTTCCAAAGCTCGCTAGCCGTTGAGCAGACCAAGTGCCGAACGCATTGCTAAACCATAAAGACACCCCAATAACCTCATAGGACTTCTTTTAAACATCTTTGAAGAGAGTGTTGGTGCTGGATTACATGATGACATTATTGAAAACACATTTCGAGAAGGATAATCTTCTCTACCTAGTCAACTATGTAGAATGATCGAAGCAGACCACATCAAAAGACTAGAGAGAAGATAGACATGATTTTGCTCAATCAATGTTTTTGGTAGCTGTAAAGTCGTATGTCGCTTTGGATTGTCCAGTTCCTGTTTACTGTTTACTAGAGCATTCAATACCACAAGATGCTTAATTACATAATTGGGGGGTGGCACATACCCTAACCGCGAGCACTTTCATTTCATGAGATAATTCACAAACTTTTGACAGACTCCAAACCAGAATAAATATTCTATTCTTCCTACAGAAAAGTGCTAATACAGCTCAACTAACACATGTCTAGCAGGTGTGTCTTCAAATCCAATGATTCATACTACTTTCTCGTCATAGCAGATGTCTTAGGGTGCATTATGTAGTACTCTCACTTTATCTGCTCGCTGTTGGCGGAATTAGGCAGAATTACATCAAGTGACCCCAGATCTGGATCATACAGTCCACGAAACGTCTTCATAATACTTGCCAATGTCTTCGAAAGCTCCATGAATATCTCACCATACACCAAAGCATAAACTAAAACTAACTGCAAACCGCTCCGATGAGGCTAATTAAGCCAATTAGTGTCTCGGACGCAGGCTCCAATGATGAATCTAGAAAAAGAAATCTTGAAAACAATGAATGTAAATCGAACCAGGAACTAATCATGCGCAGTTTCCGGTGGGAGTAATCTGGTGTTACTCTCCACAACTGATAAGCAAAGAGTAAACCAAATTTTTTGGGGGCAACCACTTGGATTAATGTTGTTATACAATTGTTGCTGCCAAGACATTCCAACAGTTGGAAGGTGCTGTAAATGGCACGTGACGTCAAATCATCGGATATTTTTGAGGAAGCGACGACGACGCGTCCTCGACAACATCATCCTTCTTCATTTACATCTTTATTCTCACTCTACCTGGGTCCAAATACACCACCAAGTTCCCGTTTGTAGACTTGATACCTCGTGAGTGCGAAGGTAGCAGGTTGACGCGTCAGAAAACCCACCTCCCACACTTTCCGCGACCCAAACGCCGCCTTTTCGTTCAGGTTTTGATATTTTGAACTTGCGCCCCTTTTCATCAATCTTGTTGTCCGGGAAGCGTCCAAACCTGTTGCTGGACTCTGCAGGCTTTCTGCTAGACAACCACTTCCCTATCTGTTTTCCGTATTTGGCATATCCCGTTCTGTCCATTTGGAGGTGTTCCCACCCACATCAGGGCGCGTAATTGCAACGAAAGAGTGGGAGCGGTCAGTGTAACCAATACACACGCCATACGCTTAGAGCAAGGTTTCCCGCGAGATTATGGGGTCCCCAGGAGAGAGTCTGGAGAAAGTTGGTTTGGCCGATCGATATCGAAGATTTGATGCCCCGATATCATTCTTCCTAAACCGCTCTGGTCTGCCCCACAGAGCTTCTTCCCAGTCTCTGGGGATTGGATGTATCTCCTGGACATGTCGATGAATCAATGAAGGGAGAGATCCACTTGTAAGCAGCGCATTGAGGCCATTTAATGGTTCATCATGGTGGTCTTCTGCATTTGGATCCAAGGTTCTATCGACATTGACGAATTCTCGACTACCAAGTGGTCATCCAACAGCAGGAATCGATAGAAAAGTAGGGATCGTGGCATCGACTTTGTTGTGTCTTCATCTTCTACTTTGTATCCTCGAGCTGCTCATGTTGAGTTGCATGTCAAAGGGTTTCCTCACTTGTTTATTTTTCATCAACAGCTCAAAGGTTTCGAAGCAGGTATCGTTCCGAGCCCCTGTTCGCGGGCGCTCACCACACATGACGGGCTACGACCGGCATTCAATACGCGTGCTTGGCTATGGCGCTGTGCCGCTCTGATATGCTTGGTCTGGCTTCGCTTATCGCGTTCTCCCTCCCGACACCCGACAGTTAGTTACTGTGGAAGCAATAATATCAGAATCTGGGTTCTGGACTGGACTCAATACTACGTCTGCATTTGAATCAGATGATGTTGCGGCTCGGTGGCCCCGGTTTTGGCGTGCTTTGGAAGGTTTTGTTGGGGCGAGAACGTAACTTGTGGCACCACTGCGGGCTAACGAGGTTCAGGACAAGGTTAACAGCTGCGAGTACCGTCAATTAGCGATTGATCGAGGGTTTAGGGCCGAGAAAACTGCTGTATCACCCGACCTAGAGTCGACTTCTGTCACAGAAGGTGCTCTTCCCATGTACGCGCGAGTAATGGCAGTATATGTCTCGTCGGTTCATACCATTGTGATGCGCAGAGCATGTGTATACAAGGTGCATCAGCGGCGTACGCCAAAAAATCATGAAGTATCTGATTGCCACTGCACGTAGATCGGCTCGGTAATATCCCAGGATGCCGACCTGTTCGCGCAAGGATTTTGACTTTCTTTTCGCTGGATTTATCGCTCGACCAATCCTTCAACAAACGATCCGCTCAACTCAATGCATAGAAGGACCGAAGCCTGTGGCCCTGCATGCTCTTACCTGAATGAAGAAGCGTTCTGATCTTTGGCTTTGACGATCTTCTCTGGTTTTTTTTTAACCCCTTGAGAATAGAGTTTTGCGGGGTAGCCGGTTCATGTATCGCTTGTGGAGCCTTCATCAAACAGCCATTGGCTTTGAAGTATTCAGTCAATTTGCGAGACTGGGTTTAGTCTTCAATTGATAAGGTTGGCCATTTGTAGCCATGTACTTTACAAGAACGAGGCAGCGGACAAGCATCACCGGCGCACGACTAGCGGCAACAATGGACCATGCCAGCAATACTCAGGTCGTGGGCATCATCGCAGTATATTGGTAGCCACCTAAATCTAGACCTGTCTTCCGCCCTGATGCAAGACCCAAGCGGCCAACTTTCTTCGTTGAAACATCTGAGATAAATTCGGCGAACTATCCCACATTTGGCTAACTTCCACCATGGGGGATACCACCCTCTACTAGCGGGGTAGCGGAGTACCCCCTCTCCCCCGCCTGTCAAGGATGCAATAGTCTGTGCAATCTCCAGGCTGTGAAGCTTGAGTCGAGCCCCTGTTACTCGTTCCTATAAAGCCCTCGTCATGTCTATCCTTTGTCGCAGCAGTTCATCGATCAACACTTCTTGAGTTTCTACTCTTGCTGTCTCACTCTCTTACTGCCTGATTGACAAAATGGGTTTCGCTTTAAAGAAACCGAAAGATGTCCCCGGCCGATCATGGCCTGCCGTGAGTGTATTCCCCGTCAATGAGTTCTTGACCATGCTAATTTGGGGAACAGATTATGATTGGCTTCTTCGTTGCTTTCGGAGGAGTACTCTTTGGATATGACACCGGGACGATTGGTGGGATTCTGGCGATGCCGTACTGGAAACAAGAGTTCTCTACCGGCTTCGTGGACGATCAAGGGCCGAATGTCACAGCTTCGCAGACATCTCAAATCGTGTCTATCCTTTCTGCGGGAACGTTCTTCGGTGCTCTCAGTGCAGCCCCACTTGCAGACTGGCTCGGACGTCGGTGGTCGTTGATCTTCTCTGCTGGAGTTGTGTTCAATCTTGGGGTCATTCTTCAAACTGCCGCTACTGCAATCCCTATGTTCACAGCAGGGAGGTTCTTCGCGGGCTATGGTGTCGGCCTGATTTCAGCCTTGAGTAAGCCCTTAATCATATGTTCAGCTGTACATGTCAACTAATGTCAACAAACAGTTCCTCTGTATCAATCGGAGACCGCACCAAAGTGGATCCGAGGTGTCATTGTTGGATCCTACCAGTTTGCCATCACAATCGGTCTTCTTCTAGCTGCCATTGTCAATAACGCAACTAAGAAACAAAACAATACTGGCTCTTATCGCATTCCAGTCGCCGTCCAATTTGCATGGATGCTCATTCTCATTGGTGGAATGTTGATTTTACCAGAGACTCCTCGATTCCTTATTAAACAAGGCAAACATGAGCAGGCTTCTCGATCTCTTTCCAAACTTCGTAGACTTCCTGGGGACCATGAGGCTATTCGAGAGGAGCTTGCCGAGGTTCAAGCAAACCACGAATATGAGCTTTCTTTGGGCAAAGCAGGCTACATCGACTGCTTTAAGGGAAATGTAGGAAAGAGGCTCTTAACAGGCTGTGGCCTTCAAGCATTACAACAACTTACCGGAATCAACTTCATTTTTTACTACGGTACCGCCTATTTCACCAATTCTGGAATCAAAAATCCCTTTGTTATCTCCATGATTACTTCAGCAGTTAATGTTCTCTCAACTCTCCCAGGCCTCTACGCCATTGATAAATTTGGCCGCCGACCACTCCTCCTCGCCGGAGCAATAGGAATGTGTGTCTGTCAACTCATCGTCGCATCTCTTGGTACCGTCTACAGCGGTCAAGATCCAGTCACAGGAAAGTCTTTCTCTCTCAACGACGACGCCCAACGCGCCGCCATCGCATTCGTCTGCATCTACATCTTCTTCTTCGCCTCCACCTGGGGCCCCATCGCCTGGGTCGTCACCGGCGAGATCTTCCCCCTCAAAGTCCGCGCAAAGTGTCTCTCCATGACCACGGCCACCAACTGGCTCCTCAACTTCGCCATCGCCTACGCCACCCCCTACCTCGTCAATTTCGGCCCCGGCAACGCGAATCTCCAGTCCAAGATCTTCTTCATCTGGTTCGCATGCTGCTTCTTGTGTATCGCCTTCGTCTACTTCATGATCTACGAGACCAAGGGTCTTACGTTGGAGCAGGTCGATGAGCTCTATGCTGAGGTCAAGGTCGCTAGTAAATCGCGCTCGTGGGTCCCGACGACTACGTTTAGGGATATTAGGGCTAGTAAGGCGGAGCAGGGTGGGTTGGGCTCGGGGGCTTATGATGAAAAGCATGAGAATCAGGTTGTTCATGAGTCTTCTGCTTAGATGGGTGCTTGATTGTGGATTAGTTCTTGGAACCCCTCTCGCTTGGGATAGGGGGAGTGGGTCGCGATGTGTGATGACGACGTTAGTGCTTGTTTATACCATTTTGATGATCCTTTAGAAAGAGAGATCTCTTCTCCATAGTAATTTTGATCTAAGTTACAGCATATCGCTCACCAATCGTTCATCCAATTTTGTTCCATCTTCTCCAAACTGACTCTACCAACTAAGCTGGCTAAGAGCCTAGGTAGTCTCGCGGTAGACAATTTGAGTGGCACTCAATACTCGAAACTTACCGGTTATTCAATCAAGTTAACATAAAGTATCATCTATTTCGTCAATAAAGTTGACCATGCATCGTATATTCCATCGACCTTTTCAGGAAATAATAAATGACCAGACTCCTTTGCCTTGATCTTAGTCAAATTTCGTACGAGGGAGGTTAATAGCACGTATATTGCCCCCAGGCTGGCTGATGTATTTTGAAAGATGAGATAGGATAATTCTCCTGTCCATCTTGATACTAGCAGACTATCGATTCTCTCTTCTGAGTAAGGGCCGTGATTGATTGTATAACTTTCGCAATATGAGGTAATGAAATCGGCGGTGTGGTGACCAAGGTGGGTTGATTTCGCGGGAAAATCCATTACGACTCGTTGAGGATATATTACATATGATCGAACCAAAAATTGGTTGAGCTGAAGGGATGTCATGTGATCACGCAGATGAATAGCGTAAACCAAGCATAACATGAAATGGTTCATTTCTCTTAACCAAATCCTCGATGTACAACATCTTTAATCCCAAAACCTGCAATCTTACCGTCATCATGTCGTCATTACGTCCCTTTCTCCTTTTCTCTAAAATGCCCGTCTAAATGCCCTCCAAGCTATGCTATTCTGTATCCCGAATCCATAACATGTCATATATCACTTAAGCATCAACCATAACAACGCACAAATGCAACCATCCGTCCGCATAGGCGGCTTCTCTCATCAATTCTTCAAGTGGTGCCCTGAATGGTACCGCTGCTCCATGTAACACTGGTTCCGCCAGTATCGGATCTCTCCTGCTGGGAAACAAACCCGGCAATATGGTGTTCAAAGCGGATCCTAATGTTTGTACTTCCCGTGCGGACGTCCGTGGTGGTATGAGGGTTTGTACGATCTTGAAAGAACCGAGTGCGGATGTGGATTCGGTGGGAGAAAGAACTGGAGTCGGCGTGGAGGGTATGTATATTCGCAGAGGGATGTGTTTCAGTGGTATTGAAGGGTTTAAGAGAATGTTGGAGATCTTGGAGTAAGTTGTATAATCGTCTGATAGTTGTGTTAGTGGGCTTGAGCAAAGGGGATGGGTATACTCACTATCCAGCACGGAATTCCAGAGGGTTGTTGAGTTTTCTTTGGACATGGACATTATGCCTTTGGCGGTCCCATAGCGCATAAAGTCTGCCTAATAATCAGAGGTCAGTCCGGTACTCGAAAAGTGCTGGGCATGTAAGTGTACCTCTTTAACACTATTTATAAAAGTATCATGAATATCGAACAACGGGCCATCCCCCAGAACCACCCTCCACGGCAGAGGCGGCTGATACAAATCGCACAACAGTCCCACAGGCAAGTTCTTCAACGGTATTCCTTCATAAGAGAAACTCGAGCAAGGTCCGTAGAAGGTCGTTAGGCGGGGCAGCAGGAGGTTGAGGTACGAAACGCGGGGTACGTGGATCAGATATGGGGTCGTGGATGAGGGATGTGTGATGTGCAGTGGTATCGTCGACGACCATATTTGAGACTGCATGGTGGTATTCTCGTAGTCATGATGGTGATTGTAGGTTGTGTGGTGTTGAGACTCGAAAGGCTGAGGGTCGTTGCTAGCGCGTGTGCATAAGGCTGTTGCTGTGGGGAAAGTGACAGGGGTGTTTATCGCTTATTAACACTCCGCAGTTGGGATTCTTGATGCCAATTGTGTCCTCGTTGATACTAACAAAGAAGGATTCACACCTATTGAACTATACTTGCACGTACAATAAAGAGGTACATTGTTCCGTCAAATATCTTTCTTGAATATTATAAATACTACCAGATGACACTTCTTTACATTTTAAGAGCTTCAAAATATCTTTTGAAGGCCTTAAAAGAGGATAGTCATTATAATTCAGCAAAAAAGAGTTTTTTTATACCAAGGATACGAATGGCCAAGTGGCTATTCTCACCTCGCATCTTCATCATGTCTTCTACTGCCTGTTTACACTTAGGTATATCTAAAGTGACATCACCGAGAATGTCCGTGTTATCAACACGTGAGATCGTCTTAGCTTCTTATCTCAAACGCGTCGACGCGTCTTCCCCAACTTGACGACTTCAAATATTCTGTATTTCGACGTCATGGCGACTGGAACATATGCCAATGGCAATTTTGTATCAGATACCGCTGCTAGTGCGGCAATGGACGATCTGGTTGGTGCCATCCACCACTGCCTTTCAGATGTACAAACCGACGGATCATTTGCAGTGTTTTCGCCATTGGATAACGCACCCAATCCAGGTATATATCTCCAAAATGGAGGTGTCGTAGGACTTCCTTTATCGGAGCGCGATGCCCATGCAATCGTCGCAGCAAGTCATGAGGCTCCATTTGGTAAAGGAGAGCAGACTATCATCGACAAGAGTGTACGCAAGACTTGGGAACTGTCTCCTGACGACTTTGAGTTGAGGAATCCGGCTTGGATGTCATTTATCAGATCTACCGTAACTGCAGTAGGTGTTGGTCTCGGTATTGGCGCTTGTGGTAGAGGTGTTTCTGCTCAACTGTATAAAATGCTGCTTTATGACGAAGGCGCACTTTTCAAACCCCATCAAGAGTGAGTCAAACTTCTTTACGCTTAGTGGCCTATTATTGGTAGAAGCTAAACATCAATCTAGTTCCGAGAAAGTTCCTGGCATGTTTGGTACCCTCGTTATTGTTTTACCGTCAAAGCATGAAGGGGGAGAGGTTAGAGTAACTCACGCGGGGGAAACGAAATTATTCGAATCTTCCATCCATTCAGAATTCGGAACCTCATATGCTGCATGGTAAGCCAATTAGTGTCTAGCATGGAAATGTACTGAAATCCCTTTCCGAAAGGTTCTCTGATGTCACCCATGAGGTGAAGCCTGTCCTTTCTGGCCATCGGCTAGTCTTGACTTACAACCTTGTGCATACCACGTTGGGCCCCCAACAACTATCTGCTGGTGGTGAAGGTTCTTTGCTTCAGTTGAGAGCCACATTCTCAAAGTGGAAAGATGGGTTACAACAGGCTCACTGGAGAAGAGCCGTCGCTTATCAACTTGAACACCAATACACTGAAGCAAGTCTGCGATTCGACAGCCTGAAAGGCAAGGACATGCAAACTGGCTCGTTGCTCAAGCAAGTTTGTGAAGAGTATGGATTCTCGTTCTATCTTGCAAATTTCGAGAAGACCGTCGAAGGAGGCTGTGACGAGGATGAAGAAACTGATGAGGATGGCATGCATCCCATCACAGAGGAATGTGATACAAGTGCAACTTTGAAAAAAGTTGTAGAATTGGACGGAACCGAAATCGCTAGTGATTTGGAATTTGGTGAGAAGAACTTTACCACCGAGTTTCCTTTTGAGGACATAACCCCTGATGACGAGGAATACTCTGGATATACTGGAAATGAGGGCGTTTCAGCCACGCATTTCTATCGACGAACGGTAAGGTTGACTTTCACATTTTCGTCATAATACTAACTCAACTCCAAGGTGGCGCTGATCATGCCCAAAGATTATCGAGTTGAGTTTTTCCTTGATCCTGCGAGGACCGTACCAAACCGCTCCATCTATGGTTTTTATGGACAGCCGGAACCGGAACCGGAGAAGTCATTGCTTCTAGTCTGGCATGACCGCTTTGTGTACGAATTGGTGACGAATCCATCTGATGATTCTGCTCGGGAGTACCTTGAGGCCGTTTGCCGAATGGTTCCCCGACAACTGAAATCTTGGCGGTTAAAGACAAGTCATTGGCATCAAATCCCAGCTGACTACGATTATGGACCACCCAAAGACTACCAGTCATCCAAAGCTCCTTTCTCCGAGAGGATTGTGGAGCAAATTCTCTGCACTACATTGGAAATTCTGGATTCGAAAGAGTTGTTCTCGGAAGCTTTCTCAATATGGCCTGAAAAGGTAACACCGCAAATGTTTGAGCAGAGTGGAATAGCTTGGGTACGATATGATTTATCATTGGGTGACAAGTACGTTACAAATCTGGCCCGCAAATATCTACGCACACTCTATGCATATTATTATAGTGGCCATATAGCACTACTGATCTCTTGACTAGGTTGTCTATGCGGCTCGCCAAGATCGAGTCACTTAATGATCGCTTCGAAATCATTAAAACTATAGAGCTCGGAATCACTTCAGAGTCGAAGCGTAGTAGCAAGGACATAACTACACAAGAAGAATGGATTAAGTCGCAGATCGTCATTGCCTTGGTCGACTCGAAAATGAAAACAGCACGGGATGGTAATACTCTGAGCATGATCGCTCAAAGACTACCCCCACAAGATACATTCCAGAGGTAGAGAAGTCCCGCAATATTTTTTGATCACGCTAAGTATTAAAAGTACCCTGCCTGCTGTCAAGCGCCAAATCACATATACTCCAATGGCGTTAGCTTTTCTTTGCGGCCTATTTGCTGCCTGCAGCACTGGTGTCATGGCTATGGACATCGCACACAAGGTCTTTCGAGATGTGATTTCCGACCTCGCCAAATATTTCAATCTCAAAGTCGAGGACCTTCTGAAAGCTACCAAGCCGGGCCTAGACAACCCTTACATCAGATCCGCGTCACTAAAGGGAAATGAAGAGATCGATAGGCAGAATATTCTCAATATCACCCAAGTCATGTCCATATGTCTTGACCTCGGTCTTGATGAGTTCGACGAAATTTGCACTAAATTGACTGCAAATGTCAAAGCTTCGCATATAAAATGGTCGCACATTGACGTATTCGAGTCTTTTTACATACCGTTATTAAAGGAACTCTATAGCATAGTTCAAGGCAAAGCAGCACCTCCACCTCTCCAGACTCTATTCCAAGAAACCTTATCCAAATACATCGTCGAATTCGTCCGCGCCGAACCCCCATCAGCCAAGAATTTCACACGGCCACGTATTCCTTGCACGTACAAAAACCGCTGTAGGGGATGCGACGACCTGAATCGCTTCCTCATCAACCCCAATCAGAAAGAATCCCGCTTCATCGTATCGCGACAGCTCGCCGGCCATCTAGGAAGACAGCTACAGGGCAAGCCAGACTTATCACATAGCACGAGGCGAGAAAGCAATACACAAGAATCACTGACTATCACCAAAACCAACACGACTTATGTCAGTGAACACAACAAATGGGCTGAACGATTTGCGGTTGCGAAGGCGCATATACGGAGTATGTTGGTGACGGATGAGATTACGCTTCGTGGATTGCTTGGCCATAAGTTTGATATGATTCAATCGCTTTCAGTGCCTGCTTTGGTGGCGGATATGTCGAGTCGACATGATCCTTTGGCTGCCAGTCGGAATGCTTCGAATTCCAGGGTTTTACCGCCTATTACGAAAAGAAAGATATCTGCCTCTGCTGCAGCGAGTAGCGGGATGATTCCCACTAGGAAGTTATTATGATTATTATGTAAACATGTTGAGTACTGTGATGTATGTTGAGTATTGGAAAAAGGCGTAAATCTGTCAATAACTGTACAACTAAGTTTGGATATAGTAAATGGTGGGACTTGGAGTTTTGGATTCCTTGAGTGTGTGTGTTATGTTATGTAGTCTGTTTAGCAGAATGTAAATACAGATGTAAGAGCCTATTGGGAGGCGCCGTTTACTATAATGGACATGTACAGCGTATATAAGTAATAGTTAGTGTATGATGGCCTATCGCATCTGTCGGTTGCTTCTCAGGGGATCCCCGACACTTCGGATACCCAATCGGAACTACCAATTCTGTAGTTCACCAATGCTGTGGCACTGCTACCTTTCGTACATTTACCATGGTCCCACCATGGTGAATGCTAGCCTTAATTGACAGAGCAGGATATGAATGAGAGAGATTCATGAACCTGATTCCTCAGAGATTCCATATAAGCACTTCTCAGAAATGACAGGCGCTCAGTAATACTGTATCAAGCACTATCATCAAGCAAACATCGGGCATCTATATCCCGCTAGCATCATTAATCATATATTTCAAATGGTTTTAAACCAGGCATATCAAAGCCCATTAATCATATATACAAAATATCCATATACAGCATAAAATTAAATTTAAGGAAGTCCCGTCAACGACGAAACCTTCGGAACCCCCGCCGGACTCCTCAACCCGGGATTTCGCACCCACGCACTACTCGACGCCGGGCGAGTGAGCTCGGGACTCCTAAACCCGAAATCCTGCGACGTCTGCGCTCCAGCCGTCGCTCTCTTCAACGACATGCGCGTCCTGTTCATCGGTTCGTCCGTCAACTGCACGCGTCCAGGCACCACCGGTCCGTCTTTACTCGGGACCTTGGGCGGCGGACCCGACGTTCTGGATGGTCTTATGCCACTCAGGTGTTTCATGCCGATATCGCCCCACAGCTCGAAGATGCTGGGGGATTTCATGCCCATTTCGAAGGCTTGGGGGTCGTTTTCTAATTCCAGCGTCTTTTTGGAGCCTTTGCCAGATTCCTGATCGATGGCTTCTAGTGCCCGCGCCCGACGAAGGCGTCTAACATACGTGATTACGCCGAATATGCCAAAGAGAATGCCTGCTATCCCGAGAGGCGTCGCTACCAGTACGAGCGTGATGTTTTGACCAGATGAGTCGGATGCTGAAGAGCTTGTTGCTTGAGGATTTAATGTAGTTGTTGGTGAGGTGGGTGAAGATGGTGTAACGAAAGGATTTTGTGGGGAATCGGCGAGAGCAATCGATGCACGTCGGAAGCTAGCGGAAGTTGTACCAGGCGTGTTAATGCCACCCGCCATTCCAAATGTACATGCTTCTGTGTTGGCGAAATAGTAGAATGGTTCTGGGGTAACAACGGTAAAGTTAAAGTAGTAAAATTCCCCAACCTAGCAGATAATTAGCATTGATTTTCTTCGCTTGAACTGAGAGATGAATAAATAGTGCATCTTTTGCAAGGAAGATGTGTCCAATTATGGCAAAGATGACGAAGACGGGTGGCAGCGAGATTACTTACACTCTGGCCAAATACTGTCGGGTTCCGTATGACTCCAGAACTGAATCCTCCCGGCTTTGGTATGCATGGCGAGGTAAGCGTCCCTTCGGTCACACTGAATTCTTGAGTGCTATTTGCAAAGAACCTGAATGATATCGTTTCACCAACATTCCTCGCGATGGTGACAGGAAAAAATTGTGGTGTTACTGGAAATACCCTCGTTTTTGTATCTCCTACTCCTACTATTTGGACGGTGCCCTTGTCTAGAGATTTTTTGAAGGCATCGTTAAAATCGTAATTCTGAGCACTTATACACTGCAGCAAAAAGGAAAGAAAAAGGAGTGTCCGCACTAAAGACAACATTAGAAGAATGGCAACATTAGGAAGGCGCCCACGATGAAAGGATTGTGGATTAGAGAATGGGGGAACAGAATTGCGGAGCCAAGCCCTTCTTTATTAGAGAAGCTAGCAATCATAAGAGACTGGTATTATTGGCGAGGCAAGTCGGTTTCAGTGACGATGATCATACTTTGACACGACCCAGCAACAACATGAATCCAGGTACGGATTTGTGGTGGCAGGGGATGGATTGAGACCAGCTGTGCCGTTGCCCAGCATGTGCACGTTCATCTGATAGGTCGACCGATGTATCAGACTGGATCATGCATTAACGATCTCGGGACGCACGATACAGAATTACCGTAGAAAGAAGAAGAGAACATCGGATAATATTTGAATGAATTCAGCAAAGGATACTGCTCGCGACTGACAATTGTCGAGACAAATAAAAGATAACATATTTTTGTAGAATCTGTGTACAGTTGCTAGAAAACTGCTAGGGGATTGTGATGCAGCTTCGGTTTAAGCGAAGGTTGAAGCTGGGGCATCAAACGGGATAGTAAATATGCGCCAACCCGTACTGGTCTTCCAAAGCGACCACGGAACACGGAAACGTACACAGAAATGGCACCAAAAACACTACATGTTTGTGTGTTCCCTACGCAACGATGCTTCATGCTGTACAGGACAAGCAATGTGTGGATGATTCCCTACAGGGATGAATGATATGGACTTCCACATCAGGCTAAAGTACCGCAAAACTATTGCAGATCTGAGGAATCAAGTCCCAAAGAACGAGTCATAGTTCGAAATCTTGCTCAAACAGTGCAATAACGCATTGTTGATATTAAATGCACGTTGTCGGGCAGAAAGACGAGTGCCAAGTAGCAAAGCAACAAACAAATTTTGAAGACATGAAGGGAGCTTCAGAAATTCAGAAATACCGCGATCGAGGCACACTTGCCAACAATCCGAGACTAACCGATTTGCGGCGCTGGATAGCTGGATAGTGATCTCTGTGGGAGATTGCCTAGCTTGTCCTTGTCATTCCGACTATTGTACATTGTACGTCAAGATAAGCAGCAGAAGAAAATCAGCCCTACAGATAGCCAAGGTGTACCGATTCAGCGGAAATTGCACCATGATGCTTTCCGAATCCGTTTGTTAGGAACAGAGAGATCTGATGCGTCCGGACTCGCTTTCTTTTGCATTGCAGTTGGGAGTGTTCGCGGTCCTTCGTCTGTGTTGGTTGAAAGGGTACAATCATATGGCGTATGTTACTGGTCATGTATCCTAGCCTGGCACATATTGGTGATTTGAGAGCTTTGTTGTAAACCATCCTATGATCTCCAGTGTTGGACTTTCGTAATCTCCAAACAAGCGTGGGCATCTCTACTGCGTAGAAGCGAAAGAATATTCGAAATCCTCCGCGGCAATGAATCCTCCCGAAAGCTTCGCGAAGATTTGTACGACACCATGAATCTATCCAAGCATCAGACTGTCGACCTATACCCACCCAATGTGAAGCACGTCTGTAGTAGTCCAAACAAGTGCGGCAGTCCCATTTCGGGTCGATCCAAAGGGTTGTTGGTGATCGCAGCTTGCGTGGTAACGTGGTTTTGTCAGGAGCGGAGGAAGTCGTCACTGCTGATCCTCGCCATCATATTCTGGATGTATGCCATTTTGGAAGCTTTGCAGGAACATTGACATAAATCGTTGGTGGTTCGTGATTCGCGTTCGAAGTTTGGTCGGTTTTGCGCGATAGAGGAGGAGAGGATGGTCGTTCGTGGAAGATTTGGCCGAATATTCAGACCATTCCAGGTTTGGACTAGTTCTGGCCAAGAGAGCTCCTCGACATCAACCTCCATCGCTCGTCGCCAGGAACCATCACCTTCTTGATTCTATACTTTCTGATAGCACGCTCTTCGACTCCCATATCTCCCTACAACCCGTGGACAACGTTCTTCGGCAAGTCTGTGTCCTCGCCAGATTGCCCAGTACGAGCATGTCCGGTGTACCCCGTGTATGTCGCTTTCACCCAGGCTCACTGATGCCTCGAAAGTACCTTTCGCTGACCGGATTTTCTATTCTCCCCGGCTTACCGGTTAAGCAGACTAAGTCTGGCACAACCTTGGAAACCTTGAGCCGGAATTTGTATGTTCGCGTGCGCAGGACCAGACGTCCTGGGAGTTGGCAACATCTTGGGCGAGAATCGGAGATGATGTGATTTGCGAATGCTGGAGCTCTTGGCACTCCCCTTTCTCGTCGTTGGAGAATTAACTACAAGCTTGATCGACGATATGAGCTTCCTAGGATAAACCAATCATCCAGCTGAATTTGTGTCGAGGTTTGTGAGGAGACTACCATTTCGAAGCTGTCTTCGGAGCAATCACTTGGACGGTCTTTAGAGCCACGATTAACATTCAGCTTGCCCGCTGATTCCCGCTGACACCGTTGGGTGAGCCTCGTCAGAAGGCTAAACAATGGTCAATTTGCTCATCTTCTTGATGCCAGAGGTTCCAACTGGCTCTTCCAGGCTAAATGCGATCTCATTTGGGAGAACGCTTCACATCACGTCGTACCCACCCGCCAACCGCTCCAAACTTTTGTTGAGTCGAACGAATCCCCTAAGTCTTTTGGGCCTGGTTGATGTACGGTCGTGATCGCACAAAATGGCCTTTCTGTGGAGTGGTGGAGGTAACCTGGAAAGAATAGCTCGTCTAGAATCAGCTGGCTGGTCGCACCGGCAACCTTCGAAGAGAATGTCATTGGGGCCGTATATGGAAGTACTTCGGGAACGTCTCCAGAGATTGAGGCGATTTCGGGCTGGCTAAGTAGCCTGTCGATGCCATCTGGAGCCTCGTGGACTACCGCCAACCCAAGTTCTTGATCGTCAGGCACACCCACGTTTTCTCACACCCGGGCCCAGAAACTAGGCCAAATAGGCCAAATATGTCTGAAATGTCGCTGTCTTTCTTGTTTTTCCATTACAGATCTTGGCAAGTTTTTCAACGTTTTGAGCTTGAGGATCGTCCTTTTAAAGCTCTATTCTCTTCAAGCTACAAGGGCGGTTAGCATCAGCCATCGGTAGATTTATCTTCGGTCCTTCCGTCGAAGAATGAATCCAAAGCCCAGGAAGCCGTGCATGATATGAACTCCGTTGGGGACCATTCTCGGTAACCCCTCCAGTTCGCTCTGCATTACTATCATATGTCCTGTGTACATTTCCGAAGTGTTTCGAAATTTGCGAGTTATTTCTCTCACTTGAATCAATTTCCAGTCATCTATGTTTATTGTCCTTCGTACATTTCTTGTAGATCTGCCATATTGCTCTCTGGTATGGAATATATGATACGTCTGATGGCCCGGAAAGTTCTTGGCGGAAGTTTAACCAGATTGATTTATATGTACTTGGTCAAAGTGCAAGCAATTCTCCCGCAAACCCATGATTTTATAGTGTAATACGCTCCGCAATTTGCACTCCGCCTTTCAGATTTTGTTTACCTGCTGTCGGCTTAATGTGAGGGCAAGCGCCCCAAGCAATGAGACGCAGTTCCAAGTGAAGCATTTGGTCTAAAGCAGATATTATTGGGCATTATGAATGATGGGATAGGCCATGACAATCACAAGTATAACCTAAATATTGTATACCTGCGCCAAACAAGAAGAGTTGACAATCTTCAGCTTCAGCATCTACGGTTTCGTCTTGAATTGAACTTCCAATACGTTTCCTTCACTTAACGCGTTGGGCAGCACAATAATCTCAGCGGCTATTTGGTTATGAACACTCGTATTGATGCAGTTACTTTACGTCTGTCCATGATCAAATCCACTCAGGTGATCGAACCTCTAGGCAGTCACAATTCATGGTAATCGGCTGGACCCGAAATTCCCTGGGGAAATTGTGGTTCTGCTTCACATTTATCTGAGTGGAGCCTCCTATGCAACGATCCATTGATTATAGTGCTGACTTAAACAAACAAACACTATGTACTGTTACTAATGGGTCCATGGCCAGATCTCGCTTCAGTAGGTGGTTTCATTTATGTCTAAATTGGAGGCCCAGGCATGCTGAGGGCTTTTAATGAACTGCTCGTGAAATTAATTCAAAGTTTTGATTGTCCTTGAATCATGGTATTTCAAACATCCGACTTTCGCCAGGCAACAGTCTGTTCTCTTCACCTTTTCCAATGGCCTTACCTTCGCCGCTACTAGGACAGTCCAACATCCAAGGTCTATTTCGGCTTCACCGACAAGAACATTCTTTCAATGGGAACTTCATATTAAATGATATTGGTTTAATAGCTAACAATAATATGGGAACCCTTCATTGGCTTGACAAATCCGGTTTCTATTGATAGAGTTGAATATGCTTACCTCTATTCATTTGGAAACTTCAAAGCTGTTACAACAACACCAATCAATCTATGGAAGAAGTCACGATGGATGGGAATAGCTTTATGCTGTTGCCTTCGAGATCAACAAGAACCCAACTGCGATGTCTATATAATGATCGCCACATTCGAAAAGACCATGGATCATCAACCCACAGCTTCATCACCTTCTACAGACAATCACTACCTCAAACATCATGATCTCCGCAGCACTTCTTCTTCTTCCTGCTTTGGCAGTGGCCTCTCCATTGAATTCGGCCTATACGCCACTTGAACGTCGCGATGCTGGTCCACCGCTTGATCAGATCACCATTGTCGATTCCGGATACTCAGGAAATGGATGCCCACAAGGATCCGTCAGTACTACACTGTCACCAGACAAGACTGTGAGTAAATGCTAAGACAATACTTTAAATTCATACACTGACTATTCTAGCTCATCACCTTTGGTTTTGACAAATTCCGTACGTCGCATTCAGCATTACCTACCTTTATATTAAAGACATTATTAACACCTTCAAGAAACCTTTATTGCCCCAGGACTTTCCCCAGCTGAGAAGACGAAACAGTGCCAACTCCATCTCTCATTGAAGTACCCAGGTGGTTTCCAATACGCCGTCACAGACGCTACCTACCACGGTTACGCACGTCTCGATGCATCCGTCACAGGAACCTTCCTTTCAACCTACTACTTTTCGCAATCCGCTTCCCAAACCGTTCGTCTCCCTCCTTACTAAAAGAAACACAAATACTGATCACCATTAGTGCACCACCAGATCTAGCATCAGTGGCCCGGGTTGGCTTCTCGGTGATGTTTACACCAAACACGACCAAGTCGAGACGACCGCAACCATCTGGTCTCCATGCGGAGCTACCGGTCTCTTAAACATCAACAACCGTATCGCTCTCACTTCCAGCACTGCCAGCGGCACCGGCGAGGTTTCCAACGATGATGCCACCGTGGCTTTCACCCAACAAGCTCACGTCTCTTGGAGACAATGCGTTCCGTAAGCCTTCCCTCACATGTTTCCCCATCACTATAGCTAACCATGTATCACAGAGGCGGCTCAACCGGCGGCGGAACCTTCACTCCAGGCCCAGGCGGCGTCGTCGAGGACCGCGATGCTCCTACCTCTGCTGCTGACCCTCCACCTCAATTCTCCATCATCCCAGGTGGGGGAACCGTTGTTACTCCTGGTGGAGGTTCTACTGGACCGATTAGCCCAAGTCCTAGTAACGTTTGGACAATCGGTCCTGGATCTACTACTATTACTCATGGATAGATTGGTTGGGTGAGATGATTGGGGGTCGGATTGGGGGAGACTTGCATAGGGTGATTTGAGGGTGGTGGATGGATTGATGGAAAGGAGGGTGGGGTTTTTTGTATATATTGCAGATGTTGACGTGTTTTGGTTGTTGAAAATTGATTTATGAGTTTTTCTTGAAGGCTGGTTTCGTCATGTACTAAGTTCGATCTGTCTTTGCAGGGTCAATGATTGGAGGTCCCCAATGAGGAAGTCTCTATAAACAGGATTGAAATATCTCCATACCTCAATAAATAGTCTCTATTGCTGGGATTCCTACTATTGCTAGACCCTCAACAATCCGCCTATTTACGACGTGGTCCGCTTGTTTGAGAAGCAATCCAAATCAATGTCTTCTGTCTCTTAAGAAGTGCTGCTGCTGAAAGCCTTTACAAACAGATACTTTCTTCGCTCAAGGTCATGAGCGTATTGCAAATTCGTGGCTTCTAAGCTTCATAGCTGATTTAGTATACGTTTTTCGATTGCTAGAATCACTTGGGACACACGATCCCTTGTACAGTAGGGTTCAAAATCGGCGTTGGTTCACGACTCTCCAAAGATTCTATTTCGATGCTATATTTCAAGCGTCACTAACTTCTATCGTTGATTACATTATTACCCCTGCTCTATTGTGTATATTTTGACCGTATGCCCGAGGATTTCTCAAGGCTTATAGAATATTTTAAAATCTGGCTCTGTCCCAAAGCTGTCTTTCTAGATATTAGTTTTAGTCTCAAGTGTTATCGCGCTATTGACTCTATGTCTTTCCTCCCCCAGACACTGCCATATAATCAGAGTAAGTTCTCAAATGTTGTTTTTATACTTTGAAACTATACTATCGTAATGGTCGTCACCTGCGAGTCCGAAAACCAGTCAGCTATGATTGCAGTTCTTTCGGCCTCCTCTTGGTCCCAACCGTTCCAATCATCTATGACTCCTACTCGCTCAAATGCGTTTGGCGTAGATGAGGCGCCACATATCCCGAGAGAGTTCCTCAGAACCATTATCTGTGGCAAATATTTACTATCGTGCCATTCAGTCCCGATCCAAGCACAGACTAGTGGGAACGATTCTCCCTCATATTCCTCAAAATCCTCTTCACAATCAACGTCAAATATCAACACTTGTCCGTTTCGACTGATCGTAATGTTCAGTCCAATGCATGACGAAAGTTCTGGCTCTGTAAACTGTCCCATGACCTCGATAAGAGGCGTAGAAATTGTCAAGCTGGCGGGTTGTTTAACATTACCTGTGCTATCTTCACCAGCTGGCTCGCATTGTGTCTTTAGTAAGGTAGATCCAAACACTCCTGACTTATGGCTTGTAGCAGATGGATCGCCCGGTCTCAAATGCCGACAATCCAATCTGTCGCTTGAGTCGAACCCGTATGGACAGATGAGGCCACCGCCCTCCTTCTCTAGACTAGCCCATGACCAAGAAGGAGCCTGCCATTTCTCTGCTCTTTTTCCTTCGCACACTGTCCACAGGAGATCGGCAAGAATGGTTTCCCTCCACAGCCCAGCAAGGTAATCACCAGCGCCAGCCGCCTGGAATTTTTTGGCTAGTCCTGATAAGGCTGGTAATTCGTCGGAAACTTTCGTAATTTTTAGAGTCATATAATGTCTTATGATCCGGTTCCATAGAAAACGTTGCGACTCAAGGTAAGAATCGCGATCCTCGAGTTCTTTATTCCAGCCTATTTTGAGTACCCCTGGGTGAGACCTCAGTGCATTACATTCACAAGATGTCTGTTTCCGACATTGCCAAACCAAATCGTCTCCTACAAAATGGACTATCCGAGTTGCCAGGAGACGTTCCTGCAACGCCCAGGAACGGGTGAGGAGCTTATCATATAAGCTAGGCACGGTGCAGAACCACTGCTTAGCGAAATACTTATGTGATTTGCTCTCTTCTCGTAGATAGAACGAAATTGTTATATCAGCCGAAGTCGTATGTTGGTAGAAAAGGCAAGGAGAGCGGCGGGTCGAAAAGCAGCCTCCTGAGCTATCTCTGGCTGTAGTTGCGGCGATGACAAGATGGGCATTCTCGTAAACCAACGCCATTTTCGATGACTCTCTTTCCCAATCTCTTCTATCATCCTGGATAATGCATAGTGAGTCAATCCATAGATATCGAATTGACAGAGCACGACAAACTAAAACAGCGTCCTGAAAAGTTGTGGGTAGTTCACTAAACTGTATGCCTCGTTCTCGTTCGTAGAGATTACTCGTGCGCGTCTCTAATACGCTAGAAGAGCCCCAGCAATGACTGAGCGCACAGAACTTCCCATCAAGATCAAGACTGGACCGCAGCTTAATAGAATTATGCTCCCCGTGTTGAACGTCGAGGACTCGGGTTGGCAAGTATTTATGGGCTTGGAAACATTCGTTATGACTAATTGTACACCTAGAAACCCTCAAAATCAGTACTTAACTTAATTTCAGCACAACCGCCCAATAATGCTGCATTCCGATGTTGCCAGAGGGCCTATACGTGCTGGGGCGAAAGATAATAGTATTAGGAAAGCTTAGGAGTAGTGGGACATGCATACTGGGTTACCCAATTTGCTAAAAGTGACATGCATTCTACCGAGCCCGAAGTTGGCAATAGAATCGCTCTAGTTTTGATTGCGGGCCAAGGACATAGTTCACCTATTTCGGTTAGTCGAGGGTGTCTGTTTGGGCAACGGACTACAAATCAAGAAATGGTCTAGCTATGGTCAAAACTTACTAGTCGTAAATATTTCGAAGTAATGGGGGACCGAAGGCGTTGTCGTAGACCAAACTTCCATATATATATCTGAGCCATGGTTACTAGACCTGAAGCACAATTCCCGAGGTATGTAAATCTCCAGTTCTTGATCAAGGGATTTTAAAGCTGCTAATATGATCTTAGAGCACACACAACCTCTGTCGGCCTTTTGTTTGGCATCCTTCACGGATATTCTACGATACTGAAAATACTGTCTTTCAAACATAGCACATACCCTACATGGCGCCTTTTCTTGTCCTTGTGGGTCTGTTTCTTCCTCGATATCTGAGGGACTTTTAAAATCGTGTAGAGCCCATTGCTCCTTTGAATCGAGAGAAGGCGTAGGGCTGCTCATTATAGCCTTTCGGACAACCGCAACTTAGAGCACAACCCCTGGTGTATATGAAGAGTTTTATTTTTAGCTAAATCGGATTATTCTATCCACGAAACCTGGAGCTCCTGTTCGCTTAGAGAGGAACGTGCTGGAGGTATGATTCTGATCACAGTTGATGGGTATGAAAGCTAATGAATACTAATGGCTTTTGGTTGACTCTTGCTCTCGAATCATTCGGGTTGGGGAATACGGAGTAAATGCTGGTGGCAAAATTTCGTGGGTTGAGGATTTGCATTTGATAGAAATCGCCGAGGTACATTACTCTCTTATCAGGTTATCAGATTTGTGGAATTTTGTACACTTGTGATGTAGTTCATGTTGCTCAGCCTTGCAAGCGGGTACGATGACGGAAGGAGAGATTGTTAGGGTCGTGTGGCGGTGTTGTACAAGTGTTCAGCCACTGGAACTAGTGACTGCCAGGTGCCGAAGGGTGCTGGTGTTAGGTATCTGATGGATGGATGTCGAGGTGGTTGTGATATTGAGGGGATCTAGAGGAATTTGATGCAGATGAGTGAGGGGATTATGTTGTGTACGGAGGTGTAGACTGATCAATATACTGAACTAGATCCCTTGTGACGGTCAGTGCATTCGCAAAGCAATAGGAATGATTGCCGGTGTACAAGAGCGAGATTAGATTGCGGAAATGAACATCCAGCTTGCTTCGTGGTAGAAACCTGCTTTTTATGGCTTGGCATATATAAAGTCCAAGCGATTAGGGTTTTGAATATTTTGTAGATTCGAAAAGGAAACAAACATAGAAACAAACAAACAAGCTAAAGGGATACTCGTCTTTACACATAGAGTTTATAGGCGATAGAGTACATTACTGTACCTCGGTCGCGTGGCTGTTGTACTCCTTCCCCGGATTTCGCGTCACCCTCCCAACAAGGCAAACGCGACATCAACCACTTTTCTGCATCTTCACAAACAACATCCAACACCCGAAATCGAATTCTTTACGCAGGCTGGTCCTGTCTGTATTATAACGATATACCTATCTTTTCTCGAATTACATCTGCGAAGCGATTGTGCCGATACCACGAAAGACGGCGACGGCGACGACGATACAAGCAATTAAGTGAAGAAGGCAAGCTTCCAGACGGCCAGATCAAGAGTTGTTGGGGCATTATGCGTAAGTCTTGGTCGATTTCCTTGTTGCTTATCCATCGTTTCTGCGGTCATTGCACCTTGGCCATCTGATTACTTCTTGGCCGGTCCTGCTTGGCTCTTGGATTGCGGAGACTGCGATTACTTTTTACGGTTGTCGAATCGCATGGGATGGATCGCCACCACGAATCGCCAACTTCACCACTTCAACCATACACCAAGTTTCTGCTGGACAAAGAGAATACCTGGGATGACATCTATTGGGAAAAGAAGACGATAACCTGTTCTGCAAAGTCACGCGCATCGAACATCAACTCTTTGTTTATCATCTCTTCGAATCTTACTTGGATGCGCACCGCTACTATCAGATCGTCCCTTGCTTAGCTCTCTCCGCTTCCAACGTCCACCCACTTGGATCTCGCAGTCAGCACGCTTCGCCTTCCACTTGCGTGGCTCCGTCAGCGAGCATCACCCTGTCATTCACCGGAGTTCGGCTTCTTATCACGCCTGTCGCCCTGTAATTCGTCGAAGCTGGAACCCAACCCAGACGCCCCCGAGCTCAAGTACTTGTGCCGCGCTCCCCCACGTCCTGGACATCTGGACATCTGGACAACTTTGTTTTCCTACTCAATCCATTCACTCTTCAACCAAGGACTCGGTGCCTCGACGTGTTGAATACTATATCGATGAAGAAAACTTCGAGTAATTCTGATTCATCTCTAGATCGCATACGCTCTTGGGCACGAACCAAAGCGCATGGCCCCTCTCCACTCTCCAAAGACTCCAGCAGACCTTCGATCCTCCCCCTAAACCACACCCAAGATCCCTCTACCTCGACGAGCAAAACCGTCTCCCAAAATGAGCTCGACACTCTCCCTTCGACTGCAAAGATCGTGCGGGATTCAAGTACATCCAACAACACCGCAGATGTCGCATCGACTGATGGACCGCCACCAGCTCCACCTCCGCAAGCTGATGGGCAGGGGACTGTCATAGAGCCCGAGAAGGAAGAGAAACCCAAGAAAAATGTCGCAACCAGATTCTGGCTGACGAGCAAATCTATCGTACTTTCCAGCTACATCAACTGGCTGCTGGTATTCGTCCCGGTAGGTATAGCAGCAGAGGCTGCGGGACTCAGTCCAGGCATCATCTTCGGGATGAATGCGATTGCTATCATACCTCTGGCAGGCCTACTAAGTCACGCTACTGAGAGTGTGGCTAAGAGAATGGGAGATACGATTGGTGCTCTAATGAATGTCACGTTTGGAAATGCAGTGGAACTTATCATCTTGTATGTCTTAAAATACCATTTTTGGCGGAACACCAGCTAACACATCCTAGCATGTATGTCTACCTCAGAAGAGATCAAGACAAGAAAGTGCGAGAAGCCCTCTTAAAGGCATTATCATATCAATCGCGTCCCATATCATCTGTCCCATTTCTTTTGTCTCCTAGTGCTCCCCTTGCCGTACCCCGTGAAGTTTGTAAAAGTCTCATGCTCACATTTTGTGTTCCAACGCATTAGCATTGCTCTCGCAAAGGTTCGTCTATCGCTGCAATGTGACTTTACTTCTGCTAACTTTACCAGGGTGAAATTCGTATTGTACAAGCATCACTGCTTGGTTCGATCCTTGCCAATCTCCTCTTGATCCTAGGTATGAGTTTTCTGTTGGGTGGACTTCGTTTCCAGGAACAGGTAGGTTACTTGCTGCGTTACAGAGGACAAATTGCTGATATCGCTGCAGATCTACAATAGCACTGTTACTCAGATGAGTGCGTGTCTGCTCAGTTTGAGTGTCATGAGCTTGCTTCTTCCGGTAAGTTAAGTTAGTAGTATGATTATTTTTCTCTAATTCGATCTAGACGGCTTTTCATGCCTCGTTCAGCACGGAGCAGTCCGAAAAAGCGACATCAGCTGTTCTAAAGGTTTCTCGAGGAACAAGTGTGGTACTCCTCCTTGTCTATGGTTTATATCTACTCTTCCAGCTCAAATCGCACGCCTACATGTACCAAAGTACACCACAGCATATCATTGACGAAGAATCTGCTCCAGGACCTGTGGCTCAATGGATGGATTCGTCATCAGATTCGTCAAGCGATTCTTCAAGCTCTGACTCGGACGACTCTAAAGGATCTAACACAACCGCAAAACGTATCAAGCGGGCCTTTACCGGCCGCCGCCGACGCAAGTCTAGCGCAGGATCAGACGAAAAGGCAGCTGCAGCCGCAGTGGCGCGTACAAGGACGTCCTCTATCGGTACTAGTTCTATCAGTCCTGTGACCACCGATGCTGTCGAGGAACCACAAACTCCGGGCCATCGCTTTGGTGCAATTGATTTCTCCGAGGATGCAGACGATGAGAACCGACAGCGGAGCCGTCGTGGATCTCATGGCAGCATGGTATTTCCATCTATGAAAGAGCGTAAAGCTCTGAGGAGAGAAAAGGAACGCCGTCGGCAAGAAAGAAAAGAACTGAAGAGAGCCAGAAAGACCAAAGAAACCATCACTGAAGGAGTCGAATTAGGTCAATCTAGTGGGAAGACTGAAGAAGGTCCAGCCGCACCTCGAAGGGTAGATTTTGCCGTCGTTAACGAGGCCGAATCTCAACCCGAAGCCGTTAAGCCAGTCCGAATCTTTCCAAGTATCAGTCTCCGACCGGCCATACCCAAGACTTTTTCACAAAACGTCTTTACGATGCCTGCTCCAACACCAGCTGCACCCGTTGGCGGACCTATTCCTCGTGTCAAGATGGGTATTCGTCGAACCAACTCGCTTCCAGATCGCCTCAACCAAACTTATTCCGGACCAGCTCGTGCTTCATCAATTGGTACTACCACTCCTCATGTGAACAGCACTACGATCATGGATAACAATGACACCGATGAAGAAGAAAACATCTCTCGTACTACTGCTGTTGTTCTGCTCCTTGTCTCTACTGGTCTTGTCGCCGTCTGCGCTGAGTTTATGGTTGATAGTATTAATGCTGTCGTTGAGGGTAACTCGGGTTTGAGTGAAACCTTCATCGGTCTCATTATCCTGCCAATCGTCGGTAACGCAGCTGAGCACGTCACCGCCGTCACGGTCGCCACCAAGAATAAGATGGATCTTGCAATTGGTGTTGCCGTCGGATCATCTATTCAAATTGGTAAGTCCCCTCTTTCCCTATCATTTCTTAGACTAACGATCCCAGCACTTTTCGTTACACCTTTCGTTGTCCTGCTTGGCTGGGCCATGGGCAAAGAAATGTCTCTCTACTTCACCCTCTTCGAGACCGTCTCACTGTTTGTCTCGGCTTTCATCGTCAATTTTTTGGTCCTGGATGGTCGATCGAATTATCTGGAAGGAGCCTTGCTGTGCGCGGCGTATGTTATTATTGCTGTAGCGGCGTTCTTCTATCCGCAGGTGGAGGATCAGAGTAATCTTGGTGGGAATGAGGCTGCTGCGAAGATGATTAGGGGGTTGGTGGGGATTTAAGGGGGAGTTTGATGGTGATGGGTGTTGTTGGTGAGGGTTTTGAGGGTGGGACTTTGTAGGGTGTGTGTGAGTTGTGAGATGGATTTGGTGATGGGTGAGGGTTATTCTTCTTTTACATTTGGTTTTGGTTCGGAGGTGGCGGAGGGTGGTACATGAATGAGTTGCTACTTGCATTCATATAATTTTGTAGAGCATGGGTTGCTGAGTGGAATTACACTACAATACATTGCGAAATTCATATTGATTTCCTCTTAGGGCTCGGAGTTTCACGAACTGGCTGTCCTACCTAACGCGACGTGAGTTACAATGTGATCCATAATTAGAGACTCAACTTGTTACTCTGACCCACCGTTTAAGGCTATTCAATTGGATAAGCTAGACGTTGTAGCTTTCATCTAGCTCGAGGACTTACTCAACTTCTTGAAATGCAATTGAGCTTATGTATGAGTGAAATTAGATCTTGTTTAGCCGACCCACTTGATCTCTACTATATACCAGGGCAACATGATGCAGAACCCTCCCTCCATATATCCCCCAAGCAGTTCCATCAGACATGCGGGAAAAACTGGCTCCAGCTCACACTTTCAAACGCACTAGGCGGCAAACTCCTCAACCCCACTAAATCTTCTATCAAGATAAACACTCTAAACAAGCAATATACCGCACAAATCATCGTAATAGGCACAATCGCCAAAAGCGGGATCTCCAGATGCGGGTCTTGGTCTGGCGACGTATTCCTCAACCCCGCGCCTAACCGCGTCGTCCACGACGCCTCTAGATCCGGTATCGTCGTGGCTTGATTTCTTTCCTTCTGCAACATTGAACGTCTCGAATCGCCATAACTCGTCGTGCTGGACGGCAAGAGTATGTAATGGCAATACCCGCTATACAGGCCCCCGACGCAGCAGAAAAACGCCATGTACACGCTCGACGCCCGCCACAACATCTGCTCGACCCGCGACGGGAACTCGAAGTCCCACGCCAGCGCGAAGATCACGGCGTACGCCCCGATCAGCGGCGCCGAGAGGACCTCGGACAAAGCGTCGGTGGCGGCGAAGTGGTCGGTGCGGATGCGGTCGTGTGGCCGGCTGGTGATGCGTCGTGTGAAGAGGTGGATGAGCGGGATGTGCAGAGTGTAAGCTAGGTTAGTAAAGTAGGACCAGAAGAGCGACATGAAGTATTCGCGGCGCGAGATGAAGTCTAAGGGGGTGCGAAACCAGGGGGCGCGGGCGGAGGGGGGTCCCTCGGAGTGGATTCGCGAGATGGGGGTGGTGGTGTGAAGGGTGAGAGGGCGGGAGACGTCGATGGGTTTGTGGCGCCAGGCGAAGGAGATGAAGAGGTAGAGGAGGATGAAGGAGAGGGTTGTTAGTTCGATGGTGGTGAGGGAGAGGGATTGGAGGGGTCGGGCGACGCAGGAGATTGTGAACCAGAGGGTTTGGCAGACTGTGATTAGGCTTGGGGGTATGTTAGTACTTTCGTCAGGTTCGTGAAGAGGAGTTTTCGCTGAGGGTTTATGAACTGGAATATTCTTACCGTGCCAGTCCGTCGGATTTGTTCTTGTCGTCGATATCGGCCTTGTGGATATCCGGGTACTCGATATATCTCTTGTCGATCAAGTAGTAGAGCTGTTCCGCATCAACCGGAAACTCGGGATACCCAGGCGTTTGAAGCATAATCCCGCCCATATCAGCAAAGAACGCATGCGTCATCGTCCACTGCTCATAACCAGCCGCTCGGAACATCTGAGTTTGAAATGAGTGCTTGCTTCGTACATGGATTCAGAGGATTTACCTTGACCGAACGTCTCGCAGAAGCCCATTGCCCCAGGGCCAGCATCAACAAGAACTCTGGACCTAATAGACCCATAAATGCGAGGTTCATCTTGTCCTGGAGCTGCATCCATTTGCTGTCGTTCTTGGCCGGAACGTTGGGACATACCGAGGTCCAGCAGCAGAGGAGAGTTGTCAAGCAGCATGAGAATAGAATGTCGATGGTTCCTCGTTGGTCAGGACTTGATGTCCATCCTTGCATCACATGCTGGGTTCCGTTGGTTGAAGCGTTCATCGTGGGATTTGCTGAAGGGCCAGCCTGACAGCAGATGAACGGTATGTGTTCTGGACGGTTGTCAGATACAGAGATGAATGTACGAGGAAAGATTCTACCCATATAACCTTATACCCCCGGAAATATAAGGTTAAGTTAACTTACCAGCGGAAGCGTCGCCATTGGAACCACCAGTCTTAGACACACGGCACTCTGCATGTCAGCTCGGCGCCACAACCGCTCTCGGCGTCTAGGCACAGCATCCAAAACATTTCTAGAAAGAACGATTTTTAGCCATATACTTAAGACAAAGCTGGGAACCTACAAATAGAACGCTCGACTCAGAACGGGTCACCTTCATGGTCGTGATGAAACACGTCCAACATTAAGCGAGAATGGGAAAGGGGGTGCAGGTGGTTGGTCTCAAAAAGCAGTGTGGTCTGTGCTTGACCTCCTAACCGCCAACTTGGGCGTCAACTAGAGGCGACCAGATGCATGTCCTCGTAAGCAAATCGATCACGGTGGAAGTTGTGCTTGAGTGAAGTCAAGAAACTCTGTCTTGGATTATGGGTCCGATGAGAAGTTGCGTGGTGAAGAGGACGAGCTACGGACTTGTCCTTTGTTGCGTTGTTGATTCTATGATTCTGCCACCATTATAAGTTCAAAATCAAGATCCAAGGAGCCTTCTAGCGAGCTTGCTATGTTGATGTTGAACATAGGATATCGCGGCGATGATGCAAATGGGCAAATTGATTGTCTACATATACTCGCTTGCGCTTTGATGAAAGGTTGTGGACGTGTTCAAGTCACTTTTAATTATGCGTACTCACTACTTAATTACTGCTTAAACCTACTTTGCTAGTCCTCCCAAGAATTCTCCTGGATACCCGTCGGGGGGTAACAATCAAAAAGGTTGCTATTCGACACCTTGACATTACCACAAGTACTTAAATATCAAGCCCCCTCATTTGACTTTGAGGTATGACCCTGTACACCTCCCTGAAAATCTTCACTATCGACACAAATCGATTATACAGTGCGAGTAAAATCAAGTCGCTGTTTATACAATTTCGCAGAGAATTGTACTAACGCTTATGGAGAGATGATGTCTCCCACTATTTTCTAATTTCATGTATCCTACTCTTGTTTGAGTTTTATGAAAGAAAATGCGTAAGATATTTAGGGCGTGGAAGAGAGTATAAAAAACTATTCGCTAGGAAAAACTAGAGATTTGCTACTACTTCGGTACAGGGTCAGGAGATAGAGGTAGTATATAACAATATTCTCTTTCTTTGTATTACTACAGCGTAAGAGCTTAGTTTTTACGTGTATTCTAATTAATCGACCAACTGAAGCTTAAATCTGTGGTGCTCGATGCTGATTTTGTTAGCGCGTTGACTTCCTCGACCCTGACTCAAGATGCTGGATGTTGGATTTGCTAGGCTGAATGACGCCGAGGTGAGAGTTATTGCAATTCTGCTTCTTGTGATGTCAGTGGAATTTCGTCGGGTACATTGGAGGTGTTTGGTTAGCGCTTGCTTATCTCCATAAAAACTATCATTGCTGAGGTCTATATCCCTCGACTTGACTTGATAAACGCGACATGTTACGATGTGGAATGACGCACTATGAGTCTTGTGAAACTCGAAGGTCAATTCCAACTTGCATCTGCAAATGTTTAAAACTTTTCTGACATTCCATATGTACATCGATTCTACGTACAACTTCACATCACTTATTCTTCTACCTCATTGTAACGTTCTCTGCCCCAACCAACTTGCGTAATGGCGCGAGAATGTGAGTCTCAATTACAACATATAGTTCAAGCCGTCATTCGTGATGGCAGCGAATCAATGCATCCAAGAAACTGTATGCAAGAGCGGGTCCGAGATATCTGGCAAAACATGCATTTCAAAGCCTGCCTCCAAGGTCCCAACGGCTCAAAGTGCTGGAAGACGTTTCGGGCAGATCAGTTAACCTGGAACCGGTACTGTATGTGAATCAGAGCTAAATTACTCAAGATACTAATGGCTTTGGTTCCTGGCAAAGAATTTTCTGGTTTGGAACGGTCAACTCAATCCGAGACTTTCCAAAGATCAGACTCTCATTGACTGCTACTCGGAATGCACATGGTACCGATACCTCCCAGTGGATCAATAGTCGGGCTCAACGTGTTGCACCCGTCGCTTCTGCCGCGGAAGCAATTAATGGTTCTAACCTATCAGTAGCGCCCGCGGATGACTGGCCAGGGAATGTCTGCCGGAATCCTGTGTCTCGTGCATGCTGCTCACCTTCATTACCCATGAATATGCGTACGTCGCCCGGTAGCAGTTTCTCAAGTACGGCAGACGTTGCTAGGAATATCAATTCTAGTTACTCAACATCTTCCGCTCCTATCAATACCTGCTTGAATGCTGAAGATGATGATGTACCTTGGTCACCTACGATGGCGCTGGACATGCGCTTTGATATTGAAATACCTCCAAGAAACGGTACATCGGAATCGGCATCGAATATCCGTCAATCCTTTCCGAGTAATGGAACTCAAGTCTCAACTTCAAGCGAAAAAGACCTCCGCACTGCCAATCAACATCATCAAAGTGATGCCATATCTGATGCAGAAACGAGCCCAATCTTTCCCAATAGCAGAACGCCATAGTCTCGCTCAACCAATCCAAAACTGCGTGTTGTTACTCAACTTGACAGCACACTTAGGACGCCTCTATCTTCTTCAATAACACAAGTCATGAGTCCAAATTCACCGACTTGTGCATCTCCGAGGTCTCAGAGCGTACCTTGGTCTCCTTCGATGGCTGAAGACATACGCCTGTTTGCGAGTGCTTAAAGAGCTGCCCTGGCTGCTTCAATCGAAAGAAAGCAAGCAGCAAGTACTCAATATGATAGCCGGCCTTCCTCTCCTAAGATGATCACAGACATGCGCGATAGCACCACGGCTAGAAGAGCCGCCTTAGCTACCACAATCGCAGAAGAGCTGCTAGCCATGACTCAAAACTATAGCGAATTCTGGTCTCCTTGAACAGCGATGGCGGCCGAAAGAGCTGCTTTGGATGCTGCAGTCACAGAGGAGCTGACTCTCAGGACTCACAATGGCGATGTACTTTCCACGGATCTAGGGGAGATGGGTGTTATAAATAGTGCTCAATCGGTCGCTAATGGCGGTCGCTTCCGGAGGAGCGTTTACTAAGAGTTAAGAGCTCTAAGGCTAGTGAGGGTAACGGCGTGTTGTCTTTAATAAGTGTTGCTTGACTCAAGTCTGTATCAACTAGACAGCTTAAAGACCTGTAAAATAAAAGTCGACTTCGGTATTTTCGATAACAACTTTATATCTCAAACTAGATCGCAAAGTAATGAGTACAAAGTATTACCAAGGTAAAGTATACTGATACTTAACTCAGTGAACAATAGAGATTGGCAGGCGAAGAAGTGAAAGTAAAAACGGCTCACGAGATAGGCACGAAACATCGCTCGAACAAGGCACGCTCAGTCGATGAGAAAAGAGTAATCCACGAGCTAGACGGCGAATTTCCAAGGTTGTGTGTAACGTAAGCAAATGAAGCGAACCGCAAGACCCGAACAAAAATATAACTGCTCAAGGTCACATAATTCCAGCAGGTAAACAAAGTAAGAAACTCTAAGCACGTATAAATTCAACTCCATTCATTCTCTATAAAAAAAGGTGTACCAAATAACAAGACCCCATGCCCAAAAAAATCCCAAACCCATCCCACCTAATTCGCAATTGTCTTGAACCCTAGGACGACAACAGCAAAAACATCGGTGGAAGATGGAAAAAAAACACAATCTGCGCCCGCTTCAAAAAGAGACAAACTATCAGGAATCCCTAGTCCTGATCGCCAAACTGGGAATGTCATTTGCAAATCCTCATTATAATACAACATCATTGCGCCATTTCTGATCTTATGGTCTATCACCAGCAAGGACACCGTCTGAAGGACCGGAATGGGCACCGACGTTGTTCCACGATAGATAGGTATGATCGCCCAATTTTCTTGGTTTGACGAGATGAGTGACGAGGAATAGGGCGCCGAGGACAACGCAGATTCCACCGACTACGACGTATGCGATGCCGAGGAAGGGGTTTCTTCCACCCATGACGGTTCCGGTGCTGATGACGATTGATTTGGTGCCTCCGTACTCGGTTACGTTGAAGACTGAATGAGTTAGCGATTAGTGTAATGCAGAGAGGGATAGGTAACTAACAACTAGTGATATTCAACTGGTATTTTCCTTCAGGCATATTGTCATTTGACTTTTGCGCAAGCTTGCTGAAGGTTGGAAGACCAGCTAGACGCATCCAAACCTGGAAAGACTCGTCCTCAACAAGGTCTGGGTACCTGTCCGCAGTATAACCATTAGGATAGCGGCCTTCCCAGTTTGGTGGAGGTATCACATCCGTCGCTAGATTGTACTTGGATTTTCCATATAACTCTTTATCACTATTCCATGCTATGCTTTTGTTCGACATGAGATACGGCACGGGATCGTTCGCAGCTCCGACTCGAACTGGGTTGCCGAATGTATCATTGAAAACAGAGTTGGCAGCCAATCCGCAAGGATAGTATGGCTTTTTAACGCCGTCCCTGGGATCGACAGCCGTCGTGAGTGGTGTGCAGTCACTGCTGTGGACTGAGCTTTCAGAAACGGCTTTGCCGCCAAGTTGGTCGATGTTGAAAGATTTGGCATAACGTCTGTGATTTTGGTAGAAATTGGTGAGGCGATAATAGAAGTATACTGGACCCTTCATTTCGTTCTCGATCGTAAATTCGAGTTGGCATAGGTAAACATCGTATTTGAAAGGTACCCCGTCGAATGTCTTCTCTTCTTCAGTCAGATTTCGCCGGGACCACCGGGGTCTACGGTCATCCTCTCCCCATGTCGTATTTCCCTTTCCAAAATAATGTTCGTACGCCGAGCTAGGTACAGCTGCTGTCTCTGGGGATATAGGAGCGTCGGTCTGGCAATGCGAATAGTCGATACTGATCTCTTGGACCTGTCCCATACCCAACATCAGCTTCAGGTCATGTAGTATAGCCAAATGAATATACGAACCGCTCGACTAGCATATAGTAATCCTCCACCTATGGGCGCAAATATAATTCCGATAGCGAAGAATAAAGGAAGGACGGTCTTGGGTGTGAGAATCGGTCTGCATGCGAAGGTCCATTAGTACATGTCCTTCTATATCCTTCATCAACCAGCTCGCGGCGCCACTCACTGCCATGCTTTCAATCGCTGTTGCCGGAATGCGGTGTCTATAGAGAGAATATTTTGTCAATATACATGTATCTCTTACGCGGAAAATGCGGATAAGCTCACTCGCTGGCCTCCTGCTCTTCGGTTTCTTCTCGTCTGGGTGTTGATTTGGATCCTGCGAATCGATCGAGTCCGGGTGGTTCAAGCCTGGAGTATCAGCCATCTTGTATGAATGTCGCAATCGTGGGCCAGGGACAGGCTGCGAATTGAAAAACTGCGACGGCGATGATGTTGCAGTGTTGTCTTGATGCTTTGACGTCGTGTTCGCGATCCTCCGTTTGCTCTGCTCAGTCAGCCTCAAAGGGGTTCCGTTGTTCCCGCGCCGCTTGGTGGGGATGCGAGCCTCAGCCACCTCTCGACGCCACGTACTCGATGTTGAAAGAATAGGTAAAACCCATGTGAACTTTCCTGCGACAGGTTAAAGGCTCTATCGTCGTTGGACATAGAGCCTTTTATTAATTATTCAATAGATACTAAGCCAAATTTATGTTATAAGTAGACTTTTATGTGTCAAATTTTAGTAATATTTATTCATTTATTCGTTTCTGTTAATCCCGCTCCAATACACATGCAACACATGCAATGCTAGATAGCCACTCCGATGCACCATTCAAACGACAATACAAGGGTATAATAATAGTGAATCCTCTCTCTTTCTGTGGTGCAATCTTATTACAATCGTCGTGTCCTCTGTACTTCTTCTCCCGAACACCCATCAAAACCTATTGCTCGTCTCTGAAGATGTATGCGCCGCCTGGTCGCATCGCCTCTTCATACCTCGTTCGAACAGCCTCCTGCTTCTTTTCCTGCTCCATTCTTCGAAGCTCTTGTTGCTCTTGGGTAAGCGGGAAATCGGTATCCCAAAACCCTGGTGGGCTTTGTTTTCTCTGATATGCGTGGCGATGTCTTCCATACTTGTTAGCCAACTCGCGAGTCATTGCTTGTATGATTGTTTCTTCTCGCTGCGCGGGGTTCATGCCTCGAATTCTATAAGCATTGTCACCCATGAATTCTTCTAGAATTCGCTGATCCTCAACATCTTGGTCTCTTCTGGGATTGTCTCTCATCATCAAGACGAGATTTCGTAGATCATTCCCACAACACTCTGGTTTCACACATCCTTGTAAACATCGCCGTTGATCACGACCGCGTACAACGTCTTTGAACGCGTAGGCAATGCCTTGATTTGCATTTGGATTGACTTTAAAATCGCCAATTGTAAGGGTCTCAATTGGGCGTATCCTCAATGGCTCGTGTTCCGGATTCATCTCGTCATCCTCTGCTCTCATATTACGCTGCTTCCTAGTCGAGGTAGTAGGCAATCGTCTAGTAGAACGAAGAGCTGTAGCCGGCGTATGGTTCCTAGTTTCTCCCGGTTTGGTTCTGGGGGTAGCTATTGTTCGGTGTCCTGCGACTGGAGTATCATTTGCTTGCCCTGCACCACTTGTAGGTTCAGATTTGATGATTGGAAACTCGGGAATGTCTATTGCTCTTGTTCTACGCGCAGATTGCGGTCGATGGGAAGGTTCCGTGCTTGGAGATGCGCTTCTCGGCCCAGGCTGCTCCATCGAGTTTCTGATGTTTCTGATATCTCTGATATTAGCCGGTATAGGTCTACCAGGTTCTAGGGTAGGTATGTACATCTTCTCATAAGTTGATCTGAACGGCGTTGACCGTGTGTTGCTACCAGACTGCCTGCCTAAATTTCGTCGAGCTGGACTAAGAATGGTCTTCGGGGGAGATGGTTTGGCCAGAAGGTTATCCAGACGAGCAGTGGCATCTATTTCAGGTTGCGGATTTTCAGATTGTAAGTATATGGTGCCATCTTCAGATAGCGCACCCACTGCGTTATCGCTGGCCAGACGTCTAGGTTTAGGTGTCAGATTATTCGATGTCCGTGGCAAAATTCTCTGATTGTTGTCTATTACCCTTAGAGGCGAGGCAATTTGGGGGTTTTCGGCATGTAGTTGTTGAATTGGCACGGCTCGTGGAACAGGAGTGCTAGTTAAAGAAGAACGAAGGGCATGGTTCGCAGTCGTACCGCTGCCTTGAGATCCCCAAGAAAGGTTTGACGTCTGTCTGATGATATCCCGTTGACGGTGTTTCTTCGGGGTGTCTACCTTCTGCCCTATTTCATCAAGATCAAAACTTTCGATATGCTCCAAGCGGCGCATCGGTGCAACTTCTGACGGACTACTGGTAATTGCTTCAACCTTAATTTTCACTGGAGGCGTCGAAACGTCATCTTCATCACGCCGTTTTCGCTTCTTAACACTACGAGATGATACGACCACCGGGCTATCTGGAGAATCCGGTATGTCAGGGGGTACCTCTGAGGGCATATTTTGGCCACGACGGTGCAGTGTCGGAGAGTCGTCATCTTCCGTCGAAGAGCTTGACGGAAGAGGCCCCAGAGGTTCAAATTGTGTATCTTCGACATGGAATCGACCCTCACCCAGGAGATTCGGTAGCTCTTGAGACTGACCCAACAGCCCAATGCCATGATCATCTGGAAGTCGAGATGATGATATGGGAAGTATACCTGGATGATCTGCTTCCTCAGCCTCATCCGTCGGCCCATTCTTCGAAGGGCTAACTGGTATTTGAATTTCCTTGTTCGGCAAGCTGATGTCTTGCAAACCCTCTTGCGGCAACACATCTGTACAAATCTGCGATGCGTTACCTACTTCCTCGTCATCACCACCTTCATGATTTACTTCCCCAAGCTGAGCCTTTAATTTCCGTATCGTCTCCCTCTTTTTCTGAATTATACCGTCCCTGTCGGCAACGTGCTTCGTCAACGTCCCTATTCTCTTCTCATGCTCTAATTTCTTCTTCCGGAAAATCTCCTCCAAAGTCTGTTTGGATGAAACAGCTTCATTGCGTGCATTACACAAGATGTTGTATTTGTCGACCAGCTTGTTCCACTTGACCACATTATATTCGCCGTCTTTGATCTTGCCAACTATAGAAGAATCGCTGGAGACCGGGGTCGTGTTTCGTGTTCGCTCATTCGATTCCACATCAAGTGCCTCGCGCAAATTCTTGTCTTGAAGGCTCTTCTCCAATCTCGAAAGCTCTACCGCCAGCCGCTCATTTTCTTTCTCGACCGCATCCCAATGTTTCCTGGACTCCTGCAATTCCTTTAGTTCGCTAGAGAGTTGCGAGTTCTTCTGTAACAGCTGGTCCACTCGGGCGGCTTTCTCTTCCAGTGCATTCAACTCTGTTCTTGAAATTCGCGTGTAGTTTTCCTTATCAAGCTCTAGAAGCGCATCATTAGTGAAGCCTTGAGCTAGAGAAGAATTGAGCAACCTTTGACAATGCCCGATTCAACGCGATTGCAAATCCTCGTCAACTCTGTGAATAACTCCTCCCTTCCTGATGACCAACTTTCCATCTTAACGGCATAGAGGATTAGATACTGTTTCTTGAATTTCAATTGCTTGTCAGTACCGTCGGAGGTATTCCCTTGTTGCCTTTGCCTGCGGTCCTAATGGCAGTGACATCTGGAATTAACATGGTCGTCAATGGCCTGGGCGCGCTTCGTCGACGCGTTGTGGGGTAAAGCTCCGGAGAAGCTGCTCCGGGAAGCGGACCGAAGTCGGAGGCATCTATTATTTGGCCAACGAAGCTTTTACAACTTCATTAAAAATTGTCGTTTGAAATTACAAAACGCTACAATTAAAATCGTGAGACAACACCCCATCATGCGAAGTATATCACCTATGTTATTATTAACAAGTTTCTAGATAGAGAGATAATAAATATCTAAATTATAAGCCTAATAAATAAAAATCTTCTATATTTTCTACTTTATAAGTTAATCGCTTAAATTTTAAGTACAGTTCCTCTTTTTCTCTTATCCATTCACTCAACTAAGAACTTACAGGTCTTGTGTTTACATTCGCACTTTTTCGTTAAGATATGGCGATTTTTTTAACATGTAGCACTCGCTGACGTAAGTAAGCTATTTATCTAGACGATTTAAAATCTCATGAGTAAATGAGATGTTAATTATTACTAGATGCCTAGTACCGATCTTGATTAAGAAGCTAAATAAAGTGTCAAGAGAATAAACACAAGAAAAGACGAAGCAATAAGGTTAAATTAAAACTGTTTAGATATAAGTATAATATCTACAAATGCACAATAGTATAAGATCTACACTACTTATATACTATGAGTGTAATAACTACAACACAAAATGGTATAAAAACAACCCAAACCGCTTCTATGCCTATAAACACCAATCCCGTCATTTACAAATCAAGCTGACCAAGTCCTAGGATGAATCATCCTCCCAAATCTCCGATGTGACGGTTTTATCGGTATATCTTGTACCTCCAGCCTCAAGTCTACGCAGCCAATACTTGTTCCCTGGACATCGAGACGGGAAGTTCTTACTTCCAGCGCTTCATCAATCTTACCCTGCTGCTCCAGGGCATGACTCAACATCTTTCGGGCACTTGTGTGGTCATATCCGTCCAAATCGAGTGCCTGCCGACACCTGGCTTCAAGCTCACTCCATTTTTGTTGATTCCAGAGCGTCATACATAGATTCTCGAGTACACGCGGACTCACTTTCTCTTCGCGGTTGATTATCTCCAGAAACTTCGTTTCAGCCTCCGCATCCCTTTCTTGCCGCGAAAGACAAATTCCATGCCACTCCAGCGCACGCAAAGTATCTGCATGCACCGGATCCAGGAAACCCTCTCTCGCATTCGAAATCTCCTGAAATAACGGCCCCGCTTTCTTAGGCTGACGATTCAGCACGAGACAAACTGCATATGCCTCTAACGCATCAACAGTCTCCTGGTGTCCTCTCCCCAGCATATTGGTAAGTAGTTCGAGGAGCCTATAGTGATACGTCTTCGCGTGCGCAAAATCACCTTTCAGCCTGTTGCATTCGGCAATAAGCTGCAAACCACTCGCCGTGATCTGCCATCCTGACTGATTCTTACAAACACCAAGTATAGCTTTCGCAAGGTCAATCGCTTCTTGTAACCTGCCTTGCCGCATTACCTGCTCCGCATGGCAAAGTCGATACTCCAAGACATGCACATGTTCCGGGTTATATAATTCCTCGCCGAGCTCAATGAGCTTCTTATACAGAATCTCCGCCATACTTGCGTCGCCCTGGAACTCGGATATCGACGCGCTACTCCTGTACATATATATCGTTTTCGTGTTTTCCGATGCGTCGGTGCTAGGACTAAGATCGATGATCTTCTGCCAGTGCGAAATCGCTTCGTCGACGTGTCCAAACATAGCAAGTTCTACGGCGTAGTCCTCCATGTTGTCTAAAGTGCGGATACTTCGCGTCCCTTCCATTTCTTTCCAACATTCAAAGCTTGCTTTTCCCATGGCGAGGCTTTCCTTTTCGTTGCGTTGGTCATAGTACAAGTGTGCCAATTCGAAAGCAGATTCGGCATAGTGTAGGCTGGGATAGTGGGCATTTGCTATAGCCTTTTTGAGTGTGACTGTAGCGGCGCGTATATCGTCTTCAGATTTAGCTTCATAGTACTGCAATCGACCGTAAAGCCATGTTGCAGCAGCAAGTCTATCATCATTCGGCGGCACTAACTCTTGAAATATCGAGAGACTGTGATGGGCCCCACGGAGGGCTTGATCACACTTCCCACGCTCGACGTCAAAGTCTGCTGCCCAACATATTAGATGTGCCAAGTCTAGTCGAGCTTCCACAGACGGATACTTGTATCTTGTCACAATCTGAACATGAGGAGCCAGAGTATCGCAAAGTGGCCATTCTGCCACTCCTATCTCTGTTGGGTAGGTCATCGACACGCAGTGAAGGGCTCTGTCCTTCCATTTCTGTGCTGTGCCCGAGCGATTCAGTGATATTTGAACGAACCGCTGTACAAGTCGATGCATACCAAACGACTGAGAACCCGCTCGCGCGGTAATGAGATTGAATGCCTGTAAGGTACCTAGCGAAGTCACGACTTCGGGTACCCCACCAGCCTTAAGCAAAGACCGGGGAATACTTTGTCTGTCTAACATCGCAAGTAAAGAAAGTAGTTCAGCGGCTCTCGGCTTTTGTTGAGAAATCAAGTCGAAGGATAACTTCCACGTTCGAAATACAGAGTTGATGCTTTGCTCGTCTCGCCTCGAATCGTTTAGCTCTTCATGCAGAAACTCCTCGGCATCATCCCCCCTAAGTGCCTCCAGGTATTCAGAGATGGAGATTCCGTTTTCCTCGATGAAAGCCGCGGCTTGCGAAATAGCTAAGGGTAGATAATCCAGCTCGTGGAGGAGATTGTCTATCTCCTTTTTATCGTAATCATGTGGGTCGCCATCAACTTTGGAGAGGAACAGCTTCGTAGCTTCTTCTTTTGACATTGCTTGCAAGGTGATGGGCTTTCCCTTATTTGCCAAGCGCGTAGCAACACGGGTATCGCGAGTGGTAATCAGTAAGAAGTGATCCTGCCTGATCTCCGGTAAGTGTTTTGACATATTTGTTGATGATCCATCTCCTTCATCGATAGCTCCGTATTTTTCGGGCCAGTAATGCATTATGTTATCCGCGTTATCAAGGACCATCAAAAACTTAGTAGAAGTCGTGGAAAACCAACTCGATACAAGATCAAGAATATTAGTCTCGGGGTCGTCCCATCCTGGAAGCGCTACAGTTTGAGCGATTCTTCTATAGCCTTGGTAGAATCTTGCAAAATTTCCGCCATAGACCCAAAAGACATGAGCGCTGGGGTCGTTGTCTTTGAATTGATAGCAATATTCGATGGCAACTTGTGACTTGCTAAAGATAAAGTGTTACTAAACGTATCTTTTTAGTTTGAAAAAAGCTACTTACCCTACTCCACCAATGCCAGCAACAGCAACTCTAGTTTGTTTCTCAAAAGCCTCATCGATCGAGCGTATGACCTTCTCACGACCAACGAACTGCGAGTCTCGTATAAATGGCACTGAGAAGACTCCTGTTGAATCCCCGTAAAGAGGTGGTGCTTCCGACGAACGTCTTTCCGCAGGAAGTGGTTTCTCCTTCTCAGCTGGAGCAATGTTGATACATGTCAACAGCTGTACGTTATCTTTAAGCGAAGAGGCGATATTCTGAATCCGACTCTCCTCCACTAATCCAAAAGCAACTTTTAGTCCCTTTCTCAAAGCCGAATCTCCCTTGGCAATAGTTAATTTGTCCAGGATCACGGTAAGTTGATGGACCTGCTTCAAGGAACGTTCGACGACAATGGTGAATGTTTCTTTGTCTCCTGGGCTGAGTTGCGCATCGTGAATTCGACTGATGATGTTGAGTATTAGGGGCAAGCGCATCCGGATGTCTAAGAAGGCAGCGGGCACATCTCCTGCGCGTAGTTCTCTGAGCTGGCTGACGATTTTCTGGGAGAACTGTATTAACTGAGCGACTGATGAGGCAACGCTGAGGCCCAGAATGACTTCAGCCATAGTTGCTGTTGTTGCCAGCCAAGCGGCATGGGTCGTATGTTAATGGAAACGATTAAAGTTTGGGTGACGACCAAGACGTGATATATGACTGCAGCTGGATATATAATATGGATTAACACATGTATGTCTTATTGGTTGAATTTCCAGAGGCTTTGCGGAAGACGCCTTATGGTTGCAGCCGCTGAACCCCCTGCTCTGATGATACCGATTGGGGCTGTGAAATCCGTGCCCCTCATAGCGAAGCCTCCCCACGGTGGACGAAACAAGTGACAGTCGAAATTCGAAATTCGATGTTGACTCGATTGATTTGACAAAATATCATTGGTTTCGTCTGCTTTTTACAGCAAATAAGATGTGTGAAGAAACTGCGTGGAAGAAGGTTCCTACGGAACCTGCTACTTATCCTGCGTACCGTGAAGCCTCGCCTCCTACACTCATCAGAACTGGAAAACCGAACACTTTGGAATCTCTAAATGTTAACAAACTGTTCTGGTCTTCGCAATCAAACGCTTACACTGTATGAAAACGATTCAAAGTTATCTCCATATTGAATTCTTTTCCTGACTTCACTGTGGGATTTACAAGCATTCTGCAAGTGGGGGACATACTTTCGCTGTTCCGAAAGTGCAGCACACCAATTGGTTGCAAAAAGCCCTGCCGTCCCGTCCAAAAAGCCTTGCCATCACCTAGACCGAATCAGCATGTTCTTGACCAAGGCATCTTGTGTGACATTTTCGAAAATCAATAATTCTAGATTCATGCTCCACACTTACTCATAACTCAGTACGTACTACCTAGAGCTGTGCTGGGAGCTATCGATAATTCGGTGTGCAATCCTCTCGCCAGAGTTGTACGCTCCAGAGACTGTTCCTAGTCCATCAAATGTCGCTGTGTGTTCTCCTAAAACCATTATCTCATCAATATAACTTCGTAGAAAAGATAGCACTCTTTCTCAAACCAAATAAAACGACTTACCGGCAAAATAAATACCCTTTTCCGGCATCCCACTCCTTATCGCTTCAACATCCTTTGCTGCATCTCCCATCCCCACCTGAAAATTACAGTAACTCCCGTACCCCGCAAACTCATCATTCCCCCACTCTGTCGCCAACCATCTGACGGGCTGACATTTCACCTCCTCATATCCAGGCAGTCGCGAATAATACGGCTCGAAGAAGTCTTTTAACACTTCCTCACGAGCTGTTCCTTCGAGATCGCGAATCGAGGTGGTGATATGGGTGGAGCAGTCTCCGAAGGTGTAAAAGAGAAGGATATTACGTTTGTATGGATGTGGAAGTGCGTTGAAACTCACACATTCCAAGCGCCATTTTTGTGGGTTTGTAGTTGTGGAATACGAGGGGGTGAGCCAGTGTGCAAAACTTATGGTGTTGTCGACTTCTGAAGTGGTTGAAGTCTGTGGTGATTCCCAGAATGCGGATGGAAATTCAATGAGGACCTGTATTAGAACCGGATTAATTCTATGAATTGGACCATAATTGAATATGGTTGTATCACATTACCTTCTCAAGCCTTCCGTAAGATATGGAGTCAATAGCTTTTGATATTCGAGGCGCCAAAGGCTTAATAGTCTCTTTGTTTTTCTTCAACCATCCAAGGGGAGTCGTAATCACAACTTCATCGTAGAACTCACTTGTTCCCTTCGAAGTCTTGACACATACTCTTCCCTGTTCATTCTCGCCGGCTTCAACGCTGGTCATGACTGTTCCGAGTCTCAACTTAGCTCTTGCCAGCGGAATCTCAGATACCTTAGACATGATCTTCTTGTAGTTGCTTGGAATAAAATAATCATCTATCTTGTCAGCACCTTCTATAGACATACAAAATTTGGACTTACCACTCTCAATGCAATCCTCAAGAAAGAAAAACTTCAGCGACTGTCTCCTAACACCATCTCCAACATAAGCACCCCACATCTCAGCCATACCCAAAACCAGACCCTTCTCATACTCATTCCAATTCCCACTACTACTCATTTTCTCACACTCGTCAGTGAAGAAATCATAAAGACTGGTTGACGAATCCACGTTGCTGGAATTGGTGGTGCTAAATTCCATTGCTTTCTCGAAAACACCCCAAACACGCGAAAGCGCTTCATTAGCCTGGTCGCTGTTGACAAGATTGCCATCGCTGTCGACGAGGAGGGTGTTTTCGGTCCATTGGTGGAGTGGAGTGTCCGTTTCTTTCGCTAGTTTTATGATGGGGTTGTCATCACCCCTAGAATTGGTTCAGTTTCTTTCACATAAGTTGAAGCACCGGTTATGGCGTACTTGTGCACCCAATTAGCACCACTAGAAATATTTGGTGAGCTTTCGTTTGTAAAATCGAGAGATTGGAGACTTACGTATCAACTTCCAAACTACCCATTTTCTTTTGCATTATCTGGACAATATCAACACTCCTCATCAGCCATCAGTAATGTTCAAAACAAACCCTGCCTCCAATCCTATCTCGAGCCTCAATAATCGTCACATCGTAAGAATTCTCAAGCAAAACCGCGGCGCAACGGAGTCCCGAAATCCCAGCGCCAATGATGCATACGCGACGAGCCATGATCAAGCAATTGAAGAGCGAAAGAACGAACCGTTATGTCGTGAGTGAGTTCTAGAATGAGAGGACTTTTCTTCAGGGCTGTGCCCAAGCTGAAGTATCGAGCGCCTCTCACCTGATTTCTCGGCAAGAGCCCCCTATCATGTGAGGGGCGTTCACTGCCACGATGATTATGCACGGATTGCGAACATGTCTTAAATCGCTCAATTTATCCTCAAGAAACCTTGCGTACGAGAAATCAGATTCTTTGTCGGCGGTACTTAATGGGGGTCCCTTGCCAAGACTCCAGGGAAGGGTGTCATTATGTGGCGTAACCATGTCTGGTTAGAATTGCCGGACGACTTACTTCGACGGATATGGAATTTCAGGACTGTAAATGCAGCTGAGAAGATAAAATTAGAATGTAGAGAGATTGAATGTGATATCAATCTATATCATGAACTATCGTGGATGTAAGAAGTCAGATATTGCTAGATCTTTCTAGATAAGCTTCTGAAACAAATTGTATTCTCATTGTGCTCGCTTATCAATTACAAGTAACTCCCTCATCAGGTATTAAAACCCGAGCCAAACCACCAAACTCCAGTGCTATGCCAAAAATAACACGATAAATATACATATAGCAACCCCCAACTAGATTCCTTCTCGTGTCTCACGCAGCACCGCTGGCAACCGCAGGTCCAGTATGGGTTGGTGGAGGATTCTCCAACTCCTCCTTGTGGAAAACACCGCCCTGACCACCCTCCTCCGCTTTCCTCATATTCTTTCCTCTGCCCTGGAGATGCATGGCATCCGTATTAATAGTCGTACTCAAATGTCTCTTCGTCTCCTCATCAAACTGGAACTTGGCGCTCTTTCGGGGGGACACGTGGATGAGATACATAGCGTCGACCTCTTCAAGACTCTTTCCGCTAGATTCCAGGAGGAAGAAGTAGACGACCACGAACGCGGCGAGATTGCATCCGGCGAAAACGTAGCCATATGCGTATTGGATGTCCCCGGTGATGAAAGGTGTGAAGAACGCGAGCATGAAATTCCAGAACCAGTTCGCGGAGGTGGCGAAACCCATAGCTACGGCTCTGTATCTGTATGGGAACATTTCGGAAATGCATGCCCAGACGAGAGGACCCCATGTGGTCGCAAAACCAACGATGAAGAGGCATGCAAAAACGATCATGACCGTACCAGAGGTTTTAGCGGTGGAAGAGCCTTCTTCAGCGCCTTTGAAGACAAACTGGCCGACTGAGGCAAATACCAGAAAGCACATGGTCTGCCAGAGAGCCGCTATATATAGGGATTCGCGGCGGCGGAAGTGACGGGCCATATAAACTCCAAAAACGGTTGCTCCCACGTTCACACCACCCAAAATCATCGCTGTAACGTAGGAGTTATCCAAGCCAACGCCAGCAAACACAGTTGTGCCATAATAGAAAAAGTAGTTTGCACCAGTGAGTTGTTGCAAAGTCTGAAGAGCCATAGCAAGGGCGACTCGATAAAACATTCGCGGTCCGGTGATTGCTTCATGCCATGGGTGATCACCCTGGGTGGCTTCCATGATGTCCTGGATCTCTTGGGTTTCGTTAACAATCAAAGGATGTGTTTCTGGAAGACCATAGAACTTCGACATGGTGGTTCGTGCTTTGTCTGATCTTCCATGGTTCCAATCGTGGCGAGGGGATTCCTGTAGCGTGGCCGTAAGCATTTGTTATAGATTCAGAATTCAAATATGCATAATGAATAAAATGTTTGTGAAGAAGTATAACTTACTGGGAGGAACAAGACTCCAACACCAAGTAATAATGCCCATATGTAGCCGACACCCATTGGGATACGATAAGAGCCAGTGTCATTTCTGGCTTCCGTGCCATAATTGATACAATCAGCAGTAAAAATACCGATTGTAATGAAAAGTTGGTAACAGCTAGAAACGATATTAGCAAATAGATACACACTTTCGTATACATGTAACACTCACGATATGACTGCTCCTCTGACTGGAACTGGCGAAGTCTCGGCCATATAGAGTGGTACGAGAACTGATAGTCCACCAACACCAAGACCAGCGACCCATCTACCCATAACAATCCCAACCCACTGGCCGTCCCCAACCGCCATTTGGATTACCACGCCAATGATGAAAACCATACACCAGGGTGGAATGCAGGTTCGACGACCAAATCTGTTAGCCAGAGGGCCGGCAATGAGACATCCGATCAAAGTACCAATTGAGAGCTAACAGAGTCAGTAAAGGTTCAAAACACAACTAGATGAATCACGTACCAATCCCACGATGAGGCCCGACCGAACGTTGGTGAAATAATATCCTGAAGGATGTGCTGCCAAATCTGTAGTCTCTTCACCGAACATTTCCAAGAATACTCTCATCTCCAGGAATCCAGATATCTGTCCGGTGTCATAGCCTGGACTCGTTAGCCAAGTGACTGACGATTTGTTGTTGTTTAGATCATACCGAAAATGAATCCTCCCATTGCAACCAATGCGGCCATCAGGATTGTTCGCATCGTAACATGCGGCATCTTGCCAGCCTCTGCTTTCGCATCATTGCTTCCTTCCTCTTTGTACCCAGTCGTTCCTCGGGCTCCCACCTCAATGGAATTGTTGGCGGAGGGAACAGCTGTGGATGCCCCACTGCCATTGGCAGCAGCCTTGCGTTCTCGACGAGTCTTGAAGACGTTCATCTTTGCTAGAAATGGCAAAGGGAGAAAGGTTGGGGAATGTGGGAGAGAAAAACCAAAAAGTGAGGGGAAGACCTACATTATGTATTCTCCAGCCGAGTCAGGAGGGCGGAGAAGAAGCTCTTACCGTTGCAAATGCTTTGTCCTTACTCACTTTGGACATGGGGGTACGACCGTATGAGGGGAGGAGGGCTTTCAGACGATGTCATCGATACCCGCGTGTACCGTCTTGACTTTGTTTGGCAAAGCTTGACGGCACAAAAGCATCGGCCAAGGCCCCGGATGGAGTGCATTTGATGAACCAAACAGCTCAGCCGTTGGCTCGATCTCTGATGAGAACGGAGATAATAATCATGTAGCGACGACTTGTCAGCATGGCCCGACAAACGGTGCACCAAAATCGAGGTGCAAGTGCCAGATGGGTATGACGTCGGTCGTTCGTGGCAAGGAAGACCCTTTTTGAAACGTGACTCGGCGTCGGTACCGGCAATTACCCGTTCTGTGCCCAGTTTTTGAGCCTCATTGCTGGCCCAGTTATTTCACTCTCCAACGAATCAACATGCTTCATTGAGCTTCCCAGAAACACGTGAGTGAAATTTGGCTGGGAGAGGCTTGACAAAATCTGCTGTCGAAGGTCCATGGAAGCCGTGGCGGTCCTTTTTCGGTTGTTTGAGTTTCGTTGTCTGTTTGCTCCCCATTTTTTTGATTGTCAGGACTGACAAAGTACGAATCGTTCTCCCAAACCGAGTCTGAAAATCTCGCCAGCCGGCCGTTTTGCCGTAGCAGACTCGGATTGTGCGGAAACCCCGAACTTTTTTCTTGTGGGGTTTTGAGTTTGATGCAAGAATGATGGAGAACCTCTGCGCCGAGCTAGAAATGAGATGGCGATGACGACGCGTTCAGACAGTGGATGGATGGAATTCGGCCGAAGCATGAATTTCATATGTTGAAAGAAATATGCTGAAGTTGCAACCAACGCCCCTTGATGATGAACACCGTTTAAATCTGTAGAGAGAAGAGCAGCAAGAATCATCCACTCGTGGTTTACCTACTTAGGTACACGTCGAGGGCCTAGATTGTCACGAATGATGGTCACGTTCAACTGTGACGATTGTCTGGAAATTTCTCATGAAGTCCTTCCGTCTGCTCCGGACTAGAACTTCTAGACTACTCGACCGCGGTGGCTCTCCGAGCGACTCGAATGCCCACGTTGATGAATGCAGGTCATTACAACATGCTTTCAAGTGCTTCGAGGGGTCCTCAAAGGGGTGCATGCTTCGAATGAAGAGGTAATAAGTATGGAGTAGTGTCGAACTGCGGCTATCGTTGGATACTCCCGGCCGCTTCCAGGAATTCAGATAGCCATTGACACTTGGGCGTCGAAAACAAACAAAAACGCAGAGGGGAGACGAGGAAACAGACGAGCAAATGAATCTAGCTGGAAGTGTGAGGTAGAGATAGTTCGAGAACAAAAGTCTACAGCGAAGAGATGGAAAAGAAGGAACAGCGCTTGCTATCGCTTGTCGACCAAAAATGGGATGGAAAGGAAAAGCGCCAAATCCACAAGCAATCAGACCAAAAACCAGAACATGAAACCTTTCACAGAGTTCCGCATACTTGATAGTGACCAGAAAGGGAACACGAGCAGCACGCCTCCCTCGAGAACTCTGAAATATCGGTGTAATTTCCATGTCTTGCTCGGCGCTGCAAAGCTCTTGGAAATAGGAAGAAATGCGACGATTCCGAGTCCAAGACGGCGTATTTCTCTACACAGAGGAGATATTAAAAGTGATGCAACGTGCCATTAAACTTAATGTAGATGTACTGACCGAGGTAAAAGATTTTTCCGCGTGTCCTTGAGGTTGATATCAATTTCCCTTTGATTGTTGTCGTTCGTGCTACCGAGGTACCAGATTTACCTGCAGAAGAAGTCGGTGTAGAAGAGAGAGTGGCAAGTACCAAGAAAATTACCACTCTTTTGAGAATCGGATGAACTTTGGCATGATCTTAGCTATTGAATCTTTGACAAGCGCATAGGAAGTTTTACCTTCAAACGTCGACAAGAAAATAGTCTCCCTGATAAATCAGATATCCAAATAGGCTGAATGCAAAATCTTCCGGCGACGTGTAGACCCTGCACCAATATGGGGAATCTCGAAACCTGGGACCTTGCGCGTGCCAGTCAATGGTCGTGGGCCAGAAACATTGAGACGGTTTTCAGAGATATTCCCCGGGGCTAGATCGAATGTCGCATGAGGGCATGAATAAAGATCGACCTCTTGCGCTCCATTCCGCGGCATCTCATACGTGGAATTGCAAAAGTGGTGTAAAAACGTGGTTGATGGAACAAGCAATACGACAAGAAAGGGCGATGTGTGGTTATTGGTGGAAGTTTATTGACTTGTTGACTTTGAGCTTCTGATATGTTCCTAAGCTAAGCTTGCCCAGCAGCAATTGTCTTCTCCACGCAGCTTCACACTGGGCGTCCCGTCTTCTCGGACCGGAAGGTCATTGGCGTTGGCTGGGCGGCCACCTCCACCCCCTCATTCACGGCTGCCGCAGCTCCAGTAAGCTTCGAATGGCGGGGTGTCAGGGTGCGTGAGCGCGAGAGAGCACGACGACTTGGGCGAAGTTTGGTCTTGACCTGGTCAACCTGCGACTGCATTCGGGATCGCCTTGAAGGTACGCGGGTACTTGAGCCGTACGGAGACTCGTACTTCACACTTCTGCTTCAGATATCTGCACGTCTGGAGACAGCGGGAATCGAGGCATCCACTACTCACCCTCCTGCGGAGTCCCCTCCTTATGCGACCAACGACCAGCGACCTTACCAGGTAAACTCTCCCGTTTCCCAAAAGCCAGGCGTCGCCCCTTTGATTTTTCCAGCCTTCCCAGCAAGCCATCGTTCCCATCCTCACCACCCTGGCCACCGGCAAGTTTGGAAGAATACATTTTTTCGAAGCCCTTCAATCACGTCCTCCCGGCTGTCGACCTTCTGCTGGACGGACCACTCTGCGAGTGAGCAGAACCACCCCTTCCCCTAGCCAGGGACTTGCACACGGCACATCTGCCTTAATTCCCCCCAGCAGCAGAAAGCCCTTCTTCTTTACCAACATTGCTTCTCCCACGATATCCCACGGGGGCGCAAACATTGTCTTATACGCCGTGATCATCTGCAGCACACGCGCAACACGCAGGACCGCTGTTCGACGTTTCCGCCGCATACCTGCCACTACCTGGCCTGGCTACCCACCACCGTTAGCCTGGAACCCTTAAGAACGCATCTCAACCACTTAGAATCCATCTTCTGCAGCACATAGAGTTTGGTAGGACAGCCGCCTGGGTGTTGGACGCAAGAACCCCAGAGCTTAATTGGATAATTAAGCTGTTATCGACTCGGTCAACCTCACAATACCTGTCGACCATCTGCGGCTGTGTTGGAAAGAGAGCTGCCCCAAACACTCAGCTGTACCACTGGAGGGAAATCTTCCGATTGAGTGTATTGGCGTTTGGCCATGCCAGAGCGCGTTTCTTTTCACGGCTCTTCCACACCCCGCCTTAGTTCACATATATCCCGCTCCCACAGAGACCGCGGTGCTCTGGTACCATTATAACCGTACAACACCTCGACTCATCTAGCGACCTGCCGGGAAAATGGCAACAAAGCTGTATCAGTCCTCCCCAACGCCAACTCGACCAGAAAGTGCAACTGGGATCATAAATGGGACAAAGGCTGGTGTGGGGGACGCCCGGATAGTGGTGATTATATACGGGCCAGGACAAGAGAAGATTGTAGAAGTTTTCGCGGAAGTACTTGGAAAACCATACCGGCTGGCATCGACATTTTCGTCAGTAGGAACCGAGGACCATGGAACGGTGATAGGAATCGCATCGGGGGATGCAAAGGGGGACATTCTGTCAAGAGATCGCCAGCTAGTTGTAGCTATCAACGCTCATTGTGTGGCATTGGGAATGCCTCCAGACCTCGACCTGTCAGCCAGCGCGGATTACGAGTTCTTATATACCGAGCGACCATTTTCCCGGAGAGATCTATCACGTTTCATTGCGTTTACGCTTGGCCAAATATCTCCCCACGAAGCGCTGATAGCGAAACCGAGAACGTATTTTATATCAACCACATTTCCTGACGTGCGGACTGCCCTGTCAAATCTTGACATTCTTTCCGTCGGCTCCGATGCGGTCGAGATTCGTGTAGATTTACTGAGGGAGACCTTACCCGATGGAACGTTCAGTGCGGTTCCAAGTCTGAGTTATGTCGGCGAGCAAGTGATGCTACTACGTCAACGGACAGAACTACCCATCATCTTTACCACGAGGTGTACCCGAGAAAATGGACGCTTTCCGATGGATAACCCCGATTTGTATTACCAGTACTTGTATAGAGCGATACAATGGGGTTGTGAATATGTGGATGTGGAGATATGGCTTCCAGAACACATTCGTCGGCGTTTGTATGAACAGAGAGGCAGTAGTCGAATCATTTCCGCATTTCACGATTTTTCCGGTAACTTCAAATGGCCCTCAATTCAAGCTCAAGATATATTCCAAGAGTCGCGGAAGTATGGGGATATCGTTAAGATGATCACCACCATCAGTAGCGTGTCTGAAAATTATGAGTTGGAATACTTTAGGTCACAGATAAAAGCGAACAACCCCGACGGTCCACCTTTATCGGCTGTCAATATGGGTCAACTTGGACAGATGTCACGAGCTTTCAATACTGTCTTCTCACCTATCACACATCCATTACTGCCTATCGTGGCAGCTCCAGGTCAACTTTCTGCAGCCGAAATTAACAGAGCACTGAGTACCATGGGACAGCTTCCCAAGAAGAACATATACGCAATCGGATCATTTCGAGCCACGCCTCAAGCTGCTTTCTTCGAGAAATGCTTCAACGAGCTTGGATTACCCCACAACTTTGCTACGGTTGATCGTGGAACGAAAGGATCGGTCGAATCGTTTTGTCTCCAGGCAGATTTTGGCGGCGCATATCTGAGCCCTCCCCTCTCGGCTAACCTACCATTTATTCCCATTTTGTCAGACGCGGCCAAAACCATCAACGCAGTAGACACGATCGTTGTACGAGGTGAAGGAGCCGCGACTACATTTATGGGCGACAACGCCATGTGGAAAGGTATTCGTGCGACTCTCACCCGAGACTTCGCACCGTCAGCCTACAAAGGTCGAGCAGCCATTATCCTCTCTGCATCAGGCGAAGACGCTGCCTCAGCTATCTTCGCCCTAAAATCTCTCAACGTCGGGAAAATATATACGGTCGGCTTCAAGGCCCGCGGCCCTCTCGCCGCCGATGTCGAGCCATTCACTTCCATCGAAAGCGTCCAGCGCGTCAACCACCCCTTTGCAATTATCTCCTGCTTACCACCCATGAAATCCCATCTCGTGCAACCTCTCCTCCGACATTTCTCTACCAATGGTCGCGCAACACCCGGCGGCACTTTGCGCAACGGCGGTAGGGGCAAGGTCTTTGTCGATCTGGCTAATGGACCGCGCTCGACGGATCCGTTGGCTGTCGCGGAGAAGAACGGGTGGACTTCGTATGGGGTTGCGGATGCGAGTGCGTTTACGACGGTGGAAACTTTAAGGTTACTTGTTGGCCAGAATGTTCCGTATAGCTTTGTGAGGTTGGCTAGTGGGAGGGGTCTCTATTAGATGGATGGAGGGGATGGGTATGCGATGCACTCAGATGATGAAGCGCGGTTGGTTGGGCTGGGTGGAGATTTGTCGTTGGGCATATGATTGATATACTGAAATTCAGCTATCTAACGGGAAGAGATGGAGATAATGATTTGCATAGCTATCACCTGACGGCTGGCGTTTTTATTGGGAGGGGGTAACATGGATGGTGTTTTTTGAGGTGAGCGTTTTATGCTTTTGGGTAAGCTTGTATATAGATCTGAATCTATGGAAATCTACTCTTTGGTTTTGAGAATTCGGTTGTGAAAAATTATTTGTGAACTTTTCTGGTAAGGGTAGGTATGGCATATGACAGCTGTTGAGGTTAGATGATTCTTGGCTTTAGGTGGTCTGGCATGTTTATTTCTAGGAGAGAATATCATGTTTTCTCTTTCTCTAGGCTAGATGACAGTAGACGTAACGGCCTATGGGTTAGAAGTTAACATACTGATCGATTTATTTCCTGGAAGTATGTCTTTTTATGTTTGAACTGTAATTAGATAGGGAACTAGTTATCTGAAATAGTGGAATTCCTGTGTTAGTGGATGGCTTTTATCGTAAGATGTTATACTTTTGAGGGGGGGTTAAGGAAATGATAGGGTCTAAGTTGTACCCTAGAACTATAAAATGTTTTTGAGAATATAAAGTTTAAATGTTAATTCTTCTTTATTTTGATAGTAAAATCAGGTTTATATAGCTAGGGAGGTAGGTAGTTGGAGGTTAATGCAATTAGCAACGAGTCCGGATATATCGAATATATACCTTATCTCTGAGAAACTTACACTAGACATTAATCAAAACTCAAGAAAGCCGAGTTTTATCTGAGAAAACTTTCGGGGTTCTTAAGATCTGTTTGTTTGTATTTTATCACGAATTATATCGCGCTCATAGTCCATCCTCACTTCACCTATTCCTCCTACGGCAACCCAAAACCTCCCGCTTTTTATCACGCACCCTTCGGCCACGCACACGCACCAATCACGCAAATCAATCTAAGATTCTTCGGCGCGCATCGCGTCTCCTCACCACCTCCCTCAACGTCACCTCCCCATCCCATCTCTGCCACCCGCATCGCGCATCCACCACCACCATGGCAGAGATCAAAATCGACAAACAGCTCTTCCAGGAGCGGCTGAGCCACTTCATTGCGGCGTGGAAAGCGGACAAGAGGAGTGGCGACGCGATGTTTGGCGGCGTGTCGAGCGTGCTGGTTCTTATGGGCAAGACGGAGGATAGTGCGCAGTTTATGAAGGGGAATGCTATTCATGTGAGTGCAATGCTTAGCTTGGGATGAGGGAATGGAGGGAGAGGGAAGGGGATGGTGAGGATTGCGACTGATGATTGTGTAGTTCTGGTTGTTGGGTTATGAATTCCCGGCTACGCTTTTTTTGTTCACGCTCGAGGGATTATGGATCGTCACGACGGCGAAAAAAGGTATGCGCTCCCACACGATAGTTTAGGCTGCAGCTGATGGGTGATAGCGAAACATTTGGAACCGTTAAAGGGTGGGAAGATCCCGCTTGAGGTTCTGGTACGTGGGAAAGATGCCGAGGGCAATGAGAAGCTTTTTCAGAAGATTGCGAGTCAGATGAAATCTGCGGGGGTGAGTCATATTCTGAAGATGGGTTTCGGAAGGAAACTGATTTGTGGTAGAAAAAAGTTGGCGTGCTCACGAAGGATACTTCCAGTGGGCCATTTGTTGATGAGTGGAAAAAGGTGTTTGAGGGCGTTTCGGGCGATTTGGAACAGGTTGATATTTCGTCTGCGCTTTCGGGGGCGGCGTTGGCTGTTAAGGATGAGAATGAATTGGTAGGGCTATCTGCAACGTTAAGGGATTCAGGCTAACTGGTTTCAGCGAGCAATGAGAACTGCATCTCGAGCTTGCATAGCTCTTATGAACCCATATTTCGTCGAGGAAATGTCTGCGGTACTGGACGAAGAGAAGAAAGTCAAGCATAGTGCTTTGGCGAACAGAATCGACAGTAAACTGGACGATACGAAATGGTGGAAATCCGTCGAGCTCCCAAACAAATCGCGAATGCCTTCAGATTTTGATCCTACACAGCTGGACTGGACACACGGACCGATCGTTCAGAGTGGTGGGAAGTTCGATTTGAAAATGAATGCGCAAACTGACGATGAGGTTCTCCATGCTGGTGTTATCCTTTCTTCGATGGGTCTACGTTACAAGTCATACTGCTCTTTGATTGCGCGAACATATTTGGTCGATCCGAATAAGTCGCAGGAGAGCAACTATAAATTGTTACTTCTCGTCCATAGTACCGTTATCAAGGAAATTAGAGATGGCGCCAATGCGAAGGATGTCTATGCGAAAGCTGTCGGTCTGGTGAAGGCGAAGAAACCTGAACTTGAGAAGCATTTCTTGAAGAACGTGGGTGCTGGAATCGGTATCGAGACTCGAGATTCGACATTGATCTTGAACGCCAAAAGCACACGTACCTTGAAAGATGGTATGACGCTTTGCATTACTACTGGTTTTAACGACATCGAGAATCCAAATCCACAGGATAAAAAGAGCAAAACATATTCTATGGTTCTGTCAGATACGGTTCGTGTTACATCTGCCGACGCGGTCATATTTACTGGGGATGCGCCATCTGATCTTGATGCGACCTCTTTCTTTTTCAAGGATGACGAGGAAGCTCAGCCAACACCCAAAAAGGCGAAGAAAGACTCTACTGTTGGAGCCGTCGCTACCAAAAATATCACGAAAACAAAGCTTCGAGCTGAACGGACGACCCAGGCCGATGAGGGTGCGGAGCAGAGACGACGTGAACATCAAAAAGAGCTTGCGTTGAAGAACCAGGAAGCTGGAAAGAAGCGCTTTGCTGAGGCGACTGGCAACCAGAATGGCTCGACAATCAAGAAGTTCAAGCGATTCGAGTCGTATAAGCGTGACAATCAGTTCCCACCTCGTGTCCGAGATTTGGCTATCGTTATGGATCAAAAGAACGCGACCATTATTCTTCCAATCATGGGCCGTCCCGTACCATTTCATATCCAGACTATCAAGAATGCGAGCAAAAGTGACGAAGGAGATTTCGCTTACTTGCGAATCAATTTCTTATCACCTGGTCAGGGTGTGGGAAGAAAAGATGATCAACCATTTGAGGATGCTTCTGCTCATTTCGTTCGAAGTCTTACCTTCCGGTCTCATGACGGTGATAGATTTCAAGATATTGCAAATCAGATCAGTAATATGAAAAAGGATGCTGTTAAGCGAGAACAGGAGAAGAAAGAGATGGAGGACGTCGTTGAGCAGGATAAATTGATTGAGATTAGAAGTAAGTTAGAGCAGAAGGAATGTTTTGAGTGCGACTGCTAACCTTTTGTAGACCGAAGACCACCTGTCATCGATAACGTTTTCGTACGTCCAGCCATGGATGGTAAGCGTATTGCTGGTAAGGTTGAGATTCATCAGAACGGTCTGAGATATCAATCACCGGTCAACACAAATCAAAGGGTGGATATTCTCTTTAGCAACGTCAAACATTTGTTCTTCCAACCTTGTCAGCACGAGCTCGTCGTCATCATTCACGTTCATCTGAAGGATCCAATTTTGATCGGAAAGAAGAAGACGAAAGATGTACAATTTTATCGCGAAGCTACCGACATCCAGTTCGATGAGACGGGAAATCGCAAGCGCAAGTACAGATATGGCGACGAAGAAGAATTTGAGGCGGAACAGGAAGAGCGAAGAAGACGAGCTGAGCTTGATCGCCAATTCAAGGCATTTGCCGAGAAGATTGCTGAAGCTGGAAGAAGCGAGAATGTTGACGTTGATGTTCCATTCCGCGAGCTTGGCTTTAACGGTGTACCAAATCGATCCAATGTCTTCTGTCAGCCTTCGACTGATTGTTTGGTTCAACTCACTGAGCCACCTTTTATGGTCATCACACTCGAGGAAATCGAAATCGCCCATCTCGAACGTGTCCAATTCGGTCTCAAAAACTTCGATATGGTATTCATCTTCAAAGACTTCACCCGTACCCCCGCACACATCAACACCATCCCCGTCGAATCCCTAGAAAACGTCAAGGAGTGGCTCGATTCCGTCAACATCCCATTCACCGAAGGACCACTCAATCTCAACTGGCCGACGATCATGAAGACCGTCGTCGCAGACCCACACGCCTTCTTCGCCGATGGCGGTTGGGGTTTCTTATCTAACGAAACGGACGCTGACGACGATGAAGATGAGTCGGAGGAATCCGCGTTTGAGATGAGCGATGAGGAGCTGGCGGCGAGTGAAGAGAGCAGTGATGAAGACAGCGATTTCGATAGTAATGCTAGTGATGATGAGGGTAGTGCGGGGAGTGATGAGGGTGAGTCTGAGGGTGAGGATTGGGATCAGTTGGAGGAGAAGGCGAAGAGGAAGGATCGCGAGGGTGGGCTGGATGATGAGGAGAAGCCGGCTAAGAAGAGGAAGCATTAGTTGGGGAGATGACTTTTTTTGTATGTGTGTTTGGATGAGTGTATTATTTAGGTTGACGGGGAAGGGGAAACATGCGTGGGCGAAGGATATGATAGGGGTTAGGTGTATGAAAATTGATTCAGCGGTGGTTTTTCTCCAAGGTGTTTGTATGTGAGATGAGATGTTTTAACTGATGTCCTTTTTGCGATCACCTGCCCGTATTGGCTTATTACAATCCCTTGATTATCCAGGGAGCTACTGAAGTAGGCACTAACTAAGTACATGTAAGCGAGATATTCATCTAGTAAATTTGTGATTTTCGAAAAGGCTCGATCGAAGGTCTTGTCAGGGGATTCTAGGTGAACGGTAGTTGGCTTAGGGTTTGGTCTTTTTGTTGGGCGCCAAGAGGGATGGAGTTGACAGAGGTGAATGGGAGGATGGAGGGGGGATTAGATGGGATGGGTAGGGGGGGAGGGGGGGAGACGTAGGAGGCTTGTGTTGGAGTGGAGGGTTTAAAATATGTGCAGCTTAATAAGGTGGATGGATACCTAGGTAGTAAATTACCTGAAAAGTTTCAGGCGGTAAAATGTTTGTCGTGATGGTTGTGGGGGTAGTGGAAATTGGTCTTACGGAATTTGGAAATGAGTGGGCGGGTTGCTTTAAAATAACTAGGAAGGTATCGGTTGAGAGAAGAGGAGATGTGATGATGGGGATCTTGGCTTTGCTTTTTATCAACTCTTGGTGTGCCTGGTTTCACTGCTCATGCACTTTTGAATATTGATGTAGTAGATAGATAATTGTGAATGATGTTTGAGGATTTCCTTTTATTACATTGTAATACGCACGTCCGATAATGAAGTACGAACTTAACTAGATATCCTCCAGCCGATGGATCTCTTGGCATGCAAAGGGTTGATAAGACTTTTCTGGTCATCAGAATTATATATTTACCCGCTCCAAATTAATATGTGAAGTGTTACACAAAACGCGGCCACCAGAAGCCATGGGTCCCGCAGCCCAACTGTTGTTCTAAACACCTGAAGTTCAGATTGTATGCCAGATTAATGCTACAAACCATTTGATATCTGAGCAGATCATCTCTTCTCCATGGTGTGATGGGCAGATGCCTGCAGATCGAACGTGCCAGAATGATATGTCTCGTCCGAAGCTGCTAAGTGAATGTCTTGATACTTATGAAAACTCTGAGCCAAAGCACAGATAGGAAAAACTTAGGACCGGGAAAGCTTTAAGTGCGTGTTTTTGTTGGGAGGGAGACGGAACTTTTGCATGCTTGGACACTTTTGCTGCAGAAAGAGAGGAGAGGAACGGTGTTGATCGACTCTAAGCATTGCAACGAAATTTGATACTCAATCGGTCAATTTCCTCATATAAGGTCCGAAAATGCCTCATGCAACCATGACACAAACCACTTCAGTCACCTATCTCGATACAGAGGCAACTCCTAGAGTAAAACCTACCAATCCTGTCAGAATCCCAGAGTTTTCGAAGGTAGTTCCAGCTCCAAGTATGACATCCAGTAAGTACCATCCACTCCATCCCTGAGTCTCAACAGCCCTACTAACACTTCGCCTAGTCCTCGTTTCAATCCTCAACGACATCACCGTAAATGTTTTCACCGCTGGATATGCCGCCGTCTTGGTCCTGGCATACACTTTCAATCTGGCTTTTTTTGTCGTCATTGCTGTTGGAATGGTGTTGCCGAATTGGGTCTACTCGAAGATGTGTCCACCTAAGCCTATCGAGGTCAAGAAGATGGGGAATGAAGTCTGTGATGAGGAGGATATTTTGGATTATGAGTTGGATGTCAAGGAGGAGGTGAAGAATAATGGCTCGAAGATCAAGAAAGAGGGACCAAAGAAGGCAGGTTTTACCGATGTCCTCAAATTTTATCTCGAGTGTACTGACGGTTTGCTTGATAGAATCGGGATAGGATTATGAGTTTTGATAATGCGATTCGTCATATCAAAGTTGCCGCGCGTTAGATATTCATCTCGATTACGGGAAAGTACCAGCGAAATGGATCTTGGAGTTTGTGGAATTGAATGGGATCCGAGGAAATTTTTTTGAATGAAAAGCAGAGTATAGATGAAAAGAGCTGTTGAGATTAGATGGTGGGATAGAAGATTTGAGGTTTAGATAAAAGTTGTTGATTTTTCAATATAAGTTGTCTGAAACGGAATTCGTGATGGCGTATGTGTCAGTGATAATGGTTCTATTGTTGATCTTATGTCGTTGTCGGACGTTGAGGATGTGTCCGATATGCTTCCGAAAAGGTCCGAGAATTGGAGCGATTGTGCAGGACCTGACCTCGCATCTCACGTCGCGTCCCATTCCCAGATTCTTTTCACATCTCAACATCAATGTTCCAACCTCTTATACGATCAACTTATGTCTCACGATGCCTATTTGCAAGTCGTGTGAAGCGTTCGATATTCGATCCTTACTTTTCGAATCGGCTCGTCAAGACACTCAATATACTGGGCTTACAGACCGCCTTTATACTGATACCAATGATTACAAACCACCAATTCCATTCTTCCATCAACTTCACGATAGTATCGTCACACTCAAGCACTCTGCAGAGCAAGGCTGTGGGCTCTGTAATCTGTTTTGGGTCACGTGGATTAAAACTCTAGACAAGCCTGACTTCACTGAAGAATGGTTGCACAAGACTTTCCAAGGAGAAGTTTATTTGGGATGCAGTGGCTGGATTGCATCAAGACAAGGGACACCATATGTAATTCTGACACAGAAAACGCTGAATGGAACTGCTCGTACGCTGGCCACCTTTGAACCATTTGCCGATCGAGGTATACTTCACTCAGAGTCACTAGGTTTTAGCTCTGATGCATTCCAGATGAACTGCCATGCGATGGGTTTGATCTATTAGGGCGGTCGATTTATGAAGATCCGGCTTCGAAGAGGTGTCTAGCTGTTGCTGCCAAGTGGCTTGATACATGCTTGAAAGAGCATACAAAGTGTAGCATGCAAGCAGACATCGAAAAACCTATGCCAACTAGAATCATTCATGTTGGAGACGAGGATACTCCTCCCAAGCTTATTACCACAGGAGGTAGAGTCGGAACCTGGATTGCTTTAAGCTACTGCTGGGGAGGAGATTCGGTCTTCATCCATAATGATTCCACTATTGCCGACCTAAAAGCTGGAATTCCCTTGGAAAAGTACCCCAGAACACTTGGAGATGCTATTCTCATCACTCGTGCACTCGGTGTCAAGTATATATGGATAGACGCGTTGTGTATCAAACAAGACTCCCGCGAGGACTGGGTAGCCGAAGCATCGAAAATGCGAGAAGTCTACAGCGGGGCTATCGTCACCATCTCAGCAGCGAATTCGCCATCGACTCAAAGTGGGATTTTTTCGACTCGGCAACTTGGAATGTCGAAGGTCGGCGTCGAATGGAAGTCAGAGGGTAAACCCGCAAAGGTGTATCTCCGATCAGGCTCGGAACTCTGGGATCACTCTTTGCAGACGAGTGCTTTACAGAAGCGGGGATGGACATTACAGGAAGGGTTGCTGGCCCCACGAACACTCTCGTTTGGACAGCAACAAATGATGTGGGAGTGTTCGGAGCATCAAGCTGATGAGGGAGGACGAATCACTCAACCAACCCAGGAGTACAGATCGAAAAGCTTCATTCAGCAGATGCTTCGGGCAGCATATCAGGAGGTTTCAAAGAAAAAGCCTACAGCCCTCGAACGACTCCATATACGGGCACCCAGGACGGAAGAATGGTGGAAATCACTGAATATCGAGAGCCCTTATGACAAGTGGTGGGAAATAGTAGAACAATACATGACACGTTCCCTCACGAAAGATTTCGATATACTGCCAGCATTGTCTGGACTAGCCCGAGCTTTTCAGCCAATACTAAAAGATGAGTATCTTGCGGGACATTGGAAAAAGGATCTGATACCTAGTCTCATGTGGATCCGAAATCCTAGACATCTTACAGACTGGTCCTCTCGATTTGATCCGACCATTCCATCAGAATACTTAGCACCGTCATGGAGCTGGGCTAGTATCCTGGGTGGTCCGTCTGCAATGTCTGTGACATGGAAAATTCGAGATGCTTTGGTAAATTCAACGCTCAGTGTGGCCGCAGTCATTGACGTACAGGTCGTCACGAAAGGCGATGATCCATTTGGCCAAACTATTAGTGGGCATTTAAAGATGCGTGGCCGGCTTTTCCCAATCAAGCTTATGCCTCCAGTTTGGTCACTGAACGACCAGTTCCCTGAAGAGCCCGCGAACCTCCCGAAGTTGACATCGTTTGAAAGAATCGTATACAACAGCGTAAGGGCTGTTGATGTTACCGTTTACGAGTGGTACCAAAGTCACAAGCCCCATCCTGAGCAAAGTTATGGGGCATTTGAGATCATACGCTGGAAAAAATCACCTGGCAGTGGCCTTCCTGGTTCAGACTTCTTGCTGTTGGAATCCACCGGCAACAAGCAAGATGAATATCGACGTATCGGAAATGTGAGCGTGAGAAAGCACCAATTGCCGAAAGAAGATGAGGTCGGACCGGACTCCTATGCGTTCATGGTTTTGGAAAATCAAGCGTTTGAGGAAATTGAGAAGTCGAAAGTCAAGAAGACTACTGTTACTATTGTGTAGATGGGGCTTGGTGTGTTGCCATGGACGATTACCTAAGCCACAGTTCCCAAGGCGAGCTTCACGATAAGTGGCACGAATGTGTGAAATAATCTTCATTACTCAATATCGGCTAGACTACCCAAAACTCCATTCCCCCTAAAAAGAAATGCAAGAGACGCCCGGTTCCCTTACTCGGCCGCAGCCACCTTCTTCTTGACGACCTTCTTCTTGACTGGCGCTGCTTCCCCATCAACAGCCGCTGCTTTCTTCACAACCTTCTTCTTGACCACGGGAGCAGCCTCTCCATCGGCAGCGGGAGCAACGGCCTTCTTCACAGTCTTCTTCACTGGAGCGGCGGCGGCAGCAGGTTCGACAGCAGCAGCAACTGGCGCAACGGCACCAGCTACGGGAGCAATGGCATTAACTGGTTGAGCATATGTGGCTACTGGTGCCGCAAAGGTCATCGCTAGACCAGCGAGTCGCGGATAATCGTTCTCAGCATCTACCTGTGCTAGTCGCTGAACCAAAATTGGGTCGTGCATATCCTCCAATGTGTCGGACCATTGCTCAAACTGCTCTTTCCAGAATATTATGATGGGTTGATGAGCGGCCTCTGGGTAGTTGAACTCGGAACTGCGAACGTAGCGTAGATTCCAGATCTCGCGGGCAAGTGCCTTGAGTTTCGCGACTACGGGGATGAGATCGTGGTGATAAGTTTCTGTTTGTTTGTTAGCCTTCGTCTTCTTTTATGGTTTCAGGTTTCTTACGGATTCGGGCAGCATAAAAGATGTTCTTCAGTGTCTCAAACTCCAAGATCATACGATGATATAATCTTGGTGCTGGTACGGGACCCGTAGCACTGTTCATGTCTTCTGGCGGCGGTGCGAGAGATTGTCCTTGATTGTTTTGCTGATTCATATCAACCGACCCTCCTCCAATACTTGCGCCTGCAAAGTGTTGAGACAAGGAACTTGTCGAAGGATACAAGACCGAATGGGAAGGAGCTGGGTAAGGAGCTTGCTCTTGCTGAGCAAATGGCGGCAAGAATTGCCCTGCTGGATGAACTGGAGTAGGCGCCATTGGAGGAGAGACTGGATTGCTGGGCTCTGGTTGGCTTGGAAAGTCAAGAATGTTCGAAACGAAATTTCCAATTTTCGATGAAGCAGATCGATCCTCTGGTTTTGACGGATATGCCTGGTAGTTCTGATTATGCTGCTGTTGTGGATGTTGCGCTAACTGATCTGGATGATATGATGCTGCCGAAGTCGGTCTAGGCGTACCAAATGATTGATTCAATGGTGCTTGTCCGTTGTTCATATTCGGGCCAAGGTGGCCACTGTTATCTGCGATTTGACCTTGATTCCAGTTGTTTGTTTGAGGCCCAAATTTCGTATTCTGCTCGTTGCTCTGCTCTGGTGCAATGCTGTCGCTCAAGTAGGTTCGAACACTATTGACGCCTGACTTTGGATCGAGAAGGAACTTCTTAAGTCCAGTCTCTTTGTTGATTTTGTTCGAGTCTGTAGACATGGCGGGTAAGGGTTTAGATATATGGGATCAGTGGTCAATTTTTGAACGTACAGGATTTGAGGGGATGTAAGACCGGTTAAGGAATATAAGAGGCCCGTGCTGTGTCCTTGAAATGATGGTCAAGCGGCTTTCTTGCGGCTGCTTCAGAATTTATGAAGAATCGGGCTTAGGTTGCTCTGGTCTGAATTTGACTAGTGACCCTCTCATTTTAAGTTGACCTTAATTGGAATCTTTTGTGGCGAGAAGCTAGTAGTTTTGTGGCTGAGTGCCGACGCCGAGACGATGATTGACGTCTTACTGTGCTTTCATGTTGTCGAATGTTTGTTAGTCACCTTCTATGGGACGCTTAGAGCACGGCTATTCAATTTCGGAACAATACTGATTCAGTTGCAAAGCGGCAGTGAGGTCTAAGGAGCTAATATTAGTAGCCATTATCAGTGGAAAGCCTAAAAGCTTTCTTCATGATAATTTACGCTTCTCCGTCCCCTGCTTGCTAGAGCTGACCAACATCTCGTTTAATCTGTTATTGGGATATGAATGGCGATCCGGAGTTTGAGTTGAGGGTCGATGTGAAGAAAACCATGCAGTTATTCAAATTGCCTCGCATGTCAGATACCCGGCATTATGGACCTCACTGCATAGCCGAAGTTATCATATCCCGCTTATCCAAGCAAGTCACACTCGAAACGTCCTCAATGCCACAAACACATTCCCTCAACATCTAAGCATTATGATAAGCATTTGATACCCCGCTTACACTCAGCCTCTAGCGTAAGAAACACAATTTGTGGATCCCTCGAGGTGAGATGCATTCCCGCTCATACGTTCTACACGCATACCGCTTACCCGTTGCAGATTGCCAAGCTTTTATTAAGTTCAGCTGTTCCCACTATCAAGCTTTTGGGAATGTTGTTTTTGTTGCTTGGCTATCGAGTATTCCACACTGCCTCTTCATCAATGCGTCTACGCGTATCTCCGGCAAGTGAGGTAAGCAAGGCGATATGGTACTTGTGAGTCGTAAAGGGAGTTCAGCTATTGATAGCTTATTGTCACCGAGGGATTGGGGGCAAGAATGATAACGAATCTAGATTCGTAATTTCGGGGTATATCAATGTAGTCCTGAGTCTCCGTTTCTCTGATTTTCGAAAGACATGTTACTTATTTGATTCTACTATATCAAGTAAAATTTCTTATCACCAAATTTTCATTCTTTGTTTTCCTTGTATCAAGTTTTCCTTACATCAAGTTTTAACCTCCAGACAAGATGGGACAACCATTGATGGTAATCAAGGGTACGTTTTCCCCTTGAATATACCTCTAAACCGATTTTAACAAGAAAGCAGGCTTGGGTGAAGCGACGGAATCCGTAGTCCAAATCGCGGAGGGTGCATCCAAACTCATGGACATCTTCCGCGACCAAGCCGCCAAAGTCAAAGAAGCCGACCGTAAAGACGACAACGAATTCAACATCCGAAAAAGCTTCATAGAGAATTCCGTCGCTATCATCAGAGACGCCACCCTTTCCCAATTCAACATCGTCGTCTGCACTGACCAAGACAAAGACGATTTCCAAGACCTACAAGGCCGAATCCTGCCCATGGATCTCATCGACGTCGAGATCTCGCCTGGCAAATACGCCAATTTTCAGGTCTATGTTTTTGAGACTGGCAAGTATCTGAGACGGGGTCGATGGGAGTTGGATGCGTGGGGTTGGTGGGGGAGCGATAAGAGTTGGAAGGATGTGAATTATCATGTGCATTTCGAGACGGCACAGAAGAAGCTCAATCCCGATGAGATCAAGGCGAAACAGGCGGAAATTGAGGCTCAGAAGAAGGTTGTCGATGATGCTGCGAAGGCGGCGAAGGATGCGGAGGCGTTGGCCGTTGCGGATAATGAGAAACAGTTGGAGGGGGAGGCGGATGTGAAGCTTGATGAGTATGTTGTGTTTTGTTTTCTTTGAGGGGACTTGCTGATAGTTGGATAGGAAGGGACAGATTGAGGAGGGTGAGAGGGAAGATAAGGAGATTCCGGTTAGGACGGCGCCGAAGACTATTAAGTCGAAGGGGGAAGAGGACGATGAGGAGGAGGATGAAGCGGGTGGCGAGGATGAAGAAGAGGGTGATGAGGGAGAAGAGGGTGACGAAGAAGAAGGGGGTGATGAAAAAGATGAGGGTGATGAAGAGGATGGGGCAGAAGGAGAAGAAGAGGGTGAGGGTGAAGGAGAGGAAGAGGAAGGAGCTGAAGACGAAGAAGAAGTAAGTGATACTAATCCCCTAACTATTGGAACATTTAAGCGAACGGAGGGCAAGTGCCCATTGATCCCCTGTGTTCCAAGTTTCTAATGCGATTTATCGCACTTAAAAAATTGCACTCTATAAGATATCTATATCTGTCTCGAGACTAACACACATATAGGACAAAGAGGCAGATGACGAAGAAGAAGAGGGTGAAGAAGATAAAGATGCCGATGAAGGAGACGAGGAAGGAGAGGATGAGGAGGGAGAGGGAGAGGAAGCCGGGGAGGAAGAGGGAGCCGGCGATGAAGAGGAAGAAGGTGAAGGTGAAGAAGAGGATGCCGAAGATGGTGAGGAAGAGGAAGGCGACGGTGACAAAGGCCCAGAAGAAGAGGATGAGGAGGAAGAAAACCCTAAATCAAAGGGTGGAAAGAAAGGCAAGAAGAGTAAAGATGACGAGGAAGAGGAAGAGGAGGAGCAGTAAAGTAGAGGTAGTTGTGTCTTTTAACGAAGGGGTACTGGGATCTTGAGGCTTAGGGGGAAGGGTTTTTTAGATTCGGATACTGTTAGATAGAGGGGCGTTTCTAGGAGGATTAGATTGAATATATAGGGTATAGATTGTTAGCTCTTAGAATTATAAGTCTTTACGTTCTTAAATCTATATTGTAAAAGATAAAAAAGTAGATTTAACTTTTCGTGTTCGATAAGGGATTTTAAAGATAGTAAAACACTAGGCTACGTCTTATCTAATAGAGTATAAAACGCACGTAAGTCTATTTAAGTTTTTAAGAGCTCTTATTAACGCGATAGATCCTATAGTAGCTGGCTGAAAATATAGAAATTCGAATTAGTTGTTACTTACTAAAGAGCAAACAATGTCTGAAATAGAGTATGTTCTCAAGTAGTAGCATATTGTCTTAGAGCTATCAGCCTACCTCGATTTCTCGAGAAAACTTTAACATCTACCTAATTTATGTTTCCCAGTTCCAGGATTTAGAGAAGATGAACACTTAACAACTTTCATTCGATATAGTCTTAGATCCTTCGAGAAACTTTACGTGCCCTCACAGAGTCCAAAAAGCTCTTGCTACATTCTATAAATTACAATACAACCTAGGAGCGATTTGAGGCAAGAAGATGCTTTTTGTTAACTCGAGGAAAATGAACATGTAAGTTTTTGGCATGATTTGCTAAATTGTAGGCAGAACAGAACTAGATTTTTAAGTAAAACTTTTTTAGTTCTGTAATGAAATATATGTTGATTATTGAAGCGCGGATTCTGGGTACAACATGATTCTGGTAAAATTAGAAAATCGTAGGATATAGTTTGATATGTAAGAGCGAGTTTAGAGGTGACTTAAGAGAACCAAAAGCAGAGCACTTGAGTATAAGAGAAATTTCCTTGGTCTCGTGGGCGGTGTAGCATTCTTGTCGCAATGATCTAAACAATACAAAATTGAGTACATGACGAAAAGGTTCTGTTGACAGTGCTCATAGGCAATTTTAACATGTCACTCCCCCTGGACTTCCTAGAAGGTTTAATACATCCAATGAATTATTCGATTGCTAAAATATTCATCATCAACCGACCTGAGAGTGTTACTAGAGAGAAAAGTATCTGAATGTCGAATTACAGATTGTCAAAGAGTGTATCAGCAAAAATAGAAGACATCTGAGCCTCAAAGCCAACAAACAAACAAACCAAACACAAATTCAACAAATCCATAGTCTATCACAAGACCGCGAAACTCCATATACCCGCTGACAAATACTCACCGCCGCTACCTAAGCAAGAAAGCCGATCGAGGCAATGCCCATTTGCTGACATGAGTCCCCATTACCGAGCTGAGCACTCGGTTATTGCCAACCCTGCCATATCCACGTGCTGAATGAGCAGTGAACATACCCGTTGCGCATACCCGAGTCTGTGGCATTGAAGATTACGATGAATTCAGCCCTAGGAATATGAAGCTTTTGTGAACGTCGTCTGCTGATAGAGTGGAAAGATGAAAATAGAGCGCGTAAAGGCGATGGGGCGTACGTTACTGACTACCTTTTGCTATGCTATGAGATGGGGCTGAATCTTGGCAATGAGGTTGCCACTTTGGAGATGGTAGGTCGGTGGGGTGGTAAGGTAAGTAAGTTTTGTTCATAAAGACGGCTCAGGCTTCTAGAATCTATTATTCAATACATCACAACATCCTTTCATTGTCATCTCCTAAGCCACTGCACATCTAAATCACAAGAGCAACAAGTTCAGAACCGAGTCTTCAACGTAGTCAGTTGCCAACAAGATGCCTCCAAAAACGAGTAAGAAATCAACTGCGAAAGCAGAGACGTCGCAAGAAGAGCCAGAAGAAAAGCAGACGATAGCTCAAGGAAAAGATCCGAAAAAGAATACAAAGGGAAAGCAAAAGACGGCGGAACCGGAACCGGAACCACAGCCCGAGCAGGAAGAGGGGAAAGAAGATGAAGATGGAGAAGACGATGATGATGAGCAAGATAACGACGAGGAGGATGACGACGAAGATGGGCAGGAGGAGGTTTGTTTGATTACTAGCTTAGACAGTAATTCTGAGAACTAACACTGCACAGGAGGGTGAAGAAGACGATGAAGGAGAGGATGAAGATAGTGAAAACAATGACGACGAGGACGATCAGGATGACGAAGATGACGAGGATGGTGATGAAAATAAAAACGACGATGAGGAAGAAGATGGCGAAAAGTCTGACGACGAAGAGGGAGACGCTGATGATGGAAAATCGGAAGCCGGTACTGACCAGGACGGTGATGAAGATGAAGATGAAGATGGAGAGGAAGAGACTGGCGACGAGGAGGAGGGCGAGGAAACAGAGGTATGCACACTAGACTCGGGAAATCGAAACCTTAGTACTGACTTTATAATACAGAATGAGGATGACGATGATGAAGAGAAGCAATACGGTTCTCAGGGCAATGAAATAGAGGACGATGATGAAGACGATGGGAAAAGTGAAGACGATAATAATAGTGAAGACGACGAAGATGGAGAGAACAACGATGAAGAAGAGGATGAAGACGGTGAAGAAGAAGACGGCGAGGAACAAGAAGACGACGACGATAAGGTGGAAGAAGAGGAGGATGAGGAGGACGAGAATGACGAAGATCAGATTAGAGATGGTTACGATGCTGAAGGCAATAGGTACGCAACTCTATCTCGAACAACCCGCTAAAAGCCATATTAACTGTAACAGGAAACCCGGTTGGAAAAATGGAAAACCACCCGCAGAGAAATCCAAACCAGCTCAAGTCGAGAAGCCAAAGAAAGACAAGTCAACCGCTACAGCAAAAGCAAAATCCAAAGAAAGAGGGGTTGAGGATGACGAGGACGTGAAGAAAGCTCCGGCGGCGGCTGGCAAATCAAAGACCACCAAACCAGTAGCCTCGAAGACCAAATCAGGAACATCTGTAGAAGAAAAAGACAAGAAGGTCGTAGCTAAGGCATCACCAAAAGAAGCGACTAAAACGAAAGCAACACCTGCGGCAAAAGCGAAGGCAAAAGCAGACCCCAAACCAGCGGCAAAAAAGGGGAAGGGAAAGGCTAAGCCATAAAAAAATGCGTAGAACGCTTCTATATGGCAATCTTTTGGTGTTGAGATGTCTTTGAAGACATTAATGTTGATTTGGGAGGGGGTGTGCAATGTCGTCAGCAAGATGTAGAAAGGAAGGAAAGGACCATGATTTCCGTGTATAGATTCCCTGGATTTGATAATTATAATTATAGTTTCAAAGAAACAAGATGCTAGATCAATGGCTCTTTCGAAGATTTGATACTTTCTCCCCAATTAAGCAGCAAGATCTTGCGATTCGCAGAGCGCCGCAGAGCATATGTGACAAATTCCAGATTGTGTTGGTCTCTTGAAACCTTTATATAGCCTGCTGTTTATGCGAATGTCCTTTATGGATGTCTTTTTTGTTGAAACTGGGGTCCGATAGAAGGCTCTTCTGGTTTGAATAAGGTGGAGGAGAACAGAGCATCGTGCCACTGCCTAATATGTGTCGTAAGTAATACGTAATAGTGATGATTTAAGGAGTTCTGTAGAGGAATATCGCATTAGCGATGGTGTGAGAGGTAGAGCGGGCGTTTGTATAGGGGGAAGTTTGTTAGCTGGATCGTGAACTAGCAGATTGGATGGGAGTATCAATGGAAGCTGATGGAAAACAGGCTGAAGTAGCCTATCTTGAATCTTTCCTGCGCTCTGAGGCGTTGCGCAGGGCCCTTCTAGTCCTACTCGAGGTTGTGGTTGTTCATTGAAGATGAAACGAAGCTCTTTGAAGTCTATGCAACGTGGATATCGGAACAGGGCAAGCCCCCGCCAAAAGTGGCAGTCGCCTCCCCATTTTCCTTATCTTACAAGCAACAATACAGAAAGAACAAAATTGATATTAATGCCACAAATATTAGAGTAATACTTCTGATTTTGTTTCTCTGTACCACGCGACGTTTTATATTGCGTTACTTTAATCAACTAAACGTCGAATATCGGACAGACCCACAAGAGCGGATGTTACCCCAGAAATCCAGTGATCAAGACCCTGAAATTTAGCGAGTTGAGGCTCAAAATCCAAACGTCCTGGCTCCCGCCGCACTCTCTTCCAAGCTCAAACATCATTGACGTCAAGAAGCCCAGTGATCGATCAACAAAATCCCAAAATGGACAATCTACCCAGCCGACCAAACTGCATGGACAATAATTTAGGCTAGGAAGATCCTGGGCGTATATCTGAAAAGCGAGTAGCGAGCCAACAATCGCATATGGATGTGAATGCGAATCTTCGAAAACCAGCACTACTGGAGAGCTATCCGACTCCGCTGCACCCTTTCCAAATTATCCACATACCAAGTAAGCGGATCTCTAAGCATATCTGTCTCGCGGTTCATGAAATCCCTCCTCTCAGAGGAGCGCGAGGTGGCCGCAAGCATTGCATCGTGATTTCAGCCTTGTTTTTCCTCCTCTGTGAGCGAATCATTCCCCCGCAATCTTCTGTTGCCCGCGAATTGGCATCGACTTGGCTCGAAACAGGAAAGTTACCGTCGAGCTGAGAGGCTCTTGCATGGTGGCTTTAATGTGCGACTCTCCCATGACAATCTACCCCGTGACATTTTTGAGCCGCAAAGTCGCTGAGAACCCTTCGATGGTGCTTCTGGATCGGCAGAGATCATGGAATATTCGCGAGAAGAGCGGTTAGAAAGCATTCTGTGTTGTGGAAGCTCCTCAAAGAACATCGCGGTGTTTCCAGCTAGGAGTTTTGCCAGGAGACAACACCACCAAATTGGCGAGTCCAACAGAATCACGACCCAAGTGATGTACTCCCGTACATCTGCAAGTCTCTCCTTTGTTCAAGGACAAGCTCGGACACTTCACGCTCGAGGGGGCTAGAACGCCTCCACATGTTCTATTTGTTCGATTGTACGAAAGACCCTAGGCCAAGGGGTGAAAAAGCAACCACACTGCAGCGGAGTATATCACAGCCATCCAAAAATACATGGGCACCATCCTTTGATACTACGAAGATCTCTTTGGACCATCTGGATGAATTTGGGGGCGGGATAGAGTTGTGCTACGCCGCTGTGTGAGAGCCTCTTCAGTCGCCTCCCTTCAGCTATCTTTCATCTTTTTTCTCTGTAAGATTTTGTCAAACGTTCGCATTTCTTCATGTGTTAAAAAAAAATTCTTTGTTGTACTGCCAGTATTTTGAAAAACAGTGGTCCAGCGTTGGAAAGATGGATTTGATCCAAGAGCCCGCGGTACATCGACGACCTGACCCGGAAGCGAGCTCTCGAAAGCACTTCGCGAAAACAAAATCACTTCACACTAGAGGACAGTTCGTACTGTTTCAACTCTATCTAAGCAAAATTTACACTTTGGCAACATCATTCCCAAAGCTAAGCTGGCTGTTACTCATCGCCTGGGTCATCAAAGGAGGACTAGGAACCTTTCTAGATAGAGAAAATAGCACAACATGCTTCAGCCGAGCAGATCAGTTTATCGGAAACGCACAGCAAGTATTTAATATGGTTACCTGGGTAAAGAGAGGAAGCTGTATTCGTGGCGATAACGACTTTGATTGTTACAACAACGTGCAATACATGCTTCAATCTGGGCTCAACGACCTACGAAAAGCTGAATACGCTGGCGCTGCCGGTGTTCTTGCTCTGCTCCCTACAATCGGCGCGTTACTTGGAGCACCGACAAACGAAATATGGCGTCTACTGACTCTCGTACCTTTTGGTGGAGTCATTGCTATGTTTCTTTCCTTTGGTGGAGCGATTCTTCCTGTTCGTGTTCAAGACTACGAAATGGATTTCTCGAAGCGGAGACAAGGCAGGACGACCACTATTGGAGACATTGATGACAGTTCTGGGGAAGAACATATGGATTACGATGCAAACGATGTCAAAGACAATAAGGAGCAGAAGAAGATAAGACTTGAAAGGATCGTTCGCAAAAGGTTACAGCAGCACGAAAGTCAACGCATCCCACTTCAGTATATCTCGTTCGGTCTCTTGGGTATGATCGCTTTTCTTTTCGCCGCGCAAGTAGCTATGGCAATCGTAGAGCAGGGTGCCATTGTATCTTGGTGGTGTGATTCAATCTGGTGGATGCATCTCTGGTTTTTCATGGGTAAGTCCATCCTACCCAACCTCTCATTAACACGACTAAATTTTCCTAGTCACTGCGACAGCAATCGCAGACAATTACGTTCAGATGCCGTTCAAACACCAATGGAAACTGTTCATCTCCGACATCCCATACGAAGTCTCCGTCTCGGGCGGCGACAACATCACGGATTGGCATCATGGTGGTAACAGCGTCGGTGTCGCCTTACGCCAACTCTATACCCTCAAGACCGGACAACTATCTCTCTTCGGTTCTCATGCGCGTGCTAAACCGCGCAACTCCTTTATCGTGATGATATCAGTGCCGCAAGATAGCGCTGCCGGTTTGAATTCCTTCCTCAAAGCCCTCAGCAAGGTCTGCAGTATCGGGGTCTTTGCTGTTGGAACCGCGCTGTTTGCTTCATCTCAATTCTTGAGCTTATTGATGGCATGTATGGCTATCACTGTAATCCTCTGCGCAGCGGTCTTCGGGCGGACGATTGCGGGCTGGATCATTATGGGCATTGAACAAAGTGAGCCGATGGTACATTACATCGCTAGCAATACCGAGGAAGCAACAGATGTAATCAAACGTCTTTTATCGATTGACACGACTATGGATCTCGAACCAGGCGTACTCGCCCGCGTTCAGTCGTCCACCACGGGGCTGGATAAAATGATGAACAATACCCACATGCGACAATACCACACCGCATCCCCCAGCGACCAAACCACTGACTTCGAAGCCATAAATCTCGATGCCTCCCGCCATCCTAGCATGGCCCAAAACATCTACAGCAGAGATGCTAAACCACTGTCAGCACAAGCAGACCACATATCTCAGATCTCCACGCGCTCCCAAGGCCTGCAAGACGCAAAGATGCAATCAGACCCTCTCTTCAGCCCTAGTGCCGTCGCTAATCCTTTGTACTTGCGCAAACCGCAGGTCGAGATTGAAGGTCATATATTCGTGGATCGACAGAGGGTTTGGCGACGGAGTGTGCTTCCGTTGATGATTCTGGGGATTATGGCACGGCCGTTTGATCTGGGGAGGTTTTATCGGAAACATAGGTAGATGCGAAGCGAGAGAATGGAGTAGGGTTAATGGATGGAATGGGAGGGGAAGAGATATGGAAAAGGGTAATGGGTATATACGACATTTGGAACATGGAGTTCTTTATAATTTAGCGATGAGGCGTCTCTTATCAATGAAAGCATCACGATACAAGTCTATCCAGACACAGATTTACTATTCAACTTTATGTGTTCAATTCCCATTGGAACGCGACATTTCTCCATATTTCTCGAAACCACATAAATCAATTCGAACATCAATGGGTGTTCTACTGTCAGTCTTGAACAAAAGCGACGCCTCGGCTCTTCATCACTAATCAAAAATCCCTGTGTGTTCTCAACTTTACCTACCAGCCGTTCCAACGGCATGTCTCAAACAATACTACAATTCTCTACTCTCGCTTCCCCGGTGTTAGGGTGAATGTACTTGATTATTAGATTGACATGGCCACACGCGATCCTTGGACTTTCTCACAAGGAGATCGTGCTAAACATATTTAATCGTACATCTTACAACAAATTTCCATTTCCAAGACGTCGCTACGGTTTCGTTTCCCTGTTTACGGGCTATGAGATTCGTGCGTATAAATTTCGATATCACTTTCTGTAAACATCTTGTCCGGTAAAACACCTCACGTCATTCAATATTGCCTCCTAGATGCTCCAGCGGTCCTCCAGGGTTTATTCGAGCTTGGATTGTCCAAAATATGTCTGATCAGAGGCCATTCTCATCCACTTCATCAACACCAGGTACTTTATCGACACCAGGCACTTTCGTGCCTTTGTGTTGCAAGTTCTCTAGGAGTGGTAGGCTTGCGTTGTTGCTGTTTTTGAAACATTTATATCTCTAAATTCGACGCTTTACCAAATCAGTGTTAATAGATTGGACAACTAATCAATTAACATAAATCTGGTTTCCACAATTGTCTTTATAGAATATCAACACCTCACCTCCTTCATCAGCCAAATAAACGAGTGCATAACGACCCCTATTCCAAAAAGTATATCCATGCTTGGCAAACCTAAATTCCCCGCCTACCCTCCCCTACCACAAACTCAACACAACTTTGACTTTCTAAAATTGTGTCAAATAAAGAACCTTCATAATCAGATGAGAGAGATAGAGGGTGAGCAGCACATGTGACCGGGGGCTTCCCCAGTTCTTTGGGTTCAGCCGCGAACCGGCAAATATGTACAGAGCGAGGGCCCAAATGAAAAAATATACTCAGGCACGGAAACTTTAAAGTGCGAGTCCGAAAAGGGGGGGAAACGGAGTAATGTAATAAATGAAAACACATGTCCATCTCTTCACAAAAAATTTCACTTTGTCAACTCTTTCTCCCTTCTTGTACATACTTCCCTGCCCCTCAAGATGCTATTCCCAGCCCTCATCCTCCCCCTCCTCCCCCTCGCCCTCGCGCAAAAATGCCCCATCCAATTCGACGGCCGCGTAGCGAACCGCTTACCACTAGAAGCGTTCGACACGAACGCGAGTCCATATAACCCTTCCTACGTTTTAGGTTCAAGTACGACCTAAACCCCCCGAGATCAAAGGTGGATCATTAATAAGATATCCAGATCAAAAATGGAGTTCCGTGCTCAAATTCCCAAGCGTGAATGCGTCGCTGTTTGATGCGAATGTTTCCAAGGCTGTTGAAGTGACTGTGAAGTAAGCATCTGCCCCAGAAGTGCTCTAGACGAGGAGGACAAAGGGCATACAAGCTAAGATGACATTAACAGCGACCAATCCATCTTCGCCCCCTCCGCCGATAACGTGCAAAAAGGCTTCCGCCGCGCCGAACTCCTTCCCGTCTCCGTAACCGGCACAGACGCCTCGACGACCGGCCAAAAAACCATTCATTTCTCCGTCCAAAAAGACGCCGCGAGACCACTGAACAGCAGTCATGAGTACCAGCTCTTCTTCCTCGAAAGCAACGATTACAGCACGAATCAGGTGACGTTGAAATATGGCACGATCATTGGGGGAAAGAAGAAGGAGGCGGATATGTTGACGGTGACTGGGAATGTGAATGCGAATCCGGTCAAGACGGTTTTTGAGACGAGGTTTACGCCCGGAGTGTGGCATAATTTTGGGATTGTGTTGGATTTTTCTGCTGGGTGAGTGAAGAAGTTTTTGGTTCAGGGAGGAGGAAGAGGAGTTGTTGAGATGATGAGAATAAAGCTAACGAGAAGCAGAACTACGCAAGTTTACTACTCCACGAACCAGGCACCGCTTGCATCGACCGGTAAGGCAGTCACAAATAGTGTGAGTGGTCAGGGCCAGTATCATTTCGGGATCTTGAAGAAACCTATTGGCGGTGGTTCGGATCTTCCTCACAGTGGATATCAACCAAGTAAGATTAATGAGGGTGTGATATTTGGAGGTATCTTTGCGGAGGATAGCAAGAATGGTTGTGTGAGCTTGCAGAAGTAGGAAAGTATGTCCTATATCGGAATGCTTTGGTTCTATCGTGTATCATAAAAGCTTATTAAGTTTGAGTTGTCATCATGACCACCACAGTGACTGGAATCGACCTGCTACGTGCCAGATGTGTCTGAAGTGAGTTAAGCTTTTATGAAAAGCAGACTGAGCTGAGCACATTGATATGAAACCATTTCTTCTTTCACAATAGAAAGATCTGTCGGGCGCTTCGTACAACATGTGAGAATTGGTGACATAAAGACAAATGAACTTCGACAAAGGTCAGGACTGTGAAGCAAAAGCGAAGGATTGTCAAATGGTATATCTGACCAATCCCCATGAAAGCAGGCCTGCGACTACGTGGCTTCCAGCTGTCCAGCACAGCGGCCAGAGAGGCGCGGACAGCTTCATATAAACGGCAGTCTGATAAAATCCCAAGATTATGAGTGCATCAAGAGCGTCAGAGGAGACGACTTGATAGTCAGAGCAAAGTAACTTGGCGGTTGTAAAAGTTTGAAATATGACCCACAAGCATGGTATCGAGGACAGTGAATTCAAAGGTAGGAGTGCAAGAAGGATATCGCAGGAAAATTGCATTGCTTTGGGCATTATACATGTCGTCATTTTAAGAAGCACAGTGTTATATCTCACCGTAACACCAACAAAGAGGAAAATTAAACAGCAGTTAATTATGACGATAATAGTGCCTAACGAAACATTTATTGGTCAAACGTGAATTCGGCCCCGGAACTAATAGTGCAGGAAGAGAAGATGATCACTGGATCTTCCATATCTTCTCTCTAAGTAGAAGATGATGTCTGGCGACACCAAAGTATGTTGTCCCTGATATCCATTAAAAATGATAAGCAGCAGTTCGAAAATAGGCCGAGAAAACACGTCCCCCATATTGTAGAAGCGTTAATTGAATGGGAAATGAAACAACAATAGAAGATCAGTTCCAACAAAAGACCCCCAAACAACTTATACTGAGGCATGTGCAGTATCTGAGAAAAGAAAAGTTTCAAAGGTGGCCAACTCCACGATAAAAGGCTGGAGAAGTGGTCGTGCTAGAAATATTGGGGGAAGTTGGCGTCTAGATGCTACCAAGAACAACAGTTTCCAAGAGCTCTAGAACACCCACAGGATAAAACCCGTTGCGAACGTGGAAAAATTGCAGAGGCAAACCCCACTTGGGGCTGTTAGAGACCTTTGGGGGTTTGTTTGACCTAACCTGCCAAGTGATAAACAACTTGACGTCTGTGTACTGTTGAGGTATGACAGGGTACATGTCCGCCTGAGTCAACCTTCTAGATTCGTACAATGATTTCCGGAAGAGGACCCGATATGCTGACTTCCATGCCCATATCAATCATGGAATTGGGCCTTGGTGTAATGCGGAAGGAGCATTTCGGAGCGACTCCCAGGTTCTTGATAACGCCGGATCGAGGATTCGCTTCCATATGGCCATAAAGAGAATTCGATCTGCAATATCACAATGCGTGAGCTACCACTCGCCATAGAACCCTCAACGGCGTTTGACGGCGATTGCTAAAAAGTATCAAGTACGATGGTGGAAAGAAACAAAACGAAGTAAACTAGCTTCCCCTCGAACCAATTCCTAGTGCGTCGTCTGTGTTGAAATCTGGAGGAAGAGGAGAGGTGGATTCTATGGTGCCCTCGAAATTTTCGCACCGTGATAAGATGTTGCAATGTGGATGTTTTGAGACGGGTGACGCGCACTCGCGCTTGCACGTTTCAACCAAAAATCTTGGCCTTTCTCTCCGACAAATATTCGTGAGGCTCGGGTGGTCACCATGAAATAGCCTTTCTGGCCGACTGTCGTTGATCTGTGCGAGGTGAGCGGCAATCCGTGCGAGAGTGGCGTTTTGGAATGGTTCATGAGCTTGGCGGCAGTGGTTCCAGACAGGTGGGTCAAGTCCGCTGAGGCTCAAGTTACAAATTTCAAGCAGATAACAAAATTTTTGCATCTGTCTGGAGGATGGCATTCGTGGCTCAGGATCGTAGATATGTAGTCTGACAGTAGTCATACAGCAAGCGCATCCTCCATGAAGCGAGAGAGCACCGACTCGGTTATCACAAGTAGTACTGTCCTGTACCCAGGGTATTCGAAATCAGAGCAGTCAACAACATGTGAAAATATTTTCAAGATGGTGGCTTGCTTGATCTCAGATCCAGCAGCACAACTCAGAGGCAAGAGATCTCGTTATCTCCAATGAAACCGTAAGGGGGTGGTTGTCGGTACTTGAGGGCCCCCAAGACTCGCTAGGCACGTTGTTCTGGAATGCCCCGACCTAGCGCCGCGAATCAGCAGGGTCTGAACGAGGGCCTCCCTAGGCACTGAGGCTCCTCCCGTGAGGTTTGAGCGACTGAATAATCCACAACCACGATGCATTTCTTAGCGAACATCATCTTTCAAAACGTCCATCTGGATCCAACACCCATTCATGAAGCTCTGCCCAGCCTTGTGCCCAGCCTCGTCAACGGCTTATCAAAGCGTTTGCTCGAGTCGGGCCAAGCTCTGGGCACGCAGCAGATCCACGATCCCCCTATTCATCGCGACTATTTTGGTTACGAAGCGAGCCTGTCGTAGTAATTCCAGTTACTGGTGATCTTGGCGGTTCTCCTCGCCAATAGGAATCTCTTCTCTGCGTCTGTGTTGTCCATCAAAAACTGTTATCGCTCGGCATCTAGGTTTGGTGACCCACTGGGACTTCAACTCGTCGAGCTATTGTTTGTATAATGACTTGGCTGTAATGTATTCGTATGTGAGCTCCACCAGACCACCCTGGCACGGTCAACTCTTCGTTGAGATGTGTTTGGGCGTGGTTTGACCGTTTGTGTGGGCAGCTAAGTACTGAGGATGGTCCATATTGAAGGTGAAGCGGTATTCCCTTCATGTTAAAGTCGAGACCAGTACTCTTTTAGCTTCTCCCCATAATATTGTTTCCTTTTCTTCTTTTCTTCCCTTTCTTTCTTTCCTTAACGACTTCGTTTTCAATGGCTAATCTGGCTGGGCCGATTGACATCGAAGACTACGTTCGACACAAAAAAGAGGTGCTTTACGACGATAGAAGAGAGTCCCGCATACGAAGAAGCATCGAAGCCACCCTTCAATACTTCAACCAACGCTCGTTAGATCCGTTTGACGACAGCAGGACTGTAACTCCGGGTCTCGAGGACAGAAAAAACGTCTCACGCTTTTCGAAATACTCCGAGTTCACTTCTAACAACATGGCTTTTCCTCCGGCATCGCCTCGAGGGCCTGTACCTGTGGGATTGCCACAATATAATCTAAATGGTTTGGGAAGGGATCTGACGGGAAGAACAATGGCGAACGAGAAAGGGGCCCAATATGCAACATATGACCTTGACTCAGACAAGAAGATCGATCTGGAAAAGAGTTACGAGGCGAACGGCCACGGCGGACAACACCACGGCAATCACGACCACCACGATGTCGACAAGGAGAAATATGAGGCCAACGTCCCCCAACTTCAAGGCTACAAGAAGCGACTAAAGCATTTTACCTTTGCTTGGTATGCTTGGACGATGGCGACTGGTGGTGTTGCCTTTACTCTATCAGTAATTCCCTTTCGTTTCGAGGGACTTACTGGTCTCGGTACCGCTATGTTCATCTTCAATATCATCTTCTTTCTATTCAACACAATCGCCATCTCTGCACGATTCATGATGTTTCCGGGCACATTGAAACATGCATTCAGTAACCCTCACGAAGGATTCTTCTCCGCCACATTCCTCTTGACCGTTGCGACTATGATTACCAACACAACTGCATACGGTATTCCCAACAGCGGCCCTTGGCTTATTGATGCCCTTCGAATTGCTTTCTGGGTCTATCTCATCGTCACTTCCGTTTTCGCTGTCGTCTATTACCATGTCTTGTTCACGGTTAAAGCCTTGGTCATTACGAACGTTCTGCCAGGATGGATTCTGCCAATTTTCCCGGCAATGCTTGTCGGGACACTAGCATCAGCGATCGCCAAAACTCAACCACCAGCACATGCTTTCCCAATGCTTGTAGCAGGTCTGTCATACCAAGGCCTTGGAATGATGCTTGCGCTTATGATGTATCCCATCTACTTTGGACGTTTGATGACTTCGGGTCTACCAGCAGACCAGTCTCGACCTGCCATGTTCATCGCAGTTGGTCCACCGGCTTTCACTGCGCTCGCATTGATCGGAATGGCACAAGATATGATTGAGGCAAAAATCGTTCCAGACTTCATCAGTCTACCCGGAATTCAAAACAAAGCAATGATCACTGATCAACTCCAAATCCTGGCTCTTCTTGCAGCAATTGGCCTTTGGGTATTTGCTGCTTGGTGCTTCGGTATTGCTATTTTCGCCATGTTCGAGGGCATTCATCGAAATGACTTCCATTTGAACTGGTATGCTAAGGTCTTCCCCAACGTCGGTTTCACCATTGCCACCATCCAAATCGGCACACGACTAGACAGCACTCCTATCCAAATGGTCGGCACTGGAATGGCGTCAATCTTGTTCTTCGCATGGTTAATTGTCTTCTTCTGCCACATCAAGGCAATCAAGAACCGCATGATCGCATGGCCGGGCAAAGACGAGGATGCTCACTAGTTGACCATGGTTCGAGGCATCACAGCTGGATTGAAATGATAAGGCTCCATGATGGGCTGTCCAGGAAACAAAAACGGCGGCGCCGGCGACAGACTACCCACGACACTCTTTTCATATTTTCATACTATCCTTAACCCCAAGATATACTATAGAAGCAGTGGTCTTATCTCATTTGTGTTTTCTTCTCCGGTGATGTTCGTTCCTTGAGAGCATATATATTTGCGAGGTCTGAGGATCCTGACGATCGTATCGGGAGCATTCTGGGAACCGTCTCGTCGAGGCTGCAAGCCGATGTATCAACAGAAGACGATGATAGCGGTGCTTTCATTCATGTATATATACCTGGCGTTACGGAAGGAAATAGAAGCGAAGCCGCACTGGATTTCGAACAAACAAGGACGAGATGATACCACTATCCACCCATAGATTAATAAACATAGACTAATAGACTTCAAATGAAGTTGAAATACCTTGTCAACAACATTTTATGGTTTGATTTTCATGGTGTGAAGGTTGCTGGAGGTAGCTTCTTGTTGTTTTGATGACCAGCTGCAATCATCGGCCTTCCATTTGTTGCATCAACATCAACCCAACTTGTCTTCTAGATTCTTGTAACTCAGGGATCTGTAGGTTAGAAAGCCAGCTGATCTTAGCACAAAGCTATCAAAGATACTCGAAGACGTACAATTTACTCGGACGAAATTTGATAATTGTTGTTGTTGAGGAGTCGCGCGATGATTGTGAGGCGACAAACACGTGATACTTTTTCGTTCCAAAACTCGTGACTTAAACAAACCCGGCCCCGAGCTAGCGTTCCACATGTTGTGTGAACCCTGACTTTCCCCGCGATACTTTTCGTTCCACACCATGGAACAATTGCTTCACGCTGTACCACTTTGTGTAGCAGCTCAATCTATCGAGTCCTTGGCTTAGTTGAGCCTCAGACTCTCATCTCGAATTCAATTCATACGATTCCGAACTCGTTTCTCTTCGCAGACCACGAATCTCTCGTTTCAAAAGACCCCAACCGTGATATGTTGGTCATTGCTCAGCAGTTTTGCCAAGATCGGTATTCTAGCACTGGATTGAGAGTTTTGGTGGTATTGCGGCGTCGATTGTTTTCCTGCGACGCAGTCAGCGCTCGTGTTGCGCCCTTTCATTTCTGCTCGTTCCTGATATTTGCTGCAGTTTGCATTGATGTCCATGAGGCAACAGCGGCGGACACTCGTATGCTTTATGTTTTCAGAGATTCAATCACAATCCATGGCACCAACCGACCGAGCTCAGCAAGCTCTTGGCCAAAGGGCAAAATGTCGCGCTTCAACCCTACCGTTGCACGCTGCCCTTGACACCAGTCCATTTCCCCAGCTCCTTTGCGCCATCGTACAATCATGCAGCATCAGCAAATTGGTGATTGGTGCTGCCGGTGCAATACGAAATCTTCTGTTTGCAAATAACACTTGTGGTTGGTGCAGACCTTCGGGAGGCGTTGAAGTGGAGATGGTTATCACCTCTATTTTCAGCCTTCTGGTCTTGGATGTTGAGTCGTGGATTTGGCGCGTTGTGACAGGCTGAGAGCTCGAAGAACAACCAAAGAATAACAGCGCCCCTCTGTACCTCGCCTTTCTTGATGCAAAGGATCAGGGGCTGTTCCAGATTGTAAAGGTGGATCGAGTGCGCTCAGCTCACTCGTCACATTGTACGGTTATCCATCATCTTGACCTCTTGGTGTTCCTTGCATCTCACGTTAAGTTGAGCTGACACCTCGATCGTCTGCCTGAGCCGGATTCTCCTGAATCTCTTATTCTTTATTCACCATCCTCCCTCGTTCGTCCTACTCCTTACGCGAGATTCACTGTTGAGTGCTGTAGTTTGGAATCGGTCTTTACTGTGTTATCTATCACGGCCGTGCGGAGCACATCTTATCATCTCAACAACATAGGATATTCAACATCAATCCGACAAGATGCGTCTTGCAAAGCCAGCCCAGTTCGCGGCATTTGGGGGTGCTGCCGTGTTCCTCATCCTTTTATTCTCGCAGATTTCATCGAATCAGCCAATTAGTGAACTACCAAATCGCATGGGAACCGCTGCGGCTTTATTTAGAGAGCGAATCTCCGGATCGTTGGGCAGAGGGAACATCAAGTCGATGATGGAGACCAGCGAGAAGCTGTGGTTGAAGACTGTCGACCAGAGACATGAGTATCGTCAAAGATTTCCAAACATGGATTTGTATGTATATATCTTTGAGCAAGCGGAGTCTCGTTCGAGGTATGGCAAGCTAACTTTCGCAGTTTCCCCGCTCGTGATGTTCATACTTACTTCACGTACCTTGCTTCTATTTGGGATTTGATTCCAGCTAGGTATGTCAATCCTCATTGCATGTGCAGAGTCTTCGGATGTCCGTATAAACAGAAAGAGCTGACGAGATGTAGTTACAATTGTCCTTGGGAGGTTGAGCGCATCGGGCGCATGGGTGATGGAGGAAAGTGGGTCTGCGGTATGAGCAGATATGAGAAGAACAAGAAGCCATGCATCATCTACTCATTCGGTGTTCAAAATGAATCTACATGGGGTATGTAACTTCTATCTCCCAATGTTCGTTCGCTAACAATGGATCGTAGAACAAGAAATGCTGGAACGTACCAACTGCGAAGTCTGGGGATATGATTTCTCAGTGGACAACTTCGGACCTCAAATCCTAGATAAAGAAAGACCACGAACTCACTTTCTCAAAGCCGCCATTGGCTCCGAGACAGATACCACCAAGAGCCCACCCTCCTACACCATCCAAGATCTGATGGCAAAGAACGGCCACGACTACATCGATATCCTCAAAGTCGATATCGAGTACGCGGAATTCAATGCTTTGTCAGCTCTAAACTCGTACACCCAGAAGCAACAAATCCAAATGCCCATCGGTCAAGTCTTGATTGAGATCCATCTGATGGTCGGGCAGGGTCTAACGGCTCCTGTGTTCCTGGACTGGTGGGAGAGTCTAGAGTACAGAGGATTCAGATCCGCATGGACGGAACCTAATCTGTTGGTCGTCACTCTCGGTCTGGAAGGTCGTATGCCTGCATACGCTGAGGTACGTTTTACTCCCTGTTTTCCTATCCAACTCTATACTGACAAGAATTCAGTACACCTGGGTCAATGTCCAAGACCCCAAAAACATCCTCTGGAAATGAGGAACCCACATCCCATCCCTCCAACGAAGCGCTCGTGGAACACGAAAAAACATGAAATTACTTGCTATACTAGTCGGGCAATGGCGTTGGATATCTTTGAGTCTGTAACATTAGGATAATGGATTGGGCAGCGCTGGATCAATTTTGTACTTTTCTTGAGAATGAAGAAAACGGCGACGATTATGGATTTGGGATAATTTCTGTTACCATCAATATGATTTTTGTATCTCGCTCATGCTTCACAATTTCCTTTTTCTGAGATGATACTTATGACCACGTCGTTTGATCCCCATGCCCATTCCGGCCGGTACTTGCACACCCGTTTCTAGCTTCTGTGGTCCGGGTCCCGCAACTCCATGACGATCAAGCAACTCCGGCGCTGGATCTTTGAATACAGTACCACTGGCTTATTTCCGTGTCGCCAGGCACCTTCGTACATGATTTGGCGAGATTTCAGGACGCGGGTTTGACCCAGATGTTTTCAGGACCTACCTCGAATCTAACTACAGTATCAAACTCGAGGATTTGATGTTTTTGGAGTCAACCGCGTGCAATCGTACACCCTCCTCCTCGTACATCACCACTCCCCAATCCAGCACCAGCACCCACGGAGCCCTACCGCCCATCCATCGCCACGTTTTCGCACGGTATCCGGCCCGAATCGACTGCCGTCCAACCCCGGGGATAGACGGGGCGTAAAGGCTGTCCTGGTAATCATGCTTATGAATTCACAGTCATCCTCCCATTTCCTCTGCTTTTTTCAGAGGTGAGGGTTTAAAGATAGAAGAGCCAGACGATGTGCATACCGGGCCGATACAACTTGTGTTGCGGTGTCCTCGATGAGACAGGATAGGTACAAGGAAGGGTATGTTTGCGGGTCAAGGAAAAGGTATTGCGGGGAAAGAAAGGCACTCACGTGTGATACTCAGGTACAGGTCAATTTAAATAAATTAATATATTTTCCTGCGCGATCTGGAAGTGCCAAAGTGTTGTGAGGAACACGTTTTGTGATCCCTGCGTAAGCGCTTTAAGACGTGGTAGCGAAATTTAGCTGGAGCGGAAAACACCTGGGCGGGCATAGTAAGTTTGGGAGTGGCTTTTTGTTAGTATGGTTAGGGCTGGTTTGAAGCTTGAAGTTGTAGATTAATAATCTTGAGGAAGAAGGACTTGGTGATAAAGCGGTCTGTTAAGATTCAGGGTGATCTCCGTGGGTTTGAAAATACGACCGATCACCCCCTTTTCGGCAGGCACTCAGCTGTGGGGATAGATCGGTTCGGAGCCGCGAGAATGGGAACTTGATCAACGCTCGTTGATGGCGCGAACGAGAGTTAGGATTTAGAGCAGGCTCCGATCTGCTTTTCCCACTGGCGCGCCAATGAGGACGGTGGTGAGAGTGACTTGCCTTTCCCGTAAGCCAGGTTACAGTACGTAGTATGGAGTTGGTTGCTTCGTGTGTCCGAATATGTACTATCCATCTGACTTTGTCAAGTATCGATTCTGTGTTTTTGCCTGCCTTGAATAATGGGGGGACAGGTTCATGCCGCCACAGTTGAGTCCGGGGTAGAAGTTTCTCTGTCAGAAAGACCCGCTCTGTAGCGTCAAGATGACTTTCTCTGCGTGTCCAGATGAGAGGGTGAAGGGCCAGAACTATGTCGCTTTGAGAGTTAAATGCGAATTGCTCCACCATATCCTTCTGCTCGTCCTGTCACAGATCTTGAACAGCGGCAAGGGCCGACCTGATAGATTAAAAATGTGCTTTGCAGCGTTTACCTCAACCCCAGTTCCCAAATCTGCTCCATCCATGGTCCGGGGATTCTTCTCGTAATGGGCCCCTTTCCGAGCTGTGAGAGCTCCACCAGAGGCTCATGACCTTCTTGACGACACACGACGTTCTGGATGTTGCCTTTGATCTCCCTCTCGACCCTCTTCTCTCTTGCCATTCTATCGGTCCGCCTTCCTGTACCCGGATTTTCTCGACTTTCGTTGGCGAAGAATCAAAGTATACAGACACGTATCTGAGTTAATCTTGACCAGCGCCTCCGACTCGCTCTTCGACGCCCACTTCTGTTTAGCTCTTCCGAACCCCGCGTTCTGCAAGAAAAGACTTTCTTCGCTACGGGGTACTCGAGTACTTGGTCTCGCTACCTGGTACAGATTGAGAACAGGTCTCTTTAGCTGTGGCTTTGCTCTTCTGCTCTTGGATATCAAACTCTTCAGCGGCGAATATCGACCACCACAACCACAACCACGGCTCGCTCAGCTCGAACCGACGCCACACGGTTGATAAGTCAAAGAGAGACGCCTCTGTTCCAGATATCCATTCAAAATCGAGTACTGGTATCAGCCTTCCACATTTGGCGCTGCAGTCACATTGGTATCGCTGGAGCCGACAACCGCACGCGAAGCTGGGACAACTGACAAGTCCAGTATTCGGCGCACCAGGGTCCGACCAGCAGCCTCCCAGCGCTACCATTGGTGACTGACACGAGCTTCCGCTGCCCACTTCACCCCTCCACACAACCCCCAATTCCCGCGCTGGGGGACCAGGACCGCACCGCCTCGGCCTCTCTCCGTACCTAGCTGCCACCACTGACTGCACCAGCCAGCAGCAGCCATCCAGGCAAGTGGTGCACCGGCGTGCAGCTGCGAATCTTCGACATTATCCAAAAAGCTTCAACAGTTTCCTCTCCATCCCGCAAACCTCTTCGCATGCGCATTGCCTCCCGCCAGCTCAAGAAGGAGATGGTATGCGCCTTGCGCTGCGACCACGACTGATGATGTAACGAATCTCCTTTGCAATCACCGACTTTTTGAACATTCGCGACTCGGTCCTGTCACTGGTTTTCCGGATGATGTCTGCTAGACCCCAAGTCGGGATAGAACGACTTCCTGCACGCCGAATGAGCAACGAACCACGAGAATCAATGAATTGTAAATCCTGCCGCAAACGAAAGGTTGGTAACATAGGAGAAGTAAATGTTCCGCCATGCTAAATATTTTTCCAGATAAAATGTAACCGGTTGCGACCGACTTGCGAGGCCTGTCAGGTCTTCCAATGTCCATGTATATATGGTGAGCGAAACTGGAACAACATGAATCACCACTGCTAACCTCTTCAAGACGCCGTTCCAAAGAAACGAGGACCCAAGACGGATGTGCTGGAAGCGCTTGTAAAAAGAATCGATGGGTTAGAGAAAAAATTAAAGGACGAAAAGAAATCCAACTCGCCTGGGGAGAATAACACAAACTCGGAAAAGCAGAATGCGCTGCCAGAACCGAAACTACATCTCGATACTGCGATTGCGGCGGATGAATCAGCGGTGTACTCGCCTACGCCAGTGAGGTTAGTAAAGTGTTTGTGAAGATGCCAGGAGCTAATGAGTCGGCGCATAGCGAACCATCTCCCGCAGTACAACAAGATATACTTCTCGACACATATTTTCAACGATGCCACGGCAACCCATATTACATACTCGACGAACCATTAACGCGGCACCGGATACAGGCCTCGCAGATACCTGCATTTCTGCTGCATGCGATACACGCAGTCAGCGCAAGGTACGTACGTGTTGGGGAGTGAAGATAGCGGACTAACAGAGTCTCAGGTACACGCCGCATCCAAATGGATACCACGCAGCCATCCGGTCTAGCGAGGAATATGCTCTGCGAGCCAGAATGGAATTGGATATTGATGATCCCTCGATTGAATGTCTCCAGGCGCTATTGCTCCTCACAATGGCCTTCACTGCAGCAGGCAAAGGGAAAAAAGCATACATGATGTTATGTGAGTTTCCGTGTGAAACCTGCGAGAACCCGACTAATTCTCTGTAGCAAGCGGAATCGGAATGGCCGTCGCACTGGAGCTGCACCGCGAATCCGACGCCAAAAATGGCTACACAACTGTCGAGAAGGAAATGCGTCGAAGACTATTTTGGACCTGTTATGTGATGGATCGGTTCAGTGCTTGTGGCTCTAAACGACCTTCTTTACTAGGCGACGAGTCGATTCTTGTGCGATTACCATCCTGGTCACCCAATCCAGGAACCCTACCCATCGAAGGCGAATATTTCCAAAATGGCTCAAATCTGCAATACCACGGTGGCTCCGGGAAGAAGTGTCAAGGAAGTAGTGGAATGTTGATAGACATCGGACGTATTCTGGGCATCACCAATCGATATCTCGCAGCAGGAGGAGTAAAAGGCGACAGCCACTTCCCTTGGCATTCACTCTCGAATCTTTCCAAAATTCGACAAGAATTGGATATCTGGGCGTCAGGAACGCAGGAAGAATTCGCTTCGGTTGATAAGTTGTTCGGTCAATCGGATAGCACAACACTCGTGCTGAGCAAGCTGGTGTACCATCTTATCCACTGCCTAATCTACCGCCCCTTTCTTCCAATTGATCTTGCAGAACTTTCTGGTAGTGGACAACACCAATCATGGCAAATTGAAGCCACGAACCTCTGTTTTTTGCATGCAAATGCGATAGCAGAGATGGTGGAATTAGGTAAGTCTATTTTCATGCAACGCATACACTCATGCTTCGTTCGCTTACAATGTTTAGGTAAACAATCACCTGCAGTAGAATGGCCCGCATTCGTGGGCTACTGCATATGTACAGCGGGAACCGTTCACGTTCACGGCTCCCACTACAGAGGCAGTTTTGAAGGCGAGGTATTCTCTGCGTCAGCGGACTTCTTGTCACGAGAAATGCTCCAACTCTCAGAACTCCGCTACGCTTGGTCCTCTGTCCAACATCAACGAGAAACTCTTCAAACCATATATAGTTCACATTCTGAACTTGTTAACTCACTCGCCAGTAACCCTTCACGCTACAGTCCAGTCTTCCACCTCGAGGACTTCTTTGACAGATATGTGGAATTAGGCCAATCCTTTGATGGCGCACATATCTCCTTTGCGGATATTCCTGTAGATTTAACACAGGAACTTTATACTTCTCACGGTCTGTATGAGAATCACACCAGTCTCCCAGACCCTGCAGCCTCTCGCCCACAACCAAAACGAAAACAGTCATCCTCAACTGTCGCTCGAAAAAAACACATTGATCTTAAAATCGCCCACCGAAACTCACACCCAGAATCTCTATTCACATCTCCCACAGGCCTGCAAACAGCCTCCTTACCAACACCATCAACCGACCTCCGTCAGCAAACTCAAAACGCCATGAACGAATTCAACTCTCTCCCCACACTCCAACGCGCCCCCTTTTCCCCGCCCTATTCTTATACCTCTTTAAACACACAAGAGGGATACGATCCTATGTTCGGAATGCCCCAGATGTACTCCTCCTACCACAACAACAACCCAAACAACATGGGAGCAGCGGCGACGGGCGAGGGTATGACGCCTGGTGCTCGAAGCACGGGAGATAGTGTCGGTACCGCCGGGACGGACGAGAAGGATCCATTTCTAAGTCTGCTGGAACAGTTGGCGGAGAATGAACATAGTAGGGGTGGGCCCAGCGAGTTGGATTTCTTTTTGGGTGGAGGGGCGAATTGAAAAGGAAGGAACGGGACTGTAATTGATTGAATGGATAGTATATATTTGCATGGATAATCTATGGTGTTAGGTGGGATGGATGACTTTCGGGGTATGAGTGATGGGCGATGGGCGTCTATCTTTTTGTATATGTAGGGTTGGTGGGGAGTTGTGATTTGATGTAGATATTAGCATTTCGGAAAATTTCATGGAAGTTATATATATATATTTGACGTTTGAGTACTCGATACCTAGTGACCAGAATTCATGACCTCTTGACCTTAGCAACAAGGTCCTATTCCGAAACTTTTTGCAATTTCTTCACTTTGGTGTTCACTCAACACTCGTTCTCACGATACGTTTGAGATTTTCTTCTATTGTGGCTTTTTTTCACGAAACATGAGTAGCGTAAAACCCGAACTAATGATCGTGTTAGGTATAAAGGGTGAAAGTTCCAGAGCATTAGCGCAGACGATGAAGTGGGGAATGCGTCTATTTCCATGGTAGATGATTTCCGAATACCCGATGAGTACCGAAATGGTATCGAATAAAAGAACTACCAAGTTTCAATTATGAATTCGACCGGAAAACAGCAACTGCAACTCTCCGGAATTTTATCTCACTGTTGTATTCGCAAGAAATCTGGTTTAAGGGAGGGAAAAGAAACCGCTAGAAAGAAGGCAGATCGATCTCAAAATGCCCACCGAAATAAAAGGTCCCGGTCTCTTATACGTCAATTCCAAATTAGCATCCGATCTCATCGACGAAACGACATATCAGAAATGGTACAGAGAAGACCACATCCCTGAAGTCATCGCCACATCAGGCATTGACTCCGCAATGCGTTGTAGAGACGTCGATCCTGCAGCCGATAAACCGAATCTTGTTTTGTATCCCATGAAAGATATAGGATTTACACAAACCGAGGAGTTCAAGAAGATTAAGGTGCATAGCGATATCTTACCGGACGGAAAACCGATTTATGATCTCGCTGAGTTGGATGTGAGATATTATGGCCTGTCGCAGGTTTTCGATGAGAAGAAAGTTGGACCTGGTAATGGATTTACATGTCTTTGAGAGATACTCACACTAAAGAACTTCAGGGCAAACGAAATTGATCTTGACCGCCGGGATCGAATTAAGCCCCGCCATTACCTTCGCCGACTTCGACTCCTGGTATCGCGACGAAGTCCTCTCCCCTTTCTCCCCTTTTCCATTCTCTGACTAACTCATAACAGCATCTCGGCGAACTCAACAAGTGTCCCGGCTACCTCCGCACCACGCGCTATCAACTCCTATTCTCGCGCTCCAACGCTGAGTCTCGCGTCCTCAAGGGGTTGCCCCCGAGACCAGAGGATAAGAACGCGCAGAAACCGCCCACGTATCTTGCGATCCATGAGTTCGATACGGAGACGCCGGATTTGGCGGCTGTGATGAAGACGGCGGAGACGGAGTGGAGTAAGAGAATTCTGGGGGGCGTGGGGAGGGTGGAACAGCCGGTTTTTAGGGTTGTGGAGGGGTTTGGGAAGGGAGGGTTCTTTCATTGAGGGGGAGGAGGGGATGGAGGTTGGGAGTGTTGTTTTTTGGTTGAGATTTGGAGGTTCTTGAATAGAAGTGTGGAAGGATATTTGATGAGTACTTGCTAGATAGCAGTCTTGAGTATTACTAGCTCTGTGGTTGCGTGAAAAGTACATTTTAAATATCCTAGTTCCTATCCAAAACGCTGACATCTTGTGCATCAAAAGATTCAACAACACGGAAACAAAGCATACACTATTACTCTACCATCGACTAGACGAAGATGAAGAGGAGCCTGTAGAGACAATCTTAGCTTTTATGAGGCCTTCCTCAATAGCAGGCTCTAAGCGAGTGGCAGCCGCGAAAGCCTTCTTCTCGATATCATCTGTGGGTATTGGAATTAGTAATGTGAAGCTTACGAGAGATGGAAAATAGTTTGGACGAGAACGTACCAATATGAGCGGCTAGTTTAAGAAGCTGGTTCTTGTCGAGTGCCATAATGGCATCTTTGAGCCATATTCTGCAGGTAAAAGCTTCACCGGTGCGCAGCGATGGCGAACCATCTGCAGGCACGCTCCGCAATACCTGATCAACCTGGTCTGGTGAGGAGACGTCTCCAAGCTTGTACACGAGTACCAGACTCATGGAGTTCATCGCGTTCGAGGACGGCTTTGCTTCTAATTGCCAGCCGCCAGCTTTATTGGTAGCATGGTAATATAGTCCTTTAGGAGCCGCTGATGTGACCAGGAGCCCCCAATGCTAGGTTGTTGTGAGCTGTGCGAACTAAAGTTGAAGGGTAAGGAGGGCTTACAAAAGTCCCCCGAATTCCTCTGCTATTGAGAGTCATATATACGGTGTTACTTTCGAGTGCCGACATTTTATATAAGTACAATATGTGGGAGAATAAGAAGATGATTAAGCTTAAAGAGAATTAAATTGATGTATAAGAAAATAAGAAATGGTTTTGACTTGATGGAAAGGAGTACAATCGCAGAGGCTATATAACATCTTCCACCAACGAACTTGAAACTCGAGAATGGAGTCTATCAACAGAAGTGTTGATCATTGAGTGGGAATCTCGAGAAACCTACACATCGCTAGATGGGTCCCCAAATGGGACACAGGGAGGCGTATGGCTAGACAAATTTCCCTAATCTAGCCAGGTACTTGTTGGTAGACCTGTTAATCAACAGCATCTCCCTCAAGGTCCCGCTCAAAACCCACCAATATTCGACCATGAAACACAAAACCAACAACTGTTGAATAGCGTCGATGGGAGGAGCCCAATATCACCAGGGAATACGCCTTTGGCGTAGGGTTCCAATTGTCCATCTACTTGACGAGCCTGCTAGAAAGCAAAAGAGCTGTATCATGGTTTCTACGACATGAAGCCGATGGTAATTGTTACCTCAGTAGGCATGTATCACAGTCACTGACTGCTGACTGGCCATGCACTGAGACAACTTTCCTGTCCACGCTCTTTTCATGCTGAAGAACAGTATCCATTCCGTTATTCAAGGCGTTTGTGGAATGGGTCCGCTGTTTCGACCGCTTCTATTGTTAGATGTAGCGCTGGCGTGTTGGTGCTGCAATAATAACCGCTGAAGATTTTACCGTCCATGGTAGGAAAAAAAACCCCTTTTGAATAACGAGCGACTTCGTTGGGGGTCAAACAAGTATCATGTACCTATAGCAGACAGGCCACGACGATGTAAGCGCGCTGTTGTTTGTGAAACGCAGAGCCTGGCGATGAAGAATTTCTGGAAGTGGGGCCACGACTTCGGCTCTCACCGCCTAAATTGAGCGGCAGAATCTCTTCCAGTCGCCGAGCCCCCTAGATTCATCTGTTGTCTGTCTAGCTTTCCTACTTGTTCCCCTCCGCCGTTGTTGTTATGGAGAACGAAAGGGACACTGCTCTTGGGATCATTCGGAATGCAGGCCTTGAGCACCCACAATCCTTTTTGGTGGAAAGTTTTGTCACCGATGCCAAAGATGCTCGCCAGTCCGCCGCGTACCTCTTGCAGGCATGCGCGGATGACACACAGCATATAAAGTTCCTTCAATTTGTTGAGGACTGGAAGAATTTGGTGAGACTATGTAAGCTTGGTATCTCTATGTATGAGATGTGACTAACTGATGTGATCACAGTTTCCGACGAAAATCCACTTCCAATTCGGATGGGAAGTGAGATGAAAGGAACGATTGCTCGCCGAGATAATCTTCGTTGCTGCATCACAGGAGCCAAAGGCAGTTTTTGGAACCCTCCGAATGTTTTTAGTATTATTCCCCAAGCTGCGTTTCATGTTCAAGAAGTAAGCCAACACTTCAGGTACCTCACTCAATACTAAAAACTATTCTTATAGCGGCGGTTGTATGACATACTTGGCGCGTTTATTGGCCTTTCTGAGCGAGACTCATTACTCTCATTCAAAGATGAGAAGCACTATGTTTTGCAGAACCACTGGACACTTATCAAACAAGCTGCTGGCGTATTTTCTAGAGGTGAGATACGACTCGAAGCTCTTGGTGAAAATAAAGTAGACACGTCTATTAAACCTTGTAGATAGCTTTCTAATAGCCAACGGTAGTATGAAATCTTCTACAACAATATTGGGATCCCCTCCGCAATTTATACATCCGACAGAATTGTAGATTGGGAATGCGACCTCGATGACCATTCAAATTCTGGAATCGACAGTCCGAACCAAATCCTTCTTGAAATCCACTGCCGATTTTCAAGAGCGCTCAAATGGAACAGTATAGGGAACAACATGAAGTATCATGCGCCTCAATCGCGCACACAGAGTAAAATTTGGGCAAATCTCGCGGAACCCCTTGTCCGAACATTGCTTGCTGTCTGGCAGAAATGTCCGAGCGTACTTCGGCTGCAAACTTACAGATTGTTGAAATTTGTTGGTTCACTTTCGTACGAGGAATCTACCATGGGAGTTCAGAGATTACCTTTCGGCATGTATTTGAAGTACGGTCCAGGAATTCATTCAGCAAGACATGCGAGCGAGTTTAACGCTCTAAAGCTTGTTCATGGCAGGACCTCAGTTCCAGTTCCTCGACCAATTGACCTAATTATCTCGCCCACGCAATCCCTCTTGGTCACATCTAGGCTACAAGGGAACCCAGCTGGTCATGGCATACATGCTTACAGCGATCAAGAAATGGATCTAATAGCTCAGGATATGCGGGGATTTGTAGCAGAGCTTCATGCCATAAAAAGGCCCGGTGATACTACTGATACTATTTCGAATGCATCTGGGGGTCCTTGTCTCGACTATCGCATTGGTGGCTCTCCCGTCGGGCCATTTCACAACGAAAAGGAATTTAGCGAATCTTTACGTCTTGGTATTCTTCCCGACCTAGTACATCGCCATGACCACGAAATCGTCTTTACTCATTCGGATTTAAACATGAGGAATATTCTTGTTCATAATGGTAAAATATCTGGCATAGTTGATTGGGAGAATGCGGGTTGGTTCCCGGATTATTGGGAGTATACCAAATGTCACTTTGGTGCAAGGATAAATCGCAGATGGTTGAAGATGGTGGAAGAAGTCTTTGGAGACAAGTATGCCGAAGAGCTGAAAATTGAGAGACAGTATTGGGAGTATACTAGCCTTGTGTAACGCATCTGGGAAGGTTTCGGTGTTATTCACAATTTCTAGCCCTTTGGAAGCTGGACCTTTTCAAAGGAAGGAGAAGGAGAGGAGAAAGCTTAATTCAACATAAATTGCGAGAGACCTAAACACTTAGGATCCCATCTCGGAGACTTTTCCATGTACAACATATTACTCTGGAAACACAGATAGGCCATCTGTAGAGAAATCTTCAAACCCATTTAGGGCGAAAGATTTGTTATTTACGAACATATCTATACCCAAGTCGCTAGCGACGTCAACTTCGAAAAGAACATACCATATCTAAATCCATAGTAGCAGGACAGTTAGCATTGGCTCATAGCATGATACCCTTCAAGATTTCCTGCAACTCAGCAAAAGACAACTGCTCCAAGGTTTCGAGCCACAGCCTTGCAGATATATTCTTGCCCTCCGTAGTGTAGATGATAGGTGCGAGACTGAGAGATTTTGTTAAAAGAATTATTCCAGAAGTTTGAACTAACTAAGTGCGGGGCTTGGGAATACTCACGGCGTCAGCTTCTGGGAACAGAGGAATTGTCCATGGATATCAGCACTGTTCCTCGTTGCAGCGTCTATAATCTGTCTAGCTCCAACTTCCGGCGAGTAAACAATGAGGCGACTTCCAATTTGATCGAATAATCCTTTCAAATTACGTTTGCCATCTCTCAAAGCCTCTGTGCCGTACACAAGGCCGGGCGAAGTTAAAATAATTGTAGCGGTGGAGGATGGCACGTGTTTTACTACTTCTCGTAGAAAAAAATGTTGGAGGAGCTTGGAAGTGTAGTACCGGTCCAACATATCCGTAGGTTCCTTTTCGTCGAAAGCAGGAAGTAAAGGATCCGAGTTTCGTTCTGGAAAGGTTCCCCAGCCGGCTGCGTCTGTGGATACTATGACTATACGACCTGGTTCGTGTTGAGCTGCTCGTTTTGCTTTGACGAGCGGAAGTAGTTTGATGGTCAGAAGTACGGTCGAGAGATAATTTGACTTGAATATTCTCCTCGTGACCCGTGGATGGGTTGAGCTGGAAGTAGAGCCTAGTAATAGCCGCATTCAGGATCACGATGTCTAGACGTTTAAGTGTGCTTGCTCGCTCGGTGAGGGCGATGATTGAGTCGTAAGACAGCATATCGAGAGGCCATACTTCTATAACAGATTCTCCCGAGATGACAGAGAGACTAGCAGCCGCGGCATCGCCCTTGGATTCATCCCGCACAGCGATGATGAGTTTCGATAATCCTAGCCCTAGTAATTGTTTGCAGACTTCTAGCCCAATGCCCCCGTTAGATCCTGTAACAATAGCTGTTTGTCCTGTGAGGTTGACTGTCTCAGGCGAAACAGGTGATGGAGTTGTGAAAAATTGGCGATAGAGGAATTGCGAGAAATCATTCGCTTTTTCGGGTGAAATGTCGAAGTTGGTTGCCATGTTGATGGTGTTTGGGGTTGGTAAACTTCTTATGGGTTTTGAATCGAGTAGCTTTTATACGTTTTATAGGGTATAAGGTGATAGTTTTTTTCCCTGGAGCGTAAGGCAGATAGTGTTTGCAGTAGTATGTTTCCTGAAATGGTGAACGTTTGACGTTTTGATATCACGAAAGCCAACATTGGTCTGCAACGCATCTCGTGTTGGTAATAGAATTTAGCCATGGCTGCGACGCATATGATGTTGGAACAGCTGGCTATCTTATATTCTACCATCCAGAAGCCACAACTCCTCATGATGTTCCAAGAAACACAAACTCAAGATCTTAATTTCTCTAACCCATGAAGATGAAATCTTCTATGCTACCAATGTCCTATGACTCGAAGATTTATCGTCTCGTGACCGTCGGATAGTCGATAGCTCAAGAGACCGCCATTGGTGCTCAACTAAAGAGGAACTAGTTTGACACTTCAATTGTTTTTCTTGTATAAAACAGTTCAGTTTCCATCATCTTCTTTGTAGTTTCTACGTGAAATGTTGGCTTGTACGAGTCTGTGAAACGTGATTATAACGTCATGTGATGTTCGCTTAAGGTTAACTATTTTGATTCTCGTTCGTGTGGTTTCCGTCACGTTCTTACTTAACATTTTCAATTACTCAAGGTCCAGTCCAGTACCCACGCTATCCTACCTGACTTATAATCTTCTAGTGTCCAGTCGTTCACTCTTACACAGGGGTGTAATTTCTATTTGCAAGCGCCAAAGCCTCGATTTCCTCGTGGCTTCACGAAACACAAGTCGCGACTCGTGATCGATATAGTTTGCAGTTGGAAGTGTAGGTGGAACGATGTTGGCATGCTAACCACCAGATATCTCCGCTTCATGAGTTAAGCCTGCGACGGTTTGTTGGTGAAGTGTCAAAAGAATCCTAGCAATCGTTACTCCCTACGCTCTTCGTTCTGCACAACAAATGTTAATTGTCTGTCAGGCCCGACTAGACACTTGACTTGTTGTTTCAGAAATTGATGTAGTCTATTTTTCTCTTGGGACGACTTGCACAATGAAGAAAGTGGCCCTTGTTCTGGTTTTGAATGATCGTTGGAGCAGTTATTTCAGTCGCATGTCGGGCTCTTAACACGCGCGTGTGCTCAATTGAATAACAATTTGAACATGATTAACTCAGTCGCGCGGCTACTACACTCTTTCTCAATTGTGTTGTGGCGCTTGAAGATATTTCACGTCAGAAGATGTTGGGATTGTACTTCAAAACCAATTGTTTGTGAACTCTTCCGGGGAATTTGCTCTCCCACTTCGGTATAAGATAGATGGATAACCCCTTTCATGTGGTTATTATCTGCATTCCTCTTCTTATACTCTTCTTTTGTTCGGCATCTCAAATTTTATTCGTTCTTGGTTTTCATCTTCCGTTTGCCTCCATTTTCATCCTGGTATCCGCCTTCATCCTTCGCTGGTAATGCCTCGCACCACACCTCAATCACAACCTCTGTTCTACCTTAAAGCTATCAATAAGTCAGCCGAGCTTGTAGTTGCTGATCCAAGAAATAGTGCCGTTCAGTCCACTCTCGCAGATGGAACACCTGTTCTCGACATCGTGGTTGGGATTGCAACAAAACACCCAGACAATATTGGACTTACCGTGGGTAGCCTCAATTGTGATATTATAGTGGGTAACCCCGAGGTTTGCGGTCACCAATGTACCTTCCGCCTAGAACCTGGGGGTATTATACTATGTGACGAATCTCCAAAAAGCACAACTCAGGTTTTTGGCGAAAATGCTTTCCCATTTGACCAGATCCATTGCAAGCGATATTACTTGGCGGAAGGCTTCAACACAAAAATCGGATTAGGGTCTACTGTGGGCTGTGGAGCTGTCCAGTTCGAGGTAGTGTGGTACCCAAATGCTGCCCAGACAGTGGAAAGGCTCAGTGAAGAAGTCTCATTGATGAAATCCGACCCGATCAATGGAGGGACTATACCGAGTCCGACCGAGTCTTTTGCCGAAAATGTTACAAGTCATCTCACTTGGAAGGATCTAGGGGAAAAGGAGAGAAATGGTGCGTACATAGCGGCTCTACTACACCTCATAAGAGACCCGGAATCAGAGAAAGCGACTTGTAATAAAGACGTCACTCTCCAAGGCTTCGAGAATTCGACTAAGGAACGTCCTAATTTGGACAATCAGGTTGAGTTTCGACGGCAGCAGAAAGAAATGCATCTCAGCAAAATCGTGGGGTTCCGGAAGGCAAGAGAGATAGCCAATGCCTCTCTTCCTTACAGACAATTCTCGTGCCATATAGAAGCTGGAGCCAGACATAACTGGCGTTTAGATGCTAGAACGAATTTCATTGACGAGAAACGCATACCTGAGAGATGCGTGGCACGCAATCAAGCTTATGAAACAATCAAGAAGTCATGGGTCGACCAAGGAATATGGCGGGATGAATGGCAATTGATGCCTACGTTAGGGAATACGCCTGATGCTTTTTGGAAGCACGAATCACCACCAACCGTCGAGTTTAAGGACAAAGGTCAGCAGCACGAATATGAGAGAACTCGGGATGCATCTCGTCCATATTTTCAATTCATATATCAGGTGTCGCAGGCACGTCAGCGGATTCAAGAAGAGTCTGGTCATGTTACTCGTTCTTGCGGCGCCGATATTAACACCAAAGCCTACGAGACTGTCCGGGAGGCTTGGAAAGAATGGGCAATTTGGGATGACAAGTGGGGTATGATGCCTGGAATGTCGTGGAAGCATGAAAATCTTGGATATCAGTCATTCTTGTTTGGAGAAGAAGTCAAAAGTTGTGGTCACGGTACTGAAAGGCTGGACAAGAAAGGAAACATTGAAGGAGAAAAATCTCTAGGACCGTTTTACGGTTTCCCACTATATTCTCCTTCTAACAGTATTTTCACGACAAATGTCGACGACGAGGAACAAAAGATCGCATCATCTAAGGTTGGCCGTCCAGATGAAGATTCGAATCTGAATCATAGACTCGACGATAGCAAACAGACCTATCCATCAACTTTTACGCCTCCCTCGCTTTTGCCTTCTAGAAATGCATTTTTAAACCAGTTGGAAGTCATCAAAATGGCTAAGTCATGGCGTTATACCCATGAGCCAGATAAAGGTGTAGTGTTCGACCGCAGAGAGCGCAAATCCGGACGCTTTCTACCTGCTGAGCCCCTTCAAGCAAGCTCCTCTGGCAAAGCTATTTACTCGTCACAATCAACTTACAGGATCGCTGAACTCGATGGGCTGCAAATATCTAATATTTATAGAGATAACGAGGGAAATAAATTAGAAGCAGACATCTCTGACCAAAGATCAGGAGTTCGAGTGGCGATACAGCCACTGTTTGTTCCACCTCTCTCACCTCACCAGCCAGCGGCCAAAGAGCCAGAGGCTAGTTTGTCCGACTCACTACTCAACTCTCCATTATCTGCGCAACCGTACATTCCATCAGCATTTCGAGAGACTCAATATCTGAAAGCAGTTTCAACAAGATCTAGAGCACCCAGTCCAGAAGAACAGCCTTCATCGCCCAAAGCAGTGTCAAGTTTCATTCAACGAGGTATCATCAAGAGGAGCATATCCAGCGTCATGCATGCCGACGAATCAGAGAAGGGTACTGTTGGCTCTGACACAGCTCAACTAGAATCGCTCAATTCTTCTGCACACAAGCGACTTCGGTTTACGACACCTGGGAATACTTCTAGCTCACGCTAGGTATAAGGGGTCGTGATTAGGAAGCTGACGGGACGAGATGGAATTCGGCGAGCGATAGAATCGAGTCGATATATGGTAATATCAAAGTTCGAATGGGCTGTACGTTTCACTTTATCTACGACAATGTTTTTTTTTCCCCTTTTGGTTTGTCTTGTCTGCTGTTGCTCTGCGATTTTGTTATTAGATCCCTTTCAATAGACAGCATCATAAAACTTCTCGCTGGTTACTAAGTAATTGCTAGATTATTATAATGTTTCATCGCGAATTTCCAAGCCTGTATTGCGACTTCTCTGTACGGTCACTTTGGGAACTGTCTTTGTTTGTTTGTTTCAAGGTGTTCATTTCTCTCTTGACAGAAATTTGATAAGATGGTGAACGTATATACTACTCTCTACCACTGAAGTCACAATTCGAGACTTGATCACAAGTGAAGAGCGATAATTATTCCGCTAATTCTCTACTAAAGACGGCCTGTACGAAATAACGCTGTATACACGCAGATAGTTCCTGTTGAGCGAAGCAACTTAGTATAATAAATGCTTTTGGTCAGGCTCGCTCAAAAGGGTTTGTGATGACCTTACTAACTATGAAGAAAGCTAGCGAATCATCTAGAGGGTCTTGAGTTGTTCAATTTTGAAAGTTCATAAATCCGCTCGTTGCTTGAACATAAGCAAAGCTGAAAACAACGAACCCCTATTCCCGAAGAAGCAAAGAGCGCTATCATGATACTCAAGCAACCTTCGGGTCATCATCGAGCCTTGAATGTGATCAGTAATCTTTTCTTACTATTGCATTGATCCCACGAGATTTGTCACAGAAAGAGTACACCAAGAGGATAAGCGAGATGAAAATCCATTCCACGACTGTTAACATTTCATATGCGACTGTACTTATGGCAACATTCAGTTTATATTTACTGGCGTATACGTATTTACAATCTGCCTTATTAAGTGTTGGTAAGACGTGTTGTTAGTTACCTATTCGGGTATTCCTGTGTTGGTACATCCGGGGTATTTCCCGCCCCCCACTTTTGCAATGACTAAACTTCGCTGATTGCTCCACGCCTTTCATTGTACACAATAGCTGCACCAGACAGGCAGTTGGATGCGCGGTTGGAGCGGATATTCAATCTCCTTAAGCAGTATCGAATCTACGCTCATTTAATTCTTGCGTTCTGATATTAGACTTCTTGAGCATATAATCGTTCCGAAGATCCCACCTTTGAGCGTAAAATTCGCCACATCTTGCGGTGAAGAAGTTTCAACGACCTAGTGTTGAGCAAAGAAGCAGTAAGATGGAGGAGTCACAGCCCTTACTTGGTCATGTCGCCGAATGCGAGATCCATGCTACAAGTCAAACATTGGTAGACTTTGATCCAAAGGGCGACGCAGAAAATCCTCTAGAATGGCCGAAAGCTTACAAGAATGGCGTTGTTGCGCTGCTCGCTTTTATGGCATTCACAGTGTAATTTTCTCCATCAAATCTAGAGACTACTCGCTCACAAAAGTTTAGAACGTTTACGTGTATTGGTGTTGTTCCAGTTGCTGATCAAATTGTTCTTGATCTAAAAGGCAAGGAGGATAAATCAGCAAGTGTCCTCCTTGTCACCGTTTGGGAACTTGGAGAAGCTGCTGGTCCTCTTCTTATAGCGCCACTTTCAGAGATATATGGACGATACATCGTTTTCAACATCGCAAATGTCGTCTTCATTCTCGCTACGATACTGTCCGCCCTCAGTCAATCTTCTAGCATGTTCATCTTTACTCGGTTCCTCACTGGCTTTGCCGTAGCATCAAACGTGCTGAATCCGGCAATCATCGGCGATATTTTCAAATCCGAAGAGCGAGCCTCTGGGATGTCACTGATTATGCTCGCTCCCTTGCTCGGGGGTGCCATTGGACCTGCAATCAGTGGAGCTATTGCGGAAACTCTTGGGTGGCGCAATATTCTTTATATGGCTGCACTGGTGGCCATCGTATGCGAAGTTGCCTTTTTCACTCTTCTTCGGGAAACTTATAAGGTCCCGATTCTCCAGCGTCGTGCAGCACGCTTAAGAGAGGAGACTAAAGACGAGTCATTGAGGTGTGCGTATGACGGAAAAAGTGAAGTCTTGGGCTGGGCAGCATTACGGACGGCTATTACCAGACCTGTGATCATTCTTTTTGATTCTTTTGTGCTACAAATCCTTTCCTTTTATGGTGGGCTAGTCTTCACCTTATACTATGTCATGGCGACTACCTTTCCGACGGTCCTTAGAGAGGTGTACGGATTCTCTCCTGCTAAAGTCGGCTCATCCTTCTTGGTATTCAGTATTGGTGCTACATGTGGGATTGTCATTTGCAATCTTCTCGTAGATCGCATATATATTAGTTTGGGGAAGTCTCGTGGAGGAGTCGCTCTTCCGGAGTATCGAATGCCGCTCCTGATCGTGGCATCTGTATGCTTACCATTTATGATCGCACTTTATGGTTGGACCCCATATGTCCATTGGCCATTGGTAGTGCTCTTGATAGCCGTTGCGTTAATTGGTGTACTCATTATCGTCTGCTGGGTACCGTTGGCTTCATACGTCGTAGACGCCTTCGGTCTGTACGCTGCATCGGCGATGACTATGACGATTATCTTCCGTGGTGTGGTATCGACGCTGGTCCCACTTGCTATCCCCGCTCTGACGGGTGCAGTTGGATTAGGATATTGCTTCGTTATCATGGGAGCGATTATGTTTGCCCTCATTCCTTTGCCATTGCTGGTTACAGTCTATGGAAAGCGTTGGCGAAGTACATCTAAATACACCAACAGCGAATTGGCTTGAATCCCGATGGTACAGTTTTTCGAGACGCAATAATATCAGAAGCCGAGCTTTGAAGATGGGATTAGGCTTCTAGATGAACAGGTCTAAAATTTATCATAGAAGGATCAGTGGAGATGGGCACGGGGCCGTTGTTAGAAGATGGGCAATCATTGTTACTGAATGACAATGAGTATGAGGCTCGTTTCTGGAAAGGTGGGGGACATGTTATCTTGTTGGTGGAAACTTTTGTCCTCAGACACTCGTGATGGTGATGACTATGAGAGGAAGGGTCACGATCTCCACTCTTTTCGACGCAATCTGCGTGCACCATCTCTGAAAATATTGGGATCAATATGGCGGGTTCCAAAATGAATGCTAGAATGGATTATATAGAAGATAGACAGAAGATGGATTTACTAGACAAGATCAAAGTAATTACCCGATTATATATAGCCTGACCTTCGTTCATGATAAAATATATCTCAATATACAATTCCGCTTTCTCGTAGCTTCCTGCTATGCTCCAAATTAAGTCAAACGCCATTCAGGTCTAGATGAGTAAATCGACTAACTTCGAGTCCACACACGGCAAGGGAACAGTGCTTCGAAGGCTATAAACAGCCAGCACATTACAAATATGCAACAAACTGGGCGACGTCGATCACCACACAAGAGAACGTATAGACCACGAAAAGTTCGGTTATCAGGCTTCTTATTCCTTCATTCTTCTTACAACATGGTATTCATAAATCGTACAAACATAATACAATCCTTGCACAACACTTAATCGCTATCCTCAAGCTCCGCAGCCTCTAAAGCCAACTGCTGCTTCTTAATCTCGAGTTGTCTCTTCTTCTTTGCCTTCTTCTCTGCTTCCGTCAAGACCTTCTTCTGCTTTGGTGCTGCTGCTGATTGTTGTGGTTGACCTCCGCCACCGACCTGTAGAGAGTTTTGTTAGATCTTCATCTTCTGTAGAAATTTGTGCAAACAGAAATAGACATACGATAGGGAGCTGGTTTGTAACACCACCAACAGTCTGAAGAAGTGGTGAAGTGACACCTCCAACGATAGGAAGACCCTTCGTAGTATCATCAACGGTATTCAAAAGCCTGCACCTCTATTAGCACTTCATCATAACCCGGTCCAAGCATAACCTACCCTCCAAGCAGACCCCCATTGTTGCCTCCATTGTTATTTCCACCACCACCGAGAAGTCCAGCCATATTTGCAGATAAAGTGGTAAAGTAGATAATTGGATAGCGTATATTTGCAAAGTGTAGATATCGCGCGATGTAACTCAATCTTGAATGATCTCCCCAAGCAGCATTATCCGGGGGTTATATACATAGGAATGGGGAGCTGCACACGTGTGCGGTGATATCACAAACCTGTTTTCTGAACTGGATATCAGGATATGGAGAAGGCAGCGAATGAGGTGTGTATTGTTTGTTCTTTCATGCGGATGACGTATTTTTGGCGATTGGAGGGCTGGAATATCCTTGACATTTTATCCTTGTTGGGAGGGGATTGCATAGTGTGGAGAGGTGTAATATATTAAGCGAGTTCAGGGGCAGGGGAGGAGAATCATGTGATCTGCTTAGATGTGTGGAAAACCAAGACTCGGGCGTAATCATAACTCATAAGTAGTTAATTGTTCATTTAGTTTGTGTTTATTACTGACATTGCTCTTTATGATGTTTATGCATCTTAAGAATTTGTGCTTTAAACTCTTTGGAATATCTCAAAGCTTACGAAGCCGTTTATGCATTGAAAAACGTGGTGTCAGATGTACAAATCGTTCTGTGGCAAGCTGAAAGAGACTTGATTCCAGATGGTCTTGTTAGGAATCGATGCCTACCCCAGAGGACTTATTATTGTGGGAAGATGGGAGATCATGCGAATAGTACCTAGACTTTTCCGCTTCGAGGTTAAAGTTTATCTGGCTATTGTAGGAACTCACGATTTCTGACAGAGTTCTATATACATCTGGAAACAACCACAACGAAACTTACGGTCAGGGCACTGCTCAAAGTCGAAACGTTGGGCTTGTGCTCGCTTGCTATCAAGTGGCAGGAGTGCTTAGGACATCTGCAGACCAATAATGGGATCTCAATAGATGGAATTACAGATACGGCTTTGAAATACAATTGTAAGTTCAAAGTTTTCATTACTTATACCAGACTTCCAGCCTCCAGGCGATTGGAACAAGGTAAGTATGCGAAGGATTCACATGCGTCTAACTGTTATTTTCGAACATTATTGGGCCGAAGATTAAATGCAAGAAGATACCAAAATTCATCATGTTTTCTTCCGTACACAGAGCTCGTAATGGCAAACTCATCTGTACTGTTACCTTGTATTTGCTTCAAAAATTGATCGGGTTTACCTATGCCTAAGTGCCTTTCGCTGGCAGTCAGGGAACTTTAATAAGTATCATGTATGGTAAACACTGGTATCATCTCGCAAACTTTAAACTAAAGATTTTCTCCATGGCTGGAAAGAACGAAGTCTTTACGGAAAACTGAAAAAGTTATGATGTTTGAATTGATCCAACACATTCTACTCATTAAGCGCTGAAAACCCCGACTTTACTATCACAAGACTCTTTGAGAAATTAGACATTGTATTTGGTTTCATCATCTCGTTATTTTCAAAACCTCGGACTTCCTTAACGCCAGGTAATAAACTGAAAATCTCTTAAGCCTCACTAAACATGCCGTTCTTCTTCATAGTCTTCTTAACCTTCCTGCGTTGCCACATAAGATAAAAAATGATACCAGTCAAAAGTTGTAGACATGCACTAGCGAGTGTAAGGCGCCATTGGCTCGACTATTGCACGTTAGTATTCTACACCAAAACACCATTTCTCGAATTTACTTACTCCTCTCGAGCAGACGCTACCAAAGTTTACCAGCCCCTCAAATCCAGGTTGAATCCTCTCCGCAACAGGACTACAAGCCCACCCCCATAAATCATCTCCAGACTTCCCAACACGATACAGAATAGCAACCACAATCCACGTAATCACGTCTGCCACCCTTATTAGCACCGTATCCATCAACATTTCTATCGCAACTTACGAGCCCCTTCAACAAGCGACACAAACCAAGTCTGCACAAGCGAAATCGCATTCGCATGTCTGATACTCCTCGCATATGCACTCATAATCAGTAATCCTGTCAACACCGTAATTGCCGACACCGAAGTCAGCATAATTGACGGCCATAAACTTGTCTGTTTCGCCCAAGGACCCCGCGGTGGGTCACCTCTTTGTATGTTTTTCGTGGAAAGGTATTTGGCTAGGGTGCGGGATTCTTGGATTACGGTTGCGATTGCGAGGGCTGTGGCTGCGAGACGGGCAATGAATCGAAGATAGCGGATCTTTTTCTTGAGTTTCTGTAAGGGGTTCCATTAGTCCATAGTTCTGAGCTGCGAAGCGGATGGAATTCCTACCTCGTCTGCCTGCTGCAGCGCATACGACTCATCTGGATTCAAAAACGGCGTCGATGGATTCTTGTCTCTGTCTATCGTATCCTCCGAAGCCATCGAGAGATGCGGAGTTCCAATCTTTGGCGCCATCTTGGTCAGTGGAAATCGGGAACAGGAGAAGGGACGTCGAGAAAAGGTCGGGACGGGAAGGATCCCAATTTATTAAGGTGCGATGCCTAGGTATATGAAGCCGCGAAGGAATAAGAGGATGCGACTGAACCCTGTTACGCCACAAGGCTGCGCATGTGCAGGAGGCGGCCAATTCGGTGAAGATGATATCCTTTTTCGGGTATTGAAGATTACCCCGGGTGTGATTATTCACCTGGGCGGTCAACGGTCAGACTTCGTGATAGTAGTGGGGTAGGTAGGTCTATTCAAGGTTTGTATGTGGTGTTATATATTTATATCTTCCACGATATTCCCGGAATTGTTGAATATGTTCACACAAATCCAAATTTCTAGTAAAGATAACATTATCCAACAACACCAACATGTACGGAGTACCAACCAGTCCCAACAACCATGCTGTCAATCATGATCATCACAATCACCCCAGCCACTCACAAATCTCCAGAAATCGACCTTGGCCAAAACAAACCGATGCTGATGTCAGCTTACCATATGGGTAGCGAGGCGAGGCGAGGACATCCAGAGTTGAGAACTAAACTTCAAATGCTCGTATTTAAGTGACATTTCTAGATTGAGGTTTTGTTTATTAACCAAATCGAAACCACTGACAATGAAACAAACGGATCTGCATTTATTGACTAAATTGAGGTGGGAAATAGATATTCAGGGGTCATATGCAGGCTAAGCGAATCCTTCCGCTGCCTAGGAGTGTTTGATCGTCGTGATCGGATGAAATTCTATATACGGGGTACTATTTCGCGCTGTACAATTCTTCAAGTAACCTCCTGCTGTTTATCAGTTGAATTTAGCAAGCGTGAGTGTCATAACAGGCACAATGGTTGTCGCTTAATTTTCAGTTAATCGTTTTAACCCAGACATTTGCTTGCGCATCTTCACTGGTTGTACGCCACAGGGCCAGCTGAGGTTGTGCGACAGAATTCGACGAGGCGGTGGTGGCTTAGCTAGTATCGTAGCACAGTTCTGAAGTCTCTTGAAAAGGTTTCTCTCAGCTGGTCTTCACTTCATCTTGTAGTTCCAGTTTTTTGAAACTTTCTTTGGTCCTTCATGCAATGTTTGTTTAAAATGTCTCATCATACATCAACTCCACTTTGTAATCGCTGCTCAGAGTTGAACCTCACTGCACGCGACTTTATCGTGGCTATTGGCCAGAGGGAGGAAACCAACCCAAGTAACGTATACAATCCAATCACATTGTCCCAGTATCCGTGGGAGCATATCCTACGACAACAAAGTTGCAATCTATGCCGCCTAATTCGGATAGCCGTTGAGTGGAGTTCTCGAAAATGGCAAAGAGCAGAGACCCTACACACTTGTAGACTGGTATCAAAACGAGTTAACGGCTACGATGGTCAAGAGGGTGTTGCTGATACTCGGATGCTCGAGGTTATTGCCGAATATAGTTGGAGCGAATCACACGATATAGACTTGATTCCTGTTCAGACAGAGGAATACCCGGCTTTTCCAGGCAGACTTGTGAAGCAAAATTCGGTGGATTATATCCAGATTCAGCGATGGCTGCAAAAGTGTCAGGCCGACCACGGTGATAACTGTCGGCATTTTGAAACCACTCGGTTCGTGAATATCAGACCAATTCTTTTGGTGATGGATGTTCAAGATAGATGCCTGGTTCATCTTCCGCTCAACTGTCGGTATCTGGCCCTCAGCTATGTATGGGGAAGGGTCAAGCAACCTCAGACACTTTTGGAAAACGTGGAAGGGTTTTGCGAACCTGGAGGTTTGAGTACGATTGCAGAGAAGCTTCCAAAGTCTATCCAAGATGCTATTTCTTTTGTTAAAGGCCTAGGTGAACGCTACCTTTGGGTTGATACCCTTTGCATCATTCAAGACGATCCCAAGACCAAACAATCCATAATCGACAAGATGCATATCATTTACGAAAATGCTTACCTTACCTTATTTGCGGCAACTGGTAAGGATTCTAATGCTGGTCTTCCTGGAGCGGATCCAACTTCGCAGCGTCCAGAGCAGCCTATTGCAATGGTTGGGCCCGGCTTAACATTTATATACCCAGCACCTTTTATGGACATTAAGAACTCTGCGTGGGCAACCCGTGCTTGGACGTAAGTATCTCTCTCTACTCTGAAGTAAAATATTGTCAGTCATCAGTTGGTAATTCAGCAGACTACCTTAATACACATTATCTCCTTGGCTTTTACAATTTTAATACTAATAAGGGAACCACCTGTTTGGCTATTCATTAATAGTCGCTAATACGAATACAGTTATCAGGAATACTACTTCTCCAAGCGACGTTTACTCTTCGTCGACAGCAAAGTATACTATCAGTGCAACACCTTACGATGGCGTGAAGACGTCAATCAGGAACATCTGCCAAACGGAATAAGCTTCTACCAGGTCAATTTTGCTGGTGATCGAATGGAATGGGACCCTCCTCGCACGCGTAATCATCCAAACGCCCCAAACAAATCATTAAATCGTTATCATTATAAACGGTTGGTTGAAACTTATCTTGACCGCGAATTGACTGTGGATGGTGATATACTTAACGCATTCGCCGGGATTACAAATGAAGCAGCTTACGGTGGTCTAAAGACTTTCTATGGTCTAACACAATCATGTTTTGGTTTGGATATTTTATGGAAACCATGTAAATGGTTGACTAAACGCCATGGATTTCCAAGCTGGTCCTGGGCTGGCTGGAAGGGGTCTATTGTACAGCCGTCGACCCATAAATTCCCATCTGAAAGGGTGTGGTTGCACAGAATGTCTTGGATTAACTGGTATCGCTTTAACGAAGTCGATGGAGTTTTTCACCTCGTTGCATCGGGTAGCAAACCAGAGCTGGAAGAACAGGTTCGAGCTGAGGAGGCGAAATCTCGTGCGAGGGATGCGAGATTAGAAAGAGATCGTCAGGAACGGGACTTGGACGAAGTCGATAAGGACACGACAGATCCTACCAGGAGAGAGACAGTTTCAAACTCTGCGAATATAGTGACCCCTTTACTCGCCAGGTTGAGCCTCAACTCTGCAGACGAAGCATCAGAGACACGTATATCACCGTTTCCATTGAACCTTATTCCTACAATAGACAAATCCACGTTGCTATTTCGGACATTAACAACGTACCTATCTATTTCGGCACTAAAACCTAATTTAGAGAAGGCCATTTCTCCCCGCGATGACCACTTAGCTTTGCCTTCCGCTCCAACTCTTCAACTTTATACTAATGATGGTAATCATGTGGGGACTGCATGGGTTTATTCAGAGGACATATACAATGAAATCGTTGAAAACGATATGTTAGGTGGAGATAGAATGACAGTTGAAGTTGCTGTTGTTGCTGCTCCGGGTCAAGGAGATTGGCGTACCAGAACGGAAAATCCAACAACATGGGAGTACATGCAAGAGCTTGTCAGAGCTGGAATGAATGTTGGAAATGTTTATGCTAAATATCAAAAGAATCTGGCTTACGATAGGATGGTTGGTGAGAATTACATTGCTGTGCTTACCGAAAAAGAGCAGGATCCACGATATAGAGGCGTCGATGGCGTTGTTGTGAAAGGGTATGACTTTTGGGAGGAGGTATGGGTGGAGCTTCCAGAGCGAGTTCGAGCCGCCAATTTCCCTGGCCACAGTGAGGAGTTGTTGGCTCGACAAATAAAGTGGTTGCAACGAGATGTTACAAGTCGAGTTGATGACTCGGTACTTTTCTTCCAAATCATGCTTATCGGGCGCTTAGGAAATGGACTGAATAATGGAAGTGGAGGCGTCAAAGAAAAGATAGGCATAGGAGAGCTGCGTGAAGACTCGTTAGGAATGCTGAATGGATTAGCTATGCGAGATGTACTTTTGAAGTAATTCAAATTAATGATATATGAGTGAATACCACATCAACTTACTCGAATCAAGTGAACTCGGTTGGCCTCAGATAACCTAGTTTATACGACCAACGTTATTTTCTTAACTTCAGATTCGATAATGGTAGGGCATTACACGGCAACATAGCCCGCATTTTTTACAATTATAATTGAAATGAATCTGTGATACAGTACACACTCTATAAGCATATTGCTCAGAGGAATACCTTACAGATCGGGATGTAGTTTATAGTCCCTGTTGTTTTCTCCTACAAAATAAACATAACCTTGGGATTCGAATATGGTATTAATTTAAAGTTCCCAAGTTTGTTCGAGATGGTCTTAGGGGAAATAAAAAATATGTACTTAGTGATTCACGTACATTCACATTATTCAGATAAAAAAAGAACCCTTAACTTCCAGGATTTCTCCTTGGATTCGAAGAATTTTAAAACCTAAAGGCACTTTTTAAAAAATTAATCCTGTTAAAATAAAACTCCCCACTCAATTACGCAAAGACTTGTCACTACTTTGCAAAGAATATACCTCAGTTTTGGAGAATTGAAAACATACTCTAATATTGTTATACAAGGGTGCGGGTTTTGGGATGAGAAACGTACCTACTCGCTGATTATCACGTGATGTAACTGACATTGGATGATTTACAGCCTATACCTTTCCAGACTTGAACATCAATTTCCACGTAACAACAACAACAAATGCTTTTACATGCGAAAACGCTCAGATCGAGATCCTCGGGTCGCGGCTTGAATAAACGTCATTAATGGTATTTAGATGTTTCTCCTAACGTCGTGTAAGGAGAGTAGTTCTACGCCAGATTTTTCCGCTCGCTACTTTGTTCTTTCCGAGCTGTCGACTACGACAGTTGATTGTCACACCTTGAACAAGTATATATATCAAAGCATGCCCGCCAAGCTACAACTCACCTGCTACACAGCATAACAACATTTCTTTCTCTTCTCTATTAAACCCGAAAAATCTCATTTCATCAATTGTGCATTATGTTGCAACCTCGAGTCCTAATCAGCGGCGCTTCGGTAGCGGGTCCAGCGCTGGCATACTGGCTTGTTCGCGCAGGCTGCAAAGTCACAGTTGTTGAGCGCGCATCAAGGCTTCGAGCTGAAGGCCAAGGAATCGATGTTCGCGATACTGCTCGAGATGTGATCAGACAAATGGGTCTTTTCGATGAGATCAAGTCGAAAAGTTCAAACGAGGAGGGAATCAGGCTCATGACAAAACACGATAAAGTCTTAGCGGCATTTGGCGTCGACGCCGACTCTGGGAAAGGCGAATCAGCAACCTGCGACATTGAGATTCTCAGAGGAGAACTGGCCAAAATTCTTGTGGATGCGACAAAGACAGATGTTACTTATATCTGGGGTGACATGATCGAAAGCTTGCATGAGACGGAAAAGGAGATTGGTGTGCATTTCGCAAACAGTACACCAGATGCATCTTTCGATCTGGTGGTTGGTGCAGATGGCATTGGTTCAAAGATTCGTGATTTGGCATTTCCCAAAGACCTCATCCACTTCAGAGATTTGAATACTTACATCTCATACTTTTCAATTCCCAAAGGAGAACAGGATGATATGTGGGCAAAGGTGGCATGGGTTGGAAAGGGACGTTACATGGCAATGCGACCGGATAACATTGGACGTACGAGAGTCTTTCTAAATGTCACGGGTTATTTGGACTCAGACGAGAGACTTGCGAGATTCCGAAAGGTTCTAAAGGAGGGTGTCCCCGCTCAAAAAGCCCTACTACAGGAGCTCTTTGAAGATGCCGGGTGGGAAGCGTCTCGATTATTGGAGGGCATGCACCAATCCGACGACTTCTACTTGCAGCACGTTGCACAAGTCAAGATTGATAAATGGTCGACTCCAAGTGGTCGGGTGACCATGGTTGGTGACGCTGGATTTGCTCCTTCGCCATTCAGTGGCATGGGCACTTCAATCGCATTCATCGGAGCGTACGTCCTTGCAGGCGAAATATCAAAACAGCTAGAGAACATTCCCGCAGCTTTAGAGTCTTACGAACGCATCTTACGCCCGTATGTCGAAGACATCCAAAGCCTCCCTCCTGGAATTCCTTGGGCCCTGATTCCGCAATCAAATATTGGAGTCAAACTACTTGAGACTGTGTTCAGGACTATCGGATTCTTGTCGCGTACGGGAGTTACCACTGTGATTGGAAATATTCTAGGCTACCTGCCATTCGCTGGAGGAGTTAAATTCAAGCTTCCGGAATATGAGGCTTTTAAGAAGCGAAGCTGAGTTGGACGGGTTGTAATAATAATAAATGTAAATTAGCTCTCCACCAACGTTTCTGTTATGCCAGTATCTTTCTTCATTTGACGATGCTACTTGTGACTGTCATTTTTAAACGAGATGTTCTGAAGTTGACGCAAATATTCAGGAACTTTAACAACTGTGCCAGGACCTCGATTTTTATCACCTCTACATCGCCATCCTTGGATACACTTCGCCTACCTCCTTCAAGGAGTCCAATGAATTAGCAGCAGCACACACCCTATGCGTCCACATGAGTCTTTCTCGACACTCCTATCTTACTATCTCGGATATTATTTAAATGAATCAGGCAACATCAAGGTGGATGAATCGTGTGTGCTGGATGAAGTGTCTCATTCGGACCAGGAATGACGGTCATGAGATGGAATCTTGCACAATTTAGTTTTGAGTGCAATGCTAAGGCAGAGGATATTTAATGTTGTGGTATCTGCTTTAGTCTGAAATTGCTTAGTTTAAGAGATAAATAGGTGAAAGGCAGGAAGCGGTGCTATCTAATGATTTACTTCAAAAAACGAGTATATGATGTCGCTTATTCGAAAAAGGGGTTGTGATAATCGATATGTAAAAAGTTGAGGCAGGTTACCTCACATGATTAGTGCCATGAAGTCAATGGATAGGCTAAAAAAGAGCGCACCTGGAGATCTAGTTTATATTAATCATGAAACCAATAATCCCCCCTTCCAGCATCATCGATTATGTCAAAGTACCACCGTCTTTCGAAACAAATTCAAATGAGATAACGCTTAACCAGCTACTAAAAATCTCGTATCAGAACTTTCAGATATCAATTTGGTTGAGAAGAAGTTGATTTTAGGAATACTCTTGTATGGTACTATCCCCCAAGTCATAATTAATGGTTTCCACTCTGATTAACGGTGAAGACTAGAGAGTTCTTGAGGCTGAGTAAACATATCCAGGGGCACTATTTCTTTTAAGACATATATACTCTTCTTTCGAGATTAGAGTGAAATGTATAAAGTTACTGGCACGCAAAATGCGGGAAACTGGAGATTAAGATACGTATCGGATTCAGTTAACTGGTTTGAAGGGGTATGGGTGTCGGGAATGACCTATCGTTATTACAGATTGTAATTAGACCTTGTTAATAGAAATTATTGATAGACATTACTATTATACAAGAAAGTCGCTGTGGGTATCTGCATGCAATGAAAACACAGTATTCTAACATAAAACCCAAGGGTTGTGTCAGGCAAACAAACGCTGAACAGTTATTAGCGTAGTTGAAAGGACTGTAAGTCGACTTTGATCAGTATCGCCGGACGTCCATTGGATGGTACAGCATGACAAGCTATGAGGATATGAGTATGACACCTAGTCGCATCTTCCTCCTTGACCCGAAACCATTGCCCAACCCATAGTGAAAGTTGCGTGGCTCAGAGGAGATCTACAATTATCGACTTTTCTGCATGATTCCAATTTAGAGATAACGTACTGAAAGGTGTTACGATTAATCGTCCTTTATCTTGATGGGCGGAGTGTCCTCTCTCTTGATGGGTGGTATGTCTTCTCTCTCGACGGGCGTTTTTGAGCTCTCCCTTGACGCAGGCGGCTCTTGCGGTAAGTGAACAACGTCCACAATACCACCCCTTAGCTCGAAGAACGAATCTCTGAGTAGGGCTAACGCGCCCTGACCGTGAAGCAAATTTCGTTCACGATTTTGATGAAAATCCCTGCGCTCCACCGGCTGTTCCTGCGGCGCAAAACGAGAATTTAGGGCCAGCCGACCCTCCTGGTCTTCTTCGTGTTCTCTTCGCTGCTGTGCAAGGTATCGTTGCTGTTCAAGGTAAACAGGCATTAAGCGTTCCTGAATCTTATGCACTCGTTTGTATTCTCTTCGCATATCTTGTCTCGAAGAATGCCAAAGGTCCAGAGTGGCTTTCGGGTGTTCTCTGCTCATCGATTCGAGGACAAATTTATTGAACGTTGTTTTATGTTGTGGTAGATACGGCGCGTTCCTATCGCCAAAAACATTGCAGTAATGATTTTTGACCCTGTCCAAGAGACGGCGGACCCTATGAAATATGCTCCTTGAATGATAAATATTTTGGACAACTATTTGGCACTTAGCTAGTATGTAATATAATGTAATGGGATCGGGATTTGACTCAATTACTTACGTCGTGCTTCAATTCGGTGCAGGTGTTGTAGTGATTGTAATTCCCTTTGATTGCAAGACTCGCAATAACATATAAATGATCGTTGATCTCCAAGTCGGGTATTAGTAGTGAAATTCGACAAACCCAGAAACACCTCGCTCAGAATGAAGAAGTCCGCCATGTCGTCGAATTTTGTGCATTGATAAGATACTAAATTCCCGGGTCCGAATTGATGGGTAGACTGACATGAGAAAAGGCTGAGAATCTAGAATGATGACAATTTGGAGTACCTGGCAAGAGGTTGTATTTGGGTTAATTATGGAAGGTACCTACTGAGGAGGACCATATGATGACTAAGGTAAGCTGGTACTCGTCCCCTTCCAAGATTAACACGGAGGAGGCGCTTCTGAGTACTGATGTCGTCGGCAGAGAGAACGGTTATTGTAAATATTCTGGGAATTAAAATGTAGCATCTGTGAAACTTTTTCTAGTCTGTAAGCGTTTTCCAGTCAACACCATACTTGAAAAGTTGAGGTCGTAGTAGCTATGACTTCCGATGAAGTACCGCATTCTGGTACGTTTAAGCGGTACGGCCCGCGAACGAAGTAATTGGCTCATGATTCAAAGATTTCACAAGGCTTAGTTGTGGAGTCAACCATCCCCAGAAGCAGCACAACTCTTTTCAGGTGTTGGGTTTTGGCAGCCGAGCTTCTCGAAAGGGGGGAGGTCGAAGATCCCCACGTGATGATGAAACAACCCCTGCAAAATTTCTCCATCTCCAGAAAAAAAGTCAAGAGCTTCAAAAGTTCACAACACCAGAACATCCTATTTAGCAAACCCAACACAATGGCAAAACGAAAGCGCACCGTCTTATTAGAGTCCAAACCGGCAACTACGCCAGCACCCACCAAGAAAATTAAACCATCAACCCCAACACCACCGCAATCCCCAACCACAATCCAAATCATCGCGGGGTCCTACGACCGAGTCCTCCACGGCCTAACAGCAACCATCTCACCCACCAACACCGTCGAGTTCGCCGACACCTTCCTCTTCAACGCGCACACAACCGCCATCCGGTGTCTCGCCCTCTCCCCGCCCTCCCTCCCCGTCCCCAAGCAACCCCAGAAAGTAATCCTCGCAAGCGGCAGCACCGACGAGAGGATAAACCTCTACCACATCTCCGCCCACGCGCCCTCGTACGTAACCGTGCCCGCCATCGCCGGCCTCTCCTCAGCGGTGGTCGAAAATCCGCAGAATAAAGAGCTGGGCTCGTTACTTCATCATTCTAGCTCTGTTACTGCGTTGTACTTTCCTAATAGAAGTAAATTGCTGAGTTCGGCGGAGGATAACACGATTGCGGTGACGCGAACACGGGATTGGAGTTTGCTATCTGCGATCAAGGTGCCTGTTCCTAAAGCTGTAGGGAGACCAAGTGGTGATACCGCCCCTCTGGGTGGTGCACCTGCGGGCGTCAATGATTTTGCTGTGCATCCGAGCATGAAACTCATGATATCTGTCGGAAAAGGCGAGCGCTCGATGCGCCTCTGGAATCTGGTGACGGGAAAGAAAGCCGGTGTCCTAAATTTCGAACGTGATATTCTGAATGAAGTCGGCGAGAGCAAGTTCACCAGCGGGGAAGGACGAAAGGTCGCATGGGGAGCTACGGACGCTGGAGAGGAATTCTGCGTGGGTTTTGATAAGGGTGCGGTAGTGTACGGCATGGACAGTAAACCGAAATGCAAAGTCGTGCCGAAGCCACGGAATACGAAACAGAAATGGGTAAAGGTGCATCAGATGTGTTATTTACAGGTTGATGAGGAGAAGGATATTCAGATCCTAGCGGTATCGACTGAAGATGGGCGAATTTTATTCTACTCCACACGACCAGATGATCTCGAAGCCGCGGCTTCAGAGAAATCTCTACCCGCAGCAAAACTGATCGCCATCCTAGACGCCGACATCTCACCCCCCGATCCAAAATCCACCACAGACAGCGCATCCACACGCATAAAAGACTTCACCATCCTCCCGCTCCCGAACAAAACATTCATCATCCCCACCGCCCGCAGCGACGGCACGATCCAGATCTTCTCCGTATCACCTGAAGATCTATTACCTTCCAGCGTATCTGAACCTAAAACCGTCGGCAAATCCCTAGGTTCCATCAAAACAGGCAATAGAATCACTTGTTTGAAGGCTTTTGTCATGTTACCTAAATACCAGGGTGAAGAGGGGGAGGATGGGGATGAGTTTGAGGGGTTTGGTGATGATGTGGTGGATGAGGAGGTAGGGAGTAGCGGTAGTGATAGTGAGAGTAGTGATGAGGAATGAGAGATACCCTTTTTCTGTTTCTACGACTGATTGAATGTTGTTCATGTGAAGTGTGCGGTCTTGTCATGTGAATGAAAGGAATGAAATGATTAGGTTGTGAAGAGGATATTGCCGATTGAGAAGGATGTGGGGTGCTTATCCATTTCAAGGTAAAGATAGTCACCATAAAGTGTAAACAAAGTACAAATCTCATAAGACCCATTCGGAACGACATCTCAAAAGAAAAAAAAAGAGGCGAGGATATATTGCAAACTCCCAACCGATCTATGAGGTATACGTAAACGTGAGAAAAAACTGCAGATATATCTTTTACCCCCATAAGAATATCAAATTCCGAACCTTCCCTTCCCTTCTGAACCTTGATCCCCCTCTTCGTATCCATACCAAATCCCATCCTCACATTTATCTCATTCTCATCCACCTCATATCCAAATCCATACCTCAAACACAAAAACATATGCACAAGAAAATCAAAAGTCCCATCCACATGCGACGCCAATCACCCTCGTCCAACCCCCCGTCCAAGTCCCATCATGCCCAGATATGTGCCAATTAGATATCCAAACCAAAAAAAGAGCATTCAAACCCCAACCAAATTGCAACCATCCCCCAACAGATGAGCGAAGAGGTATCCTACAAAACGCTAAATCGCCAAAGACAGCATTAGAATCGAATGACAAAAGAACAAACTTTGGCGCTCAACAAGCCCAAGTTCACATAGAAATCAAAAAACAACCACACCACCCCTTCTAAATGAGCGCAGCAGAAAACCCAACCTTGTGAGCTGGGAAAAGGACTGCCTCCCTGAATACCAGTCAACCATGCAATCAACAAAACAAGTCCACCACCAACTAACACACTCCAAAAAACCCAACAAGTCTGATCCTCCCAATGATCTAAATAACTCAAGAAGCATAAAAACGTAAGAAAGGAGAGTAAAATGTCAGTTTTTGGTTGCCGCCCATTTTTGCCTGCCATGTCTATCTTTCTATAGAACCAATGGCGTAGATGATGTGAATAAAGATCCCATTCTTCCATTCCTCATGATGGTGGTCGGTTTTATTGCCGAGCCATTTCATTCGCTTTCTTCGTTTACTATTTTTCGTGTCCAGTGCTATTGATATCGCGAGTTCGTCTCGTAGGGTTTTAGCGTGTTTTAGTTGACCGGGTTGTTCGGATTGATTACATGACACGACATGGGTCGATATATTGGTATTCAGCCTTTTTTACCCCTAATGATAGTCAGCTTTACACTTCCTGACTTTGGTCGAACTAGTAAAACATACTTTCCTTTTCCCGACGAAGACGACTTCTTCGGCGCGGATCCTCCTGATAGAAAGCCCAAGACTCCTCCTTTAGATTTGCTGCTCGACTTTCGCTCTTTGCCACCATTTCGCTCTTCTCTACCAGGCATCACAACTACAGGAGCACCACCGGGACCGACACCAAGACCTGGTCCTCCCCTATGTCCAGGTGGAGGTCCAGGCCAGATACCGCCGGCTGGTGGTGGTGGAGGTGCCCCATGAGCACCTCCTCCTCCGCGACCTCTTGGATCCACAGGTCGTTGCCGAGGATCCATCTGAGCTCTAAGGCGGGGATCCATTGGCGGTCTTTCACCGGCTCGTTCGTGTCTGCTGCGCGGTCGTTCAGGCGCGTGACCGGGATGGAAAGGATTGTGATGGCCATGTTGAGGACCTGGATCTGGCTTCGGTTCTGGCATTGGCCACATGTGCATTGTGATTGACCAGTCTGGCTCGATCATCGTTTCCCAAACCTGGGGTAGAATGATCTCTCCGTTTGGCCCTATTAAATCATAATGACCGTCTGCTACATGGGGTCCAATGACTTCTACGTGTAAAAATGCTTGCTTGATCAATTCTTCCATACCCTAGAACCAGTTAGTAAGCGATTATTCGATATAAGTGTGGAATCGACTTACAGCCCATGTTGCACACAGGTGGAACGGAAAGCTGAATTTGCGTCCAACAGCGTCCTTAAACTTCAGAGGTTTCTGTTTCTCTGGCTCCGGAGGTTTACCTGCAGCAATTGCTTTGGCAAGAGCAGCTTCCGCCTCTTTTTTGGCCTTTTCAGCTTCTTCTGCCGCAGCTTTTTTCAACTTCTCTGTTTCCGCCGCGGCCTCCTCTTTCAATCTCTTTGCCTCTGCAGCCGCCTCCTCTTTTAGCTTCTTCTGCTCAGCAGCCGCATCGTCTCTAAGTTTTTGCAATTCTGCTTGAATTCTAGCTCTCTCAGCAGCTTCAGCCGCCTCTGCATCCGCCTTTTTCTTGTCCGCTTCCACTTGTTTTCGAACATTCTCGGCTCCTTGAGCTCGAGCCGCTTTCTTTTCCTCCTCAACTTTCTTCTCCCATGCAGCTTTCTCGTCTGCAAGTTGCTTCTCAAGGGCTGCTTTGTCCTCCGCGTTTTTCTTTTCTAAAGCATCCTTTTCAGCTTTATTCCTGGCTTCTAACAACTCCTTTTCTTGAGCGATTTGCTTTTCCCAGGCGGCTTTCTCTTCAGCAGATTTCTTAGCCTGTTCAGCCGCAGCAATTGCCGCTGCCTCTTTAGCATCACGGTCCGCAAGCTCTTTCTGTGCCTTTTCGTACCCAAGCTTCTGAGCTGCCATCGCCTGTTCAATCGCTACCAACTTCTTCTCCGTCTCCGGATCGGGGACAACTGAAGGCTCGCTGGGCGGCCATTGAGGAGGTTGAGCATACTGATATATGTGCTGTGGAGGTATACCAGGAGGGCCCACATGTGGCGGATATCCTCCGTAGCCTCCCGGTCCAGGGTATTGCTGTGGTGGAGGTGGGTAGGGCATCATATCATGGCCATAACCTGGCCCTGGTGTGTTATGGCCAGACAGGGGGTGATGGCTCGCCGCGGGAGGGGGTGCAAAGTAGCCAGCTCCAGCAGGGCCATGGTTAGGTTGAGGGGAGAATGGGTTTCCCTGATGGCCACCGAACTGCTGGTAAGGCGACTGTTGCTGGCCATATTGAGTTAAAGCTCCAGGCCCCCCGTGAGCGAATGGAGGTGGTGCATAGTTTGAGAATGCACTTTGGGCGTAGCTTGGCCCAGGTGCCCTGCCACCAAATTGTCCAGGTGGTGGAGCAGGGAAACCTCGGCCATAGCCCGGATAGTCCTCGTTGGGGTCCACGCTGGATGGTGGTGCCGGTGCGTGCCGGTGGATGCGAGCAACAGGTGGTCGTCGAGAGGCTGGATTTTCAGAAGTGGTGTGTCGACGAGTAGGTCTTGAAGCGGGGGGAGGACGACTCTCGCTTTGTCGGTATCTTGCACCAGTTCGAGGGCGAGACGCTGGGCGTGAGGCAGACTCCGACGGTGAAATTACTTCGTCGGCGTCGTACAATTCCCAAGACTCGTCTTCGTCGTCCGTATAGTTTGGACGCGATGGGACTAGAATGTTTTAGTATTTATTAAAACAACTGACAATCACACTACAAAATAGAGGACAACTTACCACGCACCCCCGATCCTTCTTCGTCTTCAGTATACGATTCCGCAGAACGTGATGTAGAGCGGGAGGAGCTGTTGGATGGCGATTGTTGAGAGTTTGACTATACGTTTGTGTTAGTTGAGAAGTCAAGCTTGTTGTAAAGTACAAATGATCATGGAAACCGGCAAATAACCCATAAGCAGCAAAAGAAAATAAAGTGAAGAATCATAACAATCCGACTGCCAAAAGTGTCCCTCCAGCTGCCCTGACGCGAGCTGACTGGGTTGTCTAGATAGTCCTTGCATGTCGGTTTGTTTACCCCTCTCTTGCCCAGTCATCGGACAGCTGTGTCCGCAGAAGACAGAAATATGGCAGGAACATGGAATTGAAAAGTCATAGGCATACCTCAATTGTAATAGTAGTTCTGTATAAGACAACGGTTAGCTGAAGTCTCCAAATCTACAGTGGGTAGACCATGAAGCGGCAAACTTACGGCATTGGATCTCTCCTGTTCAAGGAAATTATCACTCAACCACGACCTTTCTACCCGAGAAGAGTCGCGCGAGGATATTCCAAGGTGGTGAGGGATGTGATGTGAAGCGCAATGCGCCCTGGGTTCGATCTTCGTCCAATCCTTCTACTCTTGCAGTGGGAACTCAGTCCTGCGACAAAGTTCCGAGCAACGGAGCAGATGCGGTTATTGAGTCTTTAGATCTGCTTTTAGAGTATTCTCTGTCGCGTCGAGTGAGAGATTAAGGTACAATTCTGCTAGTTGAATGCGAGGCGGTGTATTGGTGCTGGCGCTGGTTCTGTTTGGGTAGGAATGCAGGTGGAGAGTAGTCTGGACGCTTGTGGGATCTTTTGTGCGCTCTCTTCGGCGCAAGAGATAAATGTGTATGGTAGTCAAAGTCGTTGCAATATTTGCTATCGACTGTGCGAAACAGAATGGCAGGTCCGTAGACACAATGCGACAGGTATGCCCAGCTCTCGTGGAGCGGGAATATTTTTGTTGTTGTGACTGAGGAGCGTAGATTCTGGCGAATTCTCCTGCTGAAGAAGGTCAAGGAGGGGTGCTGTAGGCGCATTAGCGGGTTGTCAAAATCAATCACTCAGGCCACCATCCAGGCCAGCCGCTGGGATCTGAGCGGGCCAGCGAGCAAGCCAAGGGAGGGCCCGTAGCGGAGGGGCAAAAGAGCAGGGAAGACGAGCCTCCTGTTCAAACAAAAAGGATAGAAACTGTTTGATCGTCTGGATGTTCGTACCTCCTCTAAGCCCTCTCTCCGCATTTATCACCGCGGGAGCATCTGGAAAACATGCACGGAAGGGCGATCGAGGAGACGTGCAGGCAGATCAAACATTTTCATTACCTTTCAAGCGAGTCGAAGGCATGAACAATATCAGAAGTTGTGCGAACCATCACGTACCTTTGAATGTTTGTCCCGAAGTAGCAGTCCTGAGGTTGTCCACTTCGTTTGGATCAGGCCAGCGAGGGATTTTTGGGGATTTATTTACTGAAACGTCAGGTTATCCCTGATGTGGAGGACTCAAGCGAGAATGGATAAGCTTAAAGTTGGTGTGGATTTCCCGTTGCGTAGAAAGAGCAAGGAAGTATTGTAGTAGATTCTAAGTGTGGATTGTTGATGTGTAAGTCTTTATGTGCGTTTTCTGAATTTGGATGATGGCGGGGTCTTCTTCTTGTTGTTGCGGCGACTGGAGTATCGGTGCATGACGAGAGACAGGGTTGCACGACAGCGAAGAGACTCGAAGGTGTTCAAAGCGGTTGGCGGGCTGACCAGGCTGACCGAATAGGTAGAGGAACAGGTGAGGCGTGGGTAAAAAGGGATGCGAGGCAGGACTGGAAACGGTGGAAACAAGTCGCAGGCACAGGCAGCTTATAGAAACAAACCACTCAGCATGCAGTAGAAGTGCGGAGGTAATAGTTCAAATCAATATTGGCTGTAAGGGGATTGGGGAATGGCTGGTTGAAGGTTTTGAGGAGAGGAGAGGGGTACTGCCTTGAGTATGCGCTGGAGTCACGACAGCAAAGGATCCGACAGCTGATTGTTTCTCTTTATACACAAATACATACAGAGCGGTGGCAGCCTCGCATTTCGATTGACAGAGCTAGTACAACACACTGAAAGTGGTTTTTGGTGTTGGCAGAAAATACCGTGAGAAGAGTCATCCCAAGTCACTCGGCCATGCCCAATACCCAGCAAACAGTTTTCAGCCGCCGAGAACATCAACAAACACATCAAATCCCATCCATTGTTATCGCTGACCGCTGCCTGTTACTGCTCAATACTCCAGATAGCGTGGTATCGCGTTTGTATGCCGGCCTGAACCCATCCACTTTGATGCCCAAGCAACCCGACGAGCAATGCAACCTACCAAATGGTGTGCCAGAGAACCGTGATTGGCTCCGTCCCGGCCCAAACTCTTCCTGTGGTGTAGGGCCACGATTATCAACGGGCCGCGCCTCGACAGGGAAGAGTGAAAGTCGACGTCGATGTGCATGGAAGCCTCCGTTGGAAAGTGGGAATATCTGAGAAGAGGCTGCGTTCTCATCCGGCAATCGCCTCTCAACAGCTTCCAGAAATTTCCCCCCTGTGAATTGGATCTCACATCTCGTAATCAAAACAGCATTGGATAATTAGACAGTGGTGCCTTGCAGGCCTTGCACCATATTATCCATGGCAACGAACGAAGAAAGTTATCGTATAATTGGTGTTGCGTCTCGATTGAGAAGTTCCTGGGCTGCAATTATGTCGGCTTTCTCATAACCTGTCCACCCTTTCTCACCATTCAGATTCCTCCGCACTATCTCAGAGAGCTTTGCTGTCGCTAACTCATTCAAGCGCTCTACTGTCTTCCTGTCTGGCGCCGGAAGCCCGGTTTCAGACTTAGATTGTCTTGAATTTGTCGCAAGATCTTTTAAAAGACGTTTTGTGGTCTGTGATTCGTTAGTAAGATATTCCAACACATAATATCGACCGAACGCGTACCAGTTTCAACCCATAATATCCACGTAGGTAGTCATCACACAGTTCAACACTCCTGCAAAATCGTCGCATGGATTCTGAAAGGTTCTTGTCGGCACCACCTTCGTTACTCGAAGCAGCCACGTATAAGACCTCGCCTAGCCGAGCGTGCATCTACATTCGGTCAGAGAGTAATCTATTGGATTTGAAGTCATCTGATATCAACTCACGTTCCAAGCGTTAGGAGTAATCAACAACACCTCCTCAAGCGCAAAAGCTGCCTGGGAGTACATGCCTTGCGACAAATATAGGTCTGACAACTCTGCCCATGCTTCTGCGTCCGTGGGGGAGCTTTCGAGGAGTTGATTGAGAGCACCGATGGCCTCCGTGGGCTTTTGGAGCGTACGGAGAAGCGCGATTCGTCGTTTGGTTACAGGCTGACTAGATTAGCAAGCTATTCAGATAGCACAACATATTGGGATGGCAAACCATATTGCTTGGGTCAGCTGCTATGATCTTCTCGTATTCTTCCAGAACCGTCTTCAGGGCGGCGTCATCCTTCGCTGTTGCTTCTTGAAATACGCCTCGCAATGCCATCAGTCGTTCGTTGTCTGCGCCGAAGCGTGCCGTGAGCCTTTGCAGGCATAGATGAGCAGACGGTTCATCGCCCGTTCGTAAACATGACACCATGAGGTTCTCGTATATTGTCCATAGCTCTGCCGACTCTGCTGCAGACCAGATAGAGCTAACGGAGTAAGGTGATATTGAAGAGGGCGTGCTTTGAAGGAGAGCTGGAGCTTGCTGCGATAATTGAAGAGCTACCGTTGGTGGAAGATGCAATGGTGGATGCAATAACGAGGACGCCATGATAGCTTGAGGCAATAGTATTTAAATTCCGCGCGAATGGTAAATAGTCTCCTCTGTACGTATTCCTAGTTGCCAATGGTAGATGTGAAGTTCGTCGCAATCAGCCAAGATGGGTTTGAAGGAAGTGGTCTGTAGAATCGCAACAGCTCGGGTGAATCTCGTAAAACCGTTCCGCCAGCCGGTTCGAGACAATCACGTCGTCCCCAGCTCCACGCGCAGGGGTGTTGGTGGGGGACCTCATGTGAAATCCAGATTCACCTGCGACCACTGCAACCGCACCTTGCGAATTATATGTGCATTTTGTTATGCGACAACCAATCTTTCAAAGTCCACACAGAAAGGATTTGTCAATGTAGAGTTCCCGAATCATGTCGATCGAATCTCCGTAACAAATCCACTATTTTGAGTCTCAAATAAGGACCGTTGGTGGAAACCGTCACCATGTGCGCCCCTCCCTATACTATCCTTTTATCCACGAAACACCTTCTAATAGCAGTCTGCCAGGTTCGAGAAGTCTCTTTACGACCTCATTCGAGGTCTCCGAAACCACAAGGGAAACGAGAAGGAATACATCCAGAACAGCTTGAAAGAATGTCGGGCGGAAATCAAGGGTTCGGATATGGGTGAGTTATAGGCTGGCCGCAAGTCGAGCATTCGCTGATGGATTTGATTAGACCTCAAGGCCACCGCGCTCTTGAAACTCGTCTACCTCGAGATGTTTGGTCATGATATGTCCTGGGCATCCTTTCACGTACTCGAAGTCATGTCCTCTCCGAAATACTTGCAGAAAAGGGTCGGATACCTGGGTGCGGTTCAGAGCTTTAGGCCCGACACGGAAGTCCTCATGTTGGCTACTAACCTGCTGAAAAAAGTAAGGGGATTCCGTTTCTCATTATTGAAATAAGCTAAAGGTACTAGGATATTACCTCCACATCTGCCATCAACATGTCTCTTCCGATTATCACGCTCCCTCACATTATCACACCTTCTCTAGCATTGTCGGTTCTCTCGGATCTTCTCCCACGACTGACGCACTCCCATCCAACAATAAGGAAGAAGACTATCGTGACATTATATAGACTTGCCCTAGTCTATCCCGAAACATTACGCCCCGCCTGGCCTAAAATCAAGGACCGGCTAATGGATGAAGGGGAGGACCCAAGTGTGACAGCCGCTATAGTGAACGTAGTTTGTGAATTGGGATGGCGGAGGCCTCACGATTTTCTACCTCTAGCACCAAGGTTATTCGAGCTTCTTGTAGATGGTGGTAACAATTGGATGGCTATCAAATTGATCAAGCTAGTAAGTCAAGAGAAATGGAGACTTGGTTATGTCTGAAATACTAATTTATAAGTTTGCAACTCTTACGCCTCTGGAGCCTCGGTTGGTCAAAAAACTCCTACCTCCTTTGACAAACATTATCAAAACAACCCCTGCAATGTCATTATTGTACGAGTGTATAAACGGCATCATTCAAGGCGGAATTCTGGGCAGCAACGATGATTCTGCTGACGGCGAGGAGATTGCAACGCTCTGCGTCAGTAAGTTGCGGGGTATGATAATGGTGGAGGGCGATCCTAATTGTAAGCCCATGAGATCCGCACTATCACCCCTATGCCTAACAAGAAATTCAGTGAAATATGTCGCGTTACTGGCATTCAACAAGATTGTTGTCACACATCCGTATCTTGTCGCTCAGCAAGAAGATGTCATTATGGAATGCATTGACAGTTCTGATATTTCTATCCGGCTGCGAGCCCTCGATCTAGTAGTCGGTATGGTGAGTAGCGAGAATTTAGTGTCGATCGTCGGTCGCTTGATGCGACAACTACGAAATGCTCGCTCACAGACGCTGGAAGAAGCCAACGAGCGGCCAGTATCAGGTGTAATCGAGCCGATAGCAGACTCCGATGACGAAACCCCCGAAGTAACTATCAGGCCGGACAGGGGAGCGTCTCAGGAACCATTGCTCCCAGATGACTATAAGATTGATGTGATCAGTCGAATTCTGGAAATGTGCGCTAGCAATAACTACGGGAATCTAGAAGACTTCGATTGGTATATCGATATACTGATTCAACTTATAAGGAGTGCGCCACTTGCAAAATCCGCTTCGGGTGCCGAGGAACGCGGATCAAGAGATAATAGCTCATCTAGTCTGGATATATCTGAGAAAATTGGTGACGAGCTCAGAAATGTCGCGGTAAAGGTACGAGCAGTTAGAGCATCAGCCACACATGCGGCCGAGAATTTCCTGATCACAATGTATAACGACAACTCCTCCCCATTCTCCCCAGCTACTGGAGCACTAAAGCCTTTGGCGTGGATTGTCGGAGAATATGCGAGTTCTCTAGAGTCTCCGGATGGAACACTTACCGCCTTGCTGCACATCACAAGAAGTTCAGCGCCAGCAGAATGCATCATTTTGTATTTACAAGCCCTGCCAAAGATCTTCGCTTTAGTTGCAGGAGATGACCGAGCTTCTTGGACACCAGAGAGGAAAACCATGTCATCACTTCTCATGGCTCGCATTATCCATGCATTAGAACCACTTGCAATGCACCCGGATCTTGAAGTTCAAGAAAGAGCAGTCGAATTTGCTGAATTGCTGAAGTTGGCTGCAGAAGCTTCTGCTGGTCAGGATGTATCTTCGGATGAAGTTGAGCAAGGAGCGCCACTTCTACTGACCCAAGCTATTCCATCCTTATTCTCCGGACAGGAACTGAATTCTGTTGCGATTGGAGCACAAAGGAATGTTCCAATTCCTGCAGGATTGGATTTGGATGAGCCAATCAATGCGAATTTAAGCAGTCTCCTGAGAGCTGTTGACTCCGCGCTGTTCGACGAACCTGACGGGGACGAGTTTGAGACGTACTACTATCGTGCACCTCCATCTGCTCCAAGCGTCTCCGAACCAGCAGCAAACAGGTTAGGCGGTCCCTCTGAAGAGGCTGTTCAGTCATATCAGCACGGCAGCGAAGAAAGTTACCTTGATCCAGATATTGTTGCACGACGGCGGGCTGAAAGATTAGAAAGGAATAAGGATGATCCTTTCTATATTGCCCCTGTAGAATCGTCTGGAACATCAACGCCCTTACACAACATACTGCAGAGTAATAACGGTCCCGATCTTGACTTGGATGCCATTCCAATAATGCAACTGAAACTCGACGGCCCGGGTTCAGAAATGACTGGGCAAGGACTGCCCAAAAAGCGCAAACCTCCCAAGGCGCACCAGCGAATACAGGTTGCCGCGGATGAGACATTGGGAAGTGGGTCGACTACGCCAAAATTTGACGATTCGGAAAATAGCTTTGAGGGGGCTCAGAGAGCGAGACCCAAGGGTAAGCAGTCTTTGCTCCAGGTCGACTCGAGTCACATTGGAGCTTTCTCTCTAGAAGGAGATGGATCCGCTACTGGAATAGACTTTGAGCGACAGCAAAGAGAAGAAGCTGAGATGGCAAAAGCCATGAAAGAGGTTGACAGATTACGTTTAGAGATGCAGAGAGCCAATGAACGTATACAAGCTGCTCAAGGCGTGTCCTTGGAAGGTACTGTGGTCAAAAAGAAGACGAAGAAAAAGGCAAAACCTGTTGAAGGAGAATCAGTGGAACCAGTGAAAAAGAAGAAAGCGAAAAAGGCTGTTATTGATGAAGGGCAAGGTGAGGCCTCTAATGTGGCCGAGGTCGTGAAGCCGAAGAAGAAAAAGAAGAAGCCAAAGGTGGATCAAGTGAACGACCAACCTGAAACATTAGTCCAGCCCAACGAATAGTCAGGATTGCATCCTCGAGTAGAGGTTCCGAGAAGAATCCACGGGTGCAAGGCCACTCGGTGAGAAAAAAGTGACTTCCGTTTTGACTAGAAATATTTAGTAAATTTGAAAGTCACTGAAGCTCTAGTAATCAGACAATATACAATCTACGAAATCCTATAAGCACTTATAGTCCCTTGAATTAAACCAGAAATCAAATGATAGTTATGGTGCAAGCCACTAACAAGTCTGGAACCCCTCCCCCCTTTTGCTTGAGCCTCACAAAGCGACGTCCAAGCTTCTTATCGCTTATCGTGACCGCAGACCCACTTTAAAATGTCCAAAATTTCTACAACAGCTGCGACTTGAACTTCCAGTTACTGACTCTCTTCGAGTCCGTCTATACAACGCAATGCACCATGGAGGGCGCAGACTTCATTTCCTTCGGCGACATAAGCCAGAAGCAACCTTTCGACACCAAGCGTGAACCCGGTTTAACATTCGACAACAAGACCGAAGGTAGACATTCTCGACCCCTCGCGCAAGCACATTTTTGCAAGCTGCCAATTGTGTAATTGTTATTGACGCAACCATAGTTGAGCGCAAAGAAATCCAACGTGCCCATCGTCTTGCCGCCAAACGCGCACACAAGAAAGAAAAATCAGACGCCAAAAAAGCTCGCAAGGAAAATGCTATTCTCCACCGTCGCGCGACTAAGAATCGGGAGAAGTATAATAAGAATAAAGAGCGCAATGCAATTCGAGATATCGAAGCGGAGCGGAAGAAGATTCGCCGACAGGCGTTGGATCAATACAAAAATATCACTGGGGAGAAATTCGAGGGACTAGGACGACCCGTTCTGCCTGAGGGGAAGAGTGTCCCGGAGGGCGAGGAGAATATGTTTGCGTTGTGGGATCTGGGTGATGAGGAGATCGTGAAGAGGATTAGGGGTCATAAGGCGAAGAAGAGGGAGGCGGCGAGGAAGTTGCGGAGGAGTCAAATGGAGATGAAGAAGTTGAATAGGGCGTTGAAGGCGAGGAGGAAGGAGTGCGAGAATCGTGGGGAGGTTTTTGATGTTCAGGCTGTTACGAAGGAGATTTTGGAGGCGCAGGGGAAGGAGAAAGATAAGGAGGCTGAGGGTGAGGATGATGGGTGGGAAGATGAGGTTGAGGAAGGCGAGGGGGAAAAGAAGGGGAAAAGGACTGCGGAGGGGGATGTGGATGGAGAACCGAGTGCGAAGAAGAGTAAAATGTCGAATGGTGATGCTAGGGAAGAGGTTGGTGCGGATGGGAAGAAGAAGAAGAAGGGGCCAAATATTCCGAAACTCAATCTTGCTCTTTTGGATGATGCTACGATCGCTGCGCGTGTCGCGAAGGAGAAGAAGAAGACACGCACGTACCTCAAGAAGATTGATGCCGTTGCTACATCGTTGGATGGAGTGGATGGGAATAACAAACCTGTCAAAAAGGAGAAGAAGAAGAGAAAGGACAGTAACGCTGGGGATGAGAAACCAGTTGTGGAGGATACTGAAATGGCAGAGACTACAACTCCCAAGAAAGAGAAGAAAGAGTCGAAGAAAAAGAAGAAGGACATGGCGTCTGAGGAGGAGAAGCCAGAGGTTGCGGGGGAAGTGAAGCCAACTGAGAACACGGAGATAGCAGAGGCAACAACTCCCAAGGAGTCCAAGAAGAAGAAGAAATCTAAGGATGCCGAGGAGGAGAAGATAGTTGAGCAAGATACAGAGGTCCTCGAACCCACAACTTCCAAGAAAGACAAGAAAAAGAAGAAGGACAAGACATCCGAAGAAGATCAACCGACCGAAGAAGCTGTGGAAGTCGTCACTCCAAAAAAAGACTCCAAAAAGAAGAACAAAGACAAATCCTCCACCAAAGAAGTCTCAATCGACCCCGAAACCACCTCTAACCCCGAGTCTAAGAAAAAGAAGAAAGACAAATCCTCTAAATCAGATCCCGACGCCAAGTCATCGAAAAAACGTAAAGCGGAAGCGGAACCCGTCGTAGCTGCGCAATGGAATCCAGAGGCGCTGGGAGGGGATGCGGAGAGAAAGAGTAAGTTTTTGAGGCTTTTGGGAGGGGGGAAGGTTGCTACGAATGGTGAGGGGGGAAAGGGTGGGGAGGGGGATAAGGGCAAGACGAAGGGAGAGATTGAGAAGGTGCAGAGTGAGCTTGAGAGACAGTATGAGATGGGTATGAAGATGAAGCATGACGGTGGGGGCAAGAGGAGGGGGTTGGGTGCTTAGATTTTGTGAGATATGTGTGAGGGAGAGGGTTGGATGGTTGAGTAGGGTGAGCATTGGGGATGTGTGGAAGTTTGGGGATTTGTGATGACTTTATGGATGGGTATGCGTTGTTGTTGAGTTGGTGTGATGTGGCATATATCATTGTGGCAGATAGCGTGACGAAAATTTACTTTGCTTTCCTTCATTTGCATTTGCTTCTCGCTTTCAATTCCCCTCTACTACTGACATCTAGTTCCTCTGACCACCCATCCTTTTTCCCGCCTCGCTCCCCTTCTCGCCCGCCAACGAAATCATGCAGAAAATCAAAGCCCAAATAACTCCATGCAACCAAGTACTAACTGTGTCCACCGACGGGACTTTTGTACTGTTTTACATCCCCTGTCATGCTCGCAGATTGTTCGCTTCTCCTGTCTCCTTTCACATTTTGTATATCCTCTGTGTTGTTGTGGTTTATGGTACGGTGAGGTGAGGTGGTGGTAGAGGTAATGGTGTTAGACCGTTTACTTGAAGAATATCTGAGAGATCAATTCGAAACCTAGACCGCCGAAGATTACGAATGCTAGGACTCCTGTAGGTATCGTTAGCATAATTCTTTGGCCTCACTGTTCAAATCCCACGGCCGACTCCTGTTCTTCTCTCCCTTTACTCCTCTCCTCTCAACACCTCTGCCTTCTTACCAACTTTTGCCGCCCCTCAATTCCAGCATGCAGTGCAGAGACTCGTTAGACCATTTGTTGCTTTTCTCCTGTGGTCATTCCCTGCCATCCCCATCCCCTCCTCCTGTCTTCCTCCCTGCACCCGGCCCAAAGAAGGGAAGAAAGTAAAACATAAACGTACCTAACCAAAAAGGCGAAATCGGACTCTTGAAATCTTGCTTCCTCTTGATCTCCTGTGGTGCCTTTCCGCGTTTCGCCGTTTCGATTTTGGCGTACTTGGCGTTGCGTTTGCGTTGTTCGGGGGTTTGAGTCTGGGATGGATTGTTAGTTTCGAATTGAAGTAGGACAGAAGGGCTTTAGATGGGGGAAAGCAGTGAGATAAATTATCAAAAGAAATTTTGGAGGGAATTGGCTGTTGCAAACGTATTGCAAACGGAAAGGTGTTGGAGGAGGTGTTGTAAATGCGACAATGCGGAAGTTGCAGAGAGAGAAGATGATCTTACCATTGTGAAAATGTGGTTATACTATCAATCGTAGAATCCAAGTCTAAACCACGAAACACAAAAGAATGAGAAGAAACAAAAGGTCGTGCGTAGAGTAGAATTTAGATCCGTCCAGATGTAGATATATTTCAAAGATGTGTCCCGACGCCTCTGGGATTCGGCCAGAGTTGCAGCTGTGCCGAGTGCAGGGATTGTGTGTGCACGGACGATTTGAAGAGCTTAGGGTTTTGTGGGGCGCGCGAGCAGACCAGCTTTGGATTGACATCTTGCGACGGATTGAGATTCACAACTTCAAGAATTTGAGGATATATACGCAATGAATGCTTCAATACACCGCACTATGAGGCATTCCTCTCCTATAATACGACAATTACGCTTCTATTCCGCAGCTCAGAAACCGGTGTCACCACATGTAGGTCTCCTTCCACCCAATCTAGTTTTATCCTCGGATCAACCCAAAGCCAAAGAGCTCTTCACTGATGCGCTGTGATATAGATTGGATTCTACAAGACCTTTTCGCGGCCAATAGCGAAAGTCCTGCTTATGGCTACCTTCACATATCAAGTTGCGTATTGGGGATGGGTGAAGCTGGAGAAAGATGAGGAGAAGGCGGGTAGGAATGGTGAGTTTGATCTTTTGTTAGTATATTGGGTACAGGAGATGCAATTGAAAGCTTTGGAGGCGGGGAAAGAAGGATTTGGATTGCGGTGTTGAAGATTAGAGAAGAGAATGCTAATCCCACGGGACAGCAGAAATTAAAGCCCTCGAAGTCGAACTCCAGAACCTGATCAAGATGGCTGAGGATGCAGGCATAAAAGTGAAGAGCTGAGCGAATGGGGATTGATCAAGAACATCAAGAAGAGGTGCTGGGGATAAGAGCCCCAAACTCGCGCCACGAGATGGACAAATGAGCTTGAAACAAAATCCCATTACGGTTGAAGGAGGATAACAGCAGGCTGGGTGTTGTCTGTGTAGGAAGTGACGCTTTAGAGAGAAAGAATGTTTGAGATACCCCGGGATTTTTGGTGCTGAATTAAGACATATTTCAGGTCACGTCGTGACAGTGTTGATTACTGGCTGACGTCGAATGATAGGATGTCGGAAATAGATGAATGAACACGCAGTTCGAATGAAACGGCATCTGGCTCATAGTGTAGTGTGCGCTGATATATTGACAGCTTTAGTTGTTTACGTAACCGAATACTGCTACATTCTTTTTCATTCTCCTCGTCCTCATCTTCTCTACTAACTTATCTAGTTCAAATTAAGTTGATACCTACATTCGACTAGCAAATGCGTGCTAAGTGTAGACTCCAGCCCTTTGTCAGAAGAGTCTATTGAGTAGCGCCTGTCAAATTCAGGAACTTCCCCTTTCGGCTTGGTGTAAGGAACTGATATAGATCGAATTCAGTGGAGGACTTCTACCGGTACCTCTGTGTGCTAACATTCTGATTTCTTCTCCATCACAAATAACGTTCCATGCCTCCAGTCGCAATCTGCAACGCAGGTGGCAAAGCTGATTCAACGGCTCTTATTGTTGAAAAGACATATGGTCACATGCCAGCAACAATTGACTCAACACGAGAGAAGCGGATTGTTGTCAAAAAAGGCAACTTAAATACTGTCTTTTCTTTCAATAAAAAGACAGTCCGCCAGTCGAAGACTTACGTTTCCCAAAGAGTCGTCGGAATTTGAGATGAACAAGCCTTGCTGGCGTACTTCAAGACCCGAGAACACTAAGGATGAAAGAATCAATCTCGAGATGACTTTGTGAGATACGAGTTTCATCCAATCGCACAAATACGGCGTGGAAAGCCTGGATTTGAAAGACATCCATTCGGCTACGTAACAACAAGCCTATGTTCTGTGAGCAAAAGCTCGGACAATCATATAGTGGTGTGGATGATGAGAACTTTAATACAGGTATCTTAGGTCTTATACAGCCTGTTACCATAGATACATGTAACCCTTCCACTGGCAAACGGTACAATTAATAATAAGTACAGCCCTCGGAGGAGTTGTCGGTGCGAAGTGTTAGCTGAATGAATTAAGTCTAGCTCACCTAATTTTAAGCCAAAATTTCTAGAAGTATATTAAGGGCGATTTGCTCTATACGTACATCTAAATTATGTCAATTATCCACTAATCTATAGCTAAGCGATAGCTAAAATCCTTAATTGTATCTATGAGAGAGGACTTTGCTTAACTATACCGTTTGGCAGTGGAAGGGATATGTCTCGAGTCTCTTAAATGATGCGCGCTTATTTTATACACTGTTAGGTACGTCTTAACACTGTAAACCTATCTATTGAGAAACAATAAGACCTTGATCATATGATTTTCAACAATCCTTAGGGGAAGGAATTGCGGTAATAGGCAGTATAGTTTGGTTGTGTAGAAATTAGCGATGATGAGTGAGGTGCGCTCTATGCTCTGCTTATTGGCTATTGGTAATTGTTTTATGTTCCTGGAGCTCTGGTACAACTACACATGGAGATGCTGCACTCCTTGTAAGAATACGTTTGTAGCTTGGAGCCATTACTGTGACGCTCTGTCGGGTGAAACTTTTCACAATAAGCAGCGTCCCCCCCTCAAAATTAGATTCTTTGTTTGGTCAAGATTAATGCGTTAAGGTAATCATGTATTGAAGATGATCTGGAAATGGATCTCAATTTGCGGTTTTCTGCATCAAAATGTTATTGGGTAAAAGTAAATCTTGTTTGGCTACTGATGTCCTTTTTTTTAGAGTAAACTAGGAAACGATATGAATGGGATGAAGCACTATATGAGTGAGTCATTTTTTTTATGTTCAACGTCTGCTTATGAGAGCTGGCACAATAGTATAAACACTTATTGATGGGGGAGCTCTAACTATGCCAAAGTCTAAACTTCTCAAATAGTTGCATTATTCTTTACTAGCATGATTAATCTTAAGCGACACGGTATGAACACAACATTGAGCACCAGCAGTGTGACAAAGGATTACTCAACCTACTCAATCTATTCATGAATTATCATGAGTTGAGTTGAGTTGAGTAGTGAGTACTACTCAAACTCAACTCAACTCATTTACTACACTGAGCTGCACCAGTATAGCCTGAGACATCAATTTGCTAACATCTAAACCGAAATGTCTCATTCTCCCCTACAACAACATATACAGCAAGATACTTCCCAGAATAATAATGGGATCAAGTGCAAATCTTGAACCTAAACTTGGTACACCAGAAGGCTTACGACTTCCCTCTGTGATATTCGGTGTGCTCAAACACATGACACGAGCGTCACTCCACTGGACCGGCGCACTCCGAGACCAAGCAAGTGCAAAAAACGGCACAATACTCGTGACAGTCTGATCATAAACCAAGAAGTCAGTCGTATCATTCTTGGCCGCCGCTTCGTTTGCAAGAGTTGCCCCCCGGAAAACAGTGTCGTAGTCCGGGTCACCAAGACCAAATGGACAAGTGCGGTTCTCGGGAGGAATAGCTATTCTGATGATTAGTGATGTGTTTGTATCGCGTTCACCTACTAGGAGGTTAGAGATTCAAATGACTTACAACCGGCAGAACGAGATACGTCCTGGAAATCCTTACACGACTCAGGCGCCAGTTGAAGAAGAGATTTACATGGATTTTGCGTGATGTTACTTCTTATATACCGCGATCCTTCATCACTCAAAACCTTCCTCCACTCATCCACGCATTGCTGATTGAAAAACTTAGTACAATCCCCGCTATCCCCCTGCCCACGTTTTTGCGCGCTCGCTGAGTACCCAGACAATGTCAAATAGCACATTTCATATTCCAGATCCTCTGACGCGAGGTCAGTACCATGGGTATCAAGCCAGACTGGTTGCTGGTAAAAGAACGTGAGGTTGTCTTCGGAGTTGCGTATGTTCTGGACGCCGGTTGACCAGGTCCATGTTGGTAATGGTATGCCGATATTTGCATCGCCGAGGCCTTTGATGTCTAATGCGCCGGTTGCGTTTAATGTGCGGTAGGAAACATTGCCGGGATGAGCTTGAATCTCCTTTGCGGTGCAGTTTCTGTTTATATCGGCGGATTGAGCTAGTGTACCGCCGACAAATAAGACACAAGTAAGATTAATGGTAGTCGATAAAAAATTTGTCCTCGAGACGCTCATGATGTAGATGAATGAGGTCGGAGTGAAGAGACAGAGGTGAGTTTCTGAAATGATGCTTTTGGTGAGAAGTCAAATCAGCGATACAAAATCGAAAAACATTCTCGAAGAAGGGAACCCTTCAACCGACACAATTGTACGTAAATAAAGATCATTTCTAGAAACCAACACATTAGGTTCCATCGTTCAGTTGCTTTTGATCTTTCTGTTGGTATGACGTCCTCGGACAGGAGACATGGGCATATCGGGCAATGCCCAGACAAACGTAGGGTAGCATTGTACCAAAATGGACGTTTTCAACGTTTACCCGCTCTGGACAATTCCCAACCTGTCACACCGCGAAGATTCCTCCCTATTCTCTTTACGATACGATATACCGATATGCACCATGCTCCAACGGTTGTGCACGTTCTGGACCCTGCAGAGCTGAAGAAGCAATTCTGCGGGGAATCTTGTTGGATAAGTGGTAGGGAAACACAGCGTATGGTCTGATTGAGAAATACCGGCTTATTTTACCACCTTAAGAGTTGATGCTTTCGAGCCTGTCAATTGCCCGTTCAGAATCTAGGGAGCAGAATTAAACCGATTGGATCGTCTCGATATGATATTCCTGCCAAGCCTAACAATGCCATACAAGCGCTTACATAGGGATTCCAAATCCCCCTAGTGGAATTGTACGAGCTGATGCACTTGATTGGCTAGAGTTTACGGTTAAATTCAGACTTATTTTGCGGTCAGGTTATTCTTCGTGCACATTGATTCGGCCCCCTAAAATAAGCGAGCACTTACCACAACCAACTGGACAATACTTCTTAATTGTAGGATAGGGAAGAGTGCTGGCCAAATGTTGACTGTGTCTCAATTGATCAGAAGGATACTAGACTAACCTTCTATTCCTATTTTGCGTGTACTAGTGGTAGGAGTATAAAAGATGACTACCACATACTGGCCAAGTTATGAGTAATTTGATTATATCTAACACCAACCAAATTACCTCCAAGATAGCAGTGGTTGGATAAGCAGGTACTTGTCTGGCTAGCACCTTACGCAAAGTAGTATCACAATTTTTTTATTTCCTTTGCACAAACATGGACCGTCAAACTATAGGCAGCGTCCTAAAACAATCATATCCCTACCGCCAATGACGAGTACTTTCCTTAAACAGTGAAAAAAATGAACGATCCCGTCTATATTCAGTGCTGACATGCACAATAACGTGAGGATATTATAGTCGTGCCTTACATGATCAACCGTCGGAATATTTTGCCTCATCTCGTCGTACTCTCTGCCAATTGAAAAAGATATCCACTTCCTCAAATCCCTGAATTGTAACACAAAGTCGACGAAGAAATCTTGGCAAGTGTCATGCTTGATTCTTCGCTTTTCTGGAAAGTTAGTCCATATATGGATTGATTGGACGTAGACTTACCCACGATTAGATACTCGAGGTTCTATACTCCCATCTGAGATATCGTTCTACAAGACCCTTTTTGGGATCCAACCCTAGAACGGGATTGAGGGGTTGGTCAAGAAAGGATCAGCCTCTTGTTGGTAAATACTGGAGCACAAATATCTCTACAGAGAGTGGTTGACAATGTTGGAGCTCAAAAACCGACCGTGGGGAGGATAGCTTGGCATTTATAGTAGTCGAGCTACGAGGGTTTACCGCCATCATTGTGCTCAGTTGAGAATAGGAGGTAAGACGATAATTCCATAGACATTATACAAAAATCATGGACTTTGAGTCTATAATCTGTATCTCCATGAGGAATTAGCTCTAATGATCAAGCCAAAAGACAAAAATGCTGACTTTATGCCTTTTGATAGAACCACTTATGTGATGCTATCTTGAAGAATATTGGTTCTCCCCTCTCTTGACCAATTCATATCCCGGGGAACATATGTTGGACTTTACGAGCTTTACGTCAATTCCTCTTTCGCATGTAGATGTTCTGTCTTCATCGAAGATTTTATCGATATACTGTCAGATGTTGGCTGCTGAAGAACGGCACAGAAGGTCATTCTCGTTGGAACGAAACCAGGAAAACGGCCGAGGGCTCGACGTGAAGATGTATAAATATGCTGAGCTTGCGCTATTCAAATTTCAAATCGGCATCTCCAAAACTATCTCCTGTATTCTTCACTTCTTGAAAGCACACTCGGAACAATCAACCACTATCTATAATCAAGTTGACAGAACCAGCTTCTTTGCTTGTCAAAATGCATTTTTCTGTGCTATTAGCTGTAGGAGCATTGTCTCTTTCAGTTACAGCACTCAAGAACCCAGTCCAACATGGACCTACCAGGATCGACGAACTTTCAACCACGGGAATCCAACGCACATCCGGAGCAGACACCATCTCGCTCCTCGGGGGAGAAAGCATCATTGACTGCCCTGGCAACTCGGCCACTGTCACCGTCGACGCTATTGCTGCCAAAGATTCCCTCATTCATGATATAACCTCTGGTGTCACACTCACACCAGGACTCTGTCTCCATGCCGAGTCCGGAAAAGGTTTCAAGACATACGCACAAGTCTGCAACCACTCCAACTCGACCATGCTCGTCGACACCGTCGCTTCCACTGCTGCCCTCAACTTGCTATCGACATCCTGCTCTCAAAACCTCGCCAGCGGGACCTTGACAACAAGCTCGAAGCTCTATTTTGCCATCTTTGCAACATCTGGAAACGAAGTTGCCACCCGCACTGCAACAAAGAAAACTCGTACACTGCAAAAGCGTTGCTCATATCAGACTCTACTACCCGTCAACGGCTGCGACGATGAAGTCTGTGATCCCAAGATTGTGAGGAACGGCAGCGGTGACTGTCCGAACGTCGGCAATGATGAGACCGATGGTTGCAGCTATCATTGTGAAATTCGCGCAGCTCGCTTTTTTGGTCCAGCCCAGACGTTTGACGGCGCCGCTTTTTGCTCGGTGAGTCTTTCCCTCCATTCTCCAACATGAAGCTTGCTTTTACTGATCCTGTATATAGGCGGGAGGTTGTTCTCTCACAGTTGGCAAAAGCTACACCATCGAGAAATCTGTCAGTGCCTCTCTAGGACTGGAGGGTGCTGGTCCCCTCGAGAGTGTTTTGAGTGCCGGTATCAGTTTCAGCTATACAGTTGCCGAGACCAACACTCTAGAACAGGGCTATGACTTTGGTGAAGGTAAGTGCGGACAGTGGTACAAAGCGCCTGTTCTCAAGAATTCATGCGGCACCTTGAGCGAGTACGAACCCAACTTCGGTAAGTCAAGAATCCATGGATGTGTCGGTAGTTCATTTGCTCACCCATGTTTCAGGCGGTGATGGTGGTCTCTATTGTCTTGTTGATGCTCCATTGTCGAGCTCTAAGGCGTGGTGTGCGGTTGTGCAGTCAAAGGTACCCAGTACCGACGAGAATAACTCCACTCCAGACGTTCGTATCATCCAGAGATACGCAGACTGCACAAACAGTGTGTTCTACGCGAATGACGCGCCTGAGCAAAGCGACGCGTGGAAAATTGCATACGGATCAGGCAATGATGTAGTAAAAACTTGTTAAAGACTGACATTTTATGTGCTTGACTGATGCTATACCTGGCTCATGGACATGTCAATTCACTAAGTATTGACATGATGTCGACGTTGAATTGCTTAGCATTATAGTCGTGGGGCGTCGCAACATACATGGTTGAACCTGTATGTATGCATAGAACTTTTAGTCTTTGAAGAAGTTTTTCATAAATTAAGCTATTGTTTGTCACTATCGCTTCTCTCATAGTAAATAAGACCTAGCAACTTATCATCCGTATCTATTTTCTGTACATCTCCTTTCTGCCATAACACCAACTCCTCTACTTCTTTCCGGCACGGATCTTCCTCCCTTTTAATGTCGAACTCCGCAGTATAAGTTCGTGCGAAGACAAAGTGTGGTCAGCACCCAGAGATCGGTGAACTAGGATGCGAGGCCTTCTTCGTCTCCATTGAGGTCTTGCGCGGCGCTTGAGTAATCAGCCGAGACATGATTCTTTTTGAAAGAAAAGGCTTGTTTTGCTGGACAGATGTTTGATCTGGTTTCTCCGTAATTGATCTTTGTTCTCTTGTGCCATCTCCTGCGATCGAGCGAGGGTAATGTCGCACAATGGTAAATATCAATTCAAGCAGGCTTTTCCCCATGCTTGCGGAACCGGCCTTGTAGCCAACACCGATACATTTTGAGTTCCTTCTTCCGATTGACTAGCAATCTCCTATCGACACCGAGGTCAACAACCTCAAAGCAAGGCACCCGCTCCTCTACTGATTCGGTCCGAGCAGTCTCGCCGGTCCAGATATCAATGAGTTCATCCTTTTCAAAAAAGTAGACCCTCGTGCCATCACCACGGATATAAAAATTCTCTTCCAAATATCTCCCCTTCTTGAAGCGCACTTGAGCCAAGTCACCGCGCCCGTAATCACGGAATAGAACTTCTCCACCAGGCTTGAGGAGTTTGTAGATGTTCTGGACAGCTTGCTTCCACTGGGAGGGAGAAAGAGCAGAGAAGATAAATATCATCAACACAAAATCAACAGTCCCGGGTTCCAAGCCTGGTGGTAAATCATCCCCAGCAGCGTCCCAGACGTCAGCTTGTATATTCTTGGTATCATAAGCTTCGTTTTCACGAATCACTTCGACGGCTTTCTTTGAAAAATCGCAGGCATGAATTTTGAGATTTGGATTCTGATTATGTGACAAGATTGGGAAGGCTGTATTTCCAGCCCCAGCCCCGACTTCGAGGAGGGTGATTTTACCAGCATCTGGTTTTATGACCTCGGTGAGAATAGGAAATTCTTGTTGTAACCATTTACGATCCTTGAAGAAGTTTGCGGTGTTGTTCTTGTAAAAGTTGTTCCACCATTTTGCTGGATCGGAGTTAAACCTGGCTTGGAATTGTTAGCGAGGATCATGGAAATCTTCCAATAAATCGAGGGATAGTGTAAGCATTTCAGATAGGAGCGAAAGACATTTGCGAATTTGTTTCGTTCATGGGCTAGTAACCTCAGATGAACTATGCATAAGATTCAATCATCAGGATGCAGTGGCAGGGCCACGGGAGGATATAAAGGAGAGAGGGGAACATACTCTTGTCAAAGTCAGAGACGGGCGCCTCGCGCTGTTTTGCGTATTGTTGTTCTGCATACTCCTTGTAAGTATCATCAGTTTCTACGTGATCCCACGCGTTAAACTCGAACACATTATCCTTTTCACTCAGGTAGCGAGATCCGAATTGAAAGGGGTCGCTCCTCTTGAGATTGTTCTCGGGATCATGTGATAGGTGTGGTGGAGTTTCTCCTGTTTGAGCAGGATCTGTTGCAACAAGAGCCTCGCCAGCGGCCAGTGTCAAGGTAGACAGATCTGGTATCGCGACAGATTCTTGCTTACTACTGCTTACATCCATTGTGTCCGTCAATTCAGAATCACATATAGATTTGATCGCGACTGCAATGAGTGGTTGAGAAGAGTCGACACGATGGAGTTGTTGTGCAAAAAAAAGATGAAGCTCAAAAACTGTCCGCGAAATTCTGATGGTGGGACTTGCAGGCGGTGAACAAAAAAGCCGGCAGAACCCTTTTCCCCAGGAACATTTCTCTCGAGCTCCGAGGTCTGGAGCTGTCATCTTTGTCAATGACCTCACCACCAAACGCATTTTAATATCTCCTTCTTTTCTCTACTTCAACCGCGA